CACTCCAATCGTATACGACCACGACGCCGGCGGCAACTGCGGAACCGCAAGTTAATGTTAGATCGAGACATCCCCAACCGATACGACGAACCCGACCAATAACTTAGAAACACATTCGAACCAATTACTGGCCACCAACTTGGATCATTTGAGACTACGGTCATATTTGAGGGATGGATGTGGGTGAGTGGGGGATCTTGGGGGTGTATAACGATTTAGTGTTCGTGCTAGATATACCACCGTTCAGCGCTTGTATCGCCAACATCGACATGATGGTGATGAATATTTACGCCCATCTCAAGACCCTTGATTGGTTGAAAGAAGTATTGCGATGCGGAATTAAGCAAAAGTGTGCGGTGCCTGGTCACCACTCTGCCTGGCGCCACCATTCGGTCCAATTTCCAAAGCCGAGGCGAAAACTCACGGTGGTACTGAATTTCTAGCAGTAAGTACATACTAGTTTGCAAATCAAAATCTACTTCAATTCAATCCAGGACTTCTGGCATTTCTTGCTTGACTTCGCAGTCCAATGCATACTTCAACCAACCAATTTCAAGGACCTTGAGATGGGCATAAATATTCATCACCATCACGCCGATGTTGGCAATACACTTGTAGTGCTGAACGGTGATATAGGTATCTATCACAGGCGCGCGTCACTTAGGCACCACCAATCATTGTGAGCCCATGCACGTGGTACTTGGGTAACAGTACCCATTTAGTTCAAGGTACTGCAGCTGCCCTGAATTTTTACATTTTGGACTTTGTACGCCACTCGAGCGAAATCGAACACTCTTGCTTCTCACATATTCAACCCATTCCTCCATGAAAGACTCGGACAGCTTCCCGCCACCGCTACGATCATTCTCCTCCTTCACCTGGGTCACTGCTCTACACCCATTCGTGCTCCTCCACAGGCACATAACACTATCTGTTAACGTTAGGGCCTGATATAGGAGAGGGTTCCCGAGGGGAACCCATGGGTGGCGTGCGGGTCGGGTGCTACAACTTACAGGTTGGTATGGGTGCTACTATCCACGGGTAAATAATGCTCAACGCATTCTTTGAGATCCAGAACATTTGCTAACCGGTATCCTATAGCATTATACCTGCACATTTATTATTTGTGCGTTTAAATTGTGATCCACAACTGCGTTCACTGCTGCGTTCCGTGTTTGCGTAAACTCGGGCTCCCGTGATGCATATTCTTTGGTGCTATCCACCTACTGTTGGATGCTCAATTAAAGTGAGTGATGCAGTGCTTTAACGATGACATCTGTTCTAATGTGATCGGTACCGTGACCAGTGATTAGCACTACACAACTGGAATCAACCTTCCAGTGTAAATGACTTGACCACAACGCTCACGGAACGTGAATGCTTCATCTTTGCAGAAGTTCCATGTTCGAGCGGCCTCGAATGGTATATTCCACATCCCTTGTCGAACTACGATGCCTGCACGGGATACATGCGTCCACTGGGCAGTATAACTCAAAGCCAGTTTCAAGCCAACGGTTCGAGAGAAGGGTCAGGCTGAGATGAAGGAGACGAAGTTTATGTTCTACTACGTGAGTTCGAGGCATGAGAACGAACATAGAAGGAGGTCTGTGTGGCGTCCAAGTTTTTCATGACTCGTCTTTCTTGCTTCGTACCACGACTCGCAGGGTCAATTCTGCTCGACTACACTCTCGTTTCGTCGCACACTCCCACTGCACCCTTTAGCAGACTCGAAATGCATCTCGCTCCAATAAGTACGGTCTTTTTAGAGCAGTTAAAAATAAGTTTCCGCTCGATGCATTTCTCTCAACGGCAGAACGACGTCCAATTCGTTCCGTGCACTTAAGCTGCTGTGGCCCACCCGCTCATCACGGCTCATTCTCGGACTCTTTCTGCTAGGTTCGAGTCGATGCTTCGAGCTAAATAACCCTGCGGGGTTTTTCCCCAAATAGCTTCATTCATGTGCAATCGCGATATACAAATCAAATCATTGTTGGATCTATAATGCATTTGAATTTTCTTTCTGTCTGAAAAACTAACAGCAACGCATAGATTATGGCTATTAAGCAAAAGGATTTTGCCGTGAGTACGACCCCACTGATACTGACGATGATTAGAAATGCAATGAGCAATACTATGCTAACTGAACTCATGACGTTATACGCGGGATAGAATCTCTCTGTCGAGTCAAATCGTCCGTGGAGCATGGATCTAACGCATATCCAAAGAACAAGAAGCCTCTGGGGCTGCACTATCAATACTGGAACAAAAGACAGCCAGGAAAGGAGGGAGATGTTGAATAATAATAGAACAACATCGCATCGTTCACCAGAGAGTTCTGTGCAACATTCGAGAAAACGAGGCAAGATACCACAAGGGCATCAGTCTTGGTACAAACATCCAACCTCTTGCGAGCCAAAGCACGAGCGATAAACGTCGGAACAGATGCGGGCAAACACTATAAGCTGGCATGATAACATTCCTCGTTGTACTGAAACCACGGGATGTAAAACCTTTCCGGGACTCGGACGTACACGCTTTAAGGAAACCAAATCTGTAACAATCAAATTTGGAAGTTAGAGACTTCGATACACTCTTCATCTCCCTTTCGGGAACTGTCACTCGAATCCCGGATATCTGCCCCCCTAATATCCTCCACAGGCGTCGCTCGCTTGCCCCCAAGGAACATGCGTCCACCAGGCGCATCCTCCAAAGACCTCACTATCACATCCTTCTCGAACAAGTACTTGATGTCCTCCAACGCATACCCCTTCGTCTCAGGCAGGAAGAAATACGTCCACGCTGCCATGATAATGCAGCACAAGCCAAAGAGCAGGAATGTCCCGTACGTGATCTTCTCCAGCATCACCGGCGTCAGGCGTGATATCGTGAATGAGAACAACCAGTTGATGCTGACCGCGACGGTAAGTGCGGCTGCGCGGACATGATTTGGGGCAACTTCACTAGCCACGACCCACGGCAGAGGTCCCCAGCCGATACAGTAAAATACTGCGTAGAGGTAGACGGCGATGATTGACACGTAACTCGCAGGCACAATAGTACTCTGCGGGTGGATGGCGCCGAAACCTCCGATCCAGAGCATGGTCAAACCTTGCCCCACAGCGCCTACGAAGAGGCACAACTTGCGACCCCAACTTTCCACAGCAAATGCCAGGGTAAGACCGACTGCAACGACTTTCACGAGACCGTATATTCCTGTTGCAAATAGGCCAGATGCTGTACCGGTGATACCAAGCGCAGCAAAGATCTGCGGGCTGAAGTAGTTAACGGCGTTTGTACCGGTCCATTGCTGGAAGAAGGTGAGGATGGAGGGGATCAAGCAGCGAAGCGCAATTTGACGTGACTCTCCCATCATGCGGAATTGAGTGACCAAAGATGTTCGCTGCTTGCCGATGAGGTCCGCTTTGATCTCGTCGAGTGTAAGAAGAACGGCTTTGTCATCGACTGACGTTCGAACAACATATGCGAGCGTCCTTGCGGCTTCGTCGTAGCGCTCCCGCTCGACCAACCAACGGGGAGATTCTGGCTGTGGAATCATGAGGAGGATGAAGAGGACACCTGGGACAAGCTGGATTATGAAAGGCATACGCCATTGCATGTCGCTATATGGGATGTTGATAGAAGCGCTGTAGTTCACCCAGACTGCGAGAAGTATTTCATTAATCCAAGGTTACTTCATCTATAAACTGGATACGTACAGCTCAGCATCATGCCGATATTGTCAGAGAACTGGACAAGGCCGGTACACCTCCCCCTAATGTGTTTGGGCATACACTCTGATATGTATGAGGGAGCCAGAGCGGATACCATGCCCACCCCAATGCCAGCAAAGATGCGGCTAAAGTACAGCACTCGAAGAGCGACAGCCTGGCTGCTTCCGAGGCCAGCGATGGATTGAATCATGCTTCCGATGGTATATATAACGCCCGAAGCAATCAGAGACCGTTTCCGCCCAAAGCGACTGGATGCCCAACTAGTCAATAGCGCACCGAAGCTGTAAATTTCAAGACAATAGCATGAGCATCGAAGCATTCTATATTCTCAATGACATACATGCATCCGGCCTGCATAACCGACACGATATTTCCATTGAAATTGGCCTGAGCGGATGCGGACAGCTTATCAATACCAAAGTATTGCTGGAAAGAACTAAGGGTTAAAATGCCACCCATGAGTCCGGTGTCCCAACCGAAGAAGATAGAGCCCATAGATGCAGACAGGGCGAGGGTGTATGCATTGCGATAACGGGAAACATCTGCCAGTGCATCTTGAAAACCATGGCGGAAAGATAGGGCGGGCAGAAGCAGTGGGCGCTCCCGCCTTTATAGTGCCGCGTAACCCCATGTGGGGCCTAGTAGTCATTAATGTCCGAATATGAATTCATCGATCACCTGGTCGACCCCTGGTGTTCATATTTACCGCAAAGCTATAATAAACATGAACTCGGGACGAAATTGAAATATAACGATGTGAGAAATGTCACAGGGTCTCTCCGGATGCCTGTGCCGAGAGAGCGAGCTTAGCCAAGGAGTGACAGTCCTCCCCTTCGTAGTGCCTGCCAGAGGTTGTCTCATGACTCTGACATGCAGGAGTCACAGGACCAGCATACTCGCCGACCTGATACCGTGACAAGGAGTCCAATTATTTCAATGTGCTTTTCCTGTCCCTTGAAATATTGTCATCGTTGGAGGACATCGGGAGGGTGTTCAACGTTCAACGTTCGGAGCTGAAGACCAACGCAGGTGCCAATCGATGTCGACTGCCATGGCTCAGCTGCTACAGGAGACCACGACGCTGAGGTGGATGAAGATGCGCATGTGCTTGCTCGAGCCTTGCGGGGGCAGTCTTTCAAAGCTATAGTAGACACTTGATGTAAACAGCCAACTGTTGGAATCTGTAGAACGGTAACTGTCTCAGGCTGGTTCTAGCCGGCAAATTGACCGGCAATCAAAATGACTGAATGAAGCGAAGTTCTGGATTCTTGCTCAACATCTTGGACCATTGGCATCAGATGGTCTTCAAATCTTCTCTACATAGAGCCTCGACACTCTTTTCAACCAAGCTTCCACAGGTTCTACGAAACAGTATGACACCACTTCTCGTTGCGCTATTGCAATACTCCACAGTCTAGCTTAACGCTTCACAGGATGCCTGTCTACTGCCGTGTCACCCATCGAGCTGGCCCACGACGAACACATACCTGCAGATGGAAATCGGTCCCATAGACCACTCCTCATCCTACACGGGCTCTTGTGAGTTTCTTTCTCTGCTGTTCACTTCCATCACGTGGTCATGAAGCGGACAGTGGTTCGAAGCGCAACTGGCAGTCTCTCTCCAAGGCGTTCATGCGCGACCTCAGCAGACCCGTATATACACTCGTCAGTGAGGGTCCCACTCTGCGCTATATCATGACTGACCTGAGACCAGGATTTGCGAAACCACGGATCTTCACCGCATGTTAGACCGATGACATATTCTCACATGGCAGCGGACGTCCTTAGTTTTTGTCAGAAGTACTCATTGCGTGATGTATCACTTATGGGACATTCTATGTGTGCTCTTTTAACAGTCTACCGTGTTCAATTACTCATTCTATGTAAGGGGTGGCAAGGTTGCAATGGCCCTCGCATTGCATCCCGAACTACCTTCTGACTTACTCGCAGACCTTATAGTGTCTGACATTGCTCCCGTCAGAGCCAAAGTCTCGCAGGATACCGTACAACACGTACGTGCTATGGAAATAATACAGGCGGGCAACATCTCCACAAGGAAGGAAGCGGACGAAATAATATCTGAGCATGAGCAGGTACCTTTGGCCGAACTCGCAACTTTCCGCATGCTTATGATGTCCTCTAGGATCCTAGTGTCAGATCATTTCTGCTTACGAATCTAGAGATTAAAAAAGCGACACCCGTGAAATTCAAGATCCCTGTCGACATTTTGAAAGAAGGTCGAGCGGAGATCGAATCATTCCCTTACGCGCCTGGAGAACGATCCTGGGACGGTCGTACCTTGATTATCAAGGGAAAGAAGAGCAAGTGCGTGTCATCTATGCATAAAAATCTACACCAGGGTCTGACTGCGTTGACAGATACATCAATCGTCACAATATCCCTTTAATCGATCAATTTTTCCCACAGAATCAGTTGAAAGAGCTTGACACCGGTCACTGGGGTAAGTACAACTATCCTCATTCATCGCGAATGTCCTAGATTAAGCTTTTTGTTTTGTCCAGTGCATGCTGAGTTGTAAGTTATCCTCGAGCACTACTCTGTCTCTTATTAACGCCCTTCGAATTCGAGACCACATGAATACAGGAAGCTCGTCGTAAATTTTATCACACAATAGACATGTTTCGAATTACAATCTACCAATAGAAGACACCGTTTACGCCTGCTTGCGCAAGTTACAACTGTGCTGCCGATTGGCTTACATGCTCTAGTTTGAGCCAAGTTGAAGGTTGACTCTAGACTTCGCTTGGCCCGCTTCCCTCGCTCCTTCCTGCACTATTTCTATCAGACAAAGGCTTCTTCGTACTACTCGGTGCCACGGCAAGCGGATCTGGCGAGTCCTTCTCATGCGTGGACGCCTGTGCAGGATTCAGATCTTGATAATGCATCCTGCAACGGGAGTCAGTAGATTTGAGCAAGCACGAAGATTTTACTTACCATTTCAACATGGCATAGAAAGCAGATGCCAGCAGAGAGCCGAGGAAGGGTCCGACCCAGTACTACAAGGAGGCAAAGTTCAGGTGCACGCCCGTGAATAGTATTTTTTGCTTACCACCCATTGGCTAGGGTAAGGAAACCCAGTGACGACAGCAGGCCCGAATGCACGTGCCGTATTCATAGCCGCGCCCGTATAAAAGACGGCCCATCTGTGCGGTTTTAACCATATTGTCATATGGCAAGGAACACAATTTACAGTTGTCCAACGAACAGCGTCAGGCCAATGCCTACCTGATGCACAATGTTCAGCGTTATTCACAATGAGATAAGCTAACCATGCATACCGGTGCAAATGGAGTAACCTGGGATTTTTCAGCGGCAAGCATCAATACGGCTAACACCAGCGCCGCTGTGAGGAACATTTCGATGAAAACGCCTTGAGCTGAATTGATTCCCTTTTGGAGGAACGTGCTATCGCAAGGGGTAGACTTTGTTAGGATCGACAAAATCGACATTCACAACGGCCACTTACTTGACAGCCAACGGTCCAGGGGTCAGCGCAAGCAACAACGCCGACGCGGCAATGCTTCCGACCAGCTGTGCGATGCAGAACAACACGAACCTTACGGGATTTACCACTCCCACGAGAAACAGTGCGAGTGTGATGTTGGGGTTGAAGAGGCCACCGGTGATCCTGTAGAACAACCAAGCGGAAACCAGAAGGCTGAAACCCATGGATGTCGCAATGTACATCACATGTCCGATGGTGGTGCCACTGGACTGAGCCTCGCCATTGGCTGCCTGGATACCACCGAGCCCTAGAAGTAGAAAGAACGTTGTCCCGACGAACTCGAGTGCGGCAGCCTTGCAGTCCAACTTGAATGTGCTGAACATCCCGGGGGTAGAGTAACGAGACGGTGCCCTGGCTTCTGAAGACATGGTTTGTTGCGGCGAAGAGGAGCAGTTCGCTTCACTAGTACTTATACCCCGCCCGATGTGCGTGACATCACTATGATAGTACTCAAGACTTGCTCAAGACATTTCATTTCAGACTGATCGATCGGTGGCAGTGCTCCGTCTCTCATTGAACCTACATCGATTCGTCCTTTGTCTGTCATGTGCCTTCTGAAAAACCGGCGGCTCTTTGTGTTTGTTCTGCCGGTAATGATGAAAATTTTGGCTGCGCCCAAAACGATAGTATGGTCCTTGAGAACAGAATCTCCGGTTACAAGGAGACACAGAATTAAAAAGGTGATCAGACTCACAGAAAACCATCGAAACTTTAAATTAAGTGCACCGTGCTATCTCACATCAAAAGCGGGCACCATGATACACCTGTTCTTCGTGACCAACCTTCATTATGAGACGGCAGTGTGCGGCCAAACCTTGGCGCCGCACAGGATAGTAGGGAAGTGTTGGAGGGATGGCTGGTGAAGGCATGGATCAATTGGTACCTTTGGGCGGCTTTCACTGGCAGTGTTACTCTTGTGATTCGAGCAATCATTTGACAACCTTCATCGACCAGCGATTTCCAAACTAGCCCCCGTAAATTACAAAAGAAACCACCATTTGGGGGCTGAGAAGGTCGCAACCTTGTACTTTGCATTTGCTACGCCAACACACAGCCTTACGATCAATTCGGGGCTAAGCCCTCCCTGATATCAGGCCGAGAATTTGCACATCCGCGCGGATGCTGGGAGTGGGCCACCAACCAGGGCCAGGGGTGCTCGCACAAAATCTGAGTAACGGTCGTCAGCAAGGAAAATAGAATTTACATGCTGTGAGTCGAACTGATCTTGAATCTTAACTTCAGGGTAGATGCCATGTTTCCAATGCTCCTGTGCAATGGGGAGTAGCTTACGTAACTTCAGGCGTTCGAGAAGTGGTCAGATTGACGCGATATGTGATATGAATGGGTACCCAAGTAGTATCTGTACTGCCGCCTCCAAAGCATACCTAGCAGGTCAGAATGTGACCATGTTTTCTTCGCGTGCGCAGACGATCTGAGCTGGCAAAATTGCAAATCGATATGAGTGGTTAGTCTGCATGTGCTGATTGAATCATGAAACGAATGCTATGAACACCATCATCAACGGAACAGAACCACGCGGTGACCGATAAAACGAAGTCGATGACTGAAATTGTGCCATATCCCCATCACTGGACGCCACTTCCACTCCTTCGAATACCCGGCAGCGCTACGCCGGTGGCTAGAAGCGGTGTCGACAACATAGATGCACTTGGTGTGGTCACATCCCCGCTAATGATATCCTGTATAGCAGCTTCCAGTGCGTCCACTCTATTCGACATTTGCATCACTGTGAGATGGTTAAGTTCGTGGGTTCACGAAAGGTCACAAGAGGTCGCAGATTCGCAAACGCACTGTGATCAAGAATCTGAGACGACATGGCGTCAAATTGGGTATCTAGTTGTTCAAGTAGCGTTTCGACCTGTAAGCATTGTTAGTCGTCACTTGCCAGTTGGGAGGCTGCAGGAGCAAGAACTCGGAAAACGCACGAAAGCTGTTAGCTCATGGGGGCTAGATATTTCACCAGGGTTGGTGAGAATGGCCTGCTTTGTGGGAGTCTTTGAGCCCGAAGCAGATGGTTGTGGTGAAGCTCTTGCTGGCGTTGATGCAGGAGTAACATTTAGCGGAAGAGCGGTCGACGGCATTTGACAGGTACTGTGGATCTGTTCAATGGCACTCAAGTACAGGACCAGCGACGCGGCCTAGCGCGGCGCCGCTGTGGTGGAGGGCTGTAAAAGTATTACGTAACAACCCCCAACATCGTTCGACTCCGCGCGGCACCTTAACATCAACTGGTCGATTATATATTGATTCTTCACGATCTATTCCCGCTCGAGTGCAACATTACCTGGCGTTGGTTTCTTTACGGGGCGTTTGGTGAATGGCTCTATCAGTTTATCAGTGATGGGGTCACTAGGTGCTGTCGGCATTTTCTCGTCAAACAATTCTATTGCTAGAAAATTTGTCCAGATACATGTCACCGCAGATGTCGGACCACGATCCGTCCCCAGCGGCTTATTTCAACACACTAGTCTTTGATGCGAATGAAAGTAAAGCTCAGGAGTGCAGCTAATTTTTGCTGATCATGATTCATAACTAGTGCTTGGCCGGGGTATTGAATTCACCGAATCCAATACATCTTCATGGAACGTGAAGAAATCATGAAACATGGAGAAATCATGCTTCGCCATGGACCGAAACTCTCGGACCTTTTCTGCAGCCCCTTGCTTGTGGTGTGTGGTGCGACTTACAAGTGCGTTTGCCCCGTCTAAGAATTGAGTTGATCCGAGCTACTCAACAATCCAGACACATCGTACGTCGAGACAATATATCACGATCCAAGATGGGTTCTGGCGATGTCATTCTGCCACTTCCGATCGCACACGGTTCCGGAACCAAGTCTTCGGTCTTTCTCGAACCCCAGTGTCGTTGGCCTGTAGAGCTTGTTAGGTATTACTGACACGAACTTATCAAGGAACCAAATCAGCTGGCGCATCATGTTTGTGTTCCGATTCGGATTATGGAAGACCATGGGTATCATGGGCATGCTATTATGTGGGGTCCTGATGCGGCGCGTACGTAGCATCTTTAAGTACCTGTTTTATATTTGAGTCATTTCATTTTGCCTTCACGCATAGGCTGCCGCTATGACAGCTGTGCAATACCGCGTTTTCTTGAAGTTCCGGCCTGAACTGTGATCCTCTCCAAAGCTTCCACCACTATAAATACCCAAAATGTTTCCGAGAAATCTGTCTCTTCACTCGCGTCTCCCCTCGTTCCGTCCTGCCTATCACTCATCTTGACATTTTCGATACGAGTGTGGCGAGTTCCATGGCCACTGCTGCAACATATACCAGCACTTGTTCTCACTTTGAGACTGCAACGTTTATTTTACCTGACCTTGTCAACGATTGTCACTATCCCCTGCGACTGAACCCTGACTGTTATCCAGTGTCTCGTGCTTCTGAGCAATGGCTTCTTCACGGAGCGCATCTTGCAGAGCCTAGAGCAACAAATTTTATAGGATTGCACGCAGGTGAACTCACTGCGGCTTGCTATCCCGATGCAGATGCTTTCCATCTTCGAGTCTGCTCGGATTTCATGAACTGGCTGTTTAATATGGATGACTGGCTGGATGAGTTTGATGTCGACAGTACGTGGGGAATGCGTGAATGCTGCATGTCTGCGTTCCGCGATCCGATCAACTCCCAGACGGAAAAACTCAGTGGAAAGATGTGCAAATCGTACGTCAGTTTACTCTATTACCAATTTTCACTGTAGATTAACAATTTAGATAATAGGTACTTCAGCCGCTTTATGCAGACCGGAGGGCCCGGCTGCACTGAGCGATTTATCCACACAATGGACCTGTTCTTCATTGCTGTGGCTAAGCAGGCGGACGATCGTGCCAAGGGGCATATCCCTGATCTTGAATCTTATATCACCATCAGGCGAGACACAAGTGGCTGCAAGCCTTGCTTTGCCCTCATCGAATATGCAGCTCTGATTGACCTCCCCGATAAAGTAATGTCGCATCCAGTTATTATGGCCATGGAGGAAGCAACAAACGACCTTGTCACTTGGTCCAACGTAATGCTCCATTATGTCGTCGAATGCTGGAGTACTGCTAACATTATTGCTGATAGGATATCTTCTCTTACAACGTGGAGCAATCTCGCCGTGACACACATAACATGATTGTCGTGCTCATGCGCGAACAAGGTCTGAACCTGCAAGGTGCTGTTGACTACGTTGGCCGGTTGTGCAAGGGTTCCATCCAGCGCTTTGAAGACAACCGTGATATCCTCCCATCGTGGGGAGAAGAACTTGACAGGCAGGTGGCTATCTACATCGAAGGGCTGCAGAACTGGATTGTTGGTTCGTTGCACTGGTCCTTCGATTCCACCCGTTATTTCGGGAAGAACGGGCATACCATCAAACAAGACCGAATCATCAAGTTACTTCCCAAAAGGCCCTTGTAGAGTTGACTCCTATTCCGTCTGATTCTTTGGGTGAGATCGTTTTGACCTCTTTCACTGCACATTTCTAACTGCGGTTTATCGTAGAATGCTAGATCGCCTATTTCTTACCATAAAACTGGATATTCCACTTCGGATCTATAAAATCTTGAACATCCTGCCTACCTTGCTTAAAATATTTTCGACCTTCGTACTTCTATGTGTTTTGCTAATTTTCATGCAGCGCTTTGTGGTTTGATATGTTTTGTACGGCTTTGTACTGCTACTCATGTATAACCAGTATGTGTAAGATAGTCTGATATCCTTGTGCAAATAGAAGTTGTTGTGGATATAACCTGACGACGGGTACTGGTACCACCGTTCTTCTACTATTTCTACTTTCCCGTCTACTAATCAGGGGTCGCCGCAGTGATCGATTACATGTTGCTTCGCCCTTCTCTGCTCGGTGCCTCCGACACCATCAACATTCTCAGGGGTTACTTCATCTAAGTTAGTCTAAGGCACCATCAATAACACAACACCTCGCGAAGTCAGACTCGAATGACGCACCCTCCCACGGTCAGCACCTGCTTCAATTAACATTACTGCAGCCTGGGCATGAGCTGACTCCATAGCGAGATGAAGGGGTGTATTGCCTAAGAATAGCGTCTTGATCTAATCTACTCAATAAACGCGACGGTAAACCCACCTATCCGATCGCCCGTGTTCAGCCGTATTTTGGCAGTTGTTGAACCTTCAGGAGGGTTGAGCAGGAGGGCAATGAATCCCGTAGATCCTGTCGTCGCCGCTCGATGCCTAAGAGAGCTCGAGTGAACAAGTTGATGACATGCAAGCGTTGACGATCTCACAAGGGCGTTTGGTTCGCCTTATCTTTGACGTTTATCTGGTTGTCGTTCATTTGATAACTGCAAAGTACCCTCGAGGAATTCACATACGTCTGCCCCCCTTTCAATCAGGAACCTTCCGATCTGTCGATGTAGACGCCAGCTATTAGCATATCCACATTCATAATACCAAGGCCCACGTACATCAATGCGGGACTTTGATGCCGCGTAGTGTCTAAACAGAGTATGTCAGACCAGTAGAGATAATCCCCAGCGGGAACATTACTAACAGAGGAGTAATTCCCTTGTCATTCTTTCTGTTTACGTCAGCCCCAGCGCCCACTAGCTCTCGAACGACATCTTCATGGCCTGCGCTTACTGGGCTCGAAGAGTATGAGTTTATATTATGCTTCACATATTCAACAAGTCATACCAGCTATGTGCAAGGCTGTCCATCCACCCTCATCCACGTTGTCGATTACATCTGAGTTCTTCGCAATGAGATAGCACACGATTTCGGTCGAGCCGCTCGATGCGGCCCAATGCAGTGGCGTCCGACCATCCTGGGGCACACGCATCAGGCATTCAAAATCATAAGAATGAAGTTTATTAAAGCTTGCTGGCTCACGTCATCGACAGCATCCACAAGCTTTGGGTTCTCTTCTGTCAGCGCGCGAACAAGGGCAGGTTGATCTAGAAGATGGGAAGTCAGATCGTCAGACGTGAGTAGGGAGGCACTGCGGAAACGCACTTTTTTGGGCGGCAGCATGGATGGATAAAGACATCTTGTGGTGGTGAAACGGAACCAATGGAGCTTTGATATGATTACGCGGCTCACTGAGCTAACTCCTAACCCTATGCTATGGTCACGAGGATATATCTGGCACGCCTACTTATCAGATTGTGTTCGCCAACGCCTGATCATGACATGAAAGAAGTCGAGTATTCCTTTGTAGTACTGACGACTCAACGTGAGTCCGAGAGGCAGGGCTACGCGTGTATAAGTACGGATCTCAGCATCGCATATTACTAGTTGCGTAGGCGACGTACTACGTCACTACGTCTCCCATGCATATATAATCAAGGGAAAAGGACAGCGCTCGGAACTACAAGCTAAAGATCCTTGTCGTTCATACACGATCAACCCAACAGACCGCTCCAGGATTCCATAGGGAGCTTGAATACACATTAATGTGCAAAACGAGTGACTTCGTCTGTGCAGTGTATCCGTCTTTGTCGGTGACAAATATTGACGTCTCCTCCTGTGCTTGGAAGCAGAGTTTTTTTTTACAGATCGAGAATGCTTTGACCTGTTCAAGGCATTCAGACGTTGACGAATGCATAGTTTGGTCATACGTCCCCTATGGTCTGTGAAGCCGATGGCATTGGCAGACAGGCCGGAGATTGCCAGTACTGAGAATCAGATGGGCAGTCGTGAACGAGTCGAGGTTGGACGCGTCACAAAAGCAAAAATTCAGAGCGGTACTTTTGTATCGCTCTCCTAGGATTTCCGCTTTGTGGCCTGTCCACGTTGCTCACGTTGCTTTCAATACCAACAAGGAGGAGGAAGAATGAACGTGAAGACCCGCGTCATTGCGCTGATGGATGGATTTCAATTCCGTTGAAAACACGGCAGACGAGGGTCTCAAGACCAAGTGGAAGAAAGCTTTCGGGAGTTGCAATATGGGCTGCCTTGAGCCATGGATGACAAATTCGCAATGTTGCAGCCGCTTTGATTTACCCAGTTCGAAGTATTTTGGATTGGCATGGGCGCGATGATTGCTGAGGGTTACCCTTTTACCAGTGCGAATCTTCTGGAAGACTATCGATCCCGTCGAGTGGGCACACGTTGCAATTCTGCAAGCAATTAAATTTTGAACCTCGAGTGATACCCGCGTCGCTGGATACCCTCAAGTTCCAGCCCATTCCCAATCTTCAATCGAACTACCTGGTTGGATCTTGATGCCAAGAACTGCTTGCGACGATTCTGTTACTATTGCTGGAAGTCCTTGCTGATTACACCTCGTGGTTCTGGCGTCATTAATGCGACTGCACGAGTGCTCCGATTTGCGTCCTTTGGGGGATGATCGTGATCGATTACTTCCTCCGAAGTCCGTAGTAGCCTGGTACGACTAACAACAAAGAAAATGAATGGCGAAGGGTGGTTTGACGTACGAGGTAGGTTCCAAAGCAGCTTCTGGATATGTTGACATCACAGGGACGATGAAGTTACCTTCTAACGAATCCAGAGACTCAACTGTTTGTCGCAAGGTGAAGTTTTGAAGCCTGAGGGATTAGACCTATTCTGAAACGAGAACAGCTGGGGAATCATTAATCAGAAATGCTCACCCATAAATCAGGTATTTATTACTCCCATCATCAACTACGAGACGGTGACGTGCTGCCTTCGTCACAGAAAACGTCTCGCTAATGCGAATAACATTATTGTAGCGCAACTTTGTAAACCGGCGGTAGTGTGGAATCCATTGGTTTGTCTTTCTTTGCGATAACATCCGAGTTGAGCGTTCTAGACTATTCAGAGTCCCGTTGATGCTTTTTGACAATTGTCCTGATGATCAAGCAAGGATATCGAAACGAGTCTACCTCACGAACAGAAAATGCCGTTGCACGGGAACTGTTATTTGCAGACGTTGATTTTACCACGCTTCACATATCGGACCAGCCTGAGCCAGCTGCGCTGCCTTTGCATCTGACTCTTGGACTTCATCTCAAGCGCCAGCTGATGAGTCCTTTGACTTTTGGGTGTGTTCTTGTTCCGTAGTTGCCCCTTGGCCGGGTGGCTGGGTGGAAATCGTCATGGAAGCTACATACCTAATCCCGGTAATGTTGGCACCTTTGGCCATCGTCCTCTCGACCGAGTCATAGTACTTTCGGCAGCAGGAATTCGATGGCCTTCTGGGTTTTTGATATTCTGCACGTGTACTCGGCAGGGAACATTGATATTCATGGACGACACGCTCCGTTGAAGGCCAAGGCCAAGGCCACTGGCAACTGGCTCATATTCATGGTTTTATTTACCGACCAACGAAAATTTCACCGTCCAGGCGCTGGCACCTCGCCAGCCCACGAGGCTGGAATCCCCACCAGCTGGAATTCGGACAGCTGGAACGATGGCCCTCCTGGCAGGTTCGTTCAGAACATTTATATATGCCATTATGCTTCATAATTATTCACCGCTCCCTCAGATAGTCTAGTCTGCAAGTGTAACCATCACAATCGTCACTTCATTAAAATCATGTCGGCGCACTTTCAATACTACCTGGGCAACGGAGTACCTGCCCCTTCTGCGTCAGAACCTGTAAGCCGCTGATCTTCTGACATGACAATATTGGGACTAAAACGACGCTTGCAGGGACATTCTCTCGATGAGATGTTCCTGTGTATGTGGTATTGTGGACAGGGATTGCACTGTGACGCCTTGATTCGCGGCTGTGACCTCTCTACTCACCTGCGTGAGACTCATGGAATTCGTGGGTCAGACAAAACTCGCGTTTGGTGCCAGTGGAAATCTTGTAATAGGGAGTTCAACAAAGAGAGTCTTTCGAGGCACGTTGAAGAAGTTCACTTGGGGGTTGTGTACAAGTGCAACTGCGGAGCTACATTCTCGCGCAAAGATACTCTCAACAAACACAAGAGAACATGTTCTGGTCAGCATTAAATAGGGAGTGGGATCCCATGCTATTTATCTTCTATGCTATACTTCAGTTAGAGTTTCTGCTGTCTATGTTATTTATGATCCGATGTACTTACTAGTTTCCTCTGTTATTACCCCGGTGGTAATATATTTAGTTTGAGTACGAAACCCCATTCTGAATACCATATTGGTAGCAGTTGATCAATTTTGCAAGCTACACATGATGTCTACCCTCAAATCACGTAAACTGAGTCAAGACTGTCGTCCGCTTAACTGTTACGCCAAAAGGCAGTGATACTGAAAGCTTGTGCTTTCAGTTACTAAGTATTCATCATGCAGATTATGGGAACTCTAGTAAGCCAGCGTGTTTACGACGGCTCCCCTTAATATTGTAAGCTCTATTGTGTAATCGTATCCAACAGCGCCGAACACCCCTATGATAACAATACCATAACATGATTGTCATTCTAAGTGGCAATGGCATGAAAACCTGAACAGTACGGCATCAATTCTTTCGTGAGATGCCCATGTCCATGTCTCTATAGATACAAATCACAGAAAGGAAGTGAAAGAGGATGTAATTTGATCATTAGAGCACTGGATAAACTGAAATACATAGAATGGTTGCATTTGCGTAACGAACCTCGAGATCAAGCTCAAGTTCAGGACGTCAGTGATGCTTTGAAACGGCTCATTCAAGCCTTACGATACAAACCTCACCAGATATTACTGGAAGATGATACCAATATACTGACAGACTCACAGAATCCTGGCGGTTATGATCACCTCCCCGAGGATTCAGACCAAACAGCTTTGAAACCACCAATGTATAATGGTAAAGCCAGCGTTATTTGAAATAGTATCAACAAATCCAAATGCCTCCTGAACACATTATTGGACCCGGATACAAATACTCATAACATCCAGCTTTAACGAAGTCTGGCTAGCGCAGGATGGTGACAACCTTGTGAGCCTATGTTCAACTGTTGCTTCAACACTGGTTTGGGAATGAAGGGGTCCGCATCCAATGAGGTAGTCACTTGATGAATGTGATATCATTGGTGGAGACTACAAGCTCAATAGAATTGCTAACATTAATACCATTGGGCGGCCACGAATGAGCTCGCAATTCTTGCACATCCCTAGCAAAGTCGACTGAGAGTGAGTCTGAGTGATGCTACTCTGCTGACATGGCATTGCAAGGCGTGCACCAAGGACCGTGACGGTGGATGAATAAGGATGAGTGCCCATCGACGACCGGTGTCGAGCTGAGGATGGATTTGTCGCTTGTTCTCTTTCAAAAGTTCTTGGCTGGCTCTTAGCAAGAGATCCGGAGTTGCAACACGCGTTGGATTTCGCAGATCAGACCACAATTGATGATGACAAATTTCCTTTCAATTTCCGGCGTTCATCATGATAGTGTGTATGATACCCTCGGAGCAGTAAGTAGTGGCGCATCAAGTCTATAGAGCCCTTTGGATATTTTTGGAGTGTACACGAATGCGGCTGACAGTAACTCTTTTTGCTAGTAATTTTTGGAAGATCATCGACCCTTTGACGAAAACTGTAACCCTGGCAGTAATGATTAGTAGGATTCACAGATACTCGTGGAGCTGCCAGTGGTAGGAGCATTTCGGAGTCAAAGTTTTATTCGTCGATGTGTGTCCCTGGTCTCGCATCGTTCAAGCTGGGGGCGCGTAGTTGCGGTGGTATGGCGGTGCGTTTCTTCTCAACAATACCCGAATTGATTGGACCGTTCACGGTTCCGTCGATGCTGCTATCCGATAGTTTTGATCACCAGTAGGAATATGATAAGAGTGGGACCACCTCAAGAACCGCCAGCATTATGCGTGGGCTAAGTATTGACGCCCAGATAACGTCAAGGACTGATTTTACCACGCGGGTTGTACACAGCGTCAAACTCTTTCACTTTCCTTCCTAGTTTCCAAAATCTGACAAATTTGTACGCCTCCTTTGTTTCTAGTTGGTCCGCAGCCGTTCATTGGCCAGTTGGTGGGTGGAAATTGTTATAGAAACGCTTCTAGTCCCGGCGTGGCACGTTGGCCTTCCCTTAACTAAATTATGCTTTTTGCGATGGAATTTTGCTTCTTCAAGGTTTTTGTAATCATGCACGCGTACTCGCCGGCGACCTTGATACTCGTGGATAACACGCTCCATCGAATGCCAAGGCCAGTGGCAGCTGACACATATTTGATGGCTATGGTTTGTCTTCCAACCAATGAAAATTTAGTTTCGCAATTCGAGAGCTAATTTCCTGGTACCCCGCCAGGCCGCCAACCCATGAGGCCCCGGGCTGGTGTTTGAGGATTTAGAATGATATACCTCCCTAGAAAGCTCATCCGGAATAATAAAGCCCCCCCTCAAACGCTTCAATCTGAAGAAACTACATTTGTCACAACTATCGTCTCCAACACCGCTATGTCGTACAACCACGCAAACAATGGATTTTTCTCAGAAATGGGACCTGTAAGTTTTAAGTGCTCATACCGGGCATCACTATCATTAAATTGACACTCGTAGTCGGGCCATTTTCTTAACCCGATGTTCCAGTGTCTGTGGAGCGGATCAGATGGCTCGCGCTGCAACTACCCATTTTTTGCCCACGAACTTTCTGCTCACCTCCGTGAATATCATGGAATTCGGGGTGCAGACAAGTCGCGCGTCCATTGCTGTTGGAATGATTGCAACAAGGAGCTCAATAAAGAGAGCCTCTCTAGGCATGTGGAGGAAAGGCACCTCAGGATTATATATCCTTGCGATACCTGCAACAAGACTTTCACGCGCCAATACAATCTCAATGACCACAAGAACAATTGCCCGGTTCAGCAGCAGTAGATGTGAGATCTGGTTTTGACTTTCTTTCGCATATGCTCAACTAATTCGTGATTTCAGTGTCATTTCGATAGTCTCATAAGTTTGGGTAGATGCCGGAAAAAGGAACCATATGGTGGATATTCAATGGTGTTCGAAGCCTTCATACTTGACTCGCTCAAATTATTTAATCTTTCTCGCTTCGGTTCGTATGTGTATACTCGAGCTCCATGATACTTATATCGATAATGAAATGTGTCAGTTATCATATTCAAATCGCTGCATTACACGACAGCGGTCGTCCTAAGAAATTGCACATCATTAATTGATCTCTTGGCAGCCTGCCTCGTTTACACAGTCTTTGAAGTAATACAATGCGGGTAGAAGCCTTCTGTTCATAGCTCCACTATCGTCATGTCCGAAGTATTCGGACTCTCTCATATCTGACCACGAGCGTCAATACACTTAACCGGAACGCGCACTTCGTTCAACGGTCCGTCAAATGACTCTAATTGACGTTTGCGTCCACGTAACAGACGATCAATATTCTAGACAGATCGAAATCGATCATCAGGATCATGGAGTAGGTAACTGAAATCAAGAACTGGCAAAGACTGATGGCAATGTTACGGGAAACGTTCCGGAAGATAAGTCAACAGATAGTCATCCCTTTCCGATTATTATGAGTTGATGGTACCAGTGATTCTCGCATCAAAACAATGCGTTACTAGTAGTATAGAGCATGTTCATGCTAATGATACTTTTGCGGGCTTCGGGCTAGATAGACAACTGGAGGTTGTAGTAATGGTGGGCCGCCGGAGGCTAGTTACTGGTGTTAACTATGTTCACCGTCATACATAGAGATCAGTGTGATTTTTTTCAGCTCAACCCATGCAAGGCTCTGACGGGCATGTCTATGGCACGATATACATGTTGTGGACATCGGGAGAGCAGAAAGTCATATTGCCGTGCGTTTCACGCTTGGTGCTTACTTCCACGATTAAAATGTTCGAGTTCAAGCATTCAAGTTCTATATATAATTCGTGGCTGGTCCTTGTAATGCTAGCAGGGTGTTTCAAGGGTCAGCACCGCTCGTACCAAGTGCCGTGCGAAGACCTAGGTCATATACCCATTATCAGATACTTATGACAGTGGCCCTGGACACCAACTTCAACCCGCAAACCCTGGTCGGCCACCATACTTCATAAGTCGTTCACCAGTACCTCTACCTGCCAATGCAACGGGCGACTCTGAGAGGGCTAATCAATTAAACCAGTACTTTAAAATTCTTTCGAAGACAGACCTTGTCCGCAGAGCGTACTACTTACTAGGCAGGACCAAGCATACGCGATGTTTGAGCCAATGCCTTACTACGAGTAAGTACTGCATGTTTTCGATTACCGACCACATGACGAAGTTCGAAGACGAACTTGTTGAAAGCTGTAAGCTCTGGATGCATGCGCTTTCCTATGAATCGCCTACCTCTGGAGAAACCTGTGACAGTGTGTACTGATGAAATCCTGTCCCATCTGCTTTAGCCGGTGACCGTGGGTGAGGCCATTGCGCTCCTTCGCGCCCTTTGTGCCACGCCCATGATGGTATTGCCGACTCTTGAAATGGAGCTCCCGTGGTAAGTTCTTTCCCTTGTTCCTCGCTTGCGGTCGTAACGCCATTCTAGTATACATGACTGGATCAAGTCAGGACAGAAGATAAAAAATTCATTGGTCATCGAAGATTCACGACGCGAACCTGTGAACTCAGCTACCTGCGTGTCCGAGTTGCTCTGCAGAGTGGGGATAATTGTTTGCAGAGGTCTGGGCATATGTACATTGATATAAATTTTGCATCTTCAAGTTCGTGCTGGCATAATATTAATGATATTCATGGGTGTTTTTTCAGAGGCGCACTGAAGTTCGGATGTTACGAAAGCATTAAATTGTCGTTCGTCGACCAGGCAGGAATACCCTCTTGGTCTTTATAATGCTTCAGATGCAGCCTCCTATAGGTGCTTGCACTAAGTTCACCAGGATGAGACCAAAGAATGACTCACTTAGATTAGTGTCACCTTGCTCCAACCTACTAGTTTGCTATGCCTATCTCGGTCTGTCAACGAATTCGGTCCTAGTGGAGGTACTATATATGGATAGTGCTCGAACGTGTATTTGCGAGGACGTGTCACGAAGAGTGAGTATTTGAGTACTACTTGAGCGTGCGACGAGCAACTTCCATGGTAAATTGACGATCAAAGGCTTGAGCTTCAAGCTTCAAGCCTTGGTGCGCTCTGTACTACCGTTCGTCTGGATCTTCGTTCAATGAGTCAGGACCTAATGTTCGGGATTCGGAGTTGCAATTTGAATTCGAGCATCAACGATTGGGATGATGACAAATTTGCTAGTGTTGATTCAACATACTATGATCATGAGCTTAGGTGATCCCTTTGAGTCCCTTTGGCGAGCCTGTGACTCTGAAGACGGGTTATCGAAACTCAGAATTGCAGGTACCTGTTGGGCATCTTCCAAGGTTCGACTTTCTACAATCTTTATTCATTGATTGAGCTATGTGGCAGCCAGATGACGATGCTAAGAGCATAGGTTTCCCGGAAGTCTTTGCTGATTCTGCCCCGTGATACTTAGCATCGTTAACGCGCGCACGAGGGTCCTCTGGTTTTGCGTCCTCAGCCGTCACGGTCGAACACGATTGCTTTTCTCAGTCTCTAGAGTCCTTGTAATAGCATGGGTTTACTATCTGGAAGACAATCGGTCGGGTGGTTCGACGTCAACGAGGGGCCGAGTTCCAAAAAGAACTTTGGTCATTCTGACACCGTAGGACCGTAGAATTGCTTGCCTAGCGAAACCCAGCCAGAGGTCAAAGGTTGTTTATCCGCAAGGTATCGGATTCATAGTTAGTCTTGGATTCCTTATTTCAGCTAGGATCATCCATCAAGGATTCAGCGACGCTCACCCACAACCAGGTCTCCATCACTGCTATTATAGTACGAGACGATGCAGATTTGACGTACTACATTTTTGCAACAAAGGCTTGCGGAGAGTGTCTCTGTGTCACAAGGAGCATTATAGTGCACACAATTGCTGCGATATAATGGTGCGCCTGCCTATTAACAATTCCCGAGCTGATGAGGTCACTCGCTGGAGTTTCCTCGACGCCGCTATCCGATTGTCTTCATTGCCAGTAGGGCTACCAAAGTCAGTCATTCCAAGAACAGCTCGTGTTACGTGTGAGCTGCCATTGGCGTCTGACAACGCCAAACACTAAGTTTATCGCGCATTACGTATGTAGCCAACTTTTTTGTTTTTGTTTGTTTCATAGACTCTGATATCGCAACGAAACTATCGACCTTTGACTCAGATTTTTGGTCCGAAGGTGGCCCTTGGCCGGTTGGCGGACAGAAATTGCAATGGAACCTACATCCTAATCCTGACATGGCACGCTTGGCCATCCTCATTGTCGTCCAAACCATGTTTCCAACGACTGAATTCGATGCTTCTTGAATTTCTAAAATTCTGCGTACTCGACGGCATACATTCGCTTTAAGGTCATGCTGATGCGGCACCTGAGATACATATCTCATTGCTTCACTGTCCAGGCGCCATGTCTGACACCCGATACATCCCTTATCACTTCACCGTCCAGGTGCCATGTCCGACTCTCTCACACACGGCTGAGCTCTCAGCCTGGAGGGACTGGGACCGCTATCAACCGATGCATATGGTTTTGTCTACCAAAAAATGAAACGTTCACCGTCCAGGCGCATCCACCTGGCTCCCCGCCAGCCCACATTATGGCTTGCAATCCCTTCCAGGCTAGGATTCGGAGAGTTGGAATGGTGGGCCTCTTTGCACACTCCTCTGATATATAAGCACGCTCAAGACGCTCCAATACGAAGTGAGCACAACCTCAATACCACTATGGCGTATAACGATGGATCATCATCTGCACCAGGACTTGTAATTTTTGTCTTCTCACTGGATATCGCGGCGGCTGAATTGTTGTTTACAGGTGGCCCATTCTATCGACGAGTTATTCCTGTGTATGTGGGTTGTTGAGTGTGGGTTACGCTGCAATGAGTTGATACGTGGGCACGATACGTCGAAACATCTCCGAAATTGTCACGGAATTAAGGGCGCGGACGACTTGCGCGTCAGTTGCTGTTGGCAGGGCTGTAACATGGTGCTGAACAAGGAAGGCCTTACCCGGCATGTGCAAGGAGCGCATCTCAAGATCTTGTATCCTTGCGACACCTGCAATAAGATGTTCACGCGTACACACAACCTAGATGTGCACAAGAGAACCTGCTCCACCCCGCAGTAAATGTCAGGACTTTCTCCCCCGTATAGCCAATGCTGATTCTTCAATTTTAGGGGGTAATGGGTGATGTCGCTTCGATGGTGGTTTGGGGTTGTGTAGATACTGGAGCTCCTGTGCGTCTAAAACGGCCGGCAGGAACGGCGGACTGACGAGGGGAAACCTCACGTCGGGGCATTCGCAGTGACGGAGAAGCGGGGGAGACACAGGTGTTCTCTCTCCTAGAATGTCATACTATATAGGGCATACCAGGGCATACTACCTCAAATGGGCAAAATTTGGATTATTTTTGTTCAGACGCCGGGAGCGGGCTACACAGTGTTACAACATTTGTTTGACTAGTTGGTTCTCGCTTTCAATGTCGCACCGCGCATATCATCTTGACGTCAGTCAGTTTCTGTGGATTCATGTACCATATGCAACGTAAGTATGTTAATTGATATTCTGCAGGGTGGTAAGATATTTTAGTCCATATTCTGAATAGCAAATTAACAAGGTGAACTTATCGAATTGAATGTACGTATCAACAACGAGTACTGACATGTTGCCCATCCTGTCTCCAGGCTTTTGTGCGTGAAAGCGGCTTCTGTTCAGCTGGCATCAGCGGGTTAGATTGTGCTACAGAATGCTACAGAGCACTCTGTAGCACTCTGTAGTGAATTACGTTTCCCTGATGCCTGCTCTAGCATGGCGTCCGAAGCATTTGAACTCCTATCTGCAATCAATCAAGGTGCTGTCGTACGTGGAGTGTGCCTTTTACTTAGAACTACTTGATTTAATCACGAGCGGCACTGGCGCTATACTGGCGAGCAAATTGACGGTCTAAATTAGGCTTGGGCTTGCGTAGTAGACATTTGTTATTTTTGTTAATAAAAAATACCATTCATGATTGTGGCGTAGCTCGTTGAATTGATACCCTCTGACCTAGAGGCATATATTCCGGAAACCATGGAACACCAATGATTCGTATGGCGAAATACGTACCGGAGGTGTTTCCAACTGTATGGTATCACCACTGATATACTCGAGCAACATGACGGCGGCCCTCGTAAGGTTGTGGAGTGTTTCGTTGGAGTAAGCAGAATATACGGATAACATTTCCAGCTCCTCCAATTCGACAAGCCGAGGAGCGACAGTATTGATTTGAACGCAAGTAGCCTGCATTATAAAAAGCATGGACTGACAAGCCGAACATGGATAAATTCGGCAGCAGATTTATTCAGCTCTCTGAAGGACCAGACTGTTGCCTTCCGGTTGTGTATGAGCTCCATAAACTTCAGTGAATAGATAGAGATTGGCCCTGTTGCGAAAATGGGAAAGCCAGTGTTATCAATACGCCTTTTTACGTCAGATTTTTATTCGTGATCGGAAGGACACCTCGTAACGAAAGCTCCCGAGTCTGGCTTGCAGGGGACGGTAAGAACGCAAGATCGGCCCAGAAACGAGGCATTTCGAGTTAAAAGAGGGGCATCATGAAGAGATGAAGAAACGCGATGATTGTCCTGAAAAATTAGTATGATACATGCCAACCAAACTTCATGCACCATGGCCATCGTGTTCTCAAGAAGTGATAGTGTTCATCCGGGAGTTAGACATTGATGTGTCAGTCCTGTTAGCATTGTCCTCGTAGACCATCTCAAATTGTGTACGCCTGAAATCACTGAGGTTGTGTAAGCTCACTTGCTGAGTATTTAACGGCTACCTGGTGTGCACTTCTAGTAATACTGCTAAATCTTGAATCAATCCCATCATTCATGATGTAGCTGCTAGCTTACCTGCTACTGGTAGAACAAGATTCAAAGTTCTCTCGAAGGCGATGAGTACGGCTATGGACTAGGCAAAATCACCCAGCGAATTATAGATGTCTTGCGACTAACTCAGTGACTCGCAAGGAGCCGCTCGAGCGAGTCAATGGAGGTCCCAGTGCACAGCGATTGACTCGTTTCCCGATTGTGGGAACCGCCACATTTATGACCCTAACCCTAAAATCGTTCTCGCCGTTCATTGTGGTGCTTAAGCTTGGGTCCTTCCATGACCCCGAGATCAATATAATTGAGGATGCCTGTCCAGTCGCTGCAAAACACAGATGTGATCGTTCCTCAACATGCGCCTCACCCACTCCTTCCATTTCTTCAATCCCAGTCACAAACCACGTTAACCCGCCTCTATCAACGGCCATCATCATGTCTTTCAATATTTAGGTGATGTATCATTGAATTGTATGTATGCTTAGCTGATATCTTTCTAGATTGCTCGGGCCAATTGAGCGGCAGCTCATAATGAACCTACTCTGGCTGGAAAGTGCCCTCTCCGTAGCGACGATGTCAGCTTGGGTCCTTCCTGAGGGAAAGAAGTGAGTTTCTGTGGGTTGTGAGCACTTCGGACTAATAAATATGCACCTAGCGCGTATGATTCCGCCCTTACTGTCATGACTGGACTCCACATCGCCCCAAATTCGACTGTTAAATTGGCGCTAAACCCTACATTCAAATCTAGCCTGAGGCAAGCTATCACAGGAGGGTGCGTTGAATTATAAATGAAGCACATTTCTCATGCCAACGAATTTCTGAAGAGGTAACACGGGAAGTTTTGGAGTCCCTACCGACAAGGACGGCAAGCGACAGTCAGCGAACATTGAAAACTTAGACGCATACGCTCTCGAACGATGGGAGGTAGGCTAGTGACCGACTGGTGAAAAGTAATCTTACAACTTCGTAGACCATCCTTCACTATATGGTGTCGTCTGGTCAAGGTCAAAACCCCACCAAGCCTTCCCAAGGAGTTTTGTACCTGCTCCAACGAAGTGGTTTGATGAACAACGCTCAGTGGGTGTATATGCGTGGAGGTTTTTTTTCCCTCCTCTTACATTTTGCCAATAGCGGTGCAGCTCTACAAATCACTTCCTCGGGTTTCCAGTTCCTCCTCCACTCACCTCATGATCAACTTTGGAATCTACTATTACAGTACTTGCACATGGCGGAGGTACGCTACCGCCTGATAGGAGGCGTTTGTGATCGGTGACGCTGATGTGTCCCTAGGAGAGGCAAATGGACCTTGTGGAAGTGCTTAGCTTTCTATTCATGCTGTCAACCATGGATCTTGGTCGGGTGAGGCAAATATAATATGGTCACGTAAGTAACTGAAGAACCGCCGTTCATTTGATACCAGGAATATTCGACAGAGCCCTTGAGCGAAACACAGAAGGCAATGCTTGAAGACCTTCGAGACTATGGGCTTGTGTGGCAACGTAAGGTATAGAGCCTTCTAATTTTACCATCTTTGGCACATTTCACTAAATTTATTCCATTGCCATAAGACTTCATCAAAACGTTTCAGTCCCACACGATTAGCAACAACTTTGACTTCGTCGTCACCTCCCTTACCGAGTTCGCATTCTACCGGCGGATCTCGTACGGCGGACGGTACAGGGGCGGTTGCTCTAAGTTCAGGGGCCGCGCAACAAGGCTTCATTGTTCTGGAAACTAACTATCGGATATATGCGTATACAGGTATGTTACCTCTTTTTTAACCTTTGGCATTTGAGTTTACATGTCTTCGGCGGTGGAAGACAACCCCTTGCAAACAGCTGTCCTTAATTTGTTCATCACGATGAAATACCGTTTTCCGAACTTAGTTGTGGGAATGCTCACCCGTGAAAGTGTACGCAAGGCACTGGGCAATGGAATCTCGGCTGACCAGGTATCAAAACGTTCTCTTCTGATTGTAGTCAAGTTTGGGTAATGAGCCTGATCACCGCCGACAGATCATTAGCTACTTAACGACACATGCACATCCACAGATGCGCAAGAACGTCAGTACATATTCATCCTCACAGATTGATTTCGTTGCTCATTGTCCCTGAATAGAACCCCCTTTTACCTGTGACTGTACAAGACCAGATAAGGCTCTGGGAGCTTGAGAGGAATCGGCTGAAATCTGCAGAAGGTCAGGATTGTGTTTTCGTACTGGTGGTACTCTTCTCACGCCGGCCAAACCTCAAATTAAGGTTATCTTTACAAAGACTTCGCGTCGCAAGCCGATTATGAATACGTGCTAGCGTATGCGAAGCAGCTAGATGTTGTGCTTTGGGAGAATGCGGCCAAGCGATGCTTCTTTGGTACTCTTGAGGGACATGCTAACGTTAGAGGATTCATCGAGAGACGGACAGGATCAGTTTAGAGTCATTGCTTGTGGCGCTTATTACGTTTGGTTGTGTCATATATTACGACAAGTGTATTGCGTTCATGTATTAAGTGATCTATTAAAGTACCTATGACTCGGGACAGTAGCCACGACGGCGTTCATCTACCTATGCGCTAATACAACGTTAGCCAATACAATTAGGCGACAACGTACAGTATATGGCTACATGCATGATACAATACATTCCAGATGGCAGAGTGAGGTCATACAAGTCATCGCAAACTCAAACCACCATAGAAGTTTCATCTGCCTTGCAAAGCACAAATCCGCCCTCGTAGCCTAGTTGGTCAACTGCCGTGCCAGTTTCGCGCCAGCGCCCAACAAGACTACGCTCGTGTATGTAACCTTTGAATATCCAGCGTCCATGGTACGCGTGGGCAGCGTGTTTCTGGATCAAAGAATCAGTTAAAATGAATGACGCGAATCAGACCTTCTTTCACGTACCGACCGTCGCAGTAGAACAACGAAGCCATCCCATGGTCTTACTCGGCCAATGAAAGAGAAAGAACCCCAAGCCGGGCTCTCCCGATCGAACGTCTGTAAATGTTCACGGACAATCAGGCTCAATCAACTTGAGGCAAATTCAGGAGCTCTCACCTCTCCCGTGATGATAATGTCGGTGACACCACTAGTTCTTTCTTCAAAAACTTCCTCATAATCATCGTCCGTTTCGTACAGTGAATCCTCGCTTACAGCTGGCAATTCACAACGCCATTCGGAGCTCATCTTCGACGGTCTGGAGTAAGGGTTTTCGCGGTCAGCATGATATGTTTCATATCGTACGGTCTTCCCAGTCTCCGGATCATGCAATGTCAAGTTATCCTATTTATTGTGGTTTTTAATGCTGCACGAGACCCAATGCGGAAAACTTACGGCTCCATGTTTAATTTCCAGTCGACGGGGTAACCAAACGTTGAGGATATCCTCGCCCCACCCATGGGCTTCAGCAGGTGCAGAAATGGGTTCATCGGGGATTAAACAATGATGCTCTTTGAACACACAAGATATGCGCTCGTGTGCCCAAGTAACGCCCTGTACCGAGGGTCGGCGATTAGACATGTTGGCTTCGAAGTGAGCCTGCAGATATGGAATCTGATGCGGCAGGGTATGATTAACTTTCCGGGTGATAATATGGCCGCAAACGTACCAAAGCACGACCATTCCAGTGTCCAGTTAATGATCCAAGATGGTAGAAGATTCCTCGGAGTGGTCGATCCACAGCCCACGGATCATAGCATGATACAATTCGGAACCATTCACTATCAAGGCGCTCACTGCCAAGGCCGGTATAGTCGCCGAAAAATCTTGTGCGAGTGTGAAAGTGAAAGTCTATTATGTCTTCCTGCGTAAGCCGCGGAAGAGACGGTCCCATTGCAGCGGCCTGCGCCCTCGTCTCGGGAAGTTGCGCTACTGCGGATGGCAATGGATTATCATCTAAACGCACCTCCAGCCTGACCACATAGTTCAGGAGGGCAGCTGGTATCAAAGGCGGTGCAGCGAGCCTAATATTTCGACCATAGTGTACAAAATCGCGGGCGATGGGAAGCGGCAGACCTGTCGTACATGGGATTGCAACCTCGGTTTCTGCACAAAGAGGCAGATAGAAGAACGCATCAGGAGCGTACGCAGATGAGAACTGCACGTAATATTACACGTGGCACTCAGGGACAAACAATGAATTATGATACGCACTCGATGACCTTGGACAAGGAAAGGCTCAAGCCTAGTCAACATTTTATTGCGTGCCCTGGGGTCTTCATTCTTGACGCTCCCTGATGGGAATGTCAGGATATATGTATGAGTTGGTATTCCAGCAGCTGACCTTGGCTACTGCTCATCCAGAGGAGCCAAAGGATCAATGAGGTGCCTTCGTTATCGTTAACCCAAGAGAGCGGATGCTCTCGAGGAACTTGGCATTTGTCTTCGATGACATTTGCTAACCATATCGGAAGCTCTGCCCAGAGACACAGCTGGGCCATGTTTTTACCATCGTTTTCGAGCAGCATGAGATAGACTGCCCAAAGGTCCTCCTGAAGATGGGTAGAATTTTCCGCATTCTGACGACGCATGCGAGTCAGTATGGTACTGCGCTTGCGAAGCTCCTCGGACAAGCACTCGACAGTAGTACGTCCCCATGACAGGCGACGTATAACTGCAGCTGAGTCGAATTTTCGGCAAAAAATCTGAGAATATAGATGATGGTTATCGCGGAACCTGAGCGACGCATTGATAGTGCGAGAAGTGCACAAGAGAGGGATCAATTCCGACGGTGGTCCAATGAATCGACTTGTGACTAAGTAAAACGCGATACGTTCGAGTATGGGAACATCAAGCAGCTCAAATGGAGACAAAGAGGCGGAAGGTCCTGCGAGTATGCGTTGAGCTAGCATGTTGGGTAAATGTGCTGTTCGAGTGAGCCCTCGGGAATCGCAGAAGGGTATTTGAGTGTTTCATCTCAGATACCGGCGCCAATGGCCAAATACTTAAAGGTGATAAATCGACGTACAATGTGTGATCGCCGCGTACTTCGCATCTCTTCCCGGCTGTGGTGGGAGTCCGTCCCAATGACCACATCATTACGAGAACGCCGACAAACAGGTCCTGGAAATGGGATGGCGTCACGAGCAAGACAACATCAAAAGAAGATAATTGGAGATATCACGTCTGACCAACGGTCTTTTCATTTCAGGACTCTCTCTACGTGTATTGATATGGTGGCCCATCAGCGCCAACAAAAATCTGGAGAGATCTGGAGGCGGAGCCAAGTGAGATTGGCCTGAGATACACTGCAAAACGGACCGTTTTGGGGGACATGTGTCTCCCAAATAAGGCGGCATCCTTCATCGAACTCTTCCCAACGGGTACCTACAGACAGCTCATTCTGGTCCAAATGACTCCACATGGTCTGGTTCTCTATTGTTTAAGTGGTTGAAGTGGTGAGCAAGCCTAGTACTAACGTTGACGCTCGTTTGAGGAACAATGACTCGGAAACCAGCGTTCTGATTGGTGGAATTTCTGTGGAAAGACCCGGTTCAAAATTGAGTTTGGAATTACTGGCTACGCGCGGCTTTCTGAACGGTTTGATTTTCAGATGGTTCTCCCTTCTACCGGCCCCGTGATGCCAGCGGTGTACTACTAACGTGTCAAATGATTTATCTGATCAACTTTGAACAGACTCGTTCGCCGCGCACCAATCCACATTTCCGTATCTGTCCGAAGGATTGAATACCTAGCCATCGTTGTATCAATTGGTACCGTCTTCGTTATTATCTCCTGCGCTACTAGTAGTATCTGAGTCTGATCCGAGCCCAATTACAGTTCACGAGTGTGCGGCTGCCCGGCCTTTCATAACTATTAGTTCATATCCGCGTAAATTGCCCGCGCCCGCGGGCATCCATTCTTTGTGATCCACGGCAAGCGACTTCGTCACAGGTAAGTACCAGAGGTCCCACTTGTATGCCTAGGTATGCTCGCTCACGCGTTTCCATAGGGAACTGACGTTGCGGCATAGACCAACACGTAAAAATGATATCGGTGGCAAGGGATGAGTGTAGAAGGTTGCCTGTGATGCGCCCTCAAGAATGGTATTCGCATGCGACACTGCATCCCGGCAAAATTTGGAATGAAGGTGGTGACCCATATACCCTCATTGTCCCTTTCTCAAAATAGTGCCGCGTTTGAACGAAGTTTATTTGTTTTTCGACAAATGTTGTTTACGTGTGGCACCGCCCTATGCAGGGTCTCGGTGAATTCAGTATGGGTTCGTTGTATGATATCATCTACATATGTAAAAAATATGTCCAGGCGCTCGTCTCGTACCCGAAGGATTAAAGCTAACCTGGCGTTCGGAACTGTGGGCTCTTTCACAGGTTCGCTGGGCTTGCGCTGGTTCGGTGGACCAGTCTGCACCCGTGTGGATGGCTATTTGATGAAAGATGTCGGATTCGAAAGAAGATATCAGTTCGCCGTCCGCATTGATCCTATCATAGACTCAGAATCATACACAGCATAACTAAACACACTATTGTTGGTCGAGGTTTCCATGGTTCGTGGTTCGAATTCTGGGCAGTTCCAGGGCATACCGATAGATAATGCTGTAGTCCCGCCAAGTCACCGCATGTTTTGTTCCACAAGATCCAATGGCAAGTCACGAGGTGGTACGGCAAGAGCCTCTCGTTCTTCATGAATAGGTCACCTGCATAAGCTTCGCACGAGTGACGAAATCGACTGCGGACCTCAAATCATAGCCTTTTTCGTCCGTGATTGCGTTAGATATCATATCATGTGCTATTTAGGCATGCTCGCTATTGAATGGGTTAGGGAAACATGTTCTGGCCCAGCTAGGTAGACTTACTCTCGACCACATCATCAGATCTCTCATAGCCTCAGTAAGATCTCGAATGAACCACAGGGTGATCGGCGACTTCCAATGTGGCGATTGACCCCTGTTGTCGTATATTCAATAAGAATGAACGTGACCTTAGGAGTGATATCGCGACGATATGACTCACGATCAGGAACGATCTACGCGTGTGATCAAGCATTTTGCTTCGAAAATCGCATCAAAAGCCCACCGCAAACATTGTTGGCATCTAAGACTTGTCTTTGATGAGGAATATCTGCCAGTGGCAAATGACATCGGGATAGGCCGTAAAGAGGCGGGTGAACCTAGTCCAATTAGTTTCCACAATTGTGTCCGGTGCATGCCTCAAGATGGTATAGTACGTCCATGGCGCAACTGGCTGAACAGGATGGGAATCATCGCTCTGTCCATTAAGGCTCGACAAGAAACCATGACATCCGATATCACGCGGAGCTTCTTTCCTCCACACTCCTGATAACGAGGGTGCCTGCCTCGAGGAGCCTCGAGGCAGACGAACTTTTTGTTGGCACTTTTCATCCAAAACGAGCGCCAATCGATCAGCCAAACCAGTGTGGATTAAAGCGCAAGGCAAATGCGCTTTGGGGAGTGATGTCAGGGTGAATGAACTGAACGTTCGGTAGGAAGAGCACTGCTGAAAGATAGGCCGCGACGTCCATTCCATTGCGTCAGGATACAATTGGTTTCCTTAAATGGAATATTTCGCGTACAGCTGGCGATTGTCAGATATGATCTGTTGGATTCTCAGACAGATAAACTTGGCGGGGAAAGTCAAATCAAGTAATGCCAGTAGTTCGGATCTTTGTGGGATGTCGAAGATTTGGCTGGCGCCCAAGTTCCGAGTAGTAAAATTGAACGGAGCGCCCAAAGTGCACTAGGACAAACGAAGAATAGATGTTAGCAAGGTTTACTGCCATCCCCAGGGAAAATCCGGTAGGGCGGACTAAAACGGACACACTGACAGGCCAACGAACATGACGAGGAGCGAGCCACGCACTTGTGCATCAAATCAAGCTTCAGATCTTGAATTCGGAGTAGGGATCACTGGATCCGGTGACGTGAAGTTCGAGGCACTTCTGGAAAGCCAAAATGCAAACAATGATACCGGAACACGATCCGTGAATGATGTCAACGAAGTTTGCATCGTCTCCAAGGAAGCTTAGATGAGAGACAACATGCCGTCTTTCAGGGTGCAGTCAGGCTGGCTGGCAGGAACGGGCATAACGGGAGAGAGTTACATACCTGTTTACATGATTAAATTATTGTGAGAGTAAGTTAGATCCGGTTCGAGGCACACTCACAAAGCCAGAATTTCAACAAGCCTCGTAGGATACTTGTCCGTACAGCGTGGCACATTATACGACTCCCTGCTGTTATCGGTGCTTCGGATTCTGCGTTATGGCACTGTCGAGACACGAGGCATAGGTCGCACTCGTGCAGTGACTGATGGGACTAATATCATGTTGAGATGAGTAGGGACCAATCGGTCCAGGAGTGTCAACTATTAGTGCCAAAGGAGCACACGATCGGAGACGGAGGACAATGTTTCATTATCCTCAGAGTACAGCCTTGTGGTGATGAGCGCCACCATCATGGCTCACAAACGTTATGTCTACTAAAGTCAACAGAAGATCCGTCACAGACTCACAGTGCCCAACTAACGTCGTACCTCGCATGTAAATAAGTTACTCTGATGACCGCCCCCTTGGTGAGATTTATGACCGATCGCTAGAAATGACTTTGCCTGCGTTCAATTCTTCATGTGCACTTGAAACGCTGACACACACATGTTGTTCCTTTGAAATACAGCTTCATTATGCCTCAGCAGGGTCTGCGCACCAATGGCAATAGGGGCCACACACCTTCCTCTACCCTTTGGACTTCACGTTGTTGGCCCCTTCTTTGAGTGCATTGTGATTCACATTCGCGTTTGTTATCATTCGTTTCTTGGATGCTGATGTACGAAATGGCACAAAACCCGCTCTTTAACGGCAGTGCACACGACACTGACACAGGCCGACCCTTTACAGGGAGTCAAAACTGAAGTTGACTGTTTGTAGCCCAGTAATTTGATCACGGGATGGTTGAATCCTGTTCCTTGGATCGATACGGCACGAACTCCACTCCTTAAAGGCAGTGCACATAACACTGACACAGGCCGACCCTTTGCAGGGAGTCAACTCGAGTTGGCTATTTGTCGTATTTCTTCCCCAGCTGAGACTTGATCGCGTCTATCCTAAGTGGCTGGTAGTTGGAAGGTACCTATCAATACCGTAGCCAACTGGCACGAAGTGCTGATTGACGACCCAGCCCGCTGCCTGGTACACGTTCGAGCTGTGGATTCCTGGTCACTCAGGCTCAGTTAGCTCACGGCAAGCATAGTTGTGACAACCGTGAAATGGGTATTTTCTCAGCTAATAATCAGGTGAGCCATGATACCAAACCAGAATATTCAAGCACACGCGCAGCTGGCCACCACTAGTTTCCTACGCAGGCTCTCTTCTTTTGCATCAGTATTGAACCAATACAGGTGAGATTATGATACTTTGCATGCGGTAGTATCCATATACGCAATTTATCAGAATCGACGGGAAACCTCCATGAAAAGCGTTTATATGGTTCACACACGAAAAAATGGCAAACAAAATTGATAGCCAATGACTGATATAATTCTACAAAGACAAGGCAACCACCAATGACATACAAACAGGATGACTGAAACCTGGAAAGATCATCAGTATTGGATGATCAAGATGGAAACAATGCACGCTGCGCCGTGTGAAAGATCAGACATCCTGGAAGGACTGCATACCCTCATTGCGCCGACCCCCACCTCCCGTTCAGCACACTACAAGGACGGCCCACGCTCGACTGTGCTTTTGGGTTCACACAGCGAGGGGGAATATAAACGTTCGGTATTGGGGGAGTACTCCTGGCGGAGGGCGCTAAAGTGGAAACTGCGAATAACGGAAAATTTTCATCGTGCATGGATAGGCGCAACGATACAAAATTTGAAAGTAAATTGATTCTCACCTTGAAACAACTGCGACGCGTTGAACGACGACCTAAAAAAGGCTGGAGAATTGATCAGAACAGAACGTTTAGAACGGGTAGATTAAAGTGAAAAGAATCAGACAAAATGGCACTGGCAAGTACACTGTGCGCTCCGGAGAACGCGTGTTCGTTGCGAACGAACAGCTCTATTCCTCGGCATGGTCGTGTAGGACGGGGAAGAGAATAAAGTCATCCGTTGGATAAAAAACAATAGACACAGTACTTACAGAACATGAGGCAGATGAAGAGAAGAAAAAGATCAGCCACCAGAAGAATTTATACACTACCACAATTTGGCAATTGTTTGGCAGTGGCCCGTGCACCCATTATGCTTATGTAACACCCATATATGCTTTGTGAGCTACTAGTGGCACCGATGCTTAACCTAGAACGACGACAAAGTCCATCAGGTCCTTAACATTGCCGTTCCAGATGTCCCTAGCAGAGGTTGAACATCCAATACCTGCCATTCCGGAGCAACGGGGCCGTGAATTTCCTGAAATCATCGACGTTGACCTCTTCGATGTAGAGGAGGTAGCTCGAATCGGATCGAGACCACCTACTCAGAGAAGAAGGGTATCAGAGAGTGGTCGTTCTGTGACAGTCGAGCCAGAGGTTATAATAATAAATGACAGCGATGATGAGGATGTACAGTTTGTCAGGGCCATGCCTGCTCCCAGATCTCACAGTGAGTCCTACGCATCCATTTCAACATGTCTTCCTGAACGATTGTTAGGAGCACGCATTTTTTCACCATCGCCTCCACCACAAATTGCCGCGATACCGCCGGTTCCGCAGATACCGCGTAGGTTTATACCCATGCGAAGAAGACCGCCCCCATTTCCCACCGCCCCTGGGTTGGTGATCCCCAACGCCGAGCCTTTTCCATTCGAAACGAACATCAGACTCACCCCTGCGCCCATCGAGCGTCCTCCGGCACCTGGTCCTGCCGCCGCGCCATCTCATCACACTCCTGTAATGGGTTTTGGCGGCGCACTGCTTCAACGCGCGAGAGCAGCTTTTGAGCAACCCCCCGCACGATCACATAATCACGACCGCCGACGCCGAGTCTTCGGCATCCCAGCGGATGTATTCATGCAGTGGAACCCTCTAGACTTCTTTGGTCATGAAGAAGACGAACTCTATGATGATGATGGCTTCCGTCACTATCAAGCTGCAGATTTTCATGATGAGCCTGGTGACCGGCTGATGCGAGGTGATCTCCGCCTTTTCAACGCCCATGCCCCAGGGCGGCCTTCAGAACCTGATTATAAACCGGAGTATACCCATCCGGTGAAGCCCCCATCTGGCTTTACGCATGACTTCGAGTTATCGTCTATGACATCTGCGCGTGTTATTGACATCGATAGCCCCGGTTCCTCCAGCTCAAGCAGTAGTCGTTCTGGCGAGACTATGCTCACCTGTCCTCGGTGTCATGACCCATTGATGCTAGGAGCTGCGGACGTTTCTGAGGACAGAGCAAAGAGAAGATTGTGGGGTTTAAGATGTGGTCATCTTTTGGACGGAAAATGCGTGGAGGAATTAATGAAGCCGACACCTCTTGTTACCCCGCACTCGCTGGACACTGCTGATGTGAAAGGCAAAGGCAAGGCAAAGGAGGAAGATGAACTCGAGTTACCTGGCGCATACCTCACCCGCTCTGTGAAAGGTAAAGGCAAGGAGACGGATGGCAACATGTTTAACATCTTCTGTGAACCTGATTTCTCCTCTATTCGCTCGCGGCTTCGTCCCCGTCCCCCCCTTCCACCTCACCCCTCTGGACCTTTACCCGCTGGCCCTGGCCCATCTCGCTCCCGAGCTAGAGCTGCTCCTCGCCCGCCCGTGAAAGCGAAGGCCAATGGGAAGGGCCGAGCCAAGGTCCCCAATATAGAAGCTGAATATGAATGGACTTGTCCCGTTGGCGGATGTGGGCGCGTTCATGTGAGCCAGCTCATCGACGGGCAGTGGGTCATGGACGAGAAGAGAGGGGCTATCACTGTCTTCGTATGATACAAGGCAGTTCTCAAGCTGTGGGTTCGAATTGTGTCTTCTTGCTTGTCGATTCTCACTTCATCTTGATAGCATTAGCGAATTATATACCATGACACGCGCATTTTCCCACTCGTGGACTCGTCGGTCCAGCATTACAATTTTGACTCGCACCCATCAAATTACATATTTATTCTCACCTGTATAGGTTGTCCCGTCCTCGGATGTTCGTACCAGGTGCGTGCATCTCTTAAACCATTTGTGGGATTAAGCTTTGCCACGAGCCTGAATTGCGTTCGGGTAAGCACTTCCAATTTTAAGGGTGTTGCTTTCTCTGCTTTCTCGAACCACCTAAGAGGACCAACCGATTGGGCCACATGCAGATAAATTTAGCAATTTCAACACCATGTAATCGCTTTACCACAACCGCCAAATGACTGCATAGTAGGGGGGGCGAGTCGGGCGACCCAGCTTTGTGGCTGTTCAGTGTTTGCATTACGTCAGACATGTGTGACCTGGCATGCCTTTTGCGCGTTGAGCTTTCCGAGGCTTGGTGGAGGCCACGATGTCGCTCGGAAAGGCCGTCAAGCATGCTCCAAACACATGCCTTCGAACGATCAGCGGCCACAGTTTCAGTCGCGTGATCGATATGCCTGTACTCGCTTCACTGATGGGCCTTGATAAATGCAACCTCTCCGTGCCACACTCGTGCTTGTGATTCAGACTAATTGTTCAGCTTGTTCAGACGTCGGCCTCGTGGAGTTAGTTTTTTAAGTAGAGCTCTAGAGTTTCAGATACCCCGCTTGCTCCCGCGCACATTCGAGATCGCACTAGCGACGATATCTCAAACTTTACATGGCCCTCCATCCCCTTTGCATGGACCCATCAGCAACTCCGCGACGTTATCTTCGTAGGGAATGGAAACAAAATAAGCCCGTGAGTTGCATTCATATATCGATGAGGATCATGATCACTCATCGTGAATCTGTGCTCACCAGCACTTGCATGCATCCGATTCGCTACCTTCATTGCACCTCTGTCCGAATCGGCCTCTCTTTGTCTGTGCACGATGTGGCTTTTCCAATACGCTCATCCCTATGTGTCTCTGGTGTACATGGAGTTCCTGCAGCGGCAAAGAAAGAGTTCGAGGAGAAGTTGCCGAGACCGCGAAGAATAACCGCACCATCTAAGACTACTTCTCAATTGAGAGGCACAAGTGAGCGAACGAGAGTCAAGTGCATACCAAAGAGGATCTCGGCTGATTCCACAATATCGAGCGCTGGTCCTGTGACTCCTCAAGGTGACCTCATGTTCTGCATGGAAAGCCTTCAGGTGCCTGGAATTACGGCAGTGTTGGACTCGTGTGACAGCGAGCTCCCTTGTTCACGCAAGCCCGATGTTGCACGGATAGCTGTGGGTGATATTTCCAATGACGAAGTCGATTCCCAAGGAGATGGCGGCGGCATACTACACGACGTCACCACAGCAACACCGATTTTGGTAAATATTGCATGCCGTTTGATACCTCATAGAATCAGGGTCGTATTGCTGACCCTTTTGTTTATTCTTTTCGCGCAGTCATTGTGCCCTTCGACGGCTCCCACCAGCGCGAAGCAGGAGCTTCTGGATGGACCATACAAACACGAAACCGTGAAGAAACAGTCGATACGACACCGTCGAAAACTACCCGCTCTTTTTCTTGCAACATCATCGTCCGCGCACGCACACGACACCCTTCACGACCTGTCACGCAAATCACTCATGATACAAGAAACGACTTCACGCTCGAACACTAGTTCCGTTTTGATCGATGCACCTCACGCCGCTGGCGGCGACGTACGCCCTGATGGTGTCTCTCATGCTCGCGCTCTTTCCTTAGTATCCGTCGTATCACTTTCAGAATCCTCACAATGTTGCCCGAAACTACGGAGGAAGAAAGGCATACCATCACTCAAGCGCATGTCATCACTCTCATGTCGGTCAAGATCACAACAGTCTTCCCCCGCCATTGATGATCGTACTGAATCACCTGCGCCACATACAGTGCATGTGGCACCAACATCCTCTCCTGCGCCTTCGACTCCTGTCAGCGCAGAACCTCCTGTCCGAATCGGCCACCCTAGCCGGCCGTACTATACTGTCATTCGGAAAAACATGTCTCGACCCAGTACCGCTGGGCATCCTAGCTCCCTCGCACGCACGCCCTCCCCCATTCCATCTGATTACGATTATGCACCACGCGCCACGAGATCTCTTGACTGTGGGGAGCGTGTATCAATGCAGTTCGGCCGAGATTCACGGCCCATGTCGATGGTTCTCCCTGGACAAGTGGTACCTGTGAACCTGTACTCTGGGTTCTCATTAAGCGGCGAGACGGAGATGCGGATGAACTTGGCGAGATGGCGAAAGGAAGATGGTCCTGATGAGCCAGGGGACTACTTGTTCAAGGAGACAGGTCACCGCGGGAAAGGGATAAAGGGCAGGGTGAGGAAGCTCGGCAAGGGCTTGCGAGATCTAGTACTCGGCAGATCGTGATGTGTGTACGAACAGCTGTAAGAACAAATCATGTCACGATATATGTACCCATCCTGCATACCCATCACCCGGCTTGTCTCACTTGCGTCCAGCTTGTTGAACTTAGATAGAGAGACCTGTCAAAGAGCACAGCAGCTACGTATTGACACGTGGTTGTTGTTTTTTATTCATGTGATCTGGGGAGAGCGACACGTTATCACGCGCACGAATAGAACTAAAACATTGATCGCGATCATCATCAATGGAGCTCAGAAGACCATTGTTCCTGTTATCCGTAAGAGCTGCTACGTTTCAGATAAAAGTAACGAGAGAGTGCTTCCCAGGTGTTTTCACTGGATTTCCGTAAGCTTCCAAGTCCGTCAGACTCCGTCTTACCGGCATTTCAAGTGCTTGCACCTCCAATGCACACAGTTGTGCCACGGTAACTCCTTGCACAGCCTACCCTTAATTCTCATATACTGCTCTCTCAGCCAACTTTATTTACTGTATTTCCTGTGCAGTAGCTTGCAACTTCCCAGCATCAGCTTGTTACGACTTATATCATCCCCATCATGATTGAACCGAGGATCTTCGATCAGAATGACGAACACCTTGATGCGTCGGAACCGCCCAAGACCCATCTTTTACATCCACCAGTGCTGCGAATAAACACCAATACAATATTGGACACGAAACATGTATGTAATAATCAACTAGACAGAAGCCCTTTGATTCACCTCACTCTCACTGCCAGGAGCGTACCAACACCACAGTTGCACCAAAGGACGCCATTTCTCCAGATATACCGGCTAACGTATACTAGTACGTGTTCTTCACGTTCTGCACAACCGCATCTGAACAATACATTGCTGCAACGCTTAGCGCACCTAATTCTAGCCGCGCATGTGGCAGGCCCAGTTTCATCATAAAGCCTAACCGCTCCAATAGGACTACTTCTATATGTGGATCCCCTACGGACTCTTTACGTCGCCAACGGCGCTACTCCATAGCGGAACAGGCCTTGGAGCATGCACTTAAGAGTTGCACAAGCGAACGGTCCCCTCGAGAACTTCAAATTCTTGCTTTGGAAAAAGCCACAGCTGTACTGAGTACACGTGCGAATGAATCCAGAGACCGTGCTGCCAAGTTAAGGGTTTGTCTCGCGGATAGAGAGGTCGATCCCGAGTGCTACGCTGCCCTACAATCGGATCGCTGGATGGAAGAACGACGGCAGTTTGAAGCAGGCCGTGAGGTTCGCCAATTGAGTCAGCATTTGGCTTCACTCAAGTTGAAAGGGGGCGTGCCGGAGCAAGGAAGGTTTGACGAGAATCTTCCAGTTACACCCCTCGACAACGAGGCAAGGCGCCGGGCTAATCTTGTTAGATTTTTCGAACGATCCCCCACGAGGACATCATTTCACATCCACCATAAGTGCAGGCCTTTTTTTGTCGACTGCACCTTCTCACGCCGGATAACCATGAGCGACATCTCGCCCCTTCGACTCCGTCCGTCGACCAGTGTCACTCGGAGGTTCACAACACAGAATGCCCGTCCAAAATCAATTGGTGATGAGTCATCTGTTCTTCCCAGATACTCCAGCAAATCACGGGTCGCAAGTGGGCCATCTAGACCTTCCTCACTAGTTAGAAATATGGGTCCTTCCAATGCCGAAAAAAGTTCATCTTTGTCGCGGTCATCGACCCCTTCATCTCGCTTGGTCTCATTTAATGAACTCACCGATGACGTGATGACTTCCACACGGCCATCGACTCCTCCGTTATCCATTGCATCGACATCTTCAAATGGGGTATCACATGTATCAGAGACGCCGCCACAAGCGCCTTCAGGAGGCGTGGCGACAATTTATGCGAGTTCTTCACCACGCTCGCATATGGAGATCCTTGCAGAATTAGACGAGGACTCGGTCTGCGTGCCTGAGTACGCTGTGAACCTATTAGAGGGGTTCGATCTCATTCACCACGATATTACTCTTCCAGAGAGAAATCTTTCCTCAAAGCCGAGGGAAGAGGAGCCCGCAGCAGGAGTACCCCGTCCATCGGAAGAATCGGACACAGGGCCTTATACCTCATTCGCTCTCCCTCCGTTCCAACCGGATCCATTATGGTCCCATACATCACTCAATGCGCCTTCCACACCCCGGTCCCACGTACCAACACTGCATCCTCTTTCTTCTGGATCATCAACGCCCTCAGGCTTGAGCACGCCGACGGGGACGCGGCCCCCTGCGCCGTCCTCACGGCCACACTCGCTCCTGTTTCTCATGCGGAAGCGCAAGGACTTACAGTACAGCCCAGCATCATCAACATCGTCAATGACAAACCCAGACGGAGACAGTGCGCGAGGGTCGAAGCGGCGATTTACGTTGTTCGCGAGGAAGTAGATGGACATGATTCGCGTTTTGGACTTGAACTGCATGTACTTACGGATTACGCATTTTTTCCAAGTGGATGACATTTAGTGCCTGTGAAGTAGGGCGGCTACGGATGGACCCGTGGCACAGTGGTAGCGCGTGAGATTCCAGAGCTTTGGCTTATATCCTCAAGGTCATCCGTTCAATCCGGGTCGGGTTCACATTTTTTACATCAGGGAGCAACGTTGTCGGAGGTGAGCGGCTTTGCATGTCACATCTACTATATCACATAGATGAATGCCTTGCATCATAGAAGGGCTATATATGCAATGGGAAGCCGCTACGTAGTGATATGTTGCAAAGCCTGCAGCTGTCATGTCCCAAGTTGTCTATATTACCGCTCGCTGGTTGATAGGTATTAATTGACAAGCCCGCCGTCTGTATCCTCACCCAACACACCTGCTTCGAAAGCTTGCTTTATTTGATCGACCCCCGGGTCCCGGCCGGTGCTGCAGCGCTGGGTGAGCAGTCAAGGAATGGTCAAAGAAATCTCGCGAATCAAATAATAGATATACAACAACGTTTTGCCGCCTGGTTAAGGGGTGCGGTTCTTGTTATTATTAGCCACATAGGTGGATGCCATGCATCGTAGAATGCCTCTATACACACAAGAGAAACGGTTACATGCACAGTACTCCAAAGCCTACTGCCACGACCCGGTTTTAGCTATATTTTGATTCGTTAACCCGTCGCCGTCAACGCCGTATGATGATCAATTGTCGTTTCCAAATAGCCACGCTGCCTGTATCCGGTCGTTGCGGTCCCCATTCGAACTTCGATATATCCTGCTTGTTTCTTCGACACCTCAAGACCCCGATACTGAGTGAGTTGTGAAAGCAATTAATGACCGAAAAAATCTAGCGAACTAAATTTAGTGTACCCGCCTGCCACGGTTTGCTTTATCAAAACATCCCCTAAACGTCTTCCATAAACTTTGATTGACCACTATCGATTGCAGGAGTGAACCTGCGAGGGAAGCTCCCGCTCGTACATTCTTCGTTCACCTAATTATAGGTTGCTTATCGCCGGCGTGTCTGAGATAGACCAGACGGGTACCTAAGTACAATATTCAATTCACTTACAGCTCACCGGCATTGTCCTGTCAGTTCACACCTGCGACTTATCTGCAGGTTCTCGTGTTTCTCGGTCTCCTTTTGACACTTTTCAATAGATACGGTATCGGATTTTAGATATAGCAGCAGCTCGGGTGCTCACCTTGCGTACACGTTTGGTCTGTTAGTTATTTGGTTGAAATGAAATCCGCGTTGTCGGGTGCATCCTAAATTGATGGGCCTGGTTTGCGATCAATCAACTCACACCGACAAGTTTGATACTATCACAATTGAGACATAGGTATTGGTTATTCCCGAAGCTGACGTGTGCAATCAAGGAGCGCTCAAAAAGGATAGCTCCAATTAGCTGTATGTCTCATATAGTGTACCTTAGATATTCATTACTCAAGGTTGCATTGCAGATGAATAGCGGAGCTCACCTGTAAAGCGGACTGGTATCGCCCATATTCTGGAATTCAGTATCCTCTATCGTCAGTAATGTTTTCTGCCAGACACTGCGCTTCTTTCTGCTTGTTCAGCCGATTATAGTCCCACATAGCGAAGAGGCTCATTATGATCCTGTTACGAATTGTATCAGTATGTCACAGTTCGGAAGACTACCAACACATACGAAAGAGAAAGGAATCCCATGATGGTGCCATGCCCGATGTGGAAACGTGGCGGATCGATATAAATGAAGGAGGAGCAAATACTGAGACTAGCATGAGCGGATGGACATTGCATATTTATGATAACAGAACGCACCCTCCGAGATTACCAAGGCCAATGACCATTGCTAGTACAACTCCACGTTTTAAATCGCCTCCTGCATTCGAACCTGCCCAAGCCAGAGCAACTGCGACGGTCGGATAATCTCCCGCAGCAGCTAGACAAGCTCCGACGTACGACGGGCCCGCTCGTACGCTGCAATATAGCAAGATGTATCCAATAAGAGACACAAGCGCACCGCCAATGATGAACGGCCCACGAAGGTTGTACTTGTCAGAATAAATGCCAAATACTGATTGTCACAATACAGCCAGCAACAAATGGTGGGACTGAGAGTAGCTGGGCATTCGCAGCAGAGTAGCCAAGCTCGTTGATAATGGTTGGCGAAAAGAGGGCAATGGCATAACCAGGGACGAGTAACCTGAGGATGAACTCAAATCTTGTACGCGAGATGACAGGAGAACCATGTACCCTAAATAAATGATAATTTGGACATAGGTCTTGTAATCTTTTATGGCTTGCCAGATGAATTGAGTGTCGAAGCGAGAGGAAAGATTATTCGAATCCTGTTTGAGAATATCTATGATGCATAATCTCTCTGGCTCGGTCAAAAATTTGGCCGTTTCAGGATACTAAGTAGTCGAAATCAACAGGTGAAATGCCCAGCATAACCGCGAACTCACATTATGCATATAAAAAAAGGAGAAAAGCGCAACGAGAACAGTGGCTGATTGAAGTCTAAAGTGAGCACCTGAATCGCTTTAGATCTGGCACGACTGACTAATGCCCTCCAAGCAGAACTAGCAAAGGGTATAAATCAGTAAATTTTCGAATTGAAAACATGCAAGCATACAATCCATTGCCAACCATGCAGTCCTCCGACCCTGATTGGTGAATCAGGTGACAGCTGATAAGGAAAACAACTTGCTTACCCTTCCATCCGCTCGATACCATACCTGTATACATGAAACATGTAGATCAATGCGTGTTGATGGGAAAATGAAGCGACTTACGCAAGGAGCCCACCGAAGGCGCCTACGATCAAACAGAAGTTTAAGCAAAGATAGATTCCAACGCAAATCAAAATACTGCATACCTGAGACTGATGCTGCGGAGAAGAATATAGCAATACGTTTGACCGCTCCGAACGTGGATACCAAAGGCAGATATAGTAATTTACTCCAGGGAACAATCCTGCTTCTGCCAAACCGAGGAACGCTCGAGCTCTGTCGTTACGTTGTTATGTGTTTGTCTCCACTATGCAAATACACTCCACGTACACAACGAGAGATTGGTATGATTTGACGAGGCACATAAGGGTCATCACAATACCCCACACGACCATGATAGACGGTACTGGATAAATATTAGGTGGCGAGAAGAAAAACAAGCAGATGTAAGCGTACTCCAGCGCGATGGCCTGAATAGCTTGAGTGCGATGTTCCTATACAGACACTGAGCACAGAAACCCTACTCTTGATGTAATACATACGAGGGGACCTCAGCAAAGCTGTACGGGATCTAAAGTAACTCAGTAACTGATGGAACATGCGTGATACACGACGCACAAAAAAGACAGCTGCGGCGATGTTGTATCTGAAGCCGGTCAAGTTCAGATCTGTGGCCATTCCAGCAACCTTCGCATTTCCTAGTGATGGTCTCAGCTGGCGATCAACAGGAAGTATGCAGTAGATTACCTACCAACATTGGACCGGTCTCTGGAGGCAGTGTGTAATGTGGAGCGATATCAAACAGTACAAGCATGCTCACAAGAATGACAAGAGGTAAAATACCGTCACGAAAGGTAACAAGTGCCAATCGATCTTGCGCAGAATGCGCGCTTGTTCTCTTGGATTCAAGACAATTTGCTTTTCGGAATTGGACTCGACGCTATCGTTGCGTAACGAGCCCATGGTGTCCTAGGTGATAGTATGGTTTGAAAGGAGACTGATTGGAGGCGATTATCACAATAATATCGGAAATGTCCTGAGCGTGCCGACAAGTATGAAGATAGGTCAGGCTCGCCAACCTTTAAACCAATACCCCGGGCGCGTAGGATAAATGTTACATATGGATGCGACCGATCAAGGGCGGTGATATCTTAGGCAAGTATACGGCATACCTACTTATGTAAAAGTCTTGATGGAGGCTTCGATTGATCAAGATACCGCTGCAACAAAGGGAACGGTGCCTTGCATAGTGCTGTGTTGAAAGTTGATGTAAGATGTAGACATAGTACGAATAGCCGAGAAATTTGTGTTTGAGGTTGTTTTATTGATATGCGAGCGAGTGATGTTGGCGTTGTTAGAGAGCACCACGACATTCCACAGCCTCTAAAAGTACATTTGAAAGGGAATGCCAAAGCGCTGTAGAGCGGTCTAACCTAGTGAGGCCTAGTTTTCACTGATACACATGTTACAGTGAACGTTGACACATAACAGCGTACTTCTGAGATATATTGATCACGTGTCCTCTTCCAGTCGACATGATTTGAATAGTCTTTGAGCAGGCGTTCGAAGTGAACCTCTGACCTTCTACACTTCCGGGTCTGTTTTTACTACCGGCACTATCAACTTCAATCCTGATAAGCCACACTCAAGCTGGTCCGAGTCACCGCCAGGCTCGCCCTCAAGATTCACAGTGACTTCGGGCAATATGCTCCGTCCGAGTCAGCTCCGCACACCGACCGAATACGGCTGTGATGCATATGGAACTCACAACGTAAATTCTATTCGTCTGACGAGGCATCGAAACCAATCCCAGGCAGTGCGCACCAGAGCCCGCTGTGCCTTTGATACTGGCGATTGTGACGATGGTGAGTGTGTTCATATGCGGTTGGAGCTCGAGAATGAGTGCTTGGCAAAATCCGGAGTTTTCCCTGATCCAACTCAACGAAGGGTCGATCCCTCATCTGGATTCCAAAACCCTAATCATCCGGCTCATCTTCCGGTCCAGCCCATGCATCATTCACTTCTTGCCTCCGATGTCGAAAGCACTCGAAGCCCCTTCCCTTCGTCACTGCGAGTTCGTCTTTCCATAATCCTGTTCACATGACCACCGGACAGCAGACAAGCTAATTTAAGCACGTGTTTCACCGCCATTACCTCGTTGAGATCATTCACCTGCAGAATGCTTCGGAGACGGACACCATCACCTTGATTATCAAGGCATTTACAGGCGCTTCGTGCGCGGTGCTCGGCAGTCATAGTGTTTTCTTTTCCTATGCCTCCTGGACAACACCTGATGGCATGGGACACGAAAATACTTTGTGGGCGCAGCTCCAGCACCAGACGCTCATCTCACCATCATCTGAATTGGCTGCAGAAGCTATATGTACTGCTTGGTTCTAGGCGGCGCCAGAACACGAAAGAGGAATTCATATCCATATCAATGTAACGATCGATCACCCCCGCTTTCCTTGCGCATTCCCCGATAATCATCCAATCAGGTCAACTTGAACCAAGACCTCTGCGATCCCAACCCCCCAGGTTGAAACCGAGAGGTCTACTAATGTGTCTCCGACCTTCTTGAAACATTACTAGCGATTACGATCACTTGTTATCTCAAACTTGAATGGTGTTGAACCTATAGCTCATCAGCGGCTTATAGGCGACACGGTTCCTTCGATTAACCAGTGGCAATAGTGGCAGCCTTGTCGTAGAGCTATCTATGCACCATTTTGTCTCCAGTGACCATGCGTCCGATTGTCTCAGCTCAACTGTCATTCCAACAAAATCTGCGGCAACCCTATCAGTAGTGTGAGCGCTTGAGGCTTGACTGGCATCGTGTCTGGCAATACTATGTACGTGTTCAATGTAACTTCGAGGAGTCTTTCAACAGTAGTGCTATCAATCTAGACGCCTGTTCCGAATTCCTGCATATCAACTTCACCATCCAACAATTATCACCTTCAGATTGATGAGCCTGTTTTGCGAAGAATCAACTGACATCGACAAATATCTGTTATATTGCAACATGCCGGTACTATCACAAATGATCGCGTTGTTCCCGAAGTGCGATCAAAAAACACTTGAAAAAGACAGCTTGAATTAACTGTATGTCTCATATGGTGTACCTTGCATATTCATCAGTCAAGGTAGTGTTACGGATAAGTTATGGAGCTTACCTGAAAAGCGGACTGGCATCGCCCATGTCCTGGAATTCGTATGCTCTGTCGTCGGTAATGTTTTCCGCCAGACACTGCGCTTCTTTCTTTTTGTTCAGCCGATTAAAGTTCCACATAGCGAAGAGGCTCATTATGATTCTGTCATAAAATCATGTTATCACGTTGCGGTTCGGAAGACTACCGAGACATACGAAAGAGAAAGGAATCCCATGTTGGTGCCATGCCCGATGTGGAAACGTGGCGGATCAATATAAATAAAGGAGGAGCAAACACTAAGACCACCATGAGCGGGATGATATTGTAAATCCATGATAACACGACGTACCCTCCAAGGTTACTAACACCGATGACCATTGCTAGTACAACTCCACGTTTTAAGTCGCCTCCTGCATTCGAGCCTGCCCAAGCAAGAATGACTGGGACGGTCGGATAATTTCCCGCAGCAGCTAGACAAGCTCCGACGTACGACGGACCCGCTTGTACGCTGCAATATAGTAAGATGTATCCCACAAGAGACACAAGCGCACCGCCAATGATGAACGGTCCACGAAGATTATGCTTGTCAGAATAAATGCCGACTATGATTGTTGCAATAGCACCGGCAACAAATGGTGGGACTGTGAGCAGCTGGGCATTTGCAGCAGAGTAGCCAAGTTCGTTGATGATGGTTGGCGAAAAGAGGGCAATGGCATAACCAGGGACGAGCAACCTGATGATTAACTTGGAATATGCACGCGAGATGACAGGAGGATTGAGTACCCCAAATAAACGAGCATTTGGACGTAGGTCTTGTAATCTTTCATGGCTTGCCAGACAAATTGAGTATCGAAGCGAGACGAAAGATGATTCGAATCCTGTCTGAGAATATCTACGATGTATGATCTCTCTGGATCGGTCAAAAACTTGGCCGTTTCAGGATACTAGGTAATCTAAATCAGCATGCGAAAGGCTGTGAAAGGTCAACATAACTGCGAACTTACATCATGCATGTAGAAAAAAGAGAAAATCGCAACGAGAACAGTAGCTGATTGAAGTCTAAGATGAGCATCCGAATCGCCTCAGATCTGATACGACTGACCAATGCCTTCCAAGCAGAACTAGCAGAGATCATAAATTAGTAAAGTCTTGGTTTTAAAACATACAAACATACAATCCATTGCCAACCATGCAATCCTCCAATCCTGATTAACGAATCAGTGACGGTTAACAAGGAAAACAACTTACTTACCCATCCATCCGCTCAATACCATACCTGTGTGCACGCGACGGTCAATGACAGGTTGATAGGAAACAAAGCGACTCACGCAAGAAGTCCGCCGAAGGCGACTATAACGAATGAGAAGATTAAACAAAGATAAATTCCGGCGGACACACAATACTGCATACCTGCGACTGATGCTGCGGAGAAGAATATGGCAATGCGTTTTGACCGCTCTGAACGTGGATACCAAAGGCAGATGTAGTAATTTATTCCTGGATATAATCCTGCTTCGGTCAAACCGAGGAACGCTCGGGCTCTGTCAATCATGTTGTTATGGTGTCTGTCCCCACTATGCAGATACACCTCACGCACACGACGAGAGATTGGTACGAATTGACGAGACACATAAGGGTCATCACAATACCCCACGCGACCATGATAGACGGTACTGGATCGATATCAGGTGGTGAGAAAAAATAAGGCAAAGGTGAGCGTACACCAGCGCGATGGTCTGCATAGCTTGAGCACGATGTTCCTATACAGAGATTGAGCTTGGACTCGCTACTCTTGATGCCATACATACGAAGGGACCTCAGCAAAGCTGTACGGGATCTAGAGTAACTCAGCGACTGATGGAACATGCGTGATACACGACGCACAAAAAAGACAGCTGCAGCGATGTTGTACCTGAAGCCGGTCAATTTCAGGCTTGTGGTCATTCCAGCGACCGTCGCGTTTCCTGGTGATCAGCTCAGCTGGTGATCGACAGTAAATGTTCCAACTTACCAATATTGGCCCGGTCTCTAAGGGTAACGTAAAATGTGAAGCAGCATTAGACAGTACATACATTCAGCCAACTCACAAGAACGACAACAAGAAAAACACCGTCACGAAAGGTAACAGGTGCCAGTCGATCTTGCGTAGAATGCGTGCTCGTTCTCTGGGATTCAGGACAATTTGCTTTTCGGAGTCCAGCTTGATGTCATCGTCGTGTAACGAGCCCATGATATCAGGCTGGGTGACAGTACAGTTTGAAAAGAGAGACTGGTCGGATGCCAAGCGCCTTGTCGTCAAGAGATAGCGGGTATTATATCATCATTGTCCTGAGCGCCAGTAGCTCGATCACCTACAACCTTGGAAATAACACCCCGAGTTAGTAGATGCGGCCGATTGAGTGCGGTGATACCTTGCCAACCATGCTATACGGCACGCTTCCCCGCGCCCCACGATGATAAAATCTTCTCAGAGTGCGCCATCATCCACTGGTTTGAACATTTCGCCGCTGAAGGTGCATTTGGATGGGAGGCTAGAACATTCTGACCTAGTAAGGCCTAGTTCAACAGGACATCAAAATGTTCAGATGTCACCACCACATGGCAGCGATTAGTGCTGCGCTCGCGTTTTTGGAAGCAAATGACATATGCTGAATCGGTGCAATTAATGCTGCAGTGTTGGATCGCTCCATATTGCGCCTTTCACTTCAACCACACTATAAAATTCTTTGCGAGTCATCAATTATTTTTTTTTACCAAACACTTCGATTCTGTAGTCTGATTTCAGATGAACAATCAATAGAACGCTTACCGGGACTGCTCATAGGCTGAGAACATATTCTAGCTGTGTTTGGAGCAAATACCAGGACGGGCGAATAAACGAAGTGTTATGACTTGGACGAGCGGATGAGATCGGCGGCACGGTAATTAGAGATAATAATCGATAAGATACAAGCTCAATTGTGTGCAGTAAGTAAAGCACAAGAACAATATTTGTGCGGTGTTCAATCAACGAATAATCACGTGGAGTAGTACCCGGCCGTACTCCCACTACCCTTGTCAGAACGCTCGACACTTTGCACTTTGGGTGGCAGGCGTTCAAAGTGATGGCGCAGTTTGTTTATCATGGGCCACACCTCTGACTCATACCTGTCCCACCTCCCTCCAAACAATCTGGGCCACTAGTCCAGTTACTTGTGCAAGTCTCGATACATGGACATCGTTGTTATGGGGTACATATGATACCCTTATCCTCCGGCCCAGCTCATGTAATGACCACTTCTTACTTCCGATGTTGAAAGCACTCGAAGCCCCCCCCTAACCTTTGTCACTATGAGCTTGTCTTACTGAAACTTCCTTTCGTTGAGACCGCTCGCCCGCAGAATGTTTCGGACCTAGACACCATAAGTTCGTTTATCAAGGCATTCCCGGGCTCTTCGCGCGTGATGTTCGGCGGCTGTGATATTCCTTTCTTTTCCTGTGCCTTCCGGGGAGCATCTTTTGGTGCCATAGGATACGAAAATACTTCGTGGGTACAGCTGCAGCACCTACTAGCAACGCTTATCTCACCCGGTTACAGGAGCCAACTCGGAGCCAGAACACGAAAAAAATAACTTATACTACAACGATTAATCACCCCTGCTTTCCTCGATGATTAATCGATCGTACTAACTTGAACCAAGACCTTTGTGATCACAACCCAGTGTGAAACCGAGGATGTACTATCTCCAAGCTTCTTGAAACATTACCAGGGATTACAATTAGCAATTGTTCGTGTCAAAATTAGATGGTGTTGAATTATAGAGCGCTCGCAAATAGCTCACAAGCGACATGGTTGCAAATGAGTAGCAGTAGTAGCATTGAGCTATCTATGCAACATGTTGTGCAAGCAAATCATTGGCCTAGACCATGCATCCGGTTATCCGAGTCTGTGCATCCGATCAATTATGCAGTGTGAGCGCTTGAACCTCGACTGCATCAATTTTTGTGTGTTCGGTACGACTCCGAAGATTCCAGCAGCTACTATCAACTCACTACCGTTTCTTTTAGACGTCTGTTCCCTGCATATAAAACACTTACCAGCTGGGGTTACTGGCAAGTTACTTTCAAATTGGATCGTTCACATTCACAACTGTAACGCAGCGCACGCCGGATCATGGTACTCAGTACTACTCGAGACTTGGCCAATGGCCTCTCCCACAACATGGTTCCTGAAGAATTACTTTCGACCCTTCAACAAGAAGTTTGTGCGTTAGAAAATAGAAGGAAGGAGCTGTTGGCCCGCCTTGAAGAAGCGAACACGTCGCTCGTCGAAGTCCAACAACTCTTGACAAGGAAAACAGCGCAAGCACACACAGTTCAAAATCTTCTCGCGCCCGTGTCTCGTCTTCCAGATGAGGTCTTGTTGGCTATATTCGAAGAAGCAGTACGAAGTCAGGAGCAAGGACAAATCATACGGACGGAAATGGCTATATCATACACTTCGCATCGCTGGAGACAGGTTACGGTCAATTCCCCTCGGATGTGGAACAGCCTTTGTATCAGAGCAGAGGTTCCTGTCGCCATGCTACAGATCTACCTCTCTCGCTCCGCGAACATTCCTCTTACCGTTGAATTCCGTGAACGCGAAACCGCTTGGCCCGTTGCAGATAAACGCAGCATGGCACATCTTGGTTCTGCTCTTGATGCTATATGGCCTTCTGTCCCTCGTTGGCGGCGTATCGTTGTTCTGCACAGATCTTACCCGTACTTTACGCATGTGTTTCGGGAACTTCGAAAGGTGGCCCCTTTGAAGATGCTTCAGAGCATCTCTATGAGGTCACCAGGCGTATGTGGACCATGTCCATTGTTGCTTGGCGACTCGGCTCCAGCCCTGGAATCGCTTGAAGTTGAAGACATGCCCCTTCCACCCCCGGTCACGCAGACTTTTGACGCTGCCCACTACAGCGTTGCGGGACTGACCACGTTGCGGTTGCGGGCGCGTGGGGTGAGGGTTGGAAGTTCCCATGCAGCAACCGACCCCTCTGCATTCAGAGCATTGATAAATTCAGCCCCGATGTTAAGCACTCTCGAAATCTATGGACAACCCATAAACTTTGGCCAGGAGAGAGTTAATGAAGAAGACGTTCTTCCCTTAGAGATTCCTCGTCTCCGCACTCTAGTCCTTCGTCCGGGCACGCAGCGTCCTCGTGATTTGCGCCACTTTATCTCGGTAATCAAAGCACCAACTCTCCGTCACTTTGAGCTGGTCTATCCTGACAACGCTCCACCTGGGCAAGATATATCCGATCTTCTATTTGACCCTTTCCCATTAGCCAGATTTCCTTGTGTGGAAACGGTGCATCTTCATAATGCGGTTCACGCGGACACTGTTGCGGCATTTATGAATGCGTTTCCGGTCGCGGCTCGCATCACACTCGGTAGTCCGGATGCTGACTGCCTTTTCGAAAACCCAACTTCCAGTAGCACGTGCAGCTCGTGGACCTCTTCACACATCCAGCACATCACTGTCATTTCTCCACTTCACAACACGTTGCTGCAGATGTACGAGTGGCTTCTCAGTGGGGCTAGCCAGGGCCATCGATTGCCAATAATAACATTGGAAGGGCCCATCCGTGCTATCGACGGCCCTGAATTTCTTACACAATCGTCGAAACTTGCGAGCTGCACGGAAGTGCGGCTGTGCGGCGTTGACCTCTCCATGTCGGGGTAGATCGCTTGTTGTACGCGTCTAATAATTAGTTGAAGGTATGTATGTGCCTTGTCCTTCCAGTGATGCTAATCACGTACACATATATTTGCAGCCTGTTCCACAAGTCGTAGTGAATATAATAATGTACGAGCAGCTTGATATTCAAATGCTGTAACTCGCTTCCAGGCCCGAGTGTACAAGATTTGAGCAGTGAATGTGTCTACGATCATCCCTCCCACGTTCAGTCATCGCTTTTCGTTTCATGGACTCCTTTACATGTCAAGTTACTTTGACACTCTAGGCAATCATGTTCGTGAGATTCTGCAATACCTGGACAGGCTGAAAACTCGTGTTTTTCATAGAAAGTCTCTGGCAACCACCTGCCGAGGGGATGCGGATACCAGTCTAGTCAAGATGATCGTGTCAATTGTTCAGTCGGACAGACCCAGCATGTCAATGCGAGTTCCTCCGAAGAATAATAATGAAAGCCACGAGTTCGACTCGTGCGTGTGGAATTTCAGTAACACGCGAAGACACTCGCGTAATTCCTGACTTACCGAGCAGGCTGGGATAAAAGGTTCCAATGATAGCAAGGAGGTAGACGATTCAGAAGAACAAGAGGTGAGCTTCCTCAGTCATCGTACTTGCTCTCGATACTCAAAGAGCATTAGTTTCAATCAGTATGCCTGACAACGACCTGTCGCGCTCTTTTACCATGTCAAGATTTTCGCAGAGAACCTACCAACCTAGTGTTGACAGGGAACTCTTTCAAGTGCTGCAATCAGAGGCAGTGCACCTTGAAAGGAAGGAGATAGAACTTGTATCGCAAATCAAGGCGCTCTCGGAGGTTTTGGTTTCCGTTCGTAGCACGCTATCCACAATACGCGTTCGAGCAAGCGAATGTGCAAAGCGCATTTCTCCAGCTGCTCGCCTGCCCGATGAAACTTTGCTTGCAATTTTTGAGGAAGCAGTTTCAAGCCAGGACGTGCGCTCACGGACAAGGGCTGAAAGCACGATATCGCGTGTGTCGCATCGTTGGCGAAGGATAGCTCTGCATACACCCCGGCTGTGGACACGGGTCTGTGTAACTCCTGACACGGACGAGCGTGACATGCAGCTACACCTCTTGCGATCCGCTACTCTTCCTCTTGATGTGGAAGTCTGGGGATGGTGGGATTATCGAGATTCTTTCACTAGGCCTCATCACTTCGAACATACCCTAGCCGCAATCCTCCCGTCTGCGTCTCGTTGGCGTCGTATAAAAATTGGCGCGTCCTGCGACGCCCTTCTCACGAATCTTTCCTTTATTCTGCGTACCGTGGGACCTTTAGACACACTTCAGCAAGTTGCCTTTAAAGCCCAGCAGCCCGGGCAGATATGTCCGACAACTCTCCTCATGGGAAAATCAGCACCCAATCTCCGGTCCATTGATGTCGAAAACATTGTTCTTACAGCGCGTTCCCCTTGTTTACACAATCACGATTTCGACTGCTTCATTGATGTAACCCATCTTACTCTTCGACTCCATGAAGGAGATGCGAGGGCCCTAAAGACTACGACGGAACTCCAAGGTTTCCATGCGTTGCTTTTGCGAATGCCCAATCTAGTCTCCCTTTCTCTCTACGGAGAACTTGTTTGTGTCAGATCGGCTACAAGCCTCGAGGACCAGGCCAACATCACGTTGCCTCGTTTACAGACGTTAATTCTTCATCCTAATACTGTCCGGCCTCGCTGCCTGCGGAACATCATCGCGATGGTAATGGCACCAGATCTACGGCACTTTGAGCTTGTCTACCCAGATAGCTTTACTCAAGGCCAGGACATCTCCGATCTACTTCTCAAAAAGGGATGTGAACAACCTACACCTAAATTCCCCCTAGTTGAACGTCTTGTGCTCAACAATGCCGTCAATATAACTTCGGCTGCCGCATTCATCCAGGCCTTCCCAGGAGTAGATCAGCTGACCATTTCTGGCGCCGACGTCGGGATTTTCAATATGCCAACTGGGGAAGTGATAGGAGGAAGTTGGAGAACCATTACAAGACTAATATTGCGGCCTTCCCAGCGAGATCGTCTGACCACGGTGGTCGACTGGCTAGATGCTGTAACTAAAAATGGCGAACTTCAAGCGCCGTTGGTCCGGGGGCCAATGACCGACTGTCCCATTATGTTGCACCTCTATGAGGAGCTCAAGCGATATACTGAAATCGAACTGCTTGATATGGCCTCAAAATAGCTCTCTGGATAGCCCGAGGAGGATAAAACTATTTACAGATGTATGTGCGAGAATGCGTTTCTTTTCGGTACATACTAGTATGCGAACAAAGTATCGTACTTCGTTATCTAATTTTGTGGGGAGGGTGCGGCAACCCAAAGTAAACATGACGTGACGTGAATGAATCGTTATATGATATCGTAAATCATGCCTCTTTTCCAGGATTTCCCGGAAGTTTGGCGGATATCCTTACAGCAAAGACGGCCATGATAACGAAAACGGTATACACCGCATAGCCGCCCATGAGCTTGTGCTGGACAGAGTATGCAAACATGGACGTGGACGCGGCGGGGCCAATGGCTCGAACGACGGATGCCGTCATTTGCGCAAGACCATTGGTAGCTCCTAAGGATCGCTTATTGGGAGCTGCTGCGGTAATGAACATCAATATACAACCTGCAAATCGAATTAGCTATGGTAAAGGAAAGACCACGCAAGAGCCGGCGCACCGAACGCCATATCCATGAAAACACCCAGTAGCAGCGAACACGTGAGTAAAAACCAGACAAGCCAGTTGACTCCATGTTGGCGTGCAATGATGTTGGTGATCGGGAATAGGACGAAGATAGGAATAAAACATCCTTCGCAAAACCGAAAAACGGTCTTTGGACCAAATTTGTTTACCAACGGTGCAAAAATCATTGTCTGCAAAACACCGTTGACAATGCCGAACGCTCCCATCCACAGGCCGATAGTGATAGGATCAAATCCGAGCCCCCCCAGTTCGATCGGGGTGGAATAAAAGAGAGGCTGAAGTGCGAACATAGCAATTTCTAGAGTTGCAATGCAGCCATAGTTGGTGACAGGGATCAGTATGGATGGCACGAAGAGCGACCGGATTGACACAGGTGAATCCTCGACGGCATTTCCTGGAACGTCGAGGGCCTCGCCATCAAGAGCGGATTTCTCTTGCGTCCGCTGCCTAGGCAGAGTCTGAAAAAGTCTTCAGTCAAGATCTCGCCGGTACACGGGCTCTCTGTACCTCTTTTAAGAAGAATAGAATCGCCAGGAAACATATGACCGTGAATACTGCAGCAACGGCACTAGGCAGGAAGTATGGGAACTGTGACCAAAATGCACCAGGGAATATATTAGGAAAATGTTGTTGAGGGTGTTCTAGAGCTCCGCCGATCATAGGACTTTCAAAAAGTACGTTACCCTCTATACAGAACACGAGGAAAGGTACATACCCAATAGTAGCACCCAAGGACCACGCAACAGGCATCAGGGCGAAGCCTTGCGCCATGTTGGTGGAATCAGTGAGTTCACCCATCATGCTCTTCATGACTCCAATGTTACCATTCAAGGCGCCGGTGATGCAGCGACTATGCTCATTCAGAAGACAAAACGGATCGCAAAAGTTGTTCCTCACCTAAAAATCAGCCCCAACAGTGTCCTGGATAACCCAAAACATAGCATTGACAGGGAGAGCCCAAAAATTCCTAACAAGAGAACAGGTTTACGTCCAATGCGGTCCGAAGTACGGCTCCATTGCAAGATGGTCAGTGCCTGAGTGGCAAAAAAGAGAGACTCCTATCATGGATTTGATTAAGTTGTAAAGCGGAGATGCTATGTCAGGCGCAACTTACGATCAGCCCCGCATAATACCCTATGTGGTGAAAGAGCGCATCAATACTTGTTCAATGTATCAAAAAGTTATTACTCACCAACTTTTCGCTCGTCGCCGCCAGTGATGTCCAACTCACTGACAAGCTATATCTGATATTGAAAAATGTGATTTTGAGTTGTAAAAGGAGACCAACCTGATTGATGTAGGGATAGATAGATTGAGAAGCAATTGGCTCGACCAGCAGTGCCAACAACAAAATCGCAATCTGAAGCCTTGGCAAAGGGGTGGCCTTCTTCTGGCCTTGCTGTCCCACGTCGAGAAGAGCGGTACGCTCATTGACAACGATGTCAGAATCTGAAGGTGCTGCAGAAGACATCCTCGACGAGTGACAGGCAAGGTTAAAAAAAACCTAGCTGACGACCCCAGTTATATATCCGCCGGCTACCGAGCGATCAGAAGGTGAATAAAGAAGTCGACCTCCTTATCCGCTGGGAGATCTGCATAATCAAGAAGGCGTTCCCAACTTCCCATTCACAAACTTGCCCGTGGAGTGGATTTGGAGTGGATCCGAAAATTTTAAAACTCCACCCCGCACAAGTTTAGTCAAACAATTTGCATTAAAAGACAACAACGTAACATGACAAGTATAAACCCCCAACACCAGATCTGGATTGAACCTGCAATGACTAGATTTTAGATTATGTATCAAAGAAAAGATAAACATAAGTCAGAAAGAAGTGTATAATCAATGCCGCAGCTAAGCAACAGCTTCTAGTTGATAATTGTAATGTTATTTTCATCCGCACGCTACTCGTGAGAGATAGAAGAAAGGATGAGAGCTCACGTCGGTGGTCTGAGCATCAGCTAGTAACAAAAATGTAATCAGCGCTTGGTCGATATAGGCATCAATGATAAGAAGGATATCAGGAGGGGGTGCCCGAAAGAATTGAGCTGTGGCGGGCCCTTTCGGCAGTGATAATACGAAGACCGTCGTGATAATACATCATATATGAAGTAATGATGATCAGATGAAGCTCACCATCATGATATCGCGAAGCACGCAATAAGAGCATGCGATTAGCTGGAGCATCAGCGCTTAACCCTGAACAAAGTTGCATCAGATACGAAATCATTAAAGGCGAGACGTGAAGACTCAGAAAGTAAAAACAGCCAGGAATTTACATCAATAACCCAGTAGGGTATCAGGCGGTAATTCCTTTTTGACATCCCCGCAACATGATATAAACAGCAATGCTTACCTTAGAATCGAATGCAGCTTGATAAAGATATGCCTCGGGTCCTAGAGAGAACGAGGGTGAGATAGGCTCCGAAGAAACGACACAGAAGAGTAATGGATCAGTGGATTGACAGAAAATTGAAAGCATTGAGCCTATACATGAAGGCACTCAGATACTCTAGTTTGAATAAAATGTTTCATCGTGCAAAGATAAACATGCGGCGCAATAGGTAATCCAACTTACCTAGTGCCCGGCTCGGAACGAATGCCTTGATGCGGCTTCATTATCACGATAAACGAGAGTTCTACAAAATGATGAGTAATAGGTACAGATGAGGTGCAACCGATGATGGTCAGGGTAACTATGACAAAAAGGACACATAGTGTCATGGGACACTCGCCATGAAGTGGAAAAATATCATCGCGAAAGAGAGCTTAAACGTAGTGGATGATCACTAACCTGTGCATTAGTCTAACCACATCCCACAAAGACTACACCGCGAGCGGATGGAAGGGTGTTAAAACCATTTTTGATGAGATCGACGGAAGTGAAAAAGATCATAGGACAGCACTTGTTTGGCGTTGATTCCGAAATTTCAACTGATTGGTTCAGGGCAGGCTAACACGCATTTTAGGTTCATACGGTAATTCCCGGCAATAGTCGACTCTGGAGCATCCACACCAGTTGGAGAAAGAAGAAATTTCATGTGTAAAAATCATTTCATCCTCCATAGAGTACTTATGAACTGAGTCCTCTGATGGGGACGTTATGGAATTCGGTTAATGTCACCTTGATCATAAGTATGTACATGTATTATATTGATCGATATTTTGGACATCCAACTTGAATGACCAGCTTGCATAATTGGGCGCCCCGTAGACAGTACAATATCTGTGGTGCGTAGCCAACCGCTTCACTAGTATGATACTCTTGGTACGACATCAACTCACAACCATCCATATCTTGCGTGCGATGTGGGGATAGATGCAGGTAATCTGCACATTTCCGAATCCAGGACGGCGATACTGCATGACAAACGTAAATGACTTGTCAAACATCATGTGGACGTACATCGGGTTATCCTGTCTGATTCAAAGGACGTAATCGAAGGGTCAGTCAGTAGGCTTCAACCCATCGGGAATGTATAACGGCGACTGTATCAATTTAGAGTCTCTCACCCGCATTAACTGACTTCCCTGATCATTTGATCAGCTGCAGTCGCTTCCATAGAGATAAGGTTTGCTCGTAAGACTCCAAGCATCGAACGTAGCACTTCTGATTAGTGTTCCATGCGACGGCCAGCAAGAATGTCCCCACCGTATGCCGCAGATAGACAAATGGCCTTGCGCCCCGAATACTACAGGGGGTCATATGATCTGTTTGTTCTCCAAGTCATCGGAGCTTGCATCTGGCACGTCATATCGTGTTGCTCCATGTTCGGTTGCGTTTAAGTTCTAGAATATGGTCTGGCAGCTGCAGACTGAATCGACCACGAAGCACAGTTAGTAAGCCATGGCAAGAAATACCCCACCCAGATTGAATGAGAACTTGGTCCTGTTTGATGTTTGAGTGGTCTGCGACAAAGACACATGTCATGACAGCGACGGTCGTCATCTTCATTTCGCCATCGCTTTACATGATGCTTAGCATGGTGCAACGGTGACACGATGACCTTTCTCCAAAATCCGTATTGCTTGACCGATCTCAGCAAACCAACTGAATCCCTTTTCATAGCCGCCAAAGCCCCGGACAAACGGATACTTCAGTCGATATACAAGCGAGATGTATGGCAATGATTGTATGTGTAGGTGCAGGTGAAGTACTGAGTTGAACGGCGGTATGTGGAAGCCCATCCTTGAAACGATGGTGTCACAATTAGTATAATCCAAGAGGTGACTAACCTAACTCACTTCCGCTTTGAAACTGGTACATCGAACGTATCAAGAATGGAATGTCCTATTTCCTCCATTCTCCGAACTTAGATCCAAATGAGATATTCAGCTGATGCAGCAAGTACGGAAATGCTTACGCATGTCCACATCCTTCTGAGAAAGTTTCCTGATACTTTCTGGTGGTGACATGAGCCAGCGAAGTGGACAGCTTCGTGAAGCTCACCGATGTGGGTCTTTGGGATGAGTTGAATGTGGTATTGTGCCGATGGACGAATGTCCCGAAAGGCAACAAATTCTTGATCCTGGATGCACGGGACCGTCAAAACTAGGCTCAAGGGCAGCGTCCTAACAACACATGGATACACACCTCCCACACAATGTCAAAGTCACTGCGGTTTGTGGAATAAGCCCCACAGAATATACATGACCGTTGAGAGTTGCCTAGCTGGTTATGAGAAGTTTGTGGTTTTCCAACAATCCAATGAAATAGTTTTGGGAACATAGTGCATGTATCGACACTTGTCCGAAGAAAGAAGGTGGTTGTCTATTTTTAGAAGTCACTAGTGGTTGAGTTCACCACTTCCGACGCGAGCTCTCCACTTGCCAGCTGCAAGGTTCTCCAGCTTTTAAATCTCCGTGCTTGTTCACCACCACAGTCTCCGCATGAACTCCCAGACACTCCAGCACCAGCTGCATTGAAACGCGCCATCTTTGCCAGCATTCTGAAGTCTTGTGACATCCTGTTTATTTACTTGTTTTAGGCATGTCTGCATCTCCAGACAGCACGCACACAGCTCTTTTCGGCGAGGAATCTACTTTCTCCAACGAGGCACATCCTGGAATTGAACCATCTGTCTCTTCCGATGCCTCCGAGAACGATATAGACAGGTGTTCACATCTCGCTTCCGTCTTCGCCGATCCACCCGCGAAAGCAGGTATCGTAGACAAATTTAAAACAGCCGTAGCCTGGCACGCTCGTAGAACACATGATTCCCTGCATCCAGCAAAGCGAAGGAAGGTGCGTTAGCTATTTATGTGGAAATGCCTTGTGAAATGATATATTCGACCCCCTGTTCCACAGGTATCGTCACCGACCTGTGACACATGCGACCAGGCACTCTCCCGACCGTTCGTCTGTCTGCACTGCTCATTTGCAGGATGCTGGTCAGAGGCTCACATAACAAACCACCTGAAAGAGACGGGGCATACGTTTTGTACGTGTTTTCACCACCACAGTTTCCGGTCTGCTGACCATTCCAAATCTGCACAATTCAGGCACCGATACAAAGTCTGGATCAGTCTTCTGTTCAGAGTGCGAGGACTTTGTATTTGATGATATCATTGACGAACTGCATCTCTCTACCGTCCTATTGGTTGAAGAGCAAAATACGAAATTTCAAGGTAGTTTGAATACACCCGCAGGATAGCAGATTTTAATTTACGTCTAGTGGCGAAGAGAGGCCGAGAGCCATATCAACCGTGGGTTCCGACGAGCGACGATTCCACTGCCCTGAAGTATATCGCCACAGTCCCTTGCCAAGGTTCAATTTTCCATTACAAGTCACGTTAATTAGCTCACACAAAATAGGTCGTCGTGGGCTGCTCAATCTAGGGCAGACGTGCTTTTTGAATGTCATACTCCAGTCGTTCATCCATAACCCGTTATTACGGAACTATTTTCTCAGCGATAGGCATAACAGCAGGCTGTGCAAGCATTCAGACTGCACCTGTTGCGAAATGGACAACCTGTTCACGGAGGTTAGTCATAAAAAAGTCCGCATTGCTCCCGTCAAACTTTGTTTGCTAACGAAAGTTGAAGATATATTCCCCAACTAATACCCCATTCGGGCCCACGTCCTTCCTCGCCACAACATGGAAAGTTTCTGCCGAGATGTCAGGTTATGCACAACAAGACGCCCACGAGTTTTTTATCACTGCACTGAACCAAATTCATGGGACGTGCCGCGGTTCTACGAATATTTCGTGCAACTGCATTATTCATCAGACTTTCGCCGGTCAATTTCAAAGCGACGTTACGTGTGAGAAATGCGGAACCGTGACGAGTACAATTGATCCGATGCTTGATATCAGCCTTGAGTTGAGGTCAAAGTCTGGGGAACCGGCTACTGACAATACGCTTGCCAGCTGTTTGCGCAGGTGAGAAGGTCCGTTATTAGATTGATAGAGTCTGACGCTTTGAAAGGTATACTAAACCAGAAAAACTGGGGGCAAGAGAGTACAGTTGTAGCAAATGCACGAAAGCTTCTCACGAGGCTGTGAAACGCCTCAGCATACGGACATTACCGCCAGTCCTTAGTTTTCAATTCAAGGTTTCTTCATGCACTGTATGACCTGGGTAATTTGATGCTGACATTGATTCAAGCGATTCGAGCATAAAACGTCTGGGAAAGCTGCACCACAGAAGATCGACGCTCCGATACGAATTCCAGTGTCTATTAATATGGCGCCTTACACGACTCTTGCTATGAATATGAAGGATGGTGAAACTGGGTGAGCAATTTTTGCTAAGGAACTGTGACTGATTTTCTGACCAAGTCCATGAATAGCTACCCAGGACCGGACGCAATGTATGAATATGATCTATTTGCGGTTATTAACCATGAAGGGCAGATGGATAACGGCCACTACACAAACTTTGCTCGTTTTCGAGATGAGGTGAGTGGACATGGTGTAGTTTTATTGCATAGTTATTGATGGCCTCCAAGTGGTACCGTTTTGACGATGACAAGTATGTAGCTCACTACTTTCTGTACTCCGCGATCTTATTTTACCTTTGACAGAGTAACCCCATCGACACTCAGCGACTGCCTAGCCTCAAATGCTTACATGTGTTTCTACGTGAAGCGACATCTTGACTACAAACCCTATATGAAGCCAACGTATCTAGTTGCACGTGAAAACGACATCGTTCGTGAGCAAGCAATGGAGCGAGAGAAAGAGGCAGCACGTATGAAAGAAGTAGACGATGCCCTGATGGCGATGGTCGGTGGAGACTGAAATCGCCCCTGAAATGCGAGGGGTAAAAGGAACCATGAACCATTGTATATATATAGGAGTCTAGCGGTCGTTATTAAAACACGGAAACGAAGTTTAGTACGCGGTGAGAGTAAGGGGAATGGTGTAGTAATGGAACAACATGGGAAAGGGAACACAAGTTCGTGATATGCAAGATACAAAGAAATGCGATATTTCCAGAGTGAGGTCGTCACTGATTTGACGGGGAGCAACGGAAAGGGGTAGGATGTCGATCAAGGAATAATATCATAGAGTTCGCCATCTCTGACCCGAATCTCTACCACTTCTACCTCGCTGTAATCAGTCATCGAAGATGTATTTGACGTCCAAGAGCTGGAAAACCCTTTCGAGCATGGTGGTGATGTAGATGCAACGTCTGTAAATGAATCATGGAGACAATAAGCTTTCTCTTCAGAAAGCAGTGAATGAAAACTGAAAGAGAAACGCACATCTATCTTTAATGTAAGGGGGGACGAAAAGATCCTGTATTTAGAAAACCGGTCAACTGAGGCTGGGAAACATGGATAAAGGATGCAAACCTGGTTCCATACAAAACCTTGGCTCTTCTGAATGGTCAAGATTGGACGAAGCGTATAAGTCGGCCGGCGCTCTCGCTTGCGATAATGCTTCTTTGTTGGCTCTGGCTCAGGATCAAGTGCTTTCTGTTTGCCCTTCATATCCTTTTTAAACTTGGCAGCATTCTTCTCATCGTCAGCTCCTTGATCACCTCGATCGATCTCCATGTTCTGCGTATCATCCTGCCTCTCAGTATTTACGACAAGATCTCCGTCAGAACCACGGTCATGATGGCCGTAGTCTTCTCCGTCTTCTGAGCAGGACTCATCTTCGGAAGGACTGTCATTGTAGTCTTCATCATCATCGTCAGATGGAATTTGCTCATAGCAAGCCCAGGTTGGAGGAGAGGAGGCACGGCCGATGGTACGGCGCCTGAAGTATGAGGAGTAAGGAGAGGTTGGGGTAGTAGGTACTCCTGGACTGCTCATCGTGGTATCGGATCAAACAATAACAGCTCGAGGTAAGTTGTATGTATACGTAGGTCCGAAACAACGTGTGTGTGTGCTGTTCGAAGCTGATGTGAATGGAACCGGTGCTTACAGCAGTGTGGTGATATCGAGAGCGACTGTGGCGAGCGATCAAAGTCTCCTGCACATGTTCCCACAATCACACATATAGCAAATTAGATCGTGACTCGAGTCGAGTCGAGTCAAGCCAAGACGATCCTGATCACCACTAACAGCTAGCATATCTCAGTTGAATCTTGATGCACTAATCTGCTGGTGGCAGAGGCGTATCCATGTCACCCACGACACAGTAAGAACGTGGGAGAACATGATGCATGATTGAATAATTACAATAACGATGCAGTACTGGTAAGAGGAACCTAGTAGTCACGGCGGGCATTTAACGGTACGACAGCATCACTGCGGGTGTCTTGATAACTAAGCGGTGAGACAACGAGAATAAAACACGCGAGCGCGTGCGATGGCAATCAGTAAATCTTGCGGGTCCGTCCGATATTGCAGGAGGACTGGTGAAGTTGAAGTCGGGAGAGGATAGTACGTGAACCTATTAATATGAGGTAGTAGTGATGCGACAAAGAGTCTGCATCGTCAGAAAAAGGTATCCGCACGACCGCTGACGATATGCTTGTACTAAGGGCTAACCAGAGTAAACTTATAAGCGTTCTGAGATTATATGGATGCAAAATGAATACCATACCACCAAATCAAACCGACCTGAGCTTCTTCAGACACTGTGCGGAGTGGTGTGGATCAAAGAGGTACTTAATTAAAGTAGTTTATGTATGCTCCAAAAATCACCCGCTTTGATGTTAAAATCACCATATTTGGATGGATTTTGAGCGAATCCCTTTGGTCCCAGCGAAATACTTACAGCAAGCGCAGATCATGGTATCTGTATAAGTTGTGGATCAAGCACTATCGCGCCGCATTGATGGCGGGCACAAAGTTTGCATATGTACGCAATTTCGAGCTCCCTGATCCACTGCTACCAGACACCTATCTGGTCTGTCGTCTCGACGGCCACTCTTTCCACCGGTAAGCGAGCATCGGAAGCCGTTCGAAGGAGGACGAAACCTAATAGCATCGCACTTCACAGGTTCTCAGACGAGCATGGCTTTGCCAAGCCCAACGACGAGCGTGCGCTCCAACTCATGGATCACGCTGCAAAGAGCGCGATGATCGAGTTCAGAGACATCATGCTCGCATTCGGTGAATCCGACGAATTCAGGCAAATATAACCCTTTCTTCCAGTTGCGACCAATTTTATCACTCATCATAGCTTTCTCTTCCGAAAGTCGACTAATCTTTATAACCGGCGACACTCGAAAATACTCACCACGTTGACGTCCTACTTCACATCGTGTTATGTGCTTAACTGGTCGCAGTATTTTCCGGACACGCCGCTACGATATCCACCGTCATTCGACGGACGCATTGTCGTGTATCCGACTGAGCGTGCAATTCGAGACTATTTTTCATGGCGGCAAGCCGACAGTGGGTCTATCTCAAATGATCGTTTTGCCGAGACTGAGCACAGCTGCTTGTCAGCGTAAAGCCCACATAAACAATTTATACAATACCACATTTTGGGCTCTCATACAGAAGGGAGGTCAGACTACTACGGAGGCTCATGCCACGCTTAGGGTATTTTTCTTCTCCTGTATCTGCGATTCATTGTTGACAAATCTTCAGGGCACCGTTTCCGCGACTAAACACGAGATGCTTTTTTCCAGGTTCGGTATCAACTATAATGCAATATCACAGAGGTTCAAGAAAGGCAGCGTTATAGTTCGAGAAATCGTGCGTCCTGTTCGCACGTACTCCATCCAATCCTGCTCACATTAATATGCAGGTAGCCCCTGAATTATTGGACAAGGGTGAATATCCAGAACCCCCAATGCTTTTGACTCGCTCAGAGGTCAATCAAGCACGCGACCAGAGCCCCGAGCGCTCAGGAGCGTCTGATCTACCGGCAAACATACTCCCACATCCACAACCTACGAACGAAGATGATGAGACGCCACCATTCGACCCTCCGCGTCAAACACGCTCCAAGGCGAAGAAACTGGAAACTACAGTAGAGGTACTGCACTGCGATATCATTGGCGATGAGTTCTGGCTGGCTCGTCCACATTTGCTGGAAAATCGATGCAGCATCTGCAAGACTCGGGAGACGTGTCATTGTCATTGTCAATGCTGGAGCCCGTTAAGAAAATAGCAGCAATGACAAAAGTCACCATACAGCTGCTGAGAATCACGGACTGCGAGGGAGTAGGACTCCTACTGAATGGCATGAAGGTAGTTCAGGCGCGTCACACACTTGTGCATGCATCGCAGGTCTGCGGCTACTCTCAGTTAGATTACTTTAAACGTAAACATATTATTACAACATTCGGCTGACGCTTATGATCGATAGAGGCGCTTGACTTCTAACTGCTTTTCGCTGATCGAGATGACTGTAAAGTGTCCTTGTGTCCTAAAACACCAACACTTCTCGGAACACGAGGCTAGGAAAAGGAGCCCACCAAGAAGACGCCGACAATGAGCGTGGAGGTGATATCTAGTTTCTATCATCAAAGGTGCGCGAAGTGACGAAGTCTCCGTCCATGGAACCATTGTGATCTCTGCGACCCGGAACCCTGGCCTTGTTAAGTTAAGTTGAACGTCGCCTTAAACGTCGATTGCTCGAGTGTTTGATTTGACTTGGGCACTTCGCTGAGCTATATCGAGCCACATGGTTGACGCGACGTTTAGCTCAAATGAACAAAGAGGTTGTGACAGGATCTGTCAAACCGTTGAGAAGGACGCCTGAAATGATGCCAAACGTTGGTGCGAAGATGATGCATGACCATCAAACGTTGAACTGTCCCACCTCGGCAGTCGCCGATACTGAATACCACACTTGCCATTTTTAGGATGCGCCAATTTGATCCCGCTTCCGTTGCGCTTTCAACTGACGCCCACTCGTATGTGTTGATAGGCTCCTCTTTAACTTCGAGGAGCCCACACTCCGAACTTGTATATAATGCAAGTTGCGAGGTCACATCGATGTCGGGTGACTTGCAAACCGGTAATATTGTATCCCTTGATGCAAGACCGATGCCTCGTTGTTGAAACACGTTGAACTAGCATGGTATGTTTCAAGTGGGACGTATCTGCCTTCCTGTAAAAGGGAAATAGAGAACCTGCTTCCGACGCAATCCAGCCAAAATTACTGAATCTGGTCAATATGGACTTATGGTCGACACTGCCATCAAGAATTTCCTTGCGAGGCAAGTACCAGAGTTCCCATGCATAGGCGCCCTCAGTCAAAGGGAGCTGACGTACTCATTTCGCACCAGGGACCTTATCCAGAGGCAATCCGAGAGCTCGATTGCTTTACAGCAAGCAAAATATTTGCCTTCTTTAGTAATTTTTTGGGTGGGAAGGTGAAACTTGCCGCCGTGCTTAAAAGCTGGGCCCGCCTACTGGTATCTGCAGCGAAAAAAAAGCCCACAAGGCCTCACCAGCCATACAAACCCTTCCCCATATCAATTTCTTTCATCTTTGAACGGTTGATTTTATTATCAGTGATTGTGCTTGACAGGTAAAATCTGATTTACATCTCGGAAAACGCCGTTATTGATATGACTTGCATTGTGCCTTGCATTTTGATTTTTACGTGTTATCTGCAACCTCCTGGTCACCTGACCTCCGCGTCGCGTCATTCTATTACTCGACTATTCACGTTCCGTTGTTGTTAAATTGTTTGGTTTGGTGGGTCCCTGATGTTTTTTTTCATACAATGTCTTCTACACAGTTGCCATGTCTGGTGGATCACATTTCAACACCTGGGGTTTGGCCGGCGGTCTTCCTTCTCTTGGCGGTCTCACAATCAACAATTCAGTCACGATCCCGCGTTCACATAATTTCTCGGACGGGGAGTCCGACTCTGGCACTGCCCGCACCGGCAACCAGGTCGGAGCCACCCATTTCGGCCATGCCTCTCGAAGCAGAGCTCATGATTCTGGAGTTCTGACTCCGGACCATTTTAATGACACTCCCTATGTCCCTCCTCGGGCTGCGCAGTCTCTACCACAAGCATATCCAGCACATGGCACTACAAGGGCTCACGGCATCCCGTCAGTGAGTGACCCAAGCGCTCATTTACAAGTCACCTTATTTTATTTATTCTTCCCACTGCAGTACCCAAGTCCCGGTGCAGAGTCTCATCTTAGCGTGGACAGCAACTGGAGTAGCTCTTCGTCTTCCGATCAAGACAAATCGTACACATCACATTCTCAGTATCAGCAGTATAATTCATCGGTCTCTCGCCAGTCATCTTCTAATGAGCAACATCACCTACAACACTTACAGCACCCGCATTCGCATTATCCAGCTTATCAGGGTCTTCATCGTCTGGGCCTCGAGCATGTCGAATACCCGCCTCAGCCACCCGCCAGTGGCACCACCATCCATTATAGACCCCCTGCACGCTCTTCATATCAATCCAACAATATTCTTGCTCCCGAGTTCTATGAACAAATCAATCAGGACCTCCCTTTACCCACCCACCCATCTCGGACACATATTGAACGGTCCTCGGCATCGCCGTCTAGTTCTCATGGATCGCTCTCGACATTTTCCGCCGCCCCCATCACCAATGATAGATCTAGGCACCTTCTCTTCGAAGACGCAGGACCTTACTTGCGTGAGACACTACACATTCCACCGTACAAGGAAGTCAACTTGGGGCACTTCCAGATCCTCCTGAAGGGGAAAAGCCAAACCAGCCCTACCCTATACTGATCAAGCTGGCGATTTACGGAAGTCCGAACAAGCAGCTCACGCTGCAAGAGATATACGCGGCACTCGAGGATCGCTTCCAGTGGTTTAAGGTTCGACGAAACGAGAAGGCTTGGAAGGTGGGTCTTCATTCTGATTCCTTGCCTATTACGTCTCATGGCTATGCACAGAACTCGATTCGCCATAACCTTTCTTTGAACAAAGTCTTCAAACACGTGCCCCGTGCCATCACGGAGCCGGGCAAAGGAAGTTATTGGCAACTTGACTGCTCTGGTGGCGAGGGTTACAAACGCCCTCGTAAGCGCCGTAGCAAGTCTGCTCGAGCAGCGCTTGAACAGGGTGACGATGACGACTCTTCGTCGGAAGATGACATGGAGGGGACAGATGTACCTCAAGCTGGCATGCCTGCAGGTTCGGGTCACACCCCAAATCGTCCTAGCCCTGCAGCATCCGACGACTCCTACATCGATCCCGAGTTGAGACAGGGAAGTCACATTGTTGGCGAAGGTCGAACCCGATCTGCATCGCGCAGGTCCGCCACCAGTCCATATCCCGTCCCTGGTCCTCAGCAGTCGCCTAGGTACCTGCAGAACCAGTTATCGCCTCATGGAAGTCCAGAAACAGCTCCGAGATTCGGTCAGTCATCATTTGGTCAGGGAGGATTCGGACGCCCAGGGTTCAGTCAGATGCCAGCAGCCAGAATGCCTCTAACCTCTGCGTCTTCATCCTCAGCATTTGTGGCATCATCTCCCGTGACGTTTGGCCATGTTCCAATGACGTCCACCCGTCAGCAACATGCTTTTGTGACCCAAGATCGTAATGCGCATATCATACAGCCTACTCCCAGACCGGGCGTCGAGTACATTCATGAGGGTGGCTTGCCTAGTGCTAGACGCGTTCAAAGCTACCACCAAGGACAATACCAGTCGTCTCAAGGCTCGTCGTCGTCGCAGCAGAGTGACTCCAGCTATCTTTCTGACCCCAAAGGCAAGGGCAGGATGTAAGCGTGCCAGTGCCTCAGACCGATAATCCCGCACTCCTGCATATGTGGGGGATCATCGAAAGTCTTCCGCGCATATTTTCCATCATCCACTTCTTTCCAGTTTCTTTCCTAAGGCTTACTTTCAACGTGGACTTCTCTTCTCTCTGCTGTCCCATGCACTCACGAATTTCCTTGACGTCGTTTCCCTTTTTTTCGTCCTCCTGTTTTCCGCTTGCTTTCTTGCTCGATGTGATATAGAACCTCATCGCAATGTTTTTGCTCACGTGCTCACGACCCCATCCATTTACATTCCTACAATCGACTATCGTCCATGCATCAATAATCACTATGTTCTGCCCCATAAACTGTATCCCAAGTCCACATCATTGCTCCAATATATATCTATATCCAACATTTGGACTCTTGATTTCCGTGTGCTGAGACTTCTGTCCTTCACCACCATTGTCCTTCACCACCATTAATTCGACGACGGATCAGGAAGTACTAGCTGCGGTATCGCGGATCGACAAGTCAGGGATCACTGTGCATTTCTCGGTTTCCAACTGCCTGGACCGAATCCCCTAGGTCCCAGTGCCTCGTCGACAACATGCATCATCGCGAGGACCTTCTCATCCTCCCATTTCTTACCTACAAGCTGAACACCAACGGGCATGCCTTCCATCGCTTTAGGATCGTAAACGGGATTCTTGCCCAGGTACATGCGGTTCTCGAGCACTTTCGATCGGCCCGAAGCGCCTGCTACGAAATCTGTTGATAGTTGGTCGGTATCTGGCTTGACGCGCGTTACTGGTATAATGCCAACAGGAGATTCGATGATGTTGTATATAATAGTCGCGGCTGCGAGCGGGGACAAGTATGTGGAACCCCTGGAGATCATGAGCTTCACAAACCAAGAGGGAAGGTATTGAAGCCTACCCGTGAGGTATCACTGGAAGGGACTGTACAGGTGCAATGATTCCGTCGAAACCGTATTTGTCCCATACCTGGGGCATATTAACGAATGAAAGGCCTTGGATGTCAACACGTTTACCTGTTCATGCCACGCAATAGCAACCTTATTGCGTTGGTCAGTCAAATCCGTGAATTCCGAGACAGTTTTCTCTCGCGCCAAAGAGAAGAAACGAGAAAAAAGGGAGTCACCCAAGACCGTCTTGACGATCCAGCAAACCAGGTTACGAACGAAGGACGGTAATCTGGGGCCCAAGGTGACCAGGAACAAACTGTCCTCCTGCCAGTCGGGTTATGTGAGCTATAGACGGTATATCCTTAATTTAAACTTGCCATAGGGTCTGAATCAAGATGTGACAGCATCCTCTTATAACCGTCAGATGATGCGAGTCCCAGGAACACCTCCATCGCACTTGCGTCTTGATAAAATGTCAGGACGGAGAATGAGGACAGGTACAGAAGGCGTACTCAGGGGAGATGTAAACTCGATGCATTCGTGTCCCTGCTTCTTGAGTGCTGAGACTGTCTCCAGTACTGCTCGCTTGCATGCAGGTGATGATTCCATCATGCCATCTATAGGGGATCCTATAAGTAGCAGATCACAACGACCAAAATACATCACGGTACCTGACAAATAATAGCCAAAGCAAAGCTTGGAAGGGAGCTCGACGGCTTGATACGGTATAGGAATATTCTGGTGAGACGAGTCCTTTTGACCAAAGATAGTTTTGCAGAACAATTCACAGTCCTGGACAGACCTAGAGAATAGTCAAGTAATGAGTCAAGTAATGCAGGTAGCGACTAACCGCGCCAACGGCCCATGAGAAGATCGAATTGCTTCGAATCCAGGCCGGGTGGCTGTAACAGAAAGCCAGTTAGCGTCTCAGTTGGAAGAATCGAGAACACGACCTTCCTTGTGTGCCAATAGAACTAACACGCTCAGCCGTCGGCTTCAAAGAGTATATACCACAATACGATGCTGGGATGCGTAGGCTTCCTCCGATATCAGAACCGACGCCTATGGCGGATCCGTCCATGGCAAGCAAAGCTCCCTCTAGCACCAGACTCTGTTATTTAGTGGGAGATTCACAAGCAGATAACGAACCTCCACCAGAGCTGCCTCCACATGTATACTTGTCGTTCCATGGGTTTGTTGTGCGACCCCAGAGAGGATTAGAGCACTCGAACGCGAACATTGTCTGCGGTACATTGGTCTTCACGAGGATGATAGCACCAGCAGCTCTGAGTTGAGCAACGAGCTACAAATAATGATAGGGAGAATGCGCGAATGTTATAACAAGGACGTACGCAAGCGTCTTTTTTGCCTGGGTTGTTGGCCCATGCGGTGAACCCAACGGTCGCGTCGTACCCCTCGATTCGGTCTACAGCAGGGTTCAGACGTGTATCAGTTAGACATGGAGCGACGTACAATTATCTTTGACGCTGAATGGAACACCGTGGAAAGGTCCCCGCAATGTCTTTGTGCTCGCAAATTCTACGTCAAGCTCCTTTGCTCGTTTGCGGGCGTCCTCATATAGGACTATGAAAAGTATCAGGATAGAAATATCGGAAGAGAAATGGTGAATCTACTCCCCTTCTGTAAGACAGTTCACCTCGGCCTGAGCCATGGCAGATCGCGCAATATACGCCTCGAGGACTTCAGAAGAGGTCCATTCTCCTTTGGCTATCCTTTGCACAATTTCGCTGGCTACACAAGTCACGACACGACATGCATCCCTGAATAGAAGGCAAACTAACCCGTTGCTTTGGTATAGACGTCATGGTCGTTCATTAAATAAGGACCAGCAAAACCCAGCGCCTTGTCTCTTGCATTCCGCTTCGACGTGACAATGTTGCTTCTTTGTTGAGCGCTTCTCATGGTGTCAAATGTTTGGGAGCAGTGGATAATAGAACAAGGGAAAGGAGTGTGATCGTTTGAGCAACTAGCTGGATTGATGCGCAGGCTCACTAGACTCGAGCCGACTCGTTCACACCAGGTACTAATTAGGTGCGTGGAATTCATTTGTGCCACGGAGCGTACTTAGAGGGAGCGTGTTTTGTTCCAATGTGTTCCCATAATTCCATTGCAGTACTCCGCGACAACACTGCAGTATCCTCAGGTCGTTCTCCACTATAATAATTATAATTTTCATATCACAATCTCAGACCTCCCCAGGTTCCCCGCAAATCATACTACGCACAATAAGGTCCATCTGCCTTCGTTCCAAGAGCTTCTTCAATCTTTCGATCATCTCTAGGCGCGTTCCTGTCGGTACGATCGAGGGGTTGATGTCGGCGTGAGCTTGAAGATTGCGGATGAGGGCGACATTTGATAACAATGAACATGCAGAGGGATCAGTGATGAGAGGTAACGCAGGATCGACGAGGTACTGCTTGTGTAAGTCTGCAAACTAGGTAAGTTACTCTAAGTGATGAAGAAACACTCAACTGTCGATGTATTTCTCGCATCTGAATGGAATTTCAACGTCAATGACGCGATCCTCGGCGTGGATTACCGCCGCGAGCCGACGAAAACCAGGCATATCGATTCCTGTTGCCTGAATCGAAAGATATCCAAGGTTGATGAGGAGGAGGATAGCAGGTATCGCGTCGTCGTCGATCTTCGGATTGTGTGCAAGGTTCAGATGAAACAACTTCTCTTTGAGGGTTACCAGCAAGAACACTCTGAGAGACTGTCAGTCGTCATGAATATACCAAAAACTTGATGGCCGACGCTTCGTTTCCGATATCAGTTCCCTCGAGGTGGAGCCTTTCTAGATTAGGAAGTTGTTGGATATGAACGAGGTCAAAGTCACGTTCCAGGTGGGCGCCATCGAGGACCAGCTCCTTGAGCATCGAGTAGTAACCAGGTCTGCTGAACACTGTCCGAAGTCAAGCCTGTAACAGGGACGTGTTGCCAAGAGCTTTACCGCGCAAAAGATTGCTTGAATGTAGGTTTAGCCCATCTTCCTCGCACATTGTAGGACCTAGCTCCAATCTATCGATATTGCCACCTCGCAGGAGCGTCAACACGGTTTCAGTAAGGAGTCCTAAAACCATTCAGCACTCATGACAGGAAGAGACATTCCTGCGATCGATACCCCGGTCTGCCAGAACGTTTGTGATCTTTTGGTGAGTGAGGTGTAGAACGGCCAGAGGGTCTCCTAGGAACGTCTGGTGCACACCCATGCCCGGAATGACCATTTCAAGGCGATTTACCAGGTAAGAAAGGTCAACTGGTGTCTCATCTCCTGTTTCAGATTCATAGACCCACGCTGAGACGCATATAGTCAGTATATGTATATGTTCAGTATTTGAGAGGGAGGACACGGAGTGGGAGCAAAGGTAGACGTTTCCTGAAGGGGAAAATAGGGACACCTGCGAGAGTCCTTGGAATGTCTTGATATGATACCGCAAGTGAATCATGATGCAAAGTATAAGACAGCGGTTTGATTCTGCTATTGTCGACAGGGCTCGTATGAACGGACTGTGAAGAACGACCTCGTTTTGATGTTCCTCCAAGAAAGATGGGGTCTTCAGGCTCGACAGAATCTCGAGGACGCTTCGGAAGGCGTGCAGAAGCTCTCCTCCACGCCAATCCAGCTAATCCACGTCGCAATACTGGTAAATCTGGCAAATCATCCGAGACCTGATTTCGCTCGAGAATGATCGGCGACTGGACGCCTGAGCTGCTCAGCCATGAAGATGTATCCAGGGTGTTATGAGCGACAGCATTGCTAGTATAGTTTTGATCTTCTTTTGTGAAGCAGAGACCAATTTTCCAGAAAAAAGAGCGCAAGGACAGGTCTTGAAAAAGAGAAGGATTCGATTGAAGAGCTTGCCGGAGGGTAGCGAGATAAGCTGCAGCTGGGAAGCTTGGGCAGTAAAGAGGATTTTCCTCGTCGATGAGAGGAATCTGGCCATGGGAGTTCATGTCGAAGAGTAACTAATTCTAACCCTACATCAGTGTAGAATCCTAACTCTCCATACGCATTGGGCATGCTATGGCACATGGCTTTCCTTTTATGACACCTACCTTGTACTCTACTTCACTTTCCCTTATCTCTTAAAACGCGGTCATGCTTTCATCGTTAAAACACCCCTTTGTCTCAATGTCCCGCTTCTTCGTACGCGCACCTTATCACACATTTCTCCCCTTCAAAGTCGTACTTAAAAAAGCCGCCTGTACTCGTGTAGTCGTCGTCGAATCGAGCGCGTTTCAACCCCGAAGCCAACAGAAGAATAACGTCTCTTATGTCTATTAGACTTCAATCAGCCACTGTTCTCGTTGCGATTTTCTCTTTTTTCTATACGCATGATGTAAGTTCGCAGTTATGTTGGGCCTTTCACAGCTTTTCACATGCTGCTTTAGACTATTTAGTATCCTGAAACAGCCAAATTTGACCGAGCCAGAGAGATCATACACTATAGATATGCTCAAACAGGATTTGAATCATCTTTCCCCTCGCTTCGACAATCGATTCGTCTGGCAAGCCATGAAAGACTTACAAGACCTTACGTCTAAATGTTCATTTATTTGGGGTACTCAGTCCTCCTGTCATCTTGCGTGCATGATCTAAGTTAATCATCAGGTTGCTCGTCCCTGGTTATGCCATTGCCCTCTTTTCGCCAACCATCATCAACGAACTTGGCTACTCTGCTGCAAATGACCAGCTGCACATAGTCCCGCCATTTGTTGCTGGCGCTATTGCAACAATCATAGTCGGCATTTATTCTGGCAAGCACAATCTTCGTGGGTCGTTCATCATCGGCGGTGCGCTTGTGTCTCTTGTGGGATACATCTTACTATATTGCAGCATACGAGCGGGCCTGTCGTTCGTCAGAGCTTAGTCTGGCTGCTGCGGGAAATTATCCGACCGTCCTAGTCATTCTTACTTGGGCAGGCTCGAATGCAGGAGGCGACTTAAAGCGTGGAGTTGTACTAGCGATGGTCATCGGTATTAATAACCTTGGAAGGTATGACGTGTTATCATAGATTCATAATGTCCTCCCGCTCATACTTGTCTTAGTGTTTGCTCCTCCTTTATTTATATTGATCCGCCACGTTTCCACAATTGGGCATGGCACCAACATGGGATTCCTTTCTCTTTCGTATGTCTCGATGGTCTTCCGAACTGCGACATACTAATACAACCTGTAACAGAATCGTAATGAGCCTCTTCGCTATGTGCGTCTACAATCGGCTGAACAAAAAGATGGACGCGCAGTGTCTGGTAGAGAACATTACTGACGATAGAAGATACGAATTTCAGGATATGGGCGATGCCAGTCCGCTTTACAGGTGAGCTCCATTATTCATCTCTATGAGACTACGGCTAATTCGAGCTATCCTTTTTGAGCACTCCTTCAATGATTGCACACGTCAGCTTCGGGAATAACCAATACCTAATTGTGATAGTATCAAACTTGTCGGTGTGAGTTGATTGATTGCAAACCAGGCGCATCAATTTAGGATGCGCCCTGCAACGCGGATTTCATTTCAACCAAATAACCAACAGACCAAACGTGTACTCGAGGTGAGCACCCGAGCTGCTGCTACACCTAAAATCCGACACCGCACTCACCGAAACGCGCTAAAAGGGGACTGAGAAACACGAGAACCTGCAGATTAGTCACAGGTGGGAACTGACAGGACAACGCCGATGAGCTGTAAGTGAGTTGAATATTATACTTAGGTACCCGTCTGGTCTATCTCAGACACGCCGGCGATAAGCAACCTATAATTAGGCGAACGAAGAATGCACCAGCAGGAGCTTCCCTCGCAGATTCACTCCTGCAATTGATAGTGGTCAAATGAAAGACATTTAGGAGATGATTTGATAAAGTGAACTGTAGCAGGTGGGTATGCTAAATTCAGTTTGTTACTTTTCTTTGGCCATTAATTACTTTCACAGCTCACTCAGTACTGGGGTCTCGAGGTGTCGAAGAAACAAGTGGGATAGATCGAAGTTTGAATAAGGATCGTGTGGCTATTTGGAAACAACAATGATGATTTAAATTCGATGACAGGCCCAAGTGATGTTGGTGCGGGCAACACGGCAAATAATATGTACATGCAAAGTACATATTTGCCATTCTCCAAAGGTACATAAGAGGTGAATGGAGCATCTATTCTACTTGGCATTCCCTCCTTAGCTTCTCAGGCCTGAAAAGGTGCGCTGACCGTGTGCGGCTTGCTTTCCATAGACCTGACCGTGGTCTTGCAAGCCCCGTAGTTGCAATGGAGGGAGCCCATGTATTTAGTGAGATGGTGTGGGTGGAGCGCCCCCTTGAATGTGATCTCTACTATGGTGTTATATTTACATGTTGGGTGCTGTGTGTTTTGTCAATTGAGGGCTTGCGTGTTTTATTCAAGAGTTTCTGTCTGACTTTCCTGCTCTATCAAAAAATACAAACATCAGATGAATTTTGGTAAACTAGTGCATCTCAGTGCAATAAAACTTGGTCCAATGATGTGAAACAAAGACAATATGGTATGCAAATAAGAAAAAAAATCAGAATGCAAAAGGAAAAACTTGGGATTCAGAGAGGTAACAAACAATGTAGTTCACAAATAGAAAAAAAAGCTAGAATGAGAAAGGAAAAGCTTGATATGTGCATTACTGGTAAATGCTTGGGATTCAGGAAGGTAATGAATATTCATGGTCCAATGTATCAAAAAAAGAAAACATCAACGCTTTACCCCAGGAATATTTGGATCTGACCAAGGCTCCCAGATTATATAACTGCACAAATGGTGGGAAGATGAAGGTGCTGGGAGTGAAGGCAGTTTAGATTTTAGCTTTGTGTCCTGAAAGTCATTTGGGAAAGGTTGCGTTGGTAAATTGTGAATGTGACTCCAGTTGCCAGATGCAATGTCAGTGAGATTGGAAGTATTTACTAGAGAAATGGATTCAAGCCATCAGCACTATCAAACTGAAGGCAGAAACTTGAATGCTCACCATTGAGAATTTTACACTCCTCATTTCCCCTTGTCATTCTCACCACTATGATAAGGTCTGAGGGGTTGATTGTTTGGATGGTATAATCAGATGGGATCGCCAGATTCACTTCCCCTCCAATCATCTCCATCTCCATACTGTCCCCTGCTTCACCTCTTGCAGCATTGGCCTCTAGGGGCCCATTTCCATGAAATCTCTGAGGGGTGTCCTGGGAGACAAAGGTATACATCACTACATGAGCAAGCTCATGAATAATAACTACTTTGAGGAGGAAGTAGATGAGACTGTCCAGACTATCCAAGTAGATTAGATATTTTACAGTACATATAGCATGGCAAAAGAACAAGCTTACCTCTGGCTTTCATCAGTGTCACATTTCTGAATCAGCTCACAGATATCAGCATTTAGTGAAAATTCAAGAGGCAAGTGTTGCCTTTCCTGAATAGACACTGCTTGCCAAGGCATCTGATACATAAGACAGTAGTGAGGAAGGGTGATAGGGTTTGGGGTTTCCCCATAAGAGCCATGCATGGCCTTCAGCCTGACATCAGGAGGGTAGGATTGCAAATATGTTACAATTTCATCAAGCCTATCCACAAGATCTTCCTCAGTTGGATTGTGTTCTCCAAATGTCATTGTTGCCAGGTGTTGCAGGCCATTGTTACTTCCCAGGAGGATGTTCCAGCGCAGAGCTGAGAAGATCTTGGATGTTCTCACTGTAGATTCTGACTGAGTGGTCCTTGGGACCAAAATATATATTGAAAGGCTCCAACCCTCCACTGACATTATCCTTGATTCATTGGAGTCAGAACTCAACAAACAAAATAGGGGAAGGAATATGCTGCTCACATTCTCACTGTCTTTCCTTCCTTTCTTTCCCTTCAGGAATCTCAGGGAGGACTTCCAGTGCACTACACATTGTGACATAATGAGTTGTTGAACTGGAGTGAAGGTAGAGGTGGCAAGATTCAAGTTTGTTTTGCCACTATGGACCAAATGCACACCTTGACATTACATAAGCTTAATCCTTAAAGTTCCAAGACGTGCGTCTCAGCTTCAGTCCAGCAGGTACAAAAAACTACATCATCTGAACCATATTTCAAGCAATGCATGATATGCTGAGCAACAATAAAAAACAGAAACAACAGCTATGCCATAAGATGTTTAAGTGCAACAACGTGCATTTCCCGTCTCCTGAGGAGATCTGCGTGCGAGATCATGTTTCTAAGGTCGAGTTCCAGCTATACCCCAATCGGTTAGGGTAGGGACGTGAAGAACAATCGAAGAACTTGCCTGAACTAATTTATCAGACTGCCACATCCTGGTAGGCAGGTTCTCTAAAGAGACATAAACGGCGGAGTTAGATTCACATTCTAGAAGCTCCTGTTCGTTGCTGCGAAGGATGCCTAGGGCAACGCGGAAGAGAACATCGACTCCATCAACCAGAAAGACGTCCCATACTCTGAAAAGCGTCTATTAAAGAGTCAGATAACACAGCACATACGCATATATGCTACTTACCTCTATTGGAAGGCAATCCGTGAAGAGCGACAAAAACCAAGAGAAGCAGATGGCTGGAAGGTCGACACCAAGTGAGGTCAAATGTGCATAAAGTCTCGGCATGGTCTCCTGCACATATTCAAGGAGAACGAGGGGACATGCACGAGATGGTAAAAGTGAAGGCGAAAAGAAGTCATCCGGAAGTATCCGTTCAATGATTGCTGAGAGCACCCAAAACGCCTCTTCTTCATCGGCATGCACTAGCAACAAAGTCGAAGTTACTAGATTCATACCCTGGCAATACCCCACAGCAGGGTTGCGGCTGCGGACGCCATGTTAACAGAAGCACCAGATTGACACGATGATGCGACTCACCGACTATATGCTCTGAGCACGCGACGAAGCTTGTCAACTCCGGCGCCGTCACCTCCAAAAAAGATGTTGAGCGGCATAGTCCTACCAACATCCTTCTCAATTTCCACACAAACCAAATCGTGCTCGTCGACATGAGCCAGCAAGTCGCCAAATATTCCAGGTTCCCGCATATCCAAGCCTCCGCTGCATTCCAGCCAGAGCTTGGAGCGGTACACTAGGGGTATGCCTCCTCGCACTAACCGATCGAATTCTTTCCTCTCGTGAGTATTCGACGACAGGCCCAGTTGAGCAAAACCGATGAGGCCCTCCGAATGGGATAATTCTTCTTCCTCAACTGAAGTGCCCAAGCCAAGAAGAGCGGCAGCACCGCCTCCAGAGTTCATAACCGTAGGCAGGATATTCTTGGGCAATTTCACTTTGCTGCGTTGCTTTACAAATACATCCCATTCTTTCCTCTTGGCGCTCTGATTCTGATCGTGACTCTTGGTCATGTCATCGAGAAGATGTCGGATAACATTAGCGCAAACATGGCGAGGCGTGGACTGGGTCACAGTCAGAATCGCAGTGCTAGAGTGAAGCATGGATATGACAAGAGGTGTGGCTGTGGACGTGACAGTGGTGGAGCGGGGCCGGGAAGATGACAACGAAGCACTGCTGCCTCCTGGAGGGGGAGATGCTGCTCCGGCCTTACCACTAGAAGGACCAGATGAAACTGGTGAGATCGGATTGCCTTCTCCGTCGCAAGTGCAAGAATCCTTCACGATCTCAATCACATTCTTCTGGTTGTCGTCATCATCGTCTGACCAAGAGTTACTTTCCTTGCGATCGGCAATTTTGACGCCAGTCAGGCAGGCAGGGGCGGTGTTGCCACATTCCCTTGCCCGAATGAGTAGCAAGACATCGTACTGCGAGACGTCATAAATGAAGCCATAACGATCCGTAAGAGGCTGTTTGCTTTCATCGTCGCGGTAAACTGTGAACCGAGACGCACTGGTAGGAAGAGGAATGGTGAAGTTGAAGTGCGGGGCAGTGAGAGGGGTGTACGTGCGCGAAAGGTAATGAGTTGGAGGCTTCGCAGTCGCAGGTATAATGGACTCTAAGGCGACCGAACTGGGTTTATTCGCTGAGTGTTGCTGTTGCACTGGAATGTTACTCGGTCGTGCAGTGGACATTGTGCCCTCGCTTGACGTTTTCGTGCTTGCTTCTACAGCAGGCAAAGATTTCTTATGCTGTGGCATGAAGGAACCGAACAGGGGCGATGCGAAAGGCGAAATCATATTTGCTCCCCGTGACCTGGATTTACGAACGGCTTTACCTTGCGTAGTCAACGTGCGGTTCAGAGCCATGCTTGCATCTGTGCCCTCGATAGGACTGAGAGTTGCGTGCACTGTTATCTGGTCTCCTATCTCAGCCTTATTTGATCTATGTTCCCTCTTCTCTCGAAGCTTCTGGGGTTCGCGGAATGATACATGCTCGTCTCGTGCACGCTTAACAAGCTCGAGAGCCAATTGAGCAATCAAAGGGCTTGTCTCTCGGCCATGATCAGTCAAGATGCTACCTGGATCCGAGGTCATAACTCGAGTAGCATGTGCAATGGCACGGAGTGATGCCCCTTGCGGCAGCTTTTCCTCGGTCAAGGAGGGAGAGGTAGTAGAACTCCCTGATCTTGGATACGGGACTCCGACAGTTGCTAGATGTGGTGTAACAGGTGCAGGAGCAGAAAATGTGCTCAACGCGGGGGAAGAGCTCACAGAAGACTTTGTGTCATCTATGCGTGCTTTGAATGACGGCTCTACTACAGGTTTTGAAGTTGATGCCGGTCTTGTGGTAGAAGAGGACGACGCGGTAGGGTTGAGTATAGAAATACCCAAGCTCTCAAACACGCTTCTGCTGGTTTTCCTGCGTGAAAGACTGTTTGGGACAGTCGGAGTAACGGAGGAAAGGGATTCAGAATGTGGGGATGAGTCTCGAGATGATTGCTTTCCAGGAACTCGGGGAATTTCCTTTACAGAAGTCGTGTCCAGCACCCGATGGTGTTTATGTTTCCCTTTCTGCCACCAGGTACCCATCCAAGATGCTCTATCATTCCTGGCGTGATGAATAGAAGCCATATGTTCTGGCACAATCTCGGCAACCCTGGCAACGGGCGGTACAGTGGCTTCGGAGACTAACGTAGCCACTGATTTATCAGCTGCCGTGGACCCTATCCTATCAACGGTTGCCTCCGGCTCAACGTACGGTACTTCGCTGGTTTGGGGCGATCGTACAGACGTGGCAATGGGAGTCGATGCTAAAGGAGTCACAGTATCATCCGGAACGCTACGTGAAAGCAAAGTGTCATCCTCGATGGCTTCCGTCAACGATGTCTTAAGTGACTGTGTAACGGATCAGAGCGAATAGGGTGCAAGTAAAGTAGACCAACACACAGCAATGCTTCCGTGACGTTGAACTCGATGGCGCGTCTCGTCATCACCAATGAAGATCGATTGTATGACCCGTTTTGCCACTTCTCGTTCAGAGGGTAGCAGCTCTGATAACAAGGTTTCAGCACGTTCTTTGCGTGCTGCCTCCTTCTCTTGTAACAGTTTTCTATGTTCTTCAAGCTCTATTCTGGCCCTTGACAAACTGTGGAGAGTGGATGAAAGCACACGAAGTGCGGTATGGTATGGATGAGTGTCAACATCTGATGGGGACTCTGCGACGGTGAATCTGGATATTGCAGCCTGGATGGCCTCGTCTGAGTATTCGTGCCACTTATTGGCAAGTACTTGTGTAGTCACTGACAAGGATACCTCTGAGGTGCCATCCGAAAGAGCGGTCCTCGGAGGGAGTGAGCCTGGAGGAACAAGAAAATTGGTATCAAAAGGAGGTCCAATGATAAATCGTGGCGCTTGGTGCACTGGTCTATCCCAAAGTGCCGAAAGCGAGTTGGAAGATATTCCACGACCTGTCACTAGTTCTCCGCTGGACCCGCTTGCATCAGGCTTGCCAAATCCGCGAACGCTGCCGTCCCAATTTGCCCGGATATTGGCGCCCTTGTTTTCTGGTTCCACTAGTGTCTCTGACTGAGTTTTTAGAGTAAAATAATTGTTAGGAGGCCGCGTTTCGTCTACATCATGAGCTCCACGCGTTCTGCGCCCTCGTGACGAAATTTCGTTCGGGGAGAGAGGGTGCAAATGCACGGGAGTAGTGACGGGCGAGGCTTGTGAATTCATTCGCTTAGGTTCCAATTGAAACTTGGCATTATTCCTGGCTGGCTAGTGCTAAAGAAATGACTCAAGAGACAGGATGAGAGAGGGTTTGGACCGTGAGACAAACTTGTGTGGCATTGGCAAGCAAGCTCCTCATCGAGTAAATCTTAAAGTACTAACATAATCTCGTCGATGAGCTGGTTTAGCCGTTCAAGCTCTGAACAATCTCCAGCTGCAACAAGGCAGGACCGCCAGAAATGCTGGGAAAGTCGTGACCAATACTTTGAATGCCTGGATGGCGCTGGTGTTCTAACTGCCGGAGAAGAAGGGACAGCATGCACCAAATCAAAGTTTCAGTATGAAAAGAGCTGTGCCAAAAGCTGGGTGAGTACAACGATACAACGGTTCGTTCATCTGGTTGATCTGAACGCTGAGCATCAGATTGATTATTTCAACAAAAGGAGGGTTCTCGCTGAGAAACAGAAGGATATGCTTGCACAGTCTCAACTCCAATCGCAGGAGGCCAAGCGCAAACTATAGTTCTCCTTGCGTACGAGAAATTCTGCGCATTCTGTTTAGGCAGAATACTTATGAATGAATTCGCACCACAGCACCACCCCGGCCTGACTCATCCACTCCCAAATTTCGCAAGCTGTAGTCCGTGATTACATTCTTTCGCATGAAACAAGCAGACTGCTTCTGATTCCCAATTCCTCAATTTTAGATACCATTTCATTGTTATCAAAAGTGGCGTTCTCGATATCGGACAATTCGGTTGTTTCATCATGTGCCCATTTTCTCATGAAGGAACTATCCTTATGCCGCATCCTCCGAACCGTTCCTGTGCTATATAAAGGGCATCGCCCACCAAGTGTGGCTAACGCAGTGTTGATTTTGATTCTCGCATCCGAGACATCTACCAACTTGATACCTGAAGACAGACCAATTTCAAAATGACAATTAATAATGGTTGACCGCCGCGTTGTTCGGTCCCTGACCCACTTGCCATCAACCTATGACCCAAGCAGTACAATAGTTCATGCTGCGCTTGCAAATGGTGGATACGTTGATTTTCAACTCGTTCCACGCCGAATAAGTAGTCTGAATTTTATATTAGCTAGCTGTGTTCTCCTCGGAGAATGATGAAACATCATCAAGTTCCGCTTTGTGGCTACTTCTGGCACTAGGTCTCAGATGCCACCAAGGAATGATGCCCACATTCTCATGACCTCTGTTTACAGATTTTCTTTTCATATCTTCCTCCCAGATCTCACCTGTGTCACCTACTTCAAGGCGTCTATCCGATATCCACATGAATACCCGCAGGCTGATGTGCGTCAATGATTTGCGCCGGCTGGCTCAGAATCATAGGCGGTACGGGTTCCATCTATAATTTCCGGGCACAGGATGGAGTGGACTATACTTGGCCTCATCAGCTAGTGTTATCCGTTTCTAATAATGCTCACGCGAGGTTCATCGGGACGGACGACTGAGCTTCAACTGTGGGTACATATATACTACCGTTTCCTGATCTACTTAGACCTTAGCCCCCTCTCATATTCGGCTGTGGTCACAGGCTTAGATATCGATGTCTTGGTTGAAAGCTAAAGACTGGGCATCGGGTGTGGAATACTCCAACCTATTTCACTCAGGTCTGCGAGCTATCTCCCTCCGCTCCCTCATAGGCACTCGAACACGGGCTCAGTCTACAGCCCCGATTCCTTCACCACAAAAGACGAAGCGGAGATACTCTCTCTCTTTGTCATCTTGTCTGCTCAGGCGAAATACCTCAACTAAGAGTCCTCCCACATCCAAATCTAGTCTGTCCCCGCCTTGTACAGGAAAGGGAGTGCGTCCACGACCGTCGTCTATGTTCGTACGTCCCACTAAGGAGCTGAGTGAACTCTGGGAAAAGGGTGGGAGCTTTTTTGATGACATCGGTAGTCGTCAGAAGTTGATGTGCGCTTACTCTCTGCCACTACCACTGATTTGGGCACCACTGATATCACATCACACAGCCAAGATGGAGCTGATGGTTTACTTTTGCCCATCGTGGACTTAGAAGATCCGTTTTCTTCATCGCCTCAGTCAAGATCGTTTTATGTGAATCTAGGGGACCCATCGCCTCTTCCACCCAAAGAAGAATCTTTCCTCTCTTTGTCAAATGAACTGGATATCCCCTATCGACAACCCCGTCGCCAGCGTCCGCTCTCTACCCCAATTATGCCTCTGCCTTCTTGTAGGTTTTCTGGGCACTACTGGCGCGAGCGCAGGGAACGTATCGATCCTGCTTGGATGCTGGAAGAGTCAAGTCCAGAGTTGGAGGCACAAGACGATGGAGGGAATGCTGATGTCACAGAAATAAATCTTGACGGCGTGTCGGATTGGCGCCAGTTCCACGTTGATTGGCTCCAAAACGAGCCTGCTGTGCAGTTGACTACCGATTTAGAGATCTAATCGTTGCCCCTTTATCCTATTATACTGTATGTAATTCACCTTGTATCCTTATCACGTAGACTTGTATTACTTGCCCCGTACTTCACATACACACATCATTCTCTGCCTTCTTATGTTGGCGACACTTAATTTAATACATTGTCTATGATTTTGACGAGTTGCCGAGAATAGCATCCAAAATAAGCAAGGTTTAAATTATGTAATAGAGGTGCCTATCGTGACCCATGCTCATACAGCAGTGACTGGTCACTTTCATTCGTCCGCAGTGGTGAGATATCTGCCTGTTAATACGCCGTGAAATGTTTACAAAGTTTACTGACAATGGCTTGTTTCTCTACCATCAGGACACTCTAAACCTGTGTATTAAAGCATTATCTGCTTCAGCAGCGAAGATTCAAATCAGGCGCCGCGGCTATCCTGTACTCACACGACAGGAGTACAATAATCACTCTCCAGTTCCAACAGACATATCTTCTATTTCACTCTCACAGAGTTAGGCTCTTCGTGTGCGGTCACCATGCCTGCCAAGTACTCACACGTGAAGAAGAGGACGACAAACCCCAAGAAAAAGGCCACTGCCACGATTCAGTCCGGGAAAGACAGCAATCGTCACAAAAAGCTCCCCAATCACCTTGACAAGACGATTACAAATGCCATGTCGGCGGTTTCGCAGCTGGAGCGTGCTATCGCGAAGATCTTCTTGATCCGTTTCGAGCAAGATATTGCGCGCCTGTTTTCAACACACATATTCTGTGTGGCTCTTATTCACCTACCCACGTTCATGATGCGTTGCATTACCGTCGGCGGGCCCAGCTGGGTCGCTCATAATGCGGATTGTGAGGAGATCAAGGACTTCTTCCGTTCGGTCGTTAGTATGGACTTGCGACAGGCTGGAGAACGAGTTTCGACAAAGAGCGTCTTGTGGTCCTATACGGCTTTGAGAGAATTTGTGCGGTTCTGGTCTCATTTTCCTATAATAGCGAAAGCTGATTATTAGCTGTCTTAGGCACTTTCTAATAATGTTCCTGTGTGCCGGAAGCGTGGCCTACACTCTCTTCGTCTACTTCCTCACTACGACTCGCTGAAGGTGCATATGGACTCCCTGGAGGCAATGCCGCATGCAGCATTTACTAAACCACCTCACCTCGGTGCCCTTACAGAAGGCTTGGAGGCCTTGGAAGAGGCGTGCGAGTTGAAGTACGGGGAAAAGTCCCCGTTAAGGTCCACCCCACCTCCTGGATGGGATCATCAGTGGCGTATAAAAGTACGCATGGGATATGAAAGGGTCGCTCAAACTCTCTGGCGAGTGGCCCGGGAGTTTGATGTCAGTGGATACGGCTGTGTGCTTCGGGAGAAGCTTACCACGAAGTGGTGCGACTGTGGATGTTCCACGGATCACCTGGGCGAGGTCTGTGAAAAGACGGTACGGGAAGATGAGGAGGGGAGCGGCGTCAGATCCGGTAAGCAAAGAGAATGGGATGGGCGAGGTATGTCATTTAGGCGGTGTAATGGTAAATATGTGACATGGCTTATAGGAAGCGGCGTGTTGGGTTGGGAGACCGAGGAAGAAGAGGATATATGGGATATCGATCTTGATTTTGGCGGGAGCGATTCTGAAGATGGGGATGGGTTTGGGTCCGAAATGACCGTTGCTCAAATGATGGAAATCAGGTTTATCAAGGCAGAAAGAGAGAAAGAATTCGTGGGTATTGTCCTGAAAAACAGTACAATAACATTCTCATCTGCATGATCTTAGGGTAACGCCGCATTCCGGCGAGGCGAGTATCAACGCGCCGTAAAGCACTACAAGGCAGCACATTCAATTGAACCAGAACTGCCTCATTATCAACTCAACCTTGCCGCGGCTCACCTAAAACTCAACGAGTATGTCACAGTCCTTCTGATGTGTACCTCATTCTCAGATAATTCATAGCTGGCTTGAAGCTGAAGAGGCATGCACAAAAGCCTTGGGACAGCATCGAAGCATAAAGGGCTATTATAGACGCTCGAAAGCGCGTCGAATGTTGGGTAAGCTAGATGACGCTGTGCAGGGTGGGTGTGTTTTTGAATTGCCTCTGCGAGGTGCTGAGCTGCTGTCAGATTTACGTGCTGCACTGAAAATACAGCCTTCAAACAATGAAGCGCTGGATGAATTGCTGTCTATTCTTCCGCCCGACGATTCATCACGTTTAGCTCCTTCATCCTCATCTCTTGCGACATCCTCCTCCAGTACTTCACCAGCCCCCCGAAATGCTGGCTCACTATATGACCACCTGCATTTACCCAAACTGAAGCAACCCAAACAGTTACCGTTTGCTCGATCTAGCAATGATGATAGGAAAATTAAAATCTCCTCGATCCCAGTGTCATATGAAGTTCCGTTGATGCCTGCCGGGAAGACTTCGACAGAGCTGAAGTCGAAGGATCTTAAAACAAGGACGGAGTCGTTCATCTTTCCAAGTTGGGAGAAGTACACGGTCAGGCTGGCTACTGGCTGAGTGTATGCAACCTATTTTTCCGGACTGCGTGTTTTGTATGCAGGCTTGTTTTGTTGTCACTTTATGAGGACCACCTTGGATTTTTGGCGATATTGATGATTTGATTGTCTTGTGTTCGATCTACGTACTCGTAGAAATATGTTTTACACAGCCACTGGTGTCGTCAGCGGGGAAACAGGGGAAAACTCCATTCAGATTCAAAACTTGTTACGTTATGGAAAGCCTCGTCGCAACTGTTCCTACTCGAGCGCTTACAGCTGTTTGCAAAAAGGTTGACAGTAGCGACATTTTGAGAAGGAACAAAACAAATAAATAATAGCCACATACATAGGGTCAAATAACACGCGCATATACTTGCAAACGCTTGACGCAATGTATGCCTCCCGTTTCGCGCCAGAGCTCGAGGATCCGCCAGAACGTGCATTCTGAATCTCCGACGCAAGCAAGAATGTCTTCGAGTGCAAGGTGTTGATGCTTGTGAAGATTAATTGCGGCTAGTCGTGACTGATTTTCCGATACATGATGGTCAATTTGTGATGTATGTATGTGGCTATTAATCTATTATTTATTTGTTTTGTTCTTTTCTCAAAATGTCGCTACTGTCAACCTTTTTGCAAACAGCTGTAAGCGCTCGATATCGAGGTTACATTATGAGCGTAGATGGCCAAATATAATATTCATTCATATGCGGTCGCCCAAGCTACCTGATCCAATATATCTCATCATCAACGCTTCTTTTTTTTATTCTCTCAGCTTTGACATCTAGTCTTAGAACTAACGATCACTGTGGATTGCCACTGGATCTCACTGCTGCTTGACCTCCGATGGGAACGGCGATATCTTCGGCGACATGCAATGTGGAGTTTCTGCATGAGGTGCGGTCATTTGACTCGCTTGTGGTCACAAAAGATGACACGTTCACTAATTCTTAAACGCCAAGGATATCGACAGTTCGTGCACCTGGCAGTGGAGCTCTCGCTTCCTAAAACGTTTAGGCGCTTTGAGCGAGAGAATAAAAAGATGTCCGGGAAAAGTTTATAAAACGGCCGCTCTGCTTCAGAACATATATCGCTCACCTTTAAATTTGCGTTCGATTTACGTTTCACGTTCTTATTGCTGAGCACTATCCCTTGAAATATGTCCGCCGCTCACGAGAAATCTGACGTTGTGGTGGAAGAGAAGCAAGTCGCTCTCAGTTATGATGTCTTGTCTCAAGTCAGTCATGCAGAAGGCATCGGGAGGGACTATGAACTCAAGTGTAATCTCAGTAAGCAAGGAACATTTAGGCCTTTCATGTACTGGTTGGCAACTTGTTGCTCATTGGATCAGTCAATAGATGTTTTCAAGAAGAGTGCGTAGAGCACAATTACAGTCTCGTGGCAGATAACTCAAGCTCATCCCACCGAACAGGATTGGCTTTGGTCGCTATCAATGGCAGCTCTTTGTTATTACTGGTCTAGGATGGCTCGCAGACAGTGAGATAAGAGTTGCACATATAGCACGTGTCTCGTCTGATTGGTCGCTGCTACTAGATCTCTGGCTGCAAGGTTTGGCGATTGTTCTTCCCCAGGTACAACAGGAGCTTAATCCGGTTCGGGTCGAGTACGCTGTCCTGGCAGAATTCGCTGGATTGATTGTTGGCGCCACAACATGGGGCATTATGGCTGACCTTATCGGAAGAAGGTTATCTTTCAATGTAAGTTACGTACAGAAAGTTGTGGGAGACTTTTTGATTGGCGACTGAAAGATCACACTCTTTCTCGCCGGCGTCTTTGGATTGGCAGCAGGAGGTGCACCGAATTTTGTGACATTTTGCTCCCTTATAGCATGCATGGGCTTTGGAGTCGGCGGCAAGTGAGCACATCTGTATCTGTAGGTGTAAAATTGGATCTAATCACACTCGACATCGGTGTTGGTATTTGCAGTTTGCCTGTTGATGGTAAGTGACATTCTGGCCAACAGACCTCATAATTTATTATCTATGCACTTGAAGGCGCTCTATATTTGGAACATATTCCACAGTCTCATCAGGTGCGTCGGTGTCCGCAACATTTTATCAGAGTTTAGGCATTAAATCTCTGAGCCCTAGTGGACTTTAACTCTTCTGTCGGTCTGGTGGGCGTTAGGACAATTGGTAGCATCTTTAATTAGTTGGGGTTTCATTGCCAACTTTTCCTGTATCCCGTCGATACCGGCTGGCCAATGCGCCAAATCTGCCAACATGGGATGGCGATACACATTGTAAGCCGTGTCTTAGTGACATTGTAGTGCACAAGATTGGTACTCATGCCTGTCTCTAGGTACACCCTGTATGTTTCTAATCACTTGCGTCAGTCCTACCTAATATCTCTATTAGCGGAGCTTTGACGTTCTTGATGTTCATATGCCGCTTCTTTGTTTTCGACGTGCAGGAGTCGTCGAAATTTCTGGTGGCGCAAGGTCGCGACGAAGAAGCCATCAAGGTTTTAACATAATACTACAGATTGTTGTCGGGCTCAGCTGAATGTTTCCGCAGGTCTTGGAACATATTGCAAGGCGTAACGGTAGAACCATTACGCTCAAACTCAAAGATCTGCAGGCAATATCTGGTGACACAACATCCAAGCCAGTACCGAATTTGTCCACCAACGTCCGGAATGCCTTTTCTGGAATGTCGCTGTATGTCGTCTGCTCTAACATCATATCAGTTACTGAGTCTGCTGCAGCTCGCATGTCCGTCCGCTCTTCTCTAGTAGGCGCTTGGCGATTAACACGACCCTTATCATCATTATCTGGGGGTGTGTACACCAAAAAATTGTGTATTCGCCTTTGTTGACTTGTGGATGTTCAGTTTAATTGGCATCGCATACCCACTTTTCAATGCATACCTCCCACTTTATCTTTCTGCAGACAGTTCAACATCCGGTTCGTCAAGCGTGAGCGAGACATACCGCAACTACTCAATCGTGTCCGTCCTTGGCGTCCCCGGGTCTCTCATTGCCTGTGCGACGGTAGATTATACTCGTGGCACTGGTCGGTGGCTCGTAGGGGGACGGAAATTTGTGTTGGCTGTGTCGACCATGCTGACTGGACTCTTCCTCTTCTTGTTCACAACGAGTAAGACAACAGCTGCAGTGCTCGGGTATTCTTGTGCCTCAGGTCTTACCCAGTGCGCAATCAACACTGACCTCATTAAACGCACATGCTGATTACACACACAGGAATGCGGTGCGGGTGATTTACCGAGTTGAGTATCATGCACTAATTCTTCCCTTTTAGATGTATGGGTCTTGTATGCGTATGTGAGTGATATGCTGGAGGAGCTGCCCGAGATCTCGAAATGTGACCCCAAATCTTACAGACCCCAGAGGTCTTCCCGGCACCTCACCGTGGTACGGGTGACGCGCTCTGTTCTGCGCTGAACCGCATCGGCGGATTTATCGCTCCTCTTATCAAGATTGCCACAACACCGCTCGATGGCAGTGTATCAGCAAACACAGCAAATGGGTGCGCCGTGATCGTGTCCATCTTTGTAAAGCTAATAATGGCCTTTGTATCTTGCAGTCCTGTCTTTGTGTCTGCCACATTGTTTATGGTTGCAGCCGTCTTGACGATATTGCTTCCTATCGAAGTGAGTCCGTGGATCTGGCGATCTCTACATGCACCTGATGTCTCATCTTATAGACTGCAGGCAAGATGGCTTTATGAGTCTCATGCACACGGCATACTCCAATATCAGGGTTGAGCCCGGGATGATTCGAATCTCGTGTCTAGTCATATAAAACATACATTTATCAATCGATTGCGAGACAGTCCCAACAGATTAACATAAAACAGAACAAAACAACAAGGAAATAAAACAACAACATAAGTCAGGGAAGCACATACATCAGTGATACAGTAGCGAGCAAACAAATTATCCTTGATATTTCTTGATTAAGTCCCTGAGACGCGCCTGACCAAATCCAAGGTCACCAGGGGTGCGAGTAACTCTGGGAATGGGAGTTTTAACAACACTTCTAAGATCTGATATTGTCTCCGAAATCATTGGGGGTAGAGGGCGAGATGCTGGAGTCCGGGGGTTGGGTGATGCACGAGCAAGAGAAGCGGTAGACGAAAGCATGGGCACGGCATGAGACGATGAAATAACAGCAGGAACTGTTGTGGCTTTAGTAGCCTTCCCGCGTCCCTCCCTGCTCGTATCGGCCGGACCATGGGTTTGCGATGTTGACAGCGAGGACTTGACGGGTAACTTTCCACCATGGTTAACAAGTTTCTTCATGGGCTGAGAAGCCCCATTTTGCTTTGCCTGTGTCTGCATCGTATCCGCTTTTGCGGCCCACAGCGAAGCAACTTCAGTGACCCTGCCGCCTTTCCCTCCGCGTGCAGAGCGGACGTCATACTTCACCCCTGGGCCAAGCGGTTGAGGGGAATAGCGGGGGTGATGAGGCGATAAGAAATGACGAGCAACTACAGCCATGGGATCAGCCCTTGCGGTGTCGGGGGATTTCGGTCCTGCAAGAGGTGTGCTCCCAATAGGTGTTGCAATGGTTGACTGGCCTGCCGACATCCTTCTCAAGATTGGACCCGGTACCAACGACTCCGCAGCGAGATTTTTCTTTTCCGCATCAGAGCTACTATGCATATTTTCCGGTGCAGGCGTAGTAGAGTGTCGAGTGCAAGCAGCCTTGAGCGTGGAAATAGTCACAAAGCCAGATGAGCGTGGGTTGGGAGTTGCAGAAACGTCGACGTTGATTGATGTTCCTGCAGGTTCTTGATCGCCAGACGAGGGCAACAGGTCTTCCGATGATGGTGGTAGCGCGAAAGGCTCGTTGTCAGTGATGGGAACGAAGTGGGATGCAGTGGGCGACATCGTAGATAACGAATCATCCACAAGCGGTGGGCTTGTGTCGATCTCCCCTAGCCATGCTGCAATCCGCCCTTTAACCTCACTGCGCAGTTTCCGCATATCGCCCTCCTTGCCTCTCTTCCGCTCCCGCTTCTGCGCGACCCGCCTCTCATCGTCCTCATCGCTATATTTGCTCTTCGCTCTTCCCCGTCCCCTCTGGGTGCGTACCTCGCGTTCATCATCACTCTGGCTGTGACGGCCACCTCGGTGTTGCGTCCTCTCATCCGAATCATGATCCTGCTCTTGCTCTCGTTCGTCTTCGTTACCTCGCAAGAAAGCGTCACGATCTGCAAGTGTCAGGCTCGATATGGCGCTGTCATTCACACCCGCGGGAGCCCCACTGGCTGGAATCTTGATTGGCTGCACCACGCTGCGCACGTCCGGGCGCAGCTCACCTATGTCTTGACGGCGTGTCCCTACCTCCGCAAGCAGGCGTCGCTCGAGGGCGTCCAGGCCGCTCTCTTGCAGGACGCCCTTGGCGTACTTAGTGCTCAGGCCAGATAACTCAGCCGGTGCGCGCGGGAATTTCACAGGAGTTATAGCTGCAAGTGGTGGCGTCGGTGGAGGGGGAAAAGCGAGCTCCAACTCAGGCTTGGGCACAGAGCGAGCGGGAACAGTAGTATCGGGAAATGCTGCCCGGACGTGCTGTTGAACACGTAATGGTCGTTTACCGGAGGGAACAGGAGGAATAGGGAGCGTCTTGTCTACGTTCGAGTCTACATTTGCCGCGCACTTTGGAAGATCTGCGCTTAGATCGCCGCTATGCCTGCCGACTTCGTCTGCCATGCGTTCCAAGGCACACACATTTTCGCTGCGTGGAGAAGGGCCTAAGTAGGACTGTTTTGGTGAAGGGATGGGGCGTGGTGAGTGCAATACACTTTGAGAGTCGTGAGGATTAGGGAGGGTGGGGATCTGGATTGTGCCAGGGTGCGAGCGACCAGGGGACACGTGTTGAGCAGAGGGCTGAGACAAGGGAAACCTGTGCGATAGTGGGGAGACTGAGCGGTGTCGAGAGGATAGACGCAGCGTTTGGGAAATGCGAGATGCACGAGTGCCTTTACCCTCTTCCGAATCCGCGAGGAACTGAGGGCTGCTTTCGGCAGCCTGTGGAGGGCAATATGACATAGGTGGATGGGGAGGCAGAAGATGGGCTGCTGGTGTAGGAAGACCTGATGATAAGCTTGTGTCATAATACAGGCATCTGAGGGTGAGGTTCGGCCGATGCTGGTCGAGGTGGTAGTGGTATATAGTGTTGGAAGTGCGGATTAGATGAAAATGAATCCCGAGGATAATACTGCTCCGAAAATGCAGGAGTGAAAGACTTATAATCCGCAATTAGAGACGGTGGTGGCCAGTACGTATGTAGTGGGTCGTATTGCTGTGATGAAAAATGAGGATCCACGTAGGATGCACCAGGAGGCGGTGAGAGCGGATAAGCGTGTGTAGGAGGTGATGCATACGGCTGTGGTAAAGTTGCAGGGACGGCGTAGGGTGACGCATGTGCTCTAGGTACGGCCAAAGGATGGTAAATGACCAGCGGAATTATAATTATGACAGGCTCGCTGGAGGTACTTCATTAAAGCGTTGCCCAGGAATGAGAGTGACACGACGCACCTCCCAATAGGCATATCAATCCGGAGTCTCAGGCTACAAAGAACTTCGAACAAACAGTCAGTTGGGTTTGCATCCTCACCGACGCGAGCACCGCCGCGAGATCCACGAGAAGACCGAGGAATATTAATCACTAAGTTGGCAATGCCTTCGATGTCAGGGGGGACCATATACTCGTGACCCCTGAACTCGACCTCAGTTACTGTGTCGGTTATTTTAAACGCGTCCTTATCCGCAGAGGGTGACGATAGTCGAAGTTCACGAGAAAGTGTGAGTGTAACCCCAGACGTCTGCAAGGTTCATGCTAAGTTAATCCCATAGAAAACGAGAGTCAGCACGACAAACCCAGTTGAGTGAATGATTCTTCAGGTGCAACTCGACACAAGCGACCTCCCCAGCGACGATGGGACCATTCATGACAAAAGCTTGGGCCCAAATGTTTCCACCCTCGGCGACAGCGAAGCCTTGAGGGCGCTTCGACGGTGCTCGGGTATCGCAATATTCGACTACGTTGACGTTTTGGTGATCAGTCACGAGACGCTTCTCTCCTCTCCAAGCAACGCCCACGCTCGCTCGTATTTCATATCGTATTTGAGCAGGACCGAATGATATTGAGGCGGGGGACGAAGGCGGGAGAGGAAAGCGAAAGAAAAATGTAGTGAGACCACGACGTGCAGGGTAATGATGGGCCGGAAGGAGGGATTCTCCAGGTGGAGGATCAAAGTCAGATTGGATCGCATTCGATGGCGGGAGTCCTGGTCCTTGGAACAGTCTGCGGGAGTGGATAAAGGTGGAAGTGCCTGAGTGGTCACGAGACGTAATTTCTGGGTTATGCATTAAGTATTAGCTGGTGGTCGTGTACTAATGAATAAAATAAACAAACCTTGGACGGCGAATAACTCGACCATCATAAGACCAATTCCAAGACCGCATTCACCATCACCGCGACATTCAACTTCCATTTTTCCAGAAACATTGTTGCCAGCCACGAATATGGGGTCAGATAGCGTCAGGGACACCTTGACCTTGGAGTGATGTGGTGAAGCATTCATAGGCACCGGACGAGATTGGAGCGCCATGTTGTGATTTTTTGGCTGAAATAGCAGTGAGAGCTGAGAAACAAGTGGCTGATATGATCAAGCAGGTAGAGATAGTGACAGATACCAGAAACAACGATGGTGCAGTGGATGATTACCCAGGTAAGAGGCACAACCGAAATGAGCCATGATGGGCGACATGGCAAATAAGCAGTGAATTACACGGAGGTCATGATGTTCCTGTTAATGAATTTAGTCGTTCAGCTTGGTTTCAGCTCAGCGACAGTGTCCTCTTGTAGCAGTACTGGTCAAGCCTCAAGGTACCCAGAGTGGGGTGTTTGGTCTTATTAGGATGAGAAGCCTATGCTTGCTTAGTAATAAATATTTCTGGGGTGGAGAGTAGACTGTGCCGGCCGACTAGACTTGAAGCTTTGGAGGACAGCGGAGGCATGACTCGGAGGGCCATAACGTCGATCCATCCAACAAAAAGTTTCGCAGGGCTTGTGTGTTTCGTTGTCAAATACTCATACATTTTCATCCACTTCGAAACCTTCTGCTGGCCCAGTGCAAACAAAGAAACAAACTTCGATTGCTTATAAGTATATCAATTATGAACACAACCTCACATCATCTTCATGCTGTGTCCATCTCAGCTGCCTTCTCCGAGTCGGACTGGACACCGCCTTCTTCAAACCCTGCTGTTCGCTCAATAATATTGGTCTCCACTGTTCCGTCGGATACAGTCGCTGAGAATGCTATAGTCGTACGTGCTGCAACAGCTCGCGTTTGCTCCGAAGTGATTGCCCGCCCCCTTGCTACACGGATAATGATGAGCAATTGGGCAATGCCCTAAAAACAGGCTAGCGTCAGATACACAGACAATACAGATTGCCGTCTGCTTACCTGGACATGACTGATAGACAGGAAACATAGATTGGAGACATTGCTATGCATACCAAAGGAAACAATGAAAACAATGGCATAGACAACGTATGCCATGGCGGACTCGACGACCATGAGGACGATGGTATCATAGGTGCTAGAATCATATTCTCGTATGATCTGCTTCATCATGCCTCGCATGGAGAGCAAACGACTCGTCACGAGGACGGAGTACGTGACAGTGAGCCCCACTTCGAGGGAGAGGTAGGCTAGCTCGGTGTTGATATTGTAGAATACGGCACCGGCGCTCGACTCGACCAAGACAAGAATAGCCATTGCTGCTCAAGATGTCAGTGACTACTGTCATTTGACAAACGATGAACCGTACCAATCATGCCAATATAGAGGGTGATCATCGGGACCATCACGTATCTTGCCCAATTCCATATCACGAAACATCGGTGAAGCTAAAGTATTCCAAGAATTAGGTCTGCACCAGGTCTATACCGCGAACTATTCAGCTCACAAGTAACGCTTGCATAAACAACTCCATGACGAAGTAACTGGATGAAACTGTCAACACTGAGGGTCTGTAGATGGATGGGAAAAGGCACTTTACCAGGCAATCGCCATAACATTGATGGGGTAATCCATTTCATCCTCAATTAATGCGACCGGCCCACCAGACGCACCACGAAGGTCTATCCAGATCATCTGGGTGTATTTTGCGTTCGCAGCGAAACCTATTGTCCCCAATATAAACGTTATAAAGACGTAGGCAAGAAGGGTGAAGCGATGTTCTGCAATCTTCCCCCCATGTCGAGGCCGTTGCATGAGAGCGATCGCAGCTTGCACTGTAAGGATGAAGAATCCGCCTGTTGCGGTACATGAGTCAACTTCCAAATTGTCATATGTCGACTCAAAATGCACCATAAGATACTGCTCCTAATATCATTCCATCGAGACGAGATCGCTCAAGCCACAGATCTGTCGACGGGGTGTCGGATGACATGGCCCAGAATTTGGTCGCGGACTAGGTAAAAGGAGGTCAATTGGGGAAGACAACCAGATCAAGTGCTCGATGCGCCCTATCCAATGGTGAAGATAACCAAGAAGACAGTCAGGGACGAGTGGGGAAGAAGCAACGGAGTGGGGAAGAAGCGACAATTATAAGGAGATTCAGATAAATTCAGAATAGAACGAACGAACGTTTCTGCTTGAGAGTCGACAGATATTGACACTCTGAGTAGAACATTCCCAACACAATGAGTGTCACTCTCATCCCTGGAGTGTTTTGCGACAGCGTGTTGGTCAGGTAGCAAGTACTTACTTATGTAGCGCATACGATGATAGCGGTGCGACATTCAGAGTGGGGCTTCCAACTGGGCGTGCCACGACGGCGTCCAGTGCCGGACGGGTCAACCTTCGCGGCACTAGTGGCGCCCAGGCCATGGTTATCACGAATGATGATTGGTCTAATCCTACTACAGTGCGAAGTCAGTGCGTTTCAGAGTATATCATCGCAACATCTTCACTGTGAATGTTTTGAAGAAATCCTACACATTAGTACATATGCAGTGGGAGATACACTCAAAAAACACACAAGGTACAGCTGGGGACAGATGACAGAGAGAACCTCAAAATCATTTTCGGCTCCGGCCTTCATTGATGCAGTATAAAAGTAGAACCATGTTCCCCACACACACGCGCGGACAGGCACGGCATACATGCATGTCTACAACACAAGTTCAAGTTCGACCCTGTTTATGCTACACAAATTTCCGTCCCATTGGCATCAAGGGATTGCAACTGAACACCGTCCTGCTCAGGCCTAGCTGCTCGCTCAATATTGGTTTCCTCTGGTGCGTCCGATGCAGTCCCCGAGAACGCTATATACGTAGACACAACAGCAGCTGGGGTTGACAGCTCGCATGTAATTGCCTGCCCCCGTGCTACACGGATAATAATAAGTAACTGGGCAATGCCCTAGCACCACACCAAGATTGCATGAGAGACGCAGATGACTCAAATTTCTGTTTGCTTACCTGGACATGACTAATAGACAGGAAACATAGATTGGTGATATTACTATGCAGAGCGAAGGAAACTATGAAAATAATGGCGCAGACAGAGTATAGCATAGCGGATTCGACGACCATGAGAATGCTGGTAACGTAGATGCTAGAGTATTCCTGTTCTTGCATGACCTGCCTCATCAGACCTCGCATGACGAGCAAGCGATTCGTCACGAGAACGGTATAGATGACACTGAGCCCCACCGCGGTGCAGAGGTAGGCAAGCTGGACATTGATATCGTACCATATGACGCCGGCACTCGACTGGATCAAGACGAGGATAGACATTGCTGCTGAAGATGTCAGTGACTGCTGTCGCTTGATAAATCATGGACCGCACTAATCATGGCGATATAGATAGCGGACATCGGGATTATCACGTATCTCGCCCAATTCCATATCACACAACATCGGTGAAGCTAAATATTTTGAGTCAGACCTGTCCTGCCCATATGGAAAATATTCAACTTACAAGCAGGGCTTGCATAAACCACTCCATGACGAAGTAACTACAATAACGTCAACATCAAAGGTCCTGATATGGATAGGCAAAGGCATTTCACCAGGAAATCGCCACAATATTGATAGGGTAAGCCACTTCATTCTCAATTAATGCGACCGGCCCACCAGGCGTATCACGAAGGTCTATCCAGATCATCTGGGTGTATTTTGCGTTCGCAGCGAAGCCTATTGTCCCCAATACAAAAGTGATCAAGACGTAGGGAAGTAGAGCTAAGCGATGATCTGCAATCTTCCCACCATGTTGAGGCCGTCGCATGAGAGTAGCCGCCGCTTGTACAGTAAGGATAAAGAATCCGCCTGTTGCGGTACATATGTTAACTTCCAAATTGTCGCAGACTGAAAACTTACCGTAGGATACTGCTCCTAACATCATTCCGTCGAGACGAGATCGCTCAAGCCACAGATCTGTCGGTGGGGTGTCGGATGACATGGCCCACAATTTGGTCACTGACCGGTATAAGGAGGTCGGGATAAATATTGCCGAAGCGCCCTATTCGGTGGTGGAAATAGCCAAAAGGATGATTGAGAAAGAGTGGGCAGAGCTTGAAACGTCCTCGTCATAGTAGTATCACGGATTTATGATTCGATGATCGAATAGCAGTGCTCAGCTGGTGCGGATATTCTCACCTTTACAGCGAAAATTTGGACAGGCATTCCTATAGACTGACCATGGCCGCCGCCAAGTGAGTTTGCCCAACTTGCGGTTGGTCGAACAAAGTTAGCAATCTCGTCTGATTGGACCGTGACATACGAACAAGATAGCGACCAGCGGCGTTATTGGATGCCTGTATATTTATACCAGAGTGGCGTAGCTCTGAGAGACTAGCTCAAACTTGGGTTCAAACTTTTGCGGTCGGAATCCCGACTTGACACCAGTCACTGGGGTTGATGTTGCAGCTGGTACAGGTACACACGGGAACGACCGGAGTTGAACGTTCAACATTCAACGTTCAAACGTTCACCTGTTAAAAGGTACCGTTCAGGCGGCCTTTGTGAACATCCCTAATTAGCGAATTGCAACCTGTCTGCAGCGGTGTTTACCTGGACCTCGTTACATATGGTCACTTGGTACTTGAGTAAAGTCAAGTAAGTGCAGACTGCGCAGAAGGCTTGAAGCTTGAATTCAAGGATGTTCAGTGTTACTATTTGCCCTTGTTAGCCTCGGAGCCCGCCCACACGGCCGTAACTCTTGCTCGACGCAGCAACATTGATACAACCAAGCAAGTGAGAATCATGTCAAGGTAATACACTTATTTTCCCATGCGCAATAATGTTTACAGTTTTGATTGAGCAGCCAACAAGACTACGCTGTTTGCATGCACGCATTGACTTGTATGGGAATGATCACTTGTCATCTCAGATCGACCCTATCGCTCACAAACTCGTTTTTTAGTGATCGGCGTACAAAACCATGACGAAAGGTCTCGCTATAATATATCAGTCGAGCTTGATGATGTGGAAATTTTTCGAACAACCCAGATACTTGGGGTGGGTAAAATAGTGTTCAACACAAAATGTAATGCGTAAGTCAGGCTCTTATCCCACCGTGACTACTTCAACTTTTTTCATTCTTGAAGCACGGGAAAAGACGCTAGCATCGTGCGGTTTAAGCTATACAAGATTATAGACGATGAAGCCGAGACTACATCAGTGGAAGGGGAGGTGCAGTACTCTCTAGCAGAACTGAAGTCCGCACATGGCATCGAACAAGACGATGGCAAGTTTCACCTTCTGACCCCATGAGTGACCGACTGATACCCGATGCAGGTTTTTCTATAGATTTACTTCCATCAAGTGTTTCGTTATCTGTCCGATTGATGCCTTCCCAGAATGAAGAAAGGTTTGAATAAGCTTTTTGGAGTTTTTGTTGAGCCTTATATGCCATCTACAGGAGCGATGCAGGTGCTAGGTGCCTCACGCCTGTACGACCCATCCATTGACACAGGAGGTCATACTCTAATCGGGCTCCAGTCTGCAGATGATGACTCGGGAACCGGTCTTCAAAATATGGATTGGGGCTCATTGAGTGATCGAGCAAATAGCCTCATGAGTAGCTACAACCAGACGCACCGAGGTGAAGACATAGAAGAGGCCATCCGAATCCTTTCAGCGTGGTACAGTGGCTTGCCCTCTAGTAGTGAAGATCGCGCTGCTTGTGCCAACAGCATTGGTCTCGCGTTCCATATGCGTCTCCGGCACTCGAATAGCATTGACGACCTCGAGCAAGTCGTACATTACTGGAGTATAACTATAGAGTCATGGACTTCTGGATCACCTTATTACGTCCCTTTGGTGGTCAACTTGGGAGGCATGCTTCGCAGGAGGTTTGAATGGCAAGGAAAATTCGAGGACGTCGAACAAGCCATTATGATGTATAGCGCAGCTACCTCCAGCTGTCCTCCAGATAGCCCATATCGTCACAACCTCCTCAACAATTACGCTATCGCAGTTTTTAGTCGTTTTGGGCAGACTGGAGATCCTCAAGACCTGGATCTCTCGATTCAAATCCACCAGGAATGTCTGTCGCTGCGACCACCTGGCCACCCAAGCCGTTTCTCGACCCTGTCAAGCCTTGCCGATGCAATATGTGTTCGCTATCATCATAGAGGAAACGTGGATGATCTCACCAGTGCAATGGCATACCACCACGGAGCGTTAGAACTTTGTCCAGCCGAAAGTCCATCTTACGTAACAATTCTCATGAATATCGGACTCGCATTGCGGTATTCATTCGAGCACAACGGTGACCTGCAGAACTTAAATACAGCAATAAAGTATTATAGCGTTGCGCTAGCAACTTGCCCTGATAATCACCCGACACGATCTTCCCTCCTCGCCAACTACGCGGGTGATCTCTATACGAGATTTACGCAGAGTGGAGACATCAATGACCTCAAGTATGCAATCGAGCTCTATACCAACTCCTTAGCCAATCAGTCCCCCACGCATGCATATCGCTTCTCCTCCCTCCACGGTCTTGCGATCGCTTTGATGAGTCGCTTCAAGGTTTACGGCGTTCCCGAGGATCTTAATCTCGCCATAACACACATAACATCTTCCATGGCTCTGTGTGGACCCTCGCACCCAGAACATATATCTGTGATTATGGTCTGGATCAATTGCCTCATCATACGCTACAAGACGCGTGGAGATATCATTGATCTCGATGCTGCTGTCGAGCACTCTGAGGCAGCCATACATTTCTGCCCGAGAGAGAGTCCTAACTACTTTCCCTTGTTGACTCATGTCAACAACGCCTTGTCTGCACGGTTTTCTCGGAGACAAGACGTTCGAGATCTGGAGAGGATAATTGATTACTGCGACTCAGCTCTCAGAGATGTCCCAGATCACCATATCTCCAATCGAGTCCTTGCCATGGATCGTGCAGATGCTCTGCTACAGCGATATTTCCATGAAGGGGGCATGAACGCCCTAGAGCATGTCATCTCATTTTACCGAGACATAATGCAAGATTTATCTAGAGGTCATCAAGCCTTTTCCCGTGCCCTCATTCAACTAGCATCTGCACTTCAAGCTCGCTTTGAGCAGAACGGGAACGCAGACGATCTTAATTGCGCAGTCAATCACTATCGCACGGCATGCGAGGCGTGCCCTCCTGGTCATGATGACCACTCTGCTGCCTTCTCGGGTCTCGGAAACGCTCTCCTACTGCGATACCAAATATTCGGTCCCCTGGATGACCTCGATGAAAGCTTAGTTCATCTAGCTCATGTTGTCGAAGCCCGTGCTTTGGCCACCTACCATCCGGACTATCCCAAAGGTCTTGCCAATTTTGCATACGCCATCTTCGCCCGCTTCCAAAACCAACACGACATCACTGATCTGGACATCGCAGTGAATTATCTACAGGCGGCTCGGGATCATCCCAACCAATCAGAGGGACGGCACATTTTGACTTACCTTGCCACTGCACTATCTGCTCGTTACAATGAACGAGAAGACATCGATGATTTGCAAGAAAGTATCAAGATGTTTGAAACAGCGCTTCCCATGTTTGCCCCCAATAACCCCCAGGCGCTTCACCTCCGCCGAAACCTTGCTCGTTCTTTGCAGAAAATGTATGTAAAACGACAGACGATCGAAGATTTGAATGCTGCGATTGCCCATTTTGAGGCATATGTGATGATCTCGCCAGAGGATCATCCCGATTTGCCGCTTGCGCTGATTTCCCTATCAAGCTGCAGGCATATGCGTGCAAATGCGGGTAAAGACGATGACGGCTTTCGCAATGCTCTCTCACTTCTTGCCACTGCCAGTGAGAAGCTGCCCGAAGCACACCCATGGTTTTTCCTCGCTTACCACCTGTACACGACAATTTATGGAGATTACTACAGGCTAACCGAGGACGCTTCGTTTCTGGAGAAGGCATTCCAGTATCACCAACTGGGTTCTAGCGCACCTGGGATCCACACATGGGATCAGCTTACTGCGGCTTTGCGTTGGAAAACGGATGCCGATGTTTTTCATCATACGTCGGCTCTGGAAGCATACAAAACTTCTATGAAGCTACTCGATCGTCATATTATGGCTACTCCTACGGTTTCTGGGCGCTATAAAGCTTTGCTCGGAAGTATATTGCGTGATACGCCCTCACTCGCTGCAGATGCTACTGCCTGCGCGATCGGCGCGGGCGATCTCGAGCTGGCAGTCGAACTCTCAGAACAAGGCAGAGGCCTTCTTTGGTCCCAGATGTCTCGCTTTCGAGCAACCATCAATGATTTGCGAGTCGTTGATGAGGAAGGGCGTCAACTTGCGGATGAATTCGGGTTCCTTAGCGCTGAGCTTGAGAGGAGACAGTCTGATTCCTCCTCAGGTATCAGGACTGTCACTGAAACACTGAGACGAACACAGCAGGAGGAAGAGGCACGTCAATATCGCCAGGTCTCTTCTCAATGGGATGCTGTAGTGAGCAAAATACGGCAAAAGCAAGGATTTGCATATTTCTTGGCCCCAATGCCCTACAAAGAGCTAAGGGCAGCTGCGATTGCAGGCCCCGTCGTTGTCATCAATGCAAGCATAAAGCGATGCGATGCGATCATCATTACCAAAATCGGGCCTCCTCGACTCATTCCACTTCCCGATGCCTCGCAAGTGGGCATTACCACCATGTCTGATGACTTCCGCAATGTCCTTCGGAATACTGCAGGAGTTGGAGAAGAGAAGATGAGAGAAACGCAACTTATACCCGTCTTCCGCAGACTTTGGGATGCTGTGTTGGCTCCTGTTGTTGAGGTACTTTTGACCATCGTGCCGAAGGGCTCTCGTGTTTGGTGGTGCCCAACTTCGAAACTCACTTCGCTGCCCATTCACGCTGCTGGACCATACCGCAAGGGAGCAAGCAACATGCCCAACGTTTATGTTTCGTCATATACACCAACCCTCTCTGCCTTAATACGCTCAAGGCGGCAAAATATATCCAAGGTCGCGCCGAATACTCTGTCCTTCGTTTCCATAGGTCAATCAAAACCGGAATCCAGAAGTGGAGAAAGGGAGTTGGAAGCGGTAGGAGCAGAGCTTGAGCTTGTCAAATCCCTTGTACCTCCATCAATGTCATGCTCAGAGGTCTCCGGGGACGAAGGAACCGTTAGCGGGGCGATCCAAGCCTTAAAAACTAATTCATGGGTCCACCTTGCCTGCCACGGCAAGCAAGATCTTGTTCAGCCGTTTGATTCGTCCTTTGCTCTCCGCGACAAGCCATTGCGGCTTTCAGACATCATACAAGCCGAACCAGAAAATCCGGAGTTCGCTTTCCTGTCTGCTTGTCATACTGCGGTTGGTGACAAGAACGCACCTGATGAAGTCATCCATCTCGCCGCAGGGATGCAGTTTTCTGGTTTCAGAGGTGTCATCGGTACAATGTGGGCGGTGGATGATACCACTGCTCACCATATGGTGAAAGAATTCTATGGTGCGATGTTTAGCGGTAAAATCAACTGCACGAACGCAGCTAGGGCTCTAAATAAGGCTTCCAAAGCCGTCGACAAGGATAAAGTACCAATGGACCAGAGAGTCGTGTTCATTCATATTGGAGCATAGTCTTTCAGCTGCGCAGTGTATCTTATAGATCTGTGGATTCCAGGGCATATGCATTTGTGACGATCGAGTATCGAGTACTTTATAGTAGTACGCTTAGATGTTGCATATTATGACGGTTGGAGTCCGCGCCTCGGGCATTATGCTTCAGAAGTGGGACACACATTGTCAACGTTACTCCACCGGTAATAGTGCTGCTCACGCGGCAAGTCTGAAAACTAAACAGCAGGAAGGGGTTGCAATTGAGAGGTCGGTGACTAGTGAGAAATTAGACGTAAGGAACTGACGAAGTCCAGGCTCCTTAGCTATGATCGTGACAAACATGCATGCAAGTTCAATTGGGAAGGGAGAACAAGGCGTTGGCAACAACTTGCTAAGGAAATACTTGAAGCAGCCTGGGCCCTGGTGGCATTAAAGATAAGCGACTGCTTATGGAAGTTCCGAGAACCAATTCCGAGTCAATGTTCAATCCCAGTGAAAATCGACAAGAAACAGGCCGATATGTGGCGAAACAGGTCGAAGTAGATAATGAGGTAAATAGAAATCTAAGAAATTCGAGACGAGAAATGCTCAATTTTGTGCAAAATGCAAACAATCTTTGCTAACGTCAAAAATGCAAGAATGGTGTTGTAATTTGCACAGTGCATTCGACAAACTTAGCATTTGCGACACTTACGTCGTGCATATCTTATATCATAATCACGCTTTGCACTTACAGATCGAAATTTCTCTAAGTCACCACATACCATACCATGGACAATCTCCAGGCTGGTATATACCGGCCACACGACACTGCCGTCGTTTATGTCTGCGATTGCGATGTATGTCTCCGAAAGAACTGCGGAAAACCCAAGCAGGTCAAACGCACCGCATACTTCGAGCATCGGCCTGGTAGACTTGCCAAACACAATGTGTCAAAATCGACGAATCTGCTCTAGTACCGTCCGTCTCCTCAGCAAACGAGCAAACGGAGACTCTTAATGTGGAGGTGCGTAGTCCGACTCTGATATTTTTAAATACTAACTTCAACTGCACTCGCTAGATAAAAAATCCACTGTAAGTCCTATGTCTCGATACTGGTCTATGTACTGATATATTAATCTAGGGATCACGTTCTCTTGAAACCTCGACCTCGACCTATCCCAAAAGTGACCCCGGTGCCCTCAACCAATGCCCAAACCAACTCACCGGCACCTTCCAACGACTCGATACCTACGCCATCCTTAACGGTGACCCCAACAAACTCCGACTCTGATGCAGCATCGCTCTCAGTCAAGAGAGAGCTGCTTGTAGCTGCGCCCGCTAAGAAAACTCGTCAACCCAGTGTGAAACCAATGCGTATTGGCACGAAAGTAACACCTCGGTATGTCTTAGTTGATGTTACTTACTAGCATTTTCTAATCTTTTCCGTCCTTGTAGTAATCTGTGTGCACTCGATTGGCAAGCAAAAGGTCACCAGCGTGAACCGGCTAGTGCATTCGCACTCTACTGGAACAATCTGTCGGCCAGTATCAAGGAGGTATGTGCTACATCGCAAACACCTTCCCGCGCTAATGTGTTACACCAGGAATACAAACGAATGGCCGCAGCGCAGGTGAGTGTCGTCGTGCCTGCTGGTACTATAGGCCACTGTACTAACTGGTTCTTCTATTACTACAGATTGGCTCTTCTTCGACACTCCAAGGCAGGGACAGTGAGAATGAGCACCATGACTAGCGGTGGGATCCCGATGGATGTGTGCAGGCGTCGAGAATCGGGATGGCGGGCGAGGCGGCGGGATGGCAGCGCAGCGCGCAGTGGGTACCCCAGTGATAGCGATACCTAGCGATACCCCCAAACAATAGCGATACTCCTCGATATTCTGATTTGATTGCATTAGCTGTGTATCGATTACATTTTTGATTCAAATCGAGCGAGAATCCGTATGTAAATGTCTATCTAAACAGTCTCGATCTGTATCTTTTTGCGTCTCGAAAAGTGCCGTTTTTTCGAAAGACCTCGAAACGCAGCGATAAATTTGACAGCCTCAATTTTTCTAGACGTATATCGTTACGTATCTACCTCTTTCTCGTCGATTTTCACTGGGGTTCAATATTCAAATATTCAACGTTCAGGGAAGCGTCGCAGTTCAGCCTTCATGCACTCACTCCTTATTACTGTGTACTACTAGTTGGTAGAAGCTCTTCGTGACTTCCTCGGTTTCAGAAACTGAAACTGCCAGCCGCTGTAGGTACTACAAGTACTGCACCAAGGTTTGTCTCACGACGTACTGCCGCAGCGCGAAGTCATTGCCAGTGATTGCGTCATAATGGTAGTCGATGACTACTACAATTCGCCGGGAGCCCTGACTCTTGTGGGTGTTTGAATATATGATGCGGCCCTGCCGAACACCAGCCCTATCAACACACCGCTCTCATGACCAACATCGACAACGTCCTGGACTCCGAAGTCCCCACTCAAAGCGAGGACGCGCAAGATGAAGGAACCGCCCAGGTGTCAGCAGTGGGAGCGCCAATAGAGAAGGCAACGACAATCCACCTGTATCTGATAAATACTCACATCGTCTACAGAGCAATCCTTTGGGTTACAAGGTTACATTACTGTCCTCTGTCATGCTCAATCTCGGGCGAATGCTCGGCGCGGGAATATATTCTGTCCCGGGCGTCATACTGAATTCTGTTGGCTCGATCGGCCTGCTCTTCACCTTCTGGCTATTGGCTCCGTTGTTTGCACTCGCAGGTCTCATGGTCTACGGTGAATATGCGAGTATGTTCCCAAAGAGATCCGGGGCAGAAGTTGTGTACTTGGAGCAGGCATATCCTCGTCCGCAGTTTTTTGTCCCAGTCATGTTCGCTGTAACTTCAGTTCTTCTGTCGTGCGTGCTACGGTTTGCATGTTGAATGAGATATTCATGGGATTGCTTCTACACTGATCAGTTTTAGCGCGACAAACTCTATTGTATTTGCGCAATATGCACTTACAATTTTCGATGTCCCCATCACTCCCGCAAGGCAAACCATTATTGCATTAGCAGTCTGTGCTGTTGGCGTGGGTTGTGAGCTTCTTTTGTTTCTTGCGCTAAAGTACAATCTGGAACTTGACCACGCAGTCGTTGCCCTGTCAACAAAATGGTCTTTAAGGGCCGTGAACTTTCTCACTGGGTTGAAGGTCCTTTCTCTTGTCTTGTGAGCACGCCGTTTACCATCTGTCATCTACTGACCGATTGCCCTTTTAGCTTGGTCTTCACAGGCGCCCTTGTACTTAGTGGTTTCACTCACATCCGCGATCCGTTTGCCAATTTTCGGTCCCCCTTTAGCGGTAGCACGACCAACCCAAATGCTTTGGCTACTGCCCTAGTCAAGACTAATTTTGCATTTGCTGGTTGGAGCAACGCATTTAACGTCATCGGGGAAGTCCAGACGCGCGATCCTGTGCGCACAGTGCGTAAAGCTGGCTTACTATCGCTGCTTTTAATCGCATGTCTTTTTTTCTTTGTCAATGTTGCCTACGTGGCAGCAGTGCCAAAGGACGAGATAAGCAATTCTGGGCAGCTCATTGCGGCTTTATTTTTCCAACGTGTATTCGGAGGGGGCTTTGCAGCCAAAACCTTGCCGATCATGGTTGCTTTAAGTTGCTTCGGAAACATCGTGTGTGATCTGTGTATTTCGCATGCCTGAGTTACTCACGAAATGCATTTCTAGATCGCTGTGGTGAGCAACCCATTTGAAAACTGCTTATCATAATGTGAAAAATCATATTCTGCCAGACTGTTGGTCAGACACGCGTATTGCGTGAGATTGCCCGACAGGGGCTACTTCCGTATCCAAGATTTTTTGCATCGACCAAACCATTTGGCACACCATTAGCACCCGTGTGTCTGAAGTACTTTCTCACAGTCATCGTGATAGTTGGCCTTCCAGCTGGAGATGCATTCAACTTCCTGTTGGACTTGGCTTCTTATCCGAATCTAGTAGGAATTTTACTCCACTGTCGTGTATTATGTGATCAACAAGTTGCAGGTGTTCAGTGCTGCAACTGCCATAGGATTGTGGCTTCTTCGAAGGCGGCGATCGCTCGCTGGCCTTGCGCCTTCGAAGTACCGTGCGAGGAATATTTACGTTTCCCTTTATCTCCTCAGCACGATATTTCTCCTCATAATGCCATGGTATTGTCCCTCCGAATCAATGTCTTGTAGCAGAACTGATTTATTCGACAAGGGTACCACCAGAACCTGGTCATGGTGACGTGTCTTTCTGGTACGCAACGTAAGTCTAATGTTGTTGCATTTTTGAGCCCACATTTGACCATATTCATTCAGTTACTGTGTGATGGGACTTGGTATCCTTGCGGTGTGTACATCACTTACAACGCGACCCTACATAAAACTGACCCTTTACAGTTGTGCGGATTCTATTACTGGCTGTGGATTGTTGTCTTGCCACGGTTAGGGGGGTATACCATCGTGGAGGAGGTAGAACAATTGGAGGGCGGCGCGTTGACCGCACGGTTGACACGCAAATACCATGCGGACATTGATAACGGAGAGCATCAACCACTCATTGCCAGTACTTGATGGGCTTGAATAATTACAGTAACACTCCTCGTAGTGTAACACTAAAGCTCACGATCCCTATATCAGTATTGCACAAGTGCGTGGTTCCTGGTGCGAACGCAACTTCCACACCAAATCCAACTTAAGACCAGAGCGTAACATATTATCAGTTTGCCCATATATGGGTTGCTTTCTTTTATGTCTATTGCAAGGTGGGGCCGCAGCTGTCTGTGCGCGTTATTTGTTGGTGTTGACGGATGCTGGGTATTTCCGAACATTAAGCGATGTGATAGGGATGAGCCCACCCGAGCCCAAAGAATTGAGCAGCCCTACCAGAGTAACTTATATGCGTGTTTCGAAGGTTTTTCGTCGGCGAAACGTTCCACTACTGGTTCGAGTTGAAACTATCATCATGCCAAGTATTTTCTATCAAAACCTGCATTAGAATTGGTCAGACTAATATCCAATGCTTCAAGCCCCAATTCACGCTACAACCAAGCAACATGATGGAACGGAGACTTTAGCACAGTCCATGCCATGCTGCTCTCATTACGCCAGTTCTGAACACATTCATAACCCTGCATGATTCTCTGCCGGAAACCCATTTCCTCTTCCTTTCATCTCCATTGAATGGATTCGAAATACTCTGCCGACGCTGTCGCAGCCGCTTGGAGTCTCCAAATCTTTATGGTAATTTTCCTCTAGATAATGCGAATGGCCTCTGATGAAGTTCATTGCTCCTAGTTCATCTACAGTATGTGTTACTTTATCAGCAAACCGCATCTGCTAAGCAACAATTTAGCGTCGATGGCTACATTTTGGGTATGACCATCCCCATTTTCTCAATATAATATCATCTTGATCATTTGGTTCCTATCCAGACATACGACTATGTCTGCTCAATCAGCGAGGAGGTGACACGGATCATTTACAAGATCAACTCTTATCCTCACGATGCACCCCTTCAAGGGAATATTTTTGCTTTATTCCCGCTGGAACAGGGTCAAATTTTTGTACGTTGTGACACGGTATGTGCCTTTCCTTCTTTTTGTTGCGCACTTGTATTGTACGTCCCTAGTCTCAATGGGTCTAAGATACCATATTGACAGACTGTTGCCAGTGAACTTCGTCCCAGATGAGACTTCCAGTGTACGTTGGCTCGCAATAGATAAGAGCCCTGCTCACTTAAAGGCCAATCTAGACATGCCAAATTATCAACAACATTTGCTCAAGTACATCAAACTACATGTCGGAAATACCAGTCACTGATCTTTCCCCTCTTACAGCTTTTAGCCTGATATCCATTGTCTGCTCAGAATGTAAATGTTCTATTATCTTTATCGCGAGTGCAGAGTCTTGATTCCTCCAGGTTTCCTCATCCTCAGGACTTACGCACTGTGGAACAACAATAAGGTCGTTTTGACAGTTATGCTATCAACTTTTGCAGTGAGTTATGTCTAGTATCGCAGCTTTCTGATTCGAACACAGCATCAGGCTGTAATTGTGGGGTCTATAGTTGCCCTATTTTCCGCCACTGCGACTGCGCCGTGTATGAATTGCTCCCTTTGCCTGTCCGGGAATTTTGATACAGTTTTCATTTCACAGTCGAGACAAGTCCAATTCCAGGCATCACAGGCTGTTATCAGTCCTCAGGAAGTGTCAGGCTTTTTGTCCCTTTCCTTCTTTTGTTCGGATTAGAATTGAGTGCGTCAATGAGAATTAATTCATAAATGCCCTTTGAATCATGCTTGATGCAGTGCTGATTTCACTCACGCTCACATGCGCCATACGAAATTGGTGTGCAACCAACAACCGTTTGTATGTTGTTGTATTGAAACACAACGTGCTTTATTATGCATGTGGTCTGTGTAAGTGAGAGCGTGGGGTGGTCGATCCTTGCTCATCTTTCCTACAGTTTTCTCGACCATAAACATTCTGACGTCGCTGCTACTCGATGTATGTCATTTATCTGCTGAATATATTCCTGTAGTTGAGATTTCATGCAGTATGCGTATAGCGGCATGTTCCAAGAGTACGTCTCTGCCAAGGTTTGCTGGCAAGCAACACTTACTTATCATGTGTCTAGTTTCCAATTTATCATTCATGCCATACTCGCCACTCGAATGCATCTCCATCTGTGGCATGCTGATCACAATCGCGATTGTAATGCCTCGGATTCAATTTCTCTCTCCCAGTTGGCGCCCGCACCTTATATTGAGTCAGCCTAACTATTAGCATACATGCCCTCACAGGGCGGTCTGGAGGGAAGGGGAGATTGCAATTGACTGCTCCAGTGGGCTCGCCAGGCGAGATCGGATCATCACTTGCGATGTTGTGATGGGGAAACTCGTGCACGCACCCGGAGTGGCTCCTGGAGTGCCATAGACAACTCTCGTTGAATGGTCCGTCCGGATCGATGGAGGTTGGGTTCAGATGTGAATATCCACTGTTTATGAGGTGCGCTCCTTACTTTGTCGTGAAAGCTGCATGTAAATATCCTATGAGTCGAGTTCATGCAATGTATATGTACAACACGACATATGAATGTACGCTGGGCTGGACGCACAGGTACAATTGTCAGCGGAAGACACAAAACATATAGCTCGTCGATTTCCTCCGTATATATACGTCTTGGACCAACTCAATGCCAGTGTGGCACCGGAAAATCCTCTCTGCAGTCTACGACATGAGTTATCGAGTATTATCAGTGAGTACTGTCAGTATCACATATTTTCAAAAGTTTGGTCTCACCTTAGAAGCTTGCTGGAGATCATTCGTAAAAGCTTTGCCGAAGGAGATAGATTTGAGCGCCTCTGCAGTCATCACAGCTTGTGCAAGATCAGTGGCATTGAGCCGTGTATCTAGCCGATCCTGTACAATTCTGTTGCGATTTGAGTCCGTCTCTCCGTGTCTCACAACAAACACCCGAGCAAGGATAATCATGGAGCTTTTGAGGAACTGACTAAGGACTTATAGCTATTATAAGGTCTGGTCTGGTCACTTTAAAAGTGCTGAATAGTTGACTACCTTGAAGTAGGGCAAGTTGTACAATGAATGCAAAAGTTCACTGGGACGCGAGGAGCTAAGCCGAGATGGCTGGTAAGGCAATGAGTCTTCTTCCCTGTCGTCACCATATTAATCTGAGCTGTTCGTATGAATGGAATGGGAGGGTCGCGGGGAGTCAGAGCATATCATGGTGGATCAGGAAAGTTCACGGAAGATGATTACCTTGTGTTGATGGTCTTGATACAGTCTCGTAAGAAAAAACGGCATGTGTGAACGACGAACGCAAAGTGTGGCAGTGAAGACGACACTAGTACAATTGGACTCAATACGTACTCCGATTCTATTTAGACTACCTGCTGCAGATGCTTGCAATCAAGAACGACTCGGAGTACCCCATGACGTCCATCTCTGGTCTCTGGTTTGATCAAACAGGGTTCAAATTCTGTGGACGAGGGCTGTGGACGAGGCAGATGACCAGTTGCCGACCAAAAAAGGTTCCTTTGCCACTACGCTTGAAGATGACGAACTCGAGTACACTATGATCGAGTAGATTCGAGTGATTGTTTCTGGGTGTATTTTTGTCTTGGCTCGAAAGTATAGGCGTCCGATGTTGTTGTACTACATTTATTCGTGAATCATATGTTTTCTTGGTGTCTTCATGCGGAGTCGGGGACTGGCGCGGCCAAGCACCGTTAGATCAAATTTAATCCCAGCCTTTTACCATAAGTGGATGACTTTCCGTAGGCAAAATAATCCAGGATAGAATATACCGGAGTCTCAAAAGCATTACCAATACCGCTGATATGTTAACCTATACTAGAATAATCCCCCGTGCGCGCAGTCCAATAGATTTAGTCCAGCCCTTGATGGACCATCATGATGATCTTGCAATCCAGTACCTGCTTCTTGACGAGGATGAGGCTGAACTTCAATTTGATGATGACGAAAGAGCTCAGGTCCTAGCAGCTGCTATCATTGGTGGGAGTGAGGTAGCACGACAAGACTGGATTGACACTCGGCACCCTCATTGTCTATATCTTTGCCAACCCCAACTACTTCCAAATCCTTGCATGAACACCCCATGGCAGGTACTATATGACAGCCAGAATGATTGAGCCTTTATCACCACAATGGGTGTTGATGTGCCCACCTTCTCTTCACTACTTACTGCAGGCTTTGCACAAGCCTGGTTTGAGACACTGATTTCTCATGATGATGTCTCTGCACATGGAAATCCACAGATAAATCAGTGCTCCCTTGATGCTGCAGGGGCACTTGGGCTTGTGCTACACTATCTTAGCTCCACTATGCATGCTATCAGCCTACAGCAGATCTTCGCTATTATCCCCAGTACTGTCACTCGATACCTTCACTTTGGTCTTAAGCTTCTCCTATGCACCCTCTGCACTCTAACAGATGCCAAAATTCAATGGCTGGCAGGCTTAGACTTCAAGCACTGTAGCGCACTTGTTGTGGCCCATCATGGGAGACTTGAAGGGGCATTTGGTAGTATTGATGGTCTCAAACTACCGGTGCAAACATCGGATGATGTCGACATCGAGAATGCGATGTTTAATGGGTGGCTCTCAGAGCACTTTATCAGTTCTGTATTAGCTTTTTCAGCTGAAGGTAAGTTTGATGCAGTGTCCCGCTCTAGCCTTGATCAACAACATTACAGGGGTGATTATTGCTGCAAGGCTGAATGCCCCAGGCAGTTGGCACAACTCATGTCTTGCTCATCAAATCTATGCCTCTCTTTGAAATGATACTCCCCCTGGTTATTATATTGTCGCTGACATGGCGTTCCCGCGTGGCAGCAATGACATACAGGGCTGAATCTGCGCACCTCTGAAACAAGGCCAACGTGTTCAAGGCTCACTTGCTGAGATTGATGAACAGATGGCATTCAATTGTGAACTGCTTTCATACTGGCAGACTGCTGAATGGGGGATGTGTGGTCTTCAAGGTGCTTTTGGAAGATTGCGTGTACCACTCGAAATCACTGACAAAGACTCATGGGGTGATCTCATTGAAATCTGTGTTCATTTGCACAATCTGCGTGCAATCCATGTCGGCATCAATCAAATACAGACAGTGTACCTCAAACATTGGCAGGAGACGCTTGATGACATTGCTGTGTGGCATGATTTTGAGAACATGTTGTTTTCAGAGCAAAGGCAGAAAGATCGCATTACACATTTTCATGTCATGCTAGAGTACAAGTAGCTCAAGAATTTGATTAAAGAACTGGACTATGACAATGAAATGACATATGTTTATCTGTATAAGCTGCACAAGTACCTTTAGTGAGAGAAGCGAGAAATGATACCTTATCTATCTAAGCTGCACGAGTGCCTTTAGTGAGAGAAGTGAGAAATTACACCTCTGGTGTTTGACAGTGAGCCGACTTGCTCATTGGCAGGTCATCCACATCATCCTCCTCACTCTTGATGTCTGTATGCACTTGGGTCTGTTCCCTATTAGAACAAATGATGACAGAATTGCATGGGCACCCTGCACCACATGAACAGGGTCTGGATGCCCAGCAGTGGTAGGCAAAGCAAGGAGAAGGAGTGGTATTGAAAGGAGGAGGAGTAGGATGCATATATTGAGGAGATGTTGGAGGATGGTCTGAAGCATCTGATGCTGGGGTCTCTGGATCACTGTGCCAGATGACACTTTGACCTCTGTCAGGGTAATAAGTATAGTCTGCATATTTTGGTTTCAGTTTGTGCTGGTGACGAGATTTGGGAGCAGCTTGGTTGGGAGTAGGCTGGTGAACTTGTGCCATCTCCAGGCGAAGCTGGGTAAGGTCATGCTTGTGTTCAGTAGCATAGAGTCTGGTTTGTAGGTCGAACAGTTGGGTCCATAATTTCTCAGTGATGGCATTTGCATCACGCAGCTGCTGTCCCTGGGTAAGCAACTGCGTGTTTGCAAGAGTCCTGGTGGCATGATCCTCGTCTCGAGCTTGCTGAACAGTGGGGTCAAAGGCCCTGCTAATGCAAGAAAGCAGCTCTGAGGCTGCTGCACCTCAGTGGCATGCCACAGGTGCATCTGTCCAAGTGGCACAGGTGACTGCAGTGTGCTCAAGGGGGGACATACTTCGCACCTTGACAGGTGGGTTGTTACAATTCAACTCGTCATCCTGGGCATCATAGTCCAAGTCATTTAGATTGCATGTGCCAGCACGCTCATTGATGCACGCATCAAGCTCATGGGCTTGAGTCACATCAGGAGGACACACTCCATCACCAGTGGGCTTTGTAGTCTTCATGAACTGAGGTTGCAAGGTGAGACATTAAGATGCCATTGTAGAATGAACTAGAACTTACTTGTTTGAATTTGGTTTCAAGTGACTGGGCTTTACAGTGAGGGCATTCATGGCGGCTTGCCTACTGCATGAACTTCAAGTAGATTGCTTGCCACCCTTTCTGGCCCAGAGGCAGCTCATCTTTGACAAAGTCCAGGAGGGCCTTGACATCCACTGAGCTGTAATTGTTGGAACCATGTGGGCGGCCACGTTTGGCCCTCAGATCATCTTCATCATCCTCGAGGGCACATGCATGCTTTTGAGGGCGGTCACCTCCATTCATGTTAGTATTCTCCTTATCTTTACCCTTGCCTTTGGTAGCTTTGGTCACAGTCTTGCGACGCGCCCTGCCAGCTTTGATAGCAGGCATGTATCCACGAGATTCAGCAATCATCAAGGGGTCACAAAGGTCTCGGTCTGGTGAATCCAGGAGTGGGATATGAACTGGGTCCTGGTATGCGCTAGACAGCACAAGGCGGGACCCAGGTGGTGAGGGTGGTGGTGACAAGTGAGGTTGGGAGAAGTTGGCCGGAGTCGTAAGTCCATACATCAAAGGCGCAGCTGCATGTTGCTGCAAGGTGATAAGTACATGTTGTTGAAGATCAGAGAATGATGAAGACTCACGCCATATGCCTGGGAGTCTTCAGAACACAGCACTCGAGTGACAGCCTGTGCGATCCCAGGATGGGGCCACCAATGACCCAAGTGGTCATGCGCATACACATTCCCTGCATTATCATAGTGCAACTCAGGAATCAACTGGCTACAAGGGACAATCATACATTGGGAGGGGGTAATGTCAGACATTGGAGGGACTGAAAGTTTAGGTACTTACCTTGTGGCTACCGGTACACAAGCTTTATATGTTTCAAGTGTTTGTTCCGCCAGATGCAAGGGGTGGGGATATTCATAGTATAAAAAAAAGTAAAGGTCCCTGGGCTGGTAACAGCACAATGCAAGCACACAAAGCCAAAATGGAGTAGCTACAAGCTTGCCGACTTTATATTGAGGTATGTTGAAGAAAATTTCATTGACAGAGGGATAGGATTGGTGGGAGGTTGACGCTAGGTTGCATTGGGCGAGATTGGAGGCACCGGAGGCAGACTGGTCGCTGTGGCCAGGTAGTAACTTCATTACCAGGCATGGACATCCAAGGACATTCCACATGGCACTAGATAACATCTAGATAGTGGCGGGAGAAAGAGACATTAGTATAGTTGACAAAAGGTTGAAACGCACCTCGGTATTACTGCGCAAGGTGCTACATTGCATGCAATGCGTCTCGAGCAAGGCTGATTATATCAGCACATATCGCTGGCGTTAGTGGCCTAAAACGGATGGAAGTCGTCTGCAAAGTCTATTGGGGGGGGGTACCCCCCCCAATAGATTAAGGTTTATTGAGGGGGGCAAAACGGAACATGTTTGGTAATCGTGTGAAAATGAATAGCGGCATCGCGGCACACCTGCCTAATGCGGCCAATTCTATGGTATGATATTCTAATAAGAATTTTTCGAGCCTACGGAAAGTCATCCAGTGTTGTGGTTACTGCAGTGTTACTTAGGTTCGAACCGCATTGCGTCCGCATGATGCTTCGACAATCGCCGATATCAAGGTTTTTCATCAGCAAAACGTTCCACCAGGTTCGAGGTAAAATTATCATATCTCCTATCAAAACCTGTGTCAGAGTCGGTAAGATTGATATCCAGTGCTTTAAGCTCTCAATTCACGTCATAACTAAGCAATGGAACGGGAAGTTCAGCATAGCAAAACTCGAGCTGATGATCACAGTCGATGTCTCATCATCATGCCAAGTGTCTTCTATCAAACCCTGGAGACTGATATCCAGCGCTTCAAGTCCGGTTCACGTCACAACTAAGTAATGGAACGGGGACAAGCTGATGATCACAGTCCATGTCACGCTCTCATTATGCCAGTTCCGAGTTAGTGCTGCCGTGGTCCGGTTCGGAGGGTCCTAGACAAGAACCAAGAACCGGACCATCGGTTCGGTTCTACGAAATGCCCGAACCCAGAACCGGACCGTAGAGAACGGAACTTCCGAGCACATTCTTAATCTTCCATGATTCTCAGCTGGAAATACCGCTTCTTCTTCCTCCCATCCCTATCGAATGGGTTCGAAATACTCTGTCGACGCTGTCACAGCCGCTAGAAGTCTCCAAATATTTACGGTAACTTTCCTCCAGACAATGCAAACGATCTCTAATTTGAAGTCCATTGCTTCTAGTCCATATACGGTATGTATTACTTCATCAGCAAACCACATCTGCTAAGCAACAATCCAGCGTCGATGGCTACATTTTGGGTATGACCATCCCCATCTTCTCACTCCAATATTCATCTTGGTCATTCGGTTCCTACCCAGACATACGACTATGTCTGCTCAATCAGCGAGGAGGTGACACGGATCATTTACAAGATCACCTCCTATCCTCACAATGCACTATTTCAAGGGAATATTTTTGCTTTATTCCCGCTGGAACAGGGTCAAATTTTTGTACATTGTGACACGATATGTGCCTTTCCTTCTTTTTGTTGCGCACTTGTATTGTACGTCCTTAGTCCCAATGGGTCTAAGATACCATATTGACAGACTGTTGCCAGTGAACTTCGTCCCAGATGAGACTTCCAATGTACGTTGGCTCGCAATAGATAAGAACCTTGCTTACTTGGAAGCCAATCTAGACATGCCAATTTGTTAACAACATTTGTTCAGGTGCATCAAACTACATGTTGGAATTACCAGTCGCTGACCTTTCCCCTCTACAGTTTTTAGCCTGATACCCATTGTCTGCTCAGAATGTAAATGCTCTATTATCTTTATCACGAGTGCAGAGTCTTTATCCCTCCAGATTTCTTCATCCTCAGGACTTGCGCTATATGGAATAACAATAAGATCGTTTGGGTAGCTACGCTATCAACTTTTGCAGTGAGTCACGTGCAATATTGCGACTTTCTAATGTGAACGCAGCATCAGGCTGTAATTGTGGGATCTATGGTTGCCCTATTTTCCGCCACTGCGACTGCGCCGTGTATGAATTATTCCCTCTGCTTGTCTGGAAATTTTGACCCAGTTTTCATTTCACAGTTGAGACTAGCTCAATTCCAAGCATCACAGGCTGTTATCAGTCCTCAGGAAGTGTCAGGCTTTTTGTCCCTTTCCTTCTTTTGTTCGGAGTAGAATTGAGTGCGTCAATGAGAATTGATTCATAAATGCCTTGTGACTGATGCCTGATACAGTGCTGATTTCGCTCATGCTCACACGCGCCATACGAAACTGGCGTACAACCGACAGCCGTCTGTATGTTGTTATATTGAGACACAACGTGCTTTATTATGCATGTGGTCTGTGTAAGTGGGAGTGTGGGGTGGTCGATCCTTGCTCATCTTTCCTACAGTTTTCTCGACCATGAACATTCTGGCATCGCTGCTACTCGATGTATGTCATCTATCTGCTGAAATATTTTCTTGTAGTTGAGATTTCATGCAGTATGCGTATAGCGGCATGTTCCAAGAGTACGTCTCTGCCAAGGTTTGCTGGCAAGCAACACTCACTTACAACCCCAATCATGTGTCTAGTTTCCAAATCATCATTCATGCCATACTCGCCACTCGAATGCACCTCCATCTGTGGCATGCCGACCGCAATCGTGATTGTGATGTCTTGGATGCAATTTCTCTCTCTCAGTTGGCGCCCGCATCCCATGTTGAGTCAGCCTGACCATTAGCGTATTTGCTCTCGCAGGGCGGTCTGGGAAGATTGCGATGCCCGGCGAGATCGGATCATCACCTGCGATGTTGTGATGGGGCAACTCATGCACGCATCTGAAGTGGCTCCTGGAGTGCCTCAGACGATTCTCGTTGAATGGTCCGTCAGGAGCGACTGAGGTTGGACTCGGATGTGAAGATTCACTGTATAACAAGTTTATATACTACTTATGAGGCGTACTCCTTACCTTGTCTTGAAAGCTGTATGTGATATCCTATGAGTCGAACTCATGTAATGCATACAACATGACATATGAATGTATGCTGGGTTGGACGCACAGGTACACTGCAGACAGAAGTATTATTCTCAATCATTTTTTATTTCCAGTAGTAACGACTCGGATGAGTAAACTGCATTTGCTGTATCTTTCCCTAATTCATCATTGACAACATCATCCAATGTCATGCCGATTCCGCACTCTTGAGAGAGTCGTGTACAGTTGACCGCATCTGTACGAGGTTCAAGTACAACACGTTGGGGAGTGAGACCTTGCGGGCCATTGAACGTTGTCGTACATGCGGGTCGCAACTTGTAAATTGTTCCCAGTTTGAAATCCAACTTGACCATGCATGCGGGATTAAAGGAGAAGGAGATGTGATGCACCACAGGGGCTCAAGTGCTCAAGTGAAATTGCTTCCCTGGGCTCGGGATCCAACCATGACGTGTGGCGCTCCGCGCTTGGTACAGCATGTAGATGGCTAGATTGCTCTCTTTCCTGAAGCAAACATAGAATGTCATTAACAGCAAGCCTCAATCGAACATGTTGTACATGATCGCTTGTATTACGAAGGCGTCTGGACAGAACTCCCGAGGTTCCAGTGCAAATGCTCATGCTATGACATTGCATGGTGGAATAGTGAGTGACTACAGGCCAAGCCTCGCTGGCTGACTGCATGCTAGATCTTCTTCGCTGCGCCAAGATGTCCCAGTCAACTTGGGAAGTTGCGAACAGGAGTTATCAGTCACTTGGACCAAACAAATGGAAAGTTGAAGTAGCGTGTCTGAGCTCAGGTAGCTGATAACCCAAGGGTTCCGCAGCGTAATTATTCTTGTCTTCTCCTGAATCAGCATCTCTTTGAACACAAAGGAGTCGAGAAGATCTGTCGAATGTAACAGGGATCATATCCCCGATTTTGCTACCAGTCCGAGTTGTTGCAGCTGGCATCTGTTTGGTTTATTCGAGTTTACCTAAATCGAGTGAATTCTCAGTGATGCGATACGACAGAGCTTGGCTTTGAACCTACATGGCTGGCTCAAGGCATGCCTGGGAAGTCATTGGGTAGTTCCTAAATGAACTCATCGCTGATGGCCCTTCTCCACGCTGTCTACCTTCAATGGCACCTGTGAGTTGATCAGCCTATTTCTATTGAATGACTGAGGGTCATGGATAAGAGCAGAATGAGCCAGGCGCATGCCTACCCCCATATCATCCATCTGGGCAGCAGAGAAGTAGTAATGAGTCGTGCGTGAAGGTGAAAGTCGGCTGTCGTTGTCCTCCGCAACTATTGGTAAGGATTATTGTGATTTGGCGTCACATCAGATCATCAGATATCTAGGTCTATTCTCGTTGCGGGTGCTACTCATTGCCGATCGACGTCTGTTCAAGCATGGTTCGAGCATATCGAGCATAACGGTTTAAAAGAGACTTACAATGTGAGTATATGCATCTTTCACAAATGAATACGCGTGGCAAGGAGATGAGAAGTGCTGAGAGGGGAGTAGAGAAGAGAACCGGGGGCTTCAAGTCGGAAGGCGTCAAGCGGACCTGGAAATGTATCAGTAAGGCGCCGAACACGATATTTTGACATACGTACTTCGATCAGACCACACTGGCTCTATCATGTATCTGAGCAAAGCAGAAGAAGAAGCGAGAGGGAGTCGCGAAACTCCAGATGGCTGATAATGCGCCAGATCAGTGAGAACACCTGGCCACCCTCTGAGCCGCAGAGAAGGAGTGCCGAATCATGTGTGAAGGGTAGAAGCAATGGTGTCGATGTCCTGGAGACCACCAATGGACTGATTGGGCATTGATCATCTGATCGAACCAACCTATTGCTGACCACTATCAGATAGTCATGTCGTCGACCAAAATTGTTTGGTTTATTCAGCGATGCGGAGTATGATGGTTTTACAAACTTATGGTTCGAGTATTACGGATGCGCATGGTAAGATGTGCTGTGCTGAGCGAAGAGTAAAGCATACCTGACAAAGTATCACTAATCCACCAGTTGTCTGAGCACAGAATACGTGTGGAATCATCCATCTAGGCCGAACATGTGGAACGAGATACAGAAGCTCTGTGAAACAGTAAAGTAAAAGTAGCGGCCTAAACTCAGATGGCCGATAGCCCCCAAAGATTTCACAACAGCAAATCAATTCGAGATCCATTATCTATCTGAGTGTAATGAAGGAATGAGGAGAAGTGACCGTAACGAGTAGAGGCCCAGATCACTGATAATACAGCGGCTCTGGTTCACAGGACACAACCACCGTGATACCTGCAATCTGGACTTGACTCAGGCGAATGGGAAAATTCACGTTTATAAAAACAAATAAAGTGTGGGGAAAATAACGGATGGGATGCGAGGGATAGCATTGAATTGATGGTAATGATTCTTGATGCCAGTGTGGAAACCAAGATGGCTGGTAAGGCAACAAGTCTGCTTCCTGGTCGTCACCATATTAATCTGAGATATCCATATTGAATGGAGTGGAAGATGCATATGCGTGGTTGAGGGGAGTCACTGGCAGTTTTAGACAAGCACTTGCTCGGAGAGGGCGTGACTGCGCAACGAGAAGTGGTGTCATACTGTTTCGTAGAACCTGTGGAAGCTTGGTTGAAAAGAGTGTTTCACGGGAGATGCTTACCTTGTGTTGATGGTCTTGGTTGTAAGAAGAAATGGCACGTGTGAATAATGGACGTAACGCAAAGTGTGGCAGTGAAGACGACCATTGTACCAAATAAAGGGAGTAATTACGACCAAGGCAGGTGACTCCTATCAACAATCATGTTAGTCGCGCCTGGTGGATAATTCTTCTCTGTGGCAGCAGGCCATTGCATTGAGTGCTGACTTGGGTACAGGTTCGAAGGAACCGAGTAAGATCCAGATGATAACAGAGTGCTAGAAACTGAAATAATGGGGACCGCCGATCAGTGAACCAGTGCTAATGGGTTCTTGCTGGTGATTATACTGATTGCGGCGCATTTACACGGTCATTATGATATTGCTTTAAATTCCAATGTGACGAATCCTGACAATCCTATATCTTCTTCTCACCAGTTCTCTGATCGGCGGCGGCCAAGTCTACCTTGATTCATCAATCGAAGACTTCCCCTTTTCTTGATTTTGCATCGCAATAGTTACCCAACCCATTTCAAGGGCCTTGAGGCAGGCATAGATATTCATCACCATCATGCCGATTTTGGCGATACAAGCGCTGAACGGTGGTATATCTAGCACGAACACTAGCCTGATCGTTATAACCCCCACTCCCTCACTCCCATCCCTCGAGTATGACCACAGTCTCAAATGATCCCAGTTGGTGGCCGATAATCAATATGAATGTATCTTTAAGCTATTGGTTTGGTTCGTCGTGTCAATTGGTGATGTCTCGAGCGACGAGCTAACGTTGACCTGCTGTTCCACAGTTGCTGCCGGCGTCGTTGTGGTATACGATTGGGGTGAGCAGGATAGTATTCGAAAACTGCTGGTATTCTCATGATATTTCCAGTGCTATCATTCGGACAAGAGGTAGGTCGGTGCTAGTTGCCTGAGTAGCTAACTCGCTAAGAATGGTGTTATAGATTGAATTGGTCTGGGTCAGTGACATTCTCATTAGAAGAAAAACAGGAGAAGACAATGGATTTTTGGCAGAGGCAACGCTGGTCTCTCATAACTGTGCTGTATCTGGTTGTTCGTACCTCATGTTATACTATAGCGTGGTTGCTGATTCCAAAATGTTCTAGCTACGCTATATTGGACTACCATATTCCTTGTATGTTTCAGAGGCCAACAGATTGGCGCTGTGCTAATAGCTCATCTCTGACGATTAGTGCCACTACTCTGAGTATGTCTCATATACACTGTGTCCGATTCTTCTGACTGACACAGCACGTAGCAAATATGCCATTGGTCTCGCTAACAAATGCAGTGAGTATTCCGCAACCATCTCATTCCTATTCAATGAATACGCTCATTTGTAGGGGTGAGTGAGATTCTGACCATTGAGCTTGGCCCAACATAATGACTAAATAGGTGTGAGTCGAAATGTTTGATCTTACTTGGTACGAGGTGGTCACTAATTGGGTGTTTCAGGCAATATTATAAACTACGCAACAAATGGGACAAATGTGGTCATAACTGCCATGCTGGGCGGTGAGTTGCAATACCTCAGTGATATTGACTTGTCTGAAACACGATGCAAGTCATCATGATTGCTCGGTTATATGCCATGTATCAGAGATCTAGGATGATGCTTATCTTCCTTGTTATTATCTTCTTGGTTGCAAACATCGCCTGTGGAGTGATCTCGGCAATAATCCTCAAGTATTCTGCAGGGGGTAAGCTTTACTTGTTAACTTAAGGAACCCGCCTCATTGGACGAACACCAGAGGAGCTGATATTCTATGGCATATATATGTGCAGTTATGGATATGGGGGCGATGCCCAGCTTCTGCCCTCAATGGTTTGGATGCTCAACACTACTTGGGAGGTCTTTGCACTGTGTCTTTCAGTCTGGATTGCTGTAAAACACTTCCGTGATCTGCGACGACTCGGCCCATCGGCAGGATCGACCATCGGGGACTGTTTCAGAGTGCTGATAAAATCACACGTGCTTTATTTTGCAAGGTGAGCTTGTAATGTGAATGTGCATGTATTTTTCTGTTCAAGTTCCGCATGTGCTAGCTTTGCTTGTGTCTCTTGCCTCCAGCTTGGTTATCTCTCTCCAGAGCTCACGGTGCGCCAACTGACATCTGCTTGTAACCACTGCTCATCATCTATGTAGTATTCAAATTCTGTGGGAACTCAGATACTCGGTGGTACTTTTCAGATTTTCTTGAGCGTGCAGATGTTTGTGCTGGGACCACGCCTCATCCTTAGCGTTCGAGAATTTCACGCTAAGCTCGTGGCCAACTCCGACGCAGAAACTAGCATGATTTCGATTGTCTTCCAGGAGCGTGTACATGTATCAACTAGCAGTACTGTGTAGGGAGATGTTTGCCGAGTGTTCTGCGTGAAAGAGATATTTGGTTGAGAATCCGTCGTGATATTCATTTAACTTAGTTATGATGTTTCAAAGAATATTTAAGGGGAGGTTTACGTGGACAAACCCATTTCTTGTCGTATCTACTGGAAGTCAGCGAACCGCCCGCCCACACTTGCACCAAGTGGCAAGTTGAAATTATCCGGAATATCTAGCAAGCAATCTAGTCCTTGATGCCCAGACAGCTGATTCTACGTGTTTGCAGGGTTCCGCTGTCTGAGCACAGATGATGAGAAATGATCGTGAAGCTCAGATGGCTGACAGCTCATTAGTCTCGGACGCGTTTTCATCCATCTGGACCACGAGGAATGAATCGCGGGGACTCGTGATTCGACTCTCCAAATGGACAAAGACGGACACGTCCATCTTTCTTATATCTTTGTATCGGAGACAAACGGCTGTGCTCTGAATCCGCTCATGTGCTCATTTGAGAGAGATATTTTCGTTAGACTACTGTACACTCGTATGTCCCCCATACCATCCATCTGGACAGCAAGGAAGTAGTAATGAGTCATGCGTGAAGTCGGCTGTCGATGTCCTCGCCAACTATTGGTAAAGATTATTGTGATTGGGCTGCCGGCTCAATTTTCAACCTACATACAGCTCAAAACATCATCCTAAGGCGTGTAGGTGAGTCGTGTGATTGAATCCTGGCTGCACAGCGACCTGCTTATACTCACATCATCATAGGCACATTCCATGTCATCGCAACAACAACGGCGAGGAAGAAACGCATTTTCTGTGTGAGGTGATATGGAATCTCCTGAGGGGATCTCAAATGATATCTCTGAGGATGGGGGTACACTGTAGGACTACGACCAGCCTTTATATCCTGCACATGGGAGTGATTCGAATCCCCGGTCCCTCGTCCCGATCCCTCGCTCATCGATTGATCATCATATTGCCAGCGCAGCGACCAAGTTGAGAAGCTGATAGGCTGATGCTCATTGAATATACATAGCCGCATCTGGAGATTGGGGTACTTGCAAGGTGTCAAAGGGTGTCACCGCAATTGCCAGCTGAAGATGACCCAATTGACTTTGGGGCCCGAGCGAATGCGAGTCCCTGCTAGCCCTCCGCTTTTGCGACACGAACTCGAATTTCAGACGTTCGGAGGCATGTACTGTCACTGAGTGGTCGTTGCATCCTTTGATGACACAGAAAAGATTTGTTGTCGGATCTTTTACCATTTCCTTGCAAAATAGCATTCTGTGGCATGTTGGCATGCTTCTACCAGTATGGCCGGTCAGAAAAAGTGAGGCAGGAAAAACCGACTAACTTCTGTATTTCTTTGTTAAATCCGCTGGTGCTGACCATCTCAAGCAACAATTTCTGTGCTTCGTACCCTATTCATCTCAAGCGACAGAAACTCACGACGAGTCTTGTTGGGCCACATGAGGTAGCGACCCCGCAAGTTACAGAACGCAGTAGCGAAACGTTCGGTATACAAAAAACAGTTCCCTCCGCCACTGCCATAACAGCAGCAGTTGTTCAGGATGCCTTCAGAACCTGCACGACACAGAAATATTGCCAACTGGTATTTGACGGGGCATTGCGGGCGTCCACTGACCACGACAAAAATCGGATAATTGGCGATTAGCCGGGTTGTGGTGGTGCCAAAACGATTCACGCTCCATTCTGGATGAAAGGGAATCAGGATTGAAGGATGAGGCAGCGAGAGGCTAAGATTTGCTCACCGGAATCAAGTGTTGAGAATCCTCGCTGAAGACGTGAAGGAGGTGGGTGTGATTTCGGTAGACCAACGCATTCTTTTTCGAGCTTGTAACAGCCCACCGTCCACCCAACCCATGCCGCGGAGCGTAGCGGCTGCCACAAACGCAGTAATTGGCACACGCACATAGTCATCGTTAGTAGCAACATCTGGAAGATCAGCGACGTCTTGTGATCGGTTTCGCTGAGAGGAACAGGAATATACTCTATATTCGATCTGGGGTGCCTCTATATACGCAGCCGGTAGCACACGAAGAGCTTTTTCAAAATACTTGGGTGACGAGTCCAATATAAGCATTGAGTACATAGAACATTGCCTAAATGTAAAACTGAAAGTGAGAGGGTGTGCTAATGATAAATCGTGGATAAAAGATATCAAAAGGAACGGACTGCAATTAGCAAGTAAATTACAACATTTCTCAAGTTTGTAGCCCTAAAGCCTGGATACTCTCAAACAAATGCCAGTATCGAGCTTCGTTCTAGCTCTCCTATGATACGCTTCTTCTCTGCGACGCGTTTTTCCAGTTCCCATCGGACGAGCTCGCTCTTGAGCTTCTCTATGCGAACCTCATTCACAGGATGTGAGGAACCTGTGATCTGTCGTGCAAGCACCCGATTCGGATCGCTTGTCCCCGGGCGACCAGTTAGAGAACATTCGGCAGCTTGAGGCGCGTTCTGTTTGTGTTCCCAAAACGCTACCGCCTGGCGCGCATCAAACCCGACATGCGCAAGGATCCTAGCGGATACAACATCCGCTTCTATCTCTTGGTGCACGCTAGTGCAGTATTCCCCTATTTTAGTCAGTTCCCCAGAACCGACTTTACCCAGCTGGGCAACTGCGTCGTTGACAAACGGCCCAAACAGCATTGTCACGGGGAATAAGAGGGTGCGCATGAAGTCAGCAAACATGGAAATCAGGGCAGGGACCATGATAGTGACGGATGAGAGCGTCTCAAGGTGATGCGAGAGAACGAGATGTGCAACTTCATGGGCAAGGAGAATGGCAAGTTCAGCTGTTTGTTGCTCTGTGGGCACTGGATGGGGTGGTAACATGGATAATGGTGAGATAAAGAGCGAACCGAAAACGCGTGTCCACCATGAGCTTTCTTCAGGTAGAGTCTGTGGCGTATAGCCAGAGGAGAAAGCTGATGAAGGAGCTTTGGAAAGGATGTTGTCAATGAATCCAGAGTAAACCACGACGCCGCAAGCGCCATCTGGCCCAAAGCCGTACGAAAATGCATTAGCCGCATCGGGTTTGTCAACAATAAGAAGTGAATATGGTGGTCCAGCTATGACATGAGCTGAATGAGGTGAGCTTCGCCCACAGAGGCCTTCTGACCACCTCCTCATAGTGTCCGTGGCTCGGGGCCGAGGCCGTAGGGGATACTCTGCAGGTGGAGGTAATGGTGGCTGATCAGGAGTTGTATCTAACCAATGTGAAGCCAACTCTTGTTCACGCTGTAATATGGGAATGCCAGCCTCCAATCGCCGTAAGGTATCACGTACCCACTGGTATCGCCAATCAGTGGTTGGAATCAACTTGGGCGGACCGTCTGTCGAGAGAATTTCTGTGACAGCATGATACCAATTTGGGCCTCTGAGCTGTGCAGCTATCTCGTCCTCCTCTTCGGGAGATAGAATGATAAGCCGCCATCTGTAAAGTGACTTAGCTGATAGGTAGAAATGGGATATTATCCATGACGTACCGTCCTGTGATAGGTGTTTGCTCGGCGCTTGCTAGAATTGCCAACCAGAATAATGTGAAAGGGACAAACAGAAGCACGTTAAAAACAAGTGTCCTTGCACGTATCCGTTTGAGAAGCTCGGCCCTTTTCTCTTCATCGACCGGTACACCAGGATGAAATTTCTCGTGGTGCTTGAGGTATTTCTTTGACCAGCGATTTTTGAAAAAGATGAGGGGTAGGAACGTAAGCGCAACTCGGGCAGCGGTGCGCACTACCTCTACGGTAGTCGAAGCCTGAAAAACTAAGTATAGGATCTGCAAAAATTATTCAGGTGAACGTGCCTTGAAAGCGCCCAGTAACATCGGTATGAGAGGAAGTCCCTGGTTCGGCCTAGAAGAATGAAATGGTGCAACTCCTCTCTGTGCATGCCATATTTTCCTCCTACTATAAACGTTAACTTGATCAAGGATAAGACCGCTGGGCTTTGGCATGGAATGATATGAACTTGGAAGCGCTGTTACTCTTGCTGCTCGAACGCCAGCTGAAGGGAAGCGCCAGGACATGGAGGAAACTGAAAGAACTCTGGGCGTGGCTCTCAATGCTGGGCGAAACATTGTACATGGTTCTGTTGAACTAGTGTATTTCCCCAAGTTATAGAGTTTGATGGCGCTGAAGCTGCGGTGCCGCTATTGACAAAGTCAGTACTTGTGGCTGTGCCCTTCAGTTTGGCTGTGCCGCAGTTACTAACATCAAGCTTCCGTAGCAACTTCAAGGCTTCCTTTTCACCATCCATATCATATTATCAGAGCGCTCGAAAAATCAACACCAGGAGGTCTACATGAATCATTAATCATCCCTCGTGCGCGATTTTTATCATATTGGGTTATTATTAGCTTTGCGGGTTGAACGTTGAGTCTTCTCTGCCATGCCAGTAGTCACCTATTAATATTTACTTAGATACTGCTGATCATCGCCGATCGGCCACCTTTGCTATCGATATGACTGGGGCCTACCAGCTTTGTTTAATCAAATCATACGTGTTGTGGGGATCACAGTATATATAACCGCATCTAAAAATTGAAGTCCTTGCTAGGTGTCAAAGAGTGTCACCGCAATTGCCAGCTGAAGATGATCCAATTGACTTTCGGTGCTCGAACAAGGACCAATCCCCGCTACCCTCCGCTTTTGCGACACGAACTCGAATTCCAGCTGTTCGGAAGCATGCACTGTCACTGAGTGGTCGTGGCATCTTTTGATGACACGGAGAAAAGATTTTCTGTCGGATCTTTCACCATTTCCTTGCAAAATAGCATTTTGTGGCATGTTGACATACTTCTACTACTAGGATGGCCAGTCAGAAAAGTGAGGCAGGAAAAACCGAACTTCTGTATTTCTTCGTTGAATCCGCAGGTGCTGACCATCTCGCGATGACGAGCAACATATTCTGTGCTTCGTATCCTCAACCCAAAGTTCATAAACGTTACACTCGGTCTTATCGACCTCTGTGTAAGTTTCCGCATCATTGCAATGCTTTGGTTAAGGTTCCGATACAAAGATCAGTGCGTTGCCATCCTGAGCTTGCGTCACGTTCCTGGAGTCACCCAGTCGCTTTCGATAAACGCCAACCTCAAAACCGTGATACCCGAGGCTCCTTTTGTCCCATTTTACGTGACAGCCATGACACTATTACATATGTACATAACAGCGCTTCTTATAGGAAAAGGTAGAAGGTTGTAGAGACATCGAATGGAGTTCCCCTCGGAGCAGCGTCTGCACCACCGTCTTTCTCTTCCGCTATGGTCTCTGTCCGGACTCGGGAGCAATTTATCGATCATCGATTTCAGATCATCTGCATCGCCGATCCAGGTAATCCCTGGTCGGGATAACGAGGGGAAGAGATCGGAGTCCTTCGGACCCGTGAGTGCTTGGTTTACAATCTCCAGGATCTTGTTACTGATGACCGTTTCGATTCAGACTTTTTAGTTATTACTCACCAGGGATGTATGATGTCGTGGGGTTTCTGAATCCCGCGGGGTCATCATGGAAAGGGTGGTTTACCTAGGGCTAATTTCTGTAAGATGTCTTCGCTTACTTTTGAAATGAGCTAATCGTTCGTCCGAGGAATTGCTCGTGCCATGATTTGACGCAATCTTGCATAAAACATTGAGCATTCCTGGCGAGGTTTCATGGGAGAGTGCATAACAATTCAAGGGCACTAATGGCGATGTCGCGTGTGTCCTGTTTTCCGCTTCACAGAAGCTCACACGGGTGGCTTATGCCGAATTCAAAATTCATTTGACTCACTTGTGTGGAATTTTGTACCGCCGTTGTGGTTTGGTGAGGGGTGCTACTACTAGCTTCGAGCGGCTGTGGAAAGTAGGGGAACCGTCTGCGGCTGCCACGGGCGCGGTGATTGTGCGCGATTTGCTCGGACCAAGTCTTGAAGCGCGGATCGTCTGCAAGGTCAGCAATGGGGGGTTGGTTATTCCTACTACAAGATTGGCCTTGATACCGACCGACTGGCCAGTGCCGTTACCTACCAACAAATGATCAAACGGTCAAATGGACACTAGACTCAGGCTTCAAATGGCAGCTTGTGACTCAGCGTAGCACGACCTGGAATTCAGAGCGATCCCTCAATCAAATGATATGTTGCGTTAACTATTGAGTGGGTTTTCCAAGAGGTAATGACTTCTTGGAGGTAGTATTATTCTAATAATATCAAGAGACACTGATGTGTTTACTTTCACCCCTAGAGTACTTGTGGGGACAGTTCTCTGCTCAATACACCAGTCTTTCAGAAACCGATCCATGTCGCTCAGTCCACCTGCCGTGGCAATCGGCACGAAAATGATGTTGATTCCTTGAATCACGCATCAAATCGTTGATCCATTCCTCGACTTCAGCAGCAAGACTAAACATATTCGAGTAAATATTTATGCCTCGAGTTAAATACTAACCACTGAAAAGAAAGATTTGCTGCTGACTACGATTCTCCACCGAAGGATCTTCAAGATACGTATAAATTGCATGCACTACTCGTGTCACTTCCCCCACAAATATGAATAGTCTCATCAACACTGATGCCTGGGTGTTATTAGCCTGTGTTGTTCTCATTGCCTTGGTTATCTCAAGGTTTAAGGGAATCGCTAGACTACCACTCCCTCCGGGCCCGAAACCACTTCCCATAATGGGCAACTTCTTCCAATTGAATATTGCTCGACCATGGCTAACATATACGCACTGGAGGAAAAAATATGGTGTGCAGCGGGAACATTCTAAAACATGGGACGTGCTCACCCCAACACAGGCGATCTAATTTATTTCCGCCTTCTTGGCCTCGACTTTATCGTAATCAATTCGGAAAAGGTTGCAAGAGCACTCATGGATCAACGTTCCGCCATATACTCCGATCGCCCCTTCATTGCGACAAACAAGCTGTATGATTTGGTCCACGTTTTGACCGCCATTTAACGTTCATCGTAATCCAGTTTCGGTGTTGATTTTAGTACCGTCATGCTGCCTTACCATAGCAGTGATTGGAAGCTTCACCGCAAGATGTTCCACCATGCGCTTCGCTTAGAGAGTGCATCACGTTATCATGAAATCCATACGAGTAGAGTTCGACTATTGCTGAAGGATCTGCTTGATGATCCATCACATTTCGAAATCCATATCCAGAGGTAAATTACGTTGCAATCACGAAGAAACTTGACATATGATCTTCTAGATTTGTCGCCTCGAACGTTATGGCGTTTACCTACGGGTACGATATAGCTCCGCGCAACGATCCAATGGTTGCCAGTGTCAAAGAACTTGTCGATATACTCGCAAAGGCACTTTCCCCTGAGCGTAGCGCCATCTTGTCTGCTTTTCCAATACGTGAGCGAACAAAGCCTGTACCGGAATATCACTCATTCGTGTTAGTCACTCGCCTACCTGCGTGGCTCCCTGGTCCAGGATCCCAGCGCGACGCTGCTCGTGCGAGGGAATTAGCAGGACAAGTACTTAATGTGCCATTCAATCTGGTCAAGAAAAACATTGTATGTCCTCAGCCATCCGAGTAATACTCAATGATCAACTGCACACACTAGGCTGTTGGGGTGGCCACTCATTCCATGGTATCTGATTGCTTAGCTCAGATTGACGAGAAGGACGATCAACATAAACAAGAAGCCGCTATAAAAGCGGCCGCGGCTACTGCTTTTATAGGTAACTTCTCATCTTTGATCCGTGTCCTGGGCATATACTACATATTCTGTAAATCTCATCCCAGCTGGTTTTGAATCGGTGAATATTTTATTTCCTTGCTGGGAGCGCCATTATTTACAAGTAGGTCAAAGAGCTCAGCGATACTACATACATTCATTCTCGCCATGATTCTCTATCCAGAGGTGCAGGCGAAGGGTCAAGCAGAAATCGATTCTGTCATAGGGGCAACTAGCAGATTGCCAGAATTCGACGATCGACCACTGCTACCGTATGTTGATGCGATCTTTCGAGAGCTGCTGAGATGGATTCCTGTGGTTCCTCTTGGTTAGTCGCTTTCATCAAGCTCGGGTTTCTTGTTGCTGACGTGGGGCCAGGTATACCCCATGCTACTTCAAAGGACGATGTCTATGATGGTCATTTCATTCCTAAGGGTGAAAACAAATTCATCAAGTACTCGGAACTGACTGACATAAATATTACAGGCGCACTGGTGATAAACAACGTTTGGTTTGTATGCAGAACTCACATATTTGTAACACTAGCTGATATTACTCGTGAAGGGCAATGAGCAGAGATGAATCAAAACATGGGGCCGATGTTGAAGAGTTTAGGCCTGAGCGGCACCTCACAGCTGAAAACAACTCGAGCCCCCAGCCCATCTCCGCTGACCCGATTTTCGGGCTCGGTCGTCGTATATGTATGCAATTCTAATCATGATCGAGGCTTTAATCAGGCAACTCACAAGATTGACTACAGGCCCAGGGAGATTCACAGCGGAGGGGGTGATCTGGATCGCCATCGTGAATATTCTCGCGACGTTTCGCATTGTGAAGTCGAAGGATATCTTGGGTGAAGAAATCGACGTAAAGAAAGAATTTACTGCCGGTATAGCCGTGTGCGTGAAATTATTATGCTCCCTTGTCTATTCCTGACTGTTACCGCCCCTCAGCCAACCTGTACATTTTTCTTGCTCTTTTGTCAGCCGTTCAAAAGAAAGGGCGTCTACTCTGTGATTTCCATTTATATTCGCCTAGGAAGCTGATCATATCGTAACGACGCTAGCGCCCCGGCACCCCGACACCACGTTGAATTGATTTTGCCTTGCCTTGTACGATTTATTCAGGATATGGGTCAGTTATTTGCGGTCCAATCCATGCACTATCTTAGACTACATTGTCTTCATCCTCAATTGGCATACCCCAGCGGCGAGCATATTGGCTCGGCCGGCCGACATATTCACCACAACAAAGAGTCTAGTGCTTCAAGTTTTCAGTCAACGGTATGCGCGCGTCTCAGTTGGTGAAACTTGACATGAAAGTCTCGAGCCGTGGAAAAAATTAGCACAGCTTTACACAGCTTGTCGATGATGGTAATTTTCTGTACATTCCACTAACATTCAAAGGGTGTCGGGGACAGGTCACATTACTCAGAAGTCAAAAGAATGCCAAGCCTTCCACGGGATTACATTAAAGCAACAATATACTCATACGCAGGGGAAAATGTAGATGTAAAGATGACTAGGCATCTAAGATATGAACGAGGCTTCCGTGTATAGCACTCCTTCTACATCTAAGCCTTCGGAAAGCCCGGGGATAATTGCATCTGGACCACGCACAACAAGCTTGACGTTGTCTTGCCACTACATATAACTGTTAGCTATCGGATAAGTTGAATGTAAGACGTCCCAATTACCTGATAAATGTATGGCTTTGTGCCTGCAACGTAATTGACCATCGTTTTGATAACATAGGGGATCTCTGCGAGGACGTCCACCTTCTCGATTAACGCCTTAGGTGAAGATGGACTGCCAACATCAAGATGCACAGATGCATCGACAGAACCGTCCACACCCTGCAGCAGGGACGGGCCTGCCCAACGGAACTCGAGCGCAGTAGGTTGCATGTAGCCAGTATCCGGATCATGGACAGGGTTGAGGTGATGGGCACGCGACATCACAGCTTTCACAGATTGTTCTTCGCCTGGCCATTTAGTCTCTGCCGTGACCACAGCTAGCTTCCCACCAAGCACTAATGAACCAATGTTCACTAAGACTCCGCCGGAGCCAGGTCCGTGGCGTCCATGGGTATCCACAGTTGTGAATTCCATTTGAATTGCAGACACGCCACCATAGGCGTCGCTTTGGAAGTTCGCGAAATTCCATCGCGATGCAATCAAGTTTGGACGCATGCCTTGGATAGCATGAACGAGCATGCCATGGCCCTCGGCAACGATTGCACGGCCATTATGGATGATGTGACCACTGGCTTTAGTACGAGGCCAGAAGCGATGGACAACATAACCATCCGGTTTCTGTTGATCTGACCCAAAGTACGAGTATCCCCCTTTTGGCCCCTTGCCAATCTTGAACCCGGGTACAGCAGAGGGTCGTGAGACATCGAGTGATATCTGCAAGTCGTCTGAGAGGTTCGCGCGAATCGTGTACATTTCAGGATAAGAATCATCCGAGGAAGGCTTGTGGGTGATAGAGAATTGATCTGCCTTGCTGGATCTCTTGTCAAGACCAGGGGGAGCGGTTGTAAAGTTTGTAACATTGAGAGAACGCCAAATCGTTTCTTTCGTTGTGGGGTTGTAAATCTTGCATGTGAACTGAATGGTAGGGTACCACATGCTGCCGAATAATATGAGTCAAATCGAACAAGTATAAACGAACAAAATGCTCACCCGATTGACGAGTGGATCACTTGACACATCAACATCGTCCCATCCTGTAGGAAGTGATAAAATGTCTGAGTCTCTGCTACGAAGCCTCCTGCACATGTCCACTCAAGATCCTTCGGCTCTAGCTCCCCGAGAAGATCTGAATTCTCCGAGACAGGGAATAAGTTTGGAGCCTTCGGATCGACAGGGGGTGCAGTTCTACAAAATCCTTTAGACCAAAGTCACAGACCAAAACTTCCAACTCACGAAAAGAGAGAGGAGAACATATTTTGAGGTGGGATGAAGGGAAGACTCTGCGCAGTAGTATTTGAATTCGAAGCCTTCCTCAGACGTAATGAGTCAAGAAGCACCACTAGATAATGTGGGAGTTCCGGACTCCTTTTTGGGTGTTATCAGATTGCGGCTACATTCTCTACTACGAGCAAGAAGATGATCGTCACGCTGTAGCTGTTGTTTTTATACGCAGCACCAGCCTATATTTTCACAGAACTCGATGCATGTCTGATCGAAAAAGAGGCGCTGGCGCAGCTAACAGCTTCTTGTTCACATGTTAAATCAGTTTTGATGAAAAACCTTCTGGAAACACGAAGTCTGACTTCTCTATAGCGCACGAGGACCATGTTCCAAGAGACCCCGGGCTATTCAAACAAACGTGTCGCGTTTGGAAACACAGTGTTGTGCTATAAGTACATGGTATATCAAACGCACCAACTAGTGAGATGAATTGCGACCGTTTGTGACTACCTCGTCTTAATTCAAATGATGACCTGAAACGAAAAAAAAAAAAGACCTAGACTCCTCCATAACGTTTCAGATTTCAGAATAATCGGATCGAACAGAGTTGAGACTGGAAGTATACAGCAGAAGTTGTCAATCGGCCCGTACTAAGCAAGGTTTACCCACGGATCTCAGGAACGCCAGTAGTCTCCGCAGCCTGCATCGCAGAAAAATCCAGTAAAGAGATAAGGTCAGCGAGTGCTCTCAAACTCCTGCTGTCTGCGGCGGGAAAATGTTTGGAAGGGGAAGAGTCCGAGGTCGAGGTGCGAAGCGAGCTCTGATCAAATTCCCGAGTGGAATGGAGGCATGGAACCGAGAAACGTTTGGTGGCGCGATCAGGGTGATCAACAGGCTCGGTTGCAATGCTGAGCGAATGCACTTCTCGATGCTTCGAAGAAGGGATGTAGGTGAGACCAGACGTATGGTCATCCGAGGTCAGATCAAACTTTGACTGAGAGATGACACAGAAGAAGCCCTCTTCGAGTTCGGACGACATGTCACTCTTGTCCAAGTCCTCGAATTCAACATCCTGCGGAGAATTTTGGGAAGTATCATGTTCGATAACAGCAGAGTCATCGACAGGAGTTGTCGTCACCAAAACCGCTGCTGCTCCGCTGGGAGGGGAGCCCTTGTCTGCACCATTGACATCGAAGGAGTCACCTTGAGATGTGCCTTTGCTGGATCCTTCTTCTTCATATTTCTCTTCTTCCGGGAGGTCGAAGATATTCGAATACATGGATATAAAGTCGTCTTCGTCGTCCGAGAACCGAGAAGACGGAGCACATGGAAGCGTCGTATAAGGTCTATGTTGGAGGACTACAGCATCATCTTGGGAAGATTTTGTAGTATTGAGTGAGACGTAGACAGGACCTTGAACGTTGGCTAAGACGCCTTCTGAATTCATCCACACATCATGAGGTAGCGTCTTGTCTGAGGGACTCCAAGGAGATTCAAGACGGATCGAGGGGGGAGGAATCTTCACAGATGCTCCTGAGAACCCACGTCGGACTGCGAACGGGGATGCGCTGACGCTATGAACTGACTCAGATGCGCTCACTTGTGTGAATCTCGCTGACGAAGAGATGCGAAGACGGGGACCAATTGAACGAGGCATATTGGCTAAACGAGGGTTCGCTGGGCTCAAGCCCAGAACCGAACTGTTTGTGATGGAAGTGATACGCAATGAAAGCCTTCGGGGTGGAAAAGGGCTGCTCGATACCAAAGCTGGGCTCCATATCTCGGCTACAACAGGCGTGATGCTGTTGCAACGTCTCAAGTCCCGATCTAAAGGCTGGACAAAACTGCGGAGCGAAGTCGGTGTACGAAGAGCGACACCCTCGGATACACGACTAGGGGAAACCGTTCCTCCGATGAAACCGGAAAACGAGGAGGTTGCATGTTTCTTGGTTCGCAAGTCTTGGTTCTGATTACCGGTACCATCATGATAAAGGATACCTTGGTGGATTTCTGCTCCCATAGTATGCATTGCCTGAGACTGACTTGAAAGCCCTTTTTTCTTGGTATTCATTAGCTCGAGTCGTCTGGGAACGGACGGTTTGTGATGGGCGGTCTGGCTTCCCGCTGTCACCGGCGTTGGCAATGTTGTAGAAGGAACCTTTGACTTGAACAAGCCTGCGAATGAGTGGGCGAGTTTGACGAGGAAAAGCCAGAAACGTAGGAAGAAGCCTGGAGGCTGCTGAGTTGGGTCGACCCGACGTACAGGCATGATTTGCTTTCAAAGTAAGGACAGTGATAGTTCGTTATGAAAATGATATGCCAGCCTCGGTCCAAGCTTGGTCGCTTTGGCTCGGTCTATGAGATCTCTGAGAGGTTGGCTTTTACATCATGCTCCTAGTCAGCCACATATTAGCACGTTCTGTAAACGTAACGAAATTCAAGACATCACCGCGTCACAAGTAGCTAATCATCCGAAACCTCCAGGTTGTGTATAGGCCGTCGTGCATCAAACTGTCATCCACCTGGCTATCTAACAAATTTTTCTGTGACCGTTGATATCCTTTCTCATAACGAGTCAGCTGGACTCCCTTATACCACGTCGGATTCGGAGCAAGGTCGTTTTGTGTCATTTACGACGAAACTTTGCTGCAGTTAACGAAGGTCTGGACTCTGGACAAAGAAGTGAGTAGACCCGGAAATTTCTAGAGAGTGACGTGACGGATGAGGACAAGATCGTGGCCCACGCACAGCGTCACATTCCCCGCACACGTTCCGCCAGCGTTTGCAGGAAATGTAAATGGTCCGCTGACTTGCTTGAGACGGGTTCTCCGTCTTCTTCCTCCTCTGTCGACATTCAAATTTGCAAGGGACTACTGAATGTCACACTTAAGTGACGCACGGACAACGACAGCGCAGTCCCAGGTGACCCAATACGCAGAAGAGGTGTCCTCGCTGCCTTCTCCAGACCAGATCGTCCACGAGGAACATGCCCCAACTCCTCCTCCTCAGGTTTCTCCATCTGAGGCATCTCACTCGGACTCTGGATTCAGTTTATCGTCTAGCTCCTCCGGGGAGGTAAGTTTCTACTATGATTGATCCAAGACACGTGCAGTGGAGTGGCGGTCATAATCACCTAAACCCTGTTCTCGTTGTTCTCGATTAATACATATGTTCTCGAAGAACTGCACGATCCTAACATTTGTCTGGGATGCTTCAGGTTACTGGGACTCCCTTTGATTTTGGGACACAACGTTATGAATACCCCTTCCCTCCCACCCAAGGTACATCAAGCGATCCGTTTTTACCACTTTCCTCGTCAATTACAATCACATCTCCACCCAATTCTATCTGGCCTTCGTGGCCTGCACAAGTCGCAAAATCTTTTCCTCTCACTGCCCCTCCCCCCAAAAAAGTCAGAACCCATCCGAAGTTACGGTCTGTGGCTGCGCGAGAACCACCCGTTCCACCTAGCCTGGCGAATAAACGGAGTTTCTGGAGTCTTAGCCTCCAGCGCCAGGCTTCTGCAGAAAGTCAACAGAGCGACCTCAGCGACACCCAAACACGCGGCCGGAAGCTTTCTCCCGGCAGTGTGGGGTTTACCGAGGTAGACGCCTACCCCGTGTCCGACTCGGAAATCACTGTGCGCCGTCGTCAGCCTTCAGCACATGCCATATGTGCTTCTGGCTCTAGGATGAATCCAAGCGAAGAAACAACCAATCAAAATGGGTTGATAACGTGTGGCGGTCATACGCCAGAAGTACCGGCTGCGGGTGCGCCAGCCTCTGGTCCTGGGCCTAATGGTGGCCATAATAAACTTGACGTCGGTCTTCACTCGCATACATCGTCAGGGGCACGTTTGCTTACTGAATATCGTCCTATCAGCTGCGGCCAGGGAATCCGCCAGATCGAGGTAATATACAACGCTCGTCTATTGGCAAGGTTTTGAGGATAGTCGCCGGTCGACGTAGGTGATAATTCTTTGTTGACTGAACTTTGTGACGCATTTGACATCAGTTTTGAATTGGTATACGCTTTTTCTTGGGTTCTTGAGGTCCTGGCTGGGGACATAGCTATCGGCACTCCGGTACGTGTTTTATTATTTCCATCGAATTTCAAACGCTTACTCGATCTTAGACGCGACAATCTATCACCAATATCTATTACTCCATACGACATCCACCGAATCATCCAAATTTCACGAATTTACTCATCGTGATAGGAGACTCGTGCACACGCAATATTCTCATTTTTTTCTGCTTACTCATGCATACCATTCCCCTGATGTTTAATGTCGTTTCATTGATTACGTCCATAGGAGCAAATTTTGCCATCTTGCTTCCAACCATACGTTACGCTACAATCTACTTCATGTTTTATTGCAATATGTTGTCCCCACGATGAGGATCACTACTAAGTTTAGCCGGATTTCAATTGATATTTTCCAGCCATTTCCAAATCGATAGACCAGATTCCAATTTACAAACTCACCACTTTCGTTTAGTTTTCGAGCGAAACAAACGGCCGCCTTCCCTGATTGTCCCTACGACCGCGATTCCCAACGTTAAATGGAGGATGGCTCTTGTCGAACGCGATCGGTTTTCCGTCTCCAGAAACCTCTGTCAGCTACTTCCGTGTTCGGGCCTTTTCGGTTGCGATCATTTGACACTTTACTTGCTAGAGGCTCGTCAAGTTGTCTTTCCGTCTGTCATTCAGTTCTCGCCGAGCCCCATTTTTTCCGTTATGCATACCTCGGTGGGCCATTCCTGCATGGTGTCTTGAGCTTTCCGTCATGGGGTGTTCTAGAGCTTCGCGTTGGGCTCTCTGTTGATATCTCTATCCGGTACCCGGGTCTTGCAATCGAAAGCGAATATTTTTTTGTTCCGTCTTGGCATCGGCATAAAACAGGAGCGCACGCGAACTACACACATTAGAACGATATGACTTGATCTACTTTCAATTCTTCTAGTCTCGCTGGAACCTCGTCGATGGACACTCCTTCGGTCGTTGGTTCTTCCAATGCGACCGAGAATGACTTGCAAGCTAAAGGTGGGAGATTACATCGTTTCCCTGATTGTCAGACTCACTCTGTCTTTGGCTTGCGTGCATTCTTCTGGCTTCTGGCCTTATTAACATTTTTTTATCTGGTGGCAAATCCTGACAGTTTTGGTCAGTCTGTCGAGAATCTCTACCACCTTTCCTACCTCGTGCGTGGCGGCACTTGTGCCCTGGAGTTTACGCCGGACGGCAAACCTGTTGTCTGTGAGCCCATCTCCATGTCATTTGTTCAATTAATTTATTCAACTTACACCTGGTGCCACTTCGTCATCTGAATGGATTCAAACTCATTATGTTTACAAGATTTTGGCTTTCAACGGTGGGTGAAAAATCGCGGGCGTCTAACAGTATAAAATTGGCTCGAGTCTGACTGAAGATTTTAAAAAAATGGAGTCGGTGACTAGGTGCGTAGGCGCCATTACGATTCAAGTCATGTCATAGATTTCTAAATTTGACTACTGTCCATGAAAACTTGGAGCTTGTCTAAGTACGCGGACTGGCTGATACGATGACTGGTTACGGTTAGTGGTAGCCCACTCGGTTAGCGATCACACTACCTAAGCTCAACGGCGCTACCCTGTGATTTTGACATGCTCCACTTCTAACCGGCAGCCTGGATTTCTACTTAGTGCGCCTCCGTCACGTTCAGATCAAGGACAAAATGCCTGTCGGTAGAGCTAGAGAGCCTTATCTAGTAGCCGGCTGTGCTGCTCGTGAAAAACAGCATTGTGATACACTTCGACAACATCTGAATGAGAGGATTGAGATCTAAGATGTCAGAGGCCGTGAGATACGTGGGACGGTAGGCGATATCATGGATTACAGTCCGAGTCATGAGACTGAAACGAATGCATTAGTGATGTAGTACTCTTGTGAGCTTGATTCTTCGCACACATGTCACGCCGAGCTGCGGAAATGGCAGTTGCTGCTGGCACACTTCAAAGGTAAACGATTGTCGGTGAGTTGTCACGGTGTAAAATCTTATCGATGTGCTGTGACGGCGCTGCAGCTTGCCGAGCACGCTTCGTTCCGCAGTCGAGACTATTTCCTTATAAGTCGGATCAGTGAATAAAGGACAGCCTGAACAGGTGTTTCCAACGCACTGCCATTGTATTGCCATAAAGGTAATTAGCCCCACTGCGGTGTGGCGCAGAAGCCGTAAGTGGTCCATGGATCGTACGTATAAAACCAACACGCGCGTTCTATGGGGCGATTATATAGTTGATCAAAGCCCCACATTATTTCTGCATACCAACCATGACTCAATACCCTGACTGAAAAATCCAACAATCCGTATGCAAGCCATATGCAGCCCCCCGTCCCAGCTCCTCAGCAGCAACAGAATCAATATCAGGTACCTTTGGGCCCACCCCCTGCATACACCCAGGAGTCACCTTATGCTCCGCGCAACAGTACGTACCAAGGGTACAACCCTCAGCCGCAAACGCACCATGCGCCTCCGGGTTCAGCATCCCAGCATCCTCCAGGATATCCTCAGGGAGATCAATCCCCACCAGCTGGTCGTTACGACCAAAAAGGCACGGAGTACCCAGCATACCAAGTGGCTTCCCCAGGAGGCAGGTACCCCCATGACCATGACAGGGCAGGACCATCAAATTATCCTTTATACCAGCCAAACAACAGTCTGAGCCCATACAGCCAGACTCCAGGTGCCTGTGCCACAAGATCGTGCACCTTCCCTCAATGAAGAGAGTAAAGGGTTATCCCTAGCTTCATTCTTTGGTAACACGGGCCCTCCGCCAATGTGGCAGCGTCAACCGCCTCAGCATCTGCCTCACGACCAGTTCCCTCCCATGTGTCTCATCTCAAACGGAACGGACCTGAGCAAAGGCTTCCCTGAGGTGCCTCCCCCATGTCAACCATGTGTTCACCCATTTGCGACGCATGATATCTTGGAGGAGGATTGGAAACGGTCCGTAGACTTTTTATGAGGCCGTCCCATTTAGGTTGATCTATGAGGTCTTCAGATTCCTGGCAGACGTTAAGAAAGCGGCTTCATTATCTGGAGGACAACGCATCAAATCGAATGTCATACCAATGGTGACAGGCCTCGGTTTTGTCGGTATGTAGCACAACAAGCCATGCAGGAAATGATCCCATATCTACTCTCCTAGGCGGTTTGTTCCTGACTAGAGGCATCGAGAAACGAATGAAAGCGAAGAATCGCAACGCGGCGGGAGACGTCGTTGATCACTGGAACTACGTCAGTAGAAGTTCTACAAAACATCATCAGATTATTTATTATTATTTTTCAGTACTTCTTCGGACCTCGCAAAATGGAAGCTGTTCTCTGCCAAGGGTCCGAGCGCTTGAGCGGCCGTGAGGGTGCGGCCCCGCCTTCTGAGTATGGTCAGCTCCAGATGGCAAATGGCCTCCGTCGTCGAGCCTCAAGTAGCTCGTCGTCTCGTCTTCGTCTTCCTCGTCAGACTCTGAGGACGACAAGAGTCACCGTAGGCATGGATATGGGCCGTCTGCATCGTACAAGTTTGATAAAAGAGAGCGTCGGGCCGCGAGAAGAGAGGCTAAGACTGAGAGACGCCAGGAGAGACGCGCTCGTAAGGCGGAACGTCGCAGTGGTAAGGCTCGTGGGGGAAATTCGGAGCCTTACCAGCTTTTCATTCAAGCTATCTAGCGAAATCGATGAGTAGATGCGAGATAAGTCGTCAACGATATCGGATTTGAAATTTGAGCCCTCGTGGTCTTCGTGTGGTGTGATAAAAATAATGCACACAGACTCGATAAGTGCAACCCTGTTTCAACGCCATTCGTGACAGATTCATGACAGATGGCATGGAACAAAAGACTTGCCAAGAGAAACACGTGGTATCTGGTTTGAGACCCGGACCTGGGAGTGCGGCTGCTTCCACCAGTTCAAAGTTCAAACATTTTGCTTGCAATGGCGTTCGCGCATTGCAAAGAAAATCTATCTCCCCGTGTTCCCAACTTTGTTTGAAATGGGTGAGGTGGGTGAGAGGTTTGAACTTTGCCGATTTCGCTGCAGTTTGCTGCATTGTACGAACGTGTCACGTCAACATCTTGTGCTTAGCGGAAGCAAAGGTAATTTTCATTAGTCAGCAACCTCTGAATTCAACAAGAACAAATAATGCCCCAATAAATCATTCACGTTGATGCTCACTCGCTGAATATACTTACGATATTGGATATACCACGGGTGTTTAAATTTACATCCAACTGATAGTAGTCTAAGTAAACCTTGTGCGGTCGCTTCTGGATACATTCTGTACGTAACATTTACAGACTGCTGAAAAATCTAGGAAGTAATTTCTAATCACAAATTCCCACTCGTGCCATGACGATGTCTAAGAGTGTCTAAGTAAGGCTTTTTGGCAGATATGTCGAGAAACAGAGCACCAATATGACAATCATGCACATTATCCAGTATACGGCTGTTCCGCCTAGGAGATTGTTCTCCAATGACAGAGCGAACAGTGAAGAAACCGCTATTGGTCCAATAGCACGCATCATGGAACCTAGCGTCTGTGCTAGGCCATTTGTCGCTCCCAGCAATTCCCTGCTCGGTGCCCCATTGTTGACATATAATATAATACAGCCTAACGATAGTTATTATCAAGAATGCAGGTTTGAGGGGGAGGCAACTCACTATAGGTATTGTACGCAACGATGTATGCAGCGAGTTGAACGCAAAGAATCAACCACATCCCTACTTCCATATTGCGCTTAGCCATATAATTCATTAACGGGTAAGTGGAAAATGTTATGAGGAAGAAGGTGAAACTTGTGATATACAACCTCTTTGGTCCAAATCGTCGCAGCAATCGCGGGAACGTATAAACCTGTATCGTGCCGTTCAACATAGTCCAGACCGTCATCACCAATCCAATAGTGTTGCTACTAAACCCAAGCCCTCCGAGTGAACGTGATGTCGAATACATGAGCGGTATTAGTACCAGCATGCACTGGTCAACGAAGCTCAGTAAACCATAGTGCAAGACTGGTATTATGACGCCTGGGATGAGAATGGAGCGAAAATCGGTCCTCGTAGACTCAACGGAAGTGGAAACTGGGCTGGCGATCTCTGCTTCATCCAGCATGCGAGGTAGTCCGTCGACCTGGGCGTCTGCAGGCTTGTCGTGGATCGTAGCAGCTGCATGACCAACTTTTTGGCGTCGCCACTATGGCTCACGGATCCATTTCTGGAGGCAGTGCCTCGTACCGACTGAAGAAATCTTTCCGTGAGCACTGCACGTGATACGATAACCGAATCACTGCACTTCTTTAAGAAATAGTAAGGTGATAAACCAGGAGGATATCGATACGCTGGCGGCAACGATGCAGGGCAAAAAATAAGGATACCGATGGAACAAGGGATAGCGCCCGACGGAATTTGGCCATTTAGCTGCTGGGTCTGAGAGAACCCCTCCAATGAGGAATCTTGAGAACTCGATCAATTCACGGCGTACATGATGGTCAACAATTAAACAAACCCTAGGGCATAACCAGTGGACCATGCCAACGGTAGCCATGCGAATGCTTGCGCCATATTGGAGGCGTCAGTGATCTCGGTCATGACGCTTTTGACTACGCCGATATTGCCATTGAGAGCACCTTGTGCACAACGGCTGAGGATGATCATCCAGAATCTATTCGAAAATCCAAAGGAGACGATAGACAATGTAATCCCGAAAAGCCCAATGAGAATCACTGGCTTCCTTCCAATGTGGTCAGACACGCGACCCCATTGCAAAATCGTGACAGCCTCGACTGCATAATACAAGGATTCCTAGTAACATAATTTCGTCAGCGATGGGCCAGTGTCCGGTGAGAAACAACAGACAATCAAGCCTGCATAGTAGCCTGTCTTACGCTCATCTCCGCCTGTGATACCTGTTGACCTGACTAGCTGGTTCACAAAGGGATATATCACAGAGGCCGCCAGCTGCTCAGGCATCTGGACAAGGAGAAGGATTGCTAACTGTTTTTTTGGAAGAGGTGTCGGTAAGGGCGTTGCTTCAATGAGCCCTTCCTCGCCTAATTGTTTTTCTTCGGAAGTTTGTGAGGATCGATGGATTTCGGCCATTTGGGTGCAGCTAAGTGGGTGGGCTTATCGAAAGCTATCAGTCGTGCAATTTATGAACTTGTACCGATACGTACAAAACAATCATGTGAGTGCTTCAGACCCTACCAAGCATACCAGATGACACGGACTGAAGCGGAAACCCTGCCAGATGCTATCCACATCAGGGGACTAAGCAGCCCATGATCAAACTGCGGCACTTTTTGACAATGGATGTCAGTGTTCACAGACACTTGTCACTCACTACTCCCGTTGGTTACTCAAAATATCACAACGCCTAATTTGAATGACGATACGTATTACTTACCCGCGGTCGCGAAGTGGTACTGCAATCGGAAAAGAGGTTGTCAGAACTGAATAAGAAACTAGCCACATTGACATAAAATCCTACAAATACCATACAGGGGTCCATAGGGCATACGTAAACGCTGAACAAGTACGTCGCATAATGAGTCCAGTAACAGTGTCGCGGCTATTGATAAGGAGCCGAGGGAGGGGTCCATTCCACCTGCTCAGTATCAGTGATAATGACGTTGTGATTGAGCAGATTAGAAACCGAGTAGTATAAGAGACTTGACATCAACCCCGATGAGCCATGCTTCCATAAACCAAACGGAATTGCATTCATGTGTTCACGTAGCAAAGGGAGGCGCGGCAAAACCCTTACCAAGTGATCGCGGGGAGATTGCACAACAGTGGACAGGGTAAGTTTATATCGAAAGCTATTGGTAGCCATCTGGCGTCACGTTAGACCTGAGCGCTGAGCCTTATCACGAGGGTTGCAGATGGACTGTAGACTCACTTGGAACTGACAATGTATACTTAGCTGGGGCTAGACTCATGGTCACCTGTAGAATCTAAATCAACCTGGTACGGCGGCGGCATAGAGTCATCTGAGTCGGGAGTTTCCGGGATACGTACTGCTGGATCATTCGTAATCTTCAAGTCGAGCTCCTTGGAGCTCCCCCTAGTTGAATTTCATTAAAGAAAACCACACCAGAAACGCGAAATAATAATGCTTTTCCTCGCAATCGAAGGAGATATCATTCAAGTTGAAGTCCGACACGTAATAAATGGCGCAAGCGAAATTTGCAGCACAGCTTTAACTTTCAACTCGGAGTAGGAAGTTTGAAGCTTCAGGTTGGTTTACCACGTTTCTATATCGTCTTCCAGCTGGAAGGTACTTAGGTCCGTATCTTGATGTCGGCTTTTGTGAGCCTGTCACGCTTCTTCACTACCTCCTGGCCTCGCCCACGCTCCCTAGACTTCCCGGAATCTGTTCTTGACAGTTCACCGATAGACTTTGACGTGACAGAGGTGGAGCACAGTCTGTTGACGGTCGAAGACCCAGAATTCCGTGAGCACCTGCTCTCTTCAATTGAAACAGCATCTCCCGAGCAATTGCGCGCTCTCGTCGTTCAACTCGCTGACGAGATACCTGAACTACAACGGTCTCTTATCCAATCGCTCGCCTCCTTGAAGGCATTGTCAAAGGGGGTTTCGGAGGTCCTAAACATTGACAGGAAGTCTGATGCAGACTCAAGCGGGGCTTCATTCAGCCTAGAGAGTGTGTCAACGGAGTCTGGAAGTTGCCCCAGCTGGAAGTCCGCCTGCTCGGTGATTAATTGGAACATCAATATGGAGGATGTCCCTGAGATCGAATCTGAGGTAAGCGTGGATGTCGCATCGTGCGCGCGCTGGGATATTTGCGTGAATTGCGGGAAAAAATTCGATGTGAACGCGGTGCGCGGGCCGTTCGAATGTTGCTATCATCCTGGTAAGTCTGAGATTCATACTGAAGAAAATTTTCGTCTTAATTATGATTTCCTTTGTCCATAGGGTTTCTCCAAAAAGATGTTGAACGGCACAAACAACGCGATCCCCGGTCGTACCCTGAGGACTTCATCTGGAGGTGCTGTAACGAAAGCAACCCGGAGGGGTGCGAGACTGGCTACCATATACCTGCCGGAGACATTGGGCTGCCGCGGTTGTCTTGAAGCGACTGTTCATCTTTGAGCCTTGAAGCATCATACTACTTCATGTTCGCACGTTGTCGAGCGGAATTGAACGGGTCTTTGCAAACGAGACGATATCAGTCCTAGCTAAGTACGTGCGCAAAGTTCAAACATTAAGATTTAAAACTATAGCTAATTCGCTACTTTACAGCATCTTGCGTAGCCTGTTTTTCGAATCCATTATCGTCCGTTGGGGTTGACCCTATGCCTGAAAATGTGACTCCTACCCGTAAGGCAGGGCGCTGGCCCTTACATTTCATATGTAATTCTCGTGATTTCAGGGCCTTCTCAGCTGGATGAGGCATTATGCAAAGGAGATCACCGTGGTGAGAAGATGACAGCGCTTGAATGCGTGCTTATCTATTTTACGTTTTATTTTCCTCCTCTTAGTAGCTATTTATCGTGCATGTCGCAGTTCCATTATAACATCCATAGGATACAGAACCACCTCAGATCCGAAGGCACTTAAGGCTGAATAAAGGCGGTATCAAATGGGGCAGTCCCTAAACGTTCAACTTTCCTTTTCTCAGTCTGTTATTCGAGAAACTTTATCCCCAAATTATAGATCTGATCGACCAGGGTAGCTTGAGGTCGCCAGCTCAAACCTCAGATATGGGCCGTTTCCAGAACTGACATTACTTGTCCGCAGTAGATAAATTTATACCAAAACGTTCGATACGTAGCCGGTGACGAATAAAAGGTATACAACTTCGTTTGCTCAACAATATGGAGAGAAAAAAGGGGTGAAAGCCAGAACTTTACTCCTGACTTGACACTCCAGGCGCAGCATGAAAGGTTGCAAGCGAGAAGGAAACAGGTTCTAGCAAAGCACGTCGCTGATCTGCTCTCCAGAGTTCACGATACATCTTTGTCACAAGAAAGGCATGAACAGTGACTTGCCAGTTGCGTAAGAACCTCACAATCATGAAGCCGTAAAACACCTGTCAGGTTTACTTGTGGTCAATACACGTGGTTTTATCCAAATTTCGTGCACTGACGTTGAGACGGGCTGTTGTCAATATAACACTGAAGGAGAAGACTGGGCCATAAATTAGAAAAATTCCCTGCGCACTTCTCTACGACCGGACAATCTGAAGGCGACTCACCAAGTCCGCAAGTTAGGTAAATCATATTGTGATGGATCAGCTGTTCCAACAGGTGATTACGACCACCCCTACGCGAGTAGCTCGCAGCGAACTTGTACAGTGCGAACGCCCATATTTCTGGTGGACCGTCAATTACCATAGAAAAAAAATGACGATGTACTCACGGATCTCCGCCGCAACTAGAATCACGTAGAGGATTATGATAGTTCTGTCACTGCCAGTTTCAAGACAACTCGTGACAGGGATGGGTGACTTAGTAGCTGTAACAGTGTTTTAGTCCAAGAAGTCCTTTCTGAATGTATAGAGAACATACTTGTAGGGGGGGATCGGATGATCGAGAGCACCACGGTGGCAGCAATAACGTACATCTAAATCCACCTGATATGCACGGATTCTAGTAAACTTGGAGGCTGCTACTGACCAGCCCGCTCATTGAGAACAGAACCACCATCTTCCTCCCAAATCCCCATATTGCACAAACACGGAGCAAGAATACACCTTGCAAGTTGTAATCAATGAGTCTGCCCATGTGGTATGTCAGAACGGCAAACCTTCGGCACACACTACAATGAAACTTCCCAAATCTGTGATAAATGTCTACTGTGAATGATTTTGCTTCAATGAACGAGGGAACGTACATGTGTTTATGGAGTATATCACTTGACACGTCTATCACAACACTTCAGTCGAGGTACAGTCTTACCGTCGTTTCAGGACTCACGTGAATTGACATCATGGGTTGGAATGCCACTGTGAGTGTCCTGAATCCGAATAACTAATATCATTATTATCTAGGATGCTTACCGAGCATTTCCAATGTCAAGTAACCGCAGGTAAGATATCGGCAGACAATATAAAGCAGCTTCGGTAATCTCCACTGTGACTGCGTCAAAAATGCCACCTGGTGTGGTTAACATTAAGCCTGTGTAGTGTTTGAACAAGTATAGCTAAAAGCACCTCATCGGCCAAGGTGAGGAAAGAGTTATATGTCTGCGATGATATAGATTAGCCGTTTAATTATGAGATTCATGCAACCTTACCCAGGACGTAGTTACAGCCACTGCGACACGATTGTCAGTATATTTTATAGTCAGCACAACTTTCAAGAGGACGCAGACCATTGGCGTACTTGGGAGATCATGAGTAACTGGACACAAGTCAGGTATTGCTGCTACTCACGTTAAGACCCCAGAGTACCCATCCAAGCTCGAGTACATTCTCAGTGGAGCTCATTGCGAGGCACGCGTCTTCAATTCGTGAAAGTGGATGTACTCCTCAGTTGCCACAATTAACTCGTGCATTTTTATATTGAAAACTTGGTACAGCTTTTTGGCAAGATTTTAAAAACCATACACGAGCCTTGGCGACATCTGATATAACCAAGATACCATCAACATGCTTGCGAGTCACTATCACGATGTACAAATGGCGCAACTTGTAAAATGGGCGGCTACGTGACGTTGAAGCTCCAGGGTGCCGCAGGCTACGTTCTGTATTGATTAATTTGACTCTGCCGACAAAGGTCAGAACGTACTAGACGCTATATGAAATCCCTACCGTTTAATGATCTGGGCGCTTGCCACCAGAAGCGCGGGCTCCAAGATAGCAAGCTACCCGGGGAACCACGTTGATGAGCAAGTCTGTGCATGTTACTCGTTTAACAACCGCATCCACGTGTGAACCAGCACATGGGTAGACAGCAACTGGAACGTTTAGAGCCGGTTCACCTTCATTCCGCTATTAACTCCATTCCATAGATACACTCGAATGATGAAGAGACTACAGTAACAAAAGCGTGACCTGACATCTATCTGTGACGGGGTAAGTAGGATAACCGCGACCGATATACGTAAGTTAAGTACTTAGCAATTAGAACCGCACTATTTCGCCTCGACGTTCATGGAAGTCATAGATTTAACCAACCTACCCATCTCAGACGATGAAGGGGGCACAGTGTCCCGCGAAGAGCTCGAAAATGCAGTCGACAGCATGACTGAAGCACGCCTTCGGAAGATAGTAATCAGGCTGGCCGACAATATACCAGCGTTTAGAAGCGCACTGGTGAAGGAAGCCATGGTGGTCAGCGACAGGAAGAGAAAGGCTGTTCCGAGATGGAATGTTTGTGCCAATTGCAAGGAGGAATACGATGTATAGTGTTCAACAATTTCAGTTCACATACCGTGACAGGTATCGGCTTCTATGAATAATTCTTGCTGACGGCACCGGGTCACTCCCGCAGTCGACAGTTCTGTGCCTGCACAAAGCCGTTGAACTTCGTAGTCATCCCGCTGTCACAGAAACGGATATAAGCTCCAATACACGCTCGAATCAAAGACAATAATGAAGATCATCTCTGCACCCTCTCCATTGGGTCTCTGGGCGAACGTACGTTCGGTTGGCGCATTCAATGTCGCTTATTCATTTGTTGCATTATGGGCTTTCGTCAAAGTCCTGAGGGCGCTTCGCTGGCGATTGAAGACGACTCAACTGCGGGGTCCGCCTCGTACCAGCATCATATATGGCGTTTCGTACGACCTCGCCTTATCTCAAGATAGAGGTCGAATGTATGAACGTTGGGCGACAGAATATGGAGTAGCGTATATGATTCCAAGCGTCCTCGGACAGACTAGAATCGTGCTGTGTGACCCAAGAGCTATAGCACATTTCTACGCTCGAGAGACATGGACATATGTGCAGACGCCCCTTTCGTTGGCGCTCCTGGAGACATCAGTATGTTAACGTCATAATCTTACCTTGTCTGTCTGATATCTCTTGTCAGATGGGCCGAGGGTTATTATGGTCTCAGGGTGAAGACCACAGGAGGTACTGTTCAGCTCTTGTCCTTGGGCAAGCGACTTATCTACTACCTGCGAATTAGGCAGCGGAAGGCTCTCACCCCAGCTTTCAGTAATGCAGCGATTCGGAAACTCACATCAGTCTTTTATGACTCAGCTTACAAGGTAAGGATTTGCGATGTAGAGAATGTAGGATCTGTGATCTTGATACTTTACAGGTCAAAGGTGCATGGGATACTGCTATAGAATCGAGCAAAGATGGCGACGCTGTCATTGAGGTGCAGAACTGGTGCGTAGCTCCCCTGGCTTTGCAAGGGGCATTCCTAATCGAAATGACTCAAAGGATGAATCATGTATCGTACGCAAAATATTCTGCCATTGATGCCCCCGAACTGATACAATATCAGTCTGGATACGGTTGGCATTGCTGGTTTCTCCCATGATTTTGGCTCGCTCGATGGAAAGCGCACCAGCGTGACTGAAATGTTTGATAGTACTTTTAGAGCCAACCAACAATCTTCAGCAGTGAACAGAGTTTTTATTCTGTTTGCGTCAGCGTTTCCTATCATTACCAAAATCCCCACCAAGCGGATGAATATGTTCAAGAATTTTGGCGTCATCATGGGAGAAATATCCAACGACTTATTGACTCGCAGCCGCCGGGAGAAGGATATGAATATGAGCGGGGGAGACGAGGAGAAGTCCATCATTGGATTGTTGGGTACGCTCTCCGAGAAATTCATCGTAGTCTCTTGATTAACGCGACGATCAGTTAAATCCGAAGGCCAGGATGCCGAGCTTCATATGTCGAAGGAGGAAGTGGTAGCTCAGATCCGTGGAGACAATATATCACAACCATAATTTGCGAGCTGACATTCTGCAGATGAAGGTCTTGCTTCTTGCTGGTTATGAGACGACCTCTAGTGAGTCAATTTCTTGTCCGTTGCTGTCATGTTGGCCGACTTTTCATCGATAGTCAGTCTTACGGTAAGCCTACTGTGCGATAACGTCTGTGCACGCTACTAATGTGATGATCAGTGGGCGCTGATCGAGCTATCGCGACATCCCGATGTCCAAACCAGCCTCAGAGAGGAACTGCTTGCGTTTGGCGCTGATCCGACATATGACCAATTAAAGGCTAATCTCCTATACTTGGATGCGGTTGTCCATGAAGTTTTACGACTTCATCCTCCGGTGAACGAGTTCAATCGTCTTGTGAGTATACTTGTCTACGTGCGAATAAATACTCTGACAATAGGTCTATAGGCGGCAGCAGATGATGTTATTCCCTTGAGCGAACCTGTGCGCACGAAGTCTGGGGAAATGACGGACAGTATATCTATAGCGAAAGGGACATCGATCACAGTATCAAGCGCGGCGATCAATCGCTCTTCAGCCATCTGGGGACCTGATGCAAAGGAATTCAAACCTGATCGTTGGCTGACTGAAGACGGCATCAGTGAGAAGGCCAAGGAAGTCCAAGGTCATAGGCATCTGCTGACATTCGTCGACGGCCCAAGGACGTGTCTTGGCAAAGATTTTGCGCTCACGGAATTCAAGGTGAGTGGTTTGAACCAGCCAGTTTCGACGTTATTCACAGTGCTATACAGACGGTTTTATCGGTTCTGGTGAAGAACTTCGTGTTTGAGATGCGGGATGGACCTGATACTCCAGTCGAAATTGTGAGGGGGATTTTACCACGTCCGCGGGTTGTTGGAGAGGATGGTATTGGGGTGCCTTTGAGAATTCGTCGGTATGAATGAATAGTTGCGCTGCACTACAATGGCGGCACCATCAAACAAAATAGAAGTACTTTATCAGCTTTCGCACAGTACTTATCACTAGACTCCCCCCCGGTTCATGCCAAGGTGTTTCTTGTTCGCGCTCGTTCGAACGGTACCCCCCTTGGCTCTATTCGAGTGAGGATCTCACCTGGATACTATTTTGGCCTATTCTTTCTCTCAGTCTGTCTCAGGCGCTTCAGGCATTTCTGTTGCCCGCTGCACCAGATCCAGCTTCGTCGCCGCGATTTTCCCCCACTTCCTTAAACTACGTGTATCGCTCTTGGCGAAGTCTGTTCCCGGTGAATTCGCGTCAGTGCAACTTCTGGTTAAATGTGATCGTCAAAAATACTGATGGCTGGTTGACATGATGGAGGAATGTTATTTTATGAAGTTTGCAGGTGTGGGGTCAAAGTTGGCAAGCCATGGTGAACGGATTGAAATTTTAATAAATGGTTTACAAAACGTGATCGACTTAATGGAAAGGTTGAAGTGGTTGGTGGAGTCGGGAATCAGTGCGTCCGCGCGCTATACTCGGTTCGCAGACCTGCAGGTCATGTGATCGCGTCATGTACCTACATAGCACCACAAGTGCAACAATATTGCTGCCATCTGAATATCATTACAAAAGTATGAAGTGTATCACAAATACCGTGATCAAGAATTATAAGTGCGGCACTAGATTAGTCCACAACACCGCCTTGTATGCATCAGAAGGAAGATTGCGTAAAGTGGTGAACATAAGTACCAAGAGGACGGCACGAACTGCGATGTACAATATGACAGATACCATACACATCAGGCCAAATACAAACCCCACGACCCCCAGTAATGAATCGGGTATGAATTTCGGAAGAAAACAAACCCAGGGTGTGAAAGTTATACCGACGGCACTTATGCGCCATAGCATCTGTTCTTGGTATGTGGGGAAGGAAAAAAACCAAGCCGCACAATGAATGCCGCCAAATATGGTTGCCATTAGCAATGCAGCAAGCTGAAGAACCATCCTGTTCGAATCTTCAAGATCAATGCTGCCATCAAATGTTGGAACTCGGAACTTTCGAGATGTGGGAATGTAAGACAAGCCTATCACTTCCTCAATTGGGCCGAGGACTGGAGAAAAGATCCAATACTCAGCGGGAGCGTCTATTTCAGGGACACTAAGGCAGAGATAATCAGCAGCGGTATAATTGTCGAGGCGCATACATACTCATAAATGTGATCCTCTGGCCTTAATTCTGTCGACTTCCAGTAGACTGGATGTGGACATCGCACATCGAGAGGCTTGTTCCACCACACGGCATAGGTGAGAAAATTGAGGACCGCAAAAGCGAGTGTCCCCACTTCGAGCTGGGTGGTTTCGAGGTGATAAATGGCGCGGGTGATGAGCTGCATAACAAACCAAGCCACCTGAAGCATGATTAATCCTTTCGATATCACATTCCCTTTGCTCTTGTCGCGGATCTGGTTTGCTGTTAGGGTAGGGGCGTCGATACACTCGGCACGTATCAGCTTGAGGACCTCGTCAGGCTGTAGTGTGTGATAGGGTTTCCCATCCACATAAAGCATGAAACCACCCATCAGCACAAAGAGGCTATGTTCTTGAGTCCATGTATAATCTAAGGATGTACATAAGCCAAATATCCGGTATGTTTGAGAAACGATCAGGCTTACCTTCAGATTGCTCCGAAACATAGGCGTCAAACAACTTGTTGAATGGCTTCGCAAGAACATGCCAAGTTCCTTTATATCTTGAAGCGGGCACTGGAGTACTACAATGAACTGCCGAAGAAACACGAATACGGATGATGAATCACCTTTGGGGTGCGCTATGAGAAGTCGGGTGCCATCATTATCTTGAGAAGCAGGCGAGTCATGAGGAAATGTATTCGGGGTGCGGCAAGATAGAATGTCGAGCTCACCTTCAACATGTTGCTCTGCAGTTGCTTTGGTAGACCCATGATCTGAGAACGTGTATAATGAATCGTGAGTCGCAGAGTTTCCGAAAGCAAGACTCACCTTCAGACTCCAGACGAACACTAGGATATCCTGATTTCTTGAACTGTCTTGTAACCTGACGGGCGCCGATCCACTGGCGCGTAGCCCAGGTGACGATCAGTTCAGGAGCGATTAGTGCCATTATCATGATCCCAAGTCGTCGCCGTAGGATACGAAGGGGGCTGTCCCTGGGACTCGGAATGTTGGGGTGAATAGCACTGTAGATGCATGCAAACAGAGTGAGAACGGAGCTGGCGATGATGGACCATATGGTTCTGGTCGTGAATGATGGGGCTTCAGAACTGTCGCTAGTTGTATTTGTTGCATTTGTTGTAGGTGCAGCTTGGGTGGCTCCAACGAGGTAAAGGAAAACGCAGAAAAGTACTAGTAAGCGCATTATTGCATGTCACAGTGAATACGCCACACTCACTATTTGTATTTTACTGGCGGGCGTCATCTCAAGGCAGTATAATCCCACACCCTATTCTGAGGGAGACAGCGTGTGTATGTCTCAGTACCGGTTCCAATAGCCTGCGGAAGGAATCTACTTTTTGCTGGCTACATGCTCTGGACTCCGCATCAACGCCTTGAAGGACTTCACATGATTAATATAAACTCACTCGGTTCTTGGTGTCTTGGACTGCAGCACTGAAGACTAATTTGCAGTCCGTTCCAGCTCCAAAGTGCTCCAGATTTCAGACTTCCACTTTCTGGATTCTGAGATGATACAAAAATTCACCGCTAAAGTATTACAACGCGAGTCTGCAATATGACGCGGAAAATGGCCACTGAAGGACCATGGCATGTACAACCTGAGTTTTGACATTGTCAAATTTCCACCAAGCAGGTATAGTGTAGCAGTACCTTGTCGCGATCGTCGCGGGCACACCGATATTAATATCGCGGCATCCCCATATCCCCATATACGGAAATTTAAAGAGGGTGTTCGCGACTGCAATAGATGTGCATATATCAGTTTGACGATACCGCCTGACCGTGACTTTGTGAGCGTGGATATAAATGTAGCAATCAGCGCACGCTCGACTCATATGCATGGCTTGTTTGAAGGATAAGCACTAGCATTGGAAGGTTCCAGTACTAGTGACTAGCAGTAAGTGTAGTTGGTGTGCACTCACCGTTTGGGAGCAATGGTCACGGCAGTTGCCGCAGCAGTCCCTAAGTCTAAACGCGGTCACGTGCGCCGCATTTCATTGACTTAGATCACCAATGTCACTTCGACAAGCTTTTGCTTTGCATACGCCAGCGTCGCTCAAATGGACTGCAGCTCAAGAAAAGAGTTTGAGCAGAGACTACCCGCTGCAAGATCACGATCCAGATGACCCAGCCCTCTTCGTCCAGCGCACTTACCTTCACTACCTCTGGCTTCCTCATGTAAGTCCTGCTCTAACTGTTATATATATTTGCTAATAACAATATAGTCAATTATGCCGCTCTCTGTATTTATTCCCTCTCTTCTTCGCATCCAAGGACCTCTAGATCTCGCGGAGGACCAGCCACATCCTCTTCACGCCTTTATCGAGCCTCTCCTCCTTTCCCTTCGCGCAGCCGTGAACAAGTACCATAACGAGCTCCCTCAGATTCTCGCCGATGGCGGCGGTGCAGGCGAAGCAGAGGAGAGTATAATGTGGTATGCTTTGGGGTACGAGAAAGTCGATGCCAGCGCAGAGCGTAGCGAACACCTCAACCGAGATGACAATGCGATGCTAGAAGACAAGTGGAGGTCTGGCTGGCTCGAGCGCATGGAGCAGCGTGAGTAAGTGCTTATCATTTTGCTTCTAGGCGCATCATAACGACTTTGTAGAGTTCAGATCCAAATTCTGCTGTACTTCCTCAAGCTCTCTCTTCCTGGACCATGCACCCCATTACCGCCTGTCGAAGTGCCACTCACTGATAGTACTTATTTCATCTCACCCGCCAAACACAGCCGTTTGCAGAAGAAGAAGAAAGAAAAACCAAACTTGATCATCCCGTCCTCTATCGAGCGTCTCGAGTCCTTCATGGACAAACTCTCAACGTGGCAACTCGTATCACTCATGACTACATCTCACACTGAAATTACGACTCGCAACAAGAATGAACGTGACTGGATGCAAAAGTTTTGCGAGGATGTAGTTGAACCTCTGTAGGTGATGTTTTCATGTATGATATCAATCAAATACTAATAATTACAGGTTCAAATCAAAACTTCCGGAGCAATGTACCCTACTCCGTTCCAAGCTCTTCCCAAGCTCTCCCTTCTCCGACGAACCCCCTTCTCCCGGATCATCTACAGAGAAGTCTGTCCCTGGGTCTCGTTCTCATCATTCATCATCGACTACCGCAGCTGGCCCACAAATTGGTGGAACGGCAAAGGCCCCTGTTCGCACTCGCTCGCTGTCCGTGTCCCTCGCCCAGGAAAAAGAAAAGGAGCGCGCAGCAAGCGTAGGCGCGACGCAGGACAAGACACTTCAGCGTGCGCTAACCCGGCAGATCAGCATGTCTCGTGCATGGAAAGGGAAAGATCGGTCGACAACTGCGGTGTCACAGGCGGATACGAAGATGCCTGCTGCAACAGCTAAGCGCATCATTGGGAGCACCAATTCACAATGCCAATCCTCCCAATCCCGCGCAGCGCCAGCGATTACCCTCGTAACCGCTACGCCTGTGAAGAAACCGCCTCCCCGCGCCAAGTCAAATGCGTCAGCTTGGAGCTCGAGTCCTATACCTAATGCCAGGAGTTCGAGTCCACGTCTTGCTGGGCGATCTTTGAGTCCTCCCACCGCTCGCAGTTCAAGTCTTACGCCGCTCGACACAGATGATAACGAGCTTCCTCTCGCGTCTGTCCCTTCACTCGACTTCTCCTCTGACAGCCTGTGTAATGCAATGGACGAAGAGGAGGATGCGGAAGAGAAAACGTTGTTCCCAAACTCTTCGCCTGATGTGTTGCTGCTTAGTAAGAGCGAGTGGGTCGTGGATGCCAAGAAACGCGTGGCGTCAGCTTCGTCAGAAGTACTGACTTCGGATACCCCTGTTAGGAAGCGGACGAGGCTTAGGAGGTAGCAGTGTTAGTTTGTGCTGCAAAACGTAAGGTGCGAGGCAGGTGGTATTACTTGTGTATGATCTCAAAAGGTAGACTAAAGGCTGACTGGGACGACCAAAATTCTAATCCCATGGGCCCCAGAGAACAGCGCGAATACCCAGAGGCAACATTTACGTGGGACGTGACTCCGACTGTTGCGACCAAGGATGTGAGACTTGATATCATGTTCCTGAAAGAACGTTCAAGAAAAGAAAAAGATGCCGAAAACAGTCAACGGGATATCCTTGATCGTTTTGTTAGCCTACACCACTCTCCGTAAGAATGTCTGTTCCCAGAGTTTCTCGATGCTCGGCCGTATATTGGCTTTTTGAAAGCCTCCCGATAGTGTTCACCTGACGATGTCTGTTGATCAACTCAGTGAATGCTGTCTCGCAATGTCGAAAGAGAGGCTACTTTGCTATGTGTTCGTTGTGAGCTCACATGTTGTTAAGTTAACAGTTGAGAATATATATAGACGCGACGCGATTTATCACGTGCGCGAAAAGTAAGCGCTTGTCCCTTCGAAGTTCGCTCTGTATGCAGCTCGCTACCGTATACTAGTGGGCTGAATATTAATGTCAACAGTCCCAGGTACACCGAGAACAAAGACGGGCTTCACCCCTGCGACGCCAACGACAACTCGACTGGCAGGATCCCATGCTCTTCAAGCATCTCCTCATTACACGACAACCAGACGTCACTCTCTCTATGGCACAGAGGATCGTGTTGTAATCGATCCAGGTTCACGCGTCTGGAAAGTCGGATTCAGTGGAGAAGGCAAGCCAAGAGACGTGTTCTACGCCGACGCTAAAAATTATGGCTCGTTATGGAGCTGGAGTCGAGCCACAGATCCAGCGGAGAAGGCAGAGCAGGACAACATGTTAGCAATCAACTTGGAGAGATGTATGCGTTCTGTTTTTCACGAGTAAGTGGACATGACTATCGCAGGCACTTGCATCCAATAGATCGTGAAGGTCACTTCTTGCAGAACCCAAGGCCAGAAAGGTAATATTAGTCGAGCACCCGTTAATGCCGTTGTACATCAAGGATATGTTAGCTCACATCCTCTTCAGTAACCTGCAGGTATGTGCTCAGCTTTCACGGGATGATAACTTGTAGACATAAGGTGACAGGTCCCCTCAATATCATTCGCATCAAGTCATCTGTTATCTTTGTTATCTGTTGGCCGAATAACAGGTCTCGTCCTGGACTGTGGCCATCTAGAATCCACTGCATTACCTGTAAGATGGATGGACCTATTTTATCTTTCTGTTAACACACCCTCTTAGATATTCGCAGCACGTCCTCTCTTTCCCCAACTGCGAACAACACCGCTCGCAGGCTCTCGCTTTTCATCACACATCCGTGCACTCCTCCTCTTATTTGGCTCTTATCTCCCTCCACCAGCTACACTCAGTGCGGCTGTCAACGTACCCGCAGCCAATCGCACTACCCGTGTGCCACAAGAGATACTAACAGATGCTGTCATCGAGGACATCAAGACACGCTGTTGTTTCGTATCAGATGCTTTAGAATCTTCTCTCAGCGATGTCCGCGCATCCTCCCCAGCAGGTGATGATCCTTCAGATCATGAGCCTCCACCCTCAAGCGACCCCGCCATGTCTGAGTCAGAGTTTTCACGGGGTTCACTCGGCCAAGAGAGCGCTGCAGAGTCCGAGTTTTCAATCATATCCCACCCGACACACCCTACAACCGGTGGAGAAGCAAGAAATGAAAACCATCTACAGGTCCTTGCGAATATGTACATACGTCACTCCACTGCCACAGATCTTCACATGCGTGTCGTCCCCCCTGTATCTCAGCAAGCGGGTACCGGGCGTGGAACACTGATCATCCCAGGCTGGGTCCGTGAACGCGCTGCCGAGGTGCTGTTTGAAGGAGGTGACGTCGACGAAAGTAGTGTCGCAGAAGTAATCTTGGATGCTTTACTCAAGGTTTTCTATCTAATTTCCCCATTCTATGATTATACCATTGACCGTGCTTGAAGGTCCCAGTTGATCTTCGTAAAACTATGGCGTCCTCTATTCTAATCACAGGGGGAACAGCCATGCTTCCAGGGTTCATCCCCCGTTTACACACGGAACTGCTGCGCGCTACTGCGCTGCTAAATATATCATCCACACGGTCTAGACCTACATATGATCGATATGCCTCGTTGCGTCCCCTAGTACCACACTTTGCCATCCTCAATAATCCTGCACCGGTACCCTCGTCGAGCGCACGTGCCAATGTGAACGCAGGGAAGGCACCAGCTTTCACACCTGCTACGATGGCGTGGGTGGGTGGCTCCCTAGCGGGGTCAGTATTCCCTCGTATCGTCTTATCATATGTTGACGGTCACTTTTCTAGGGCACTAAAAACTGGTGGCGTCGAAGTCGCACGGGAGAAATGGGATGAGTCTGATCCATCGCAAACCGATCAGGATGAAGATGTCGTAATGGTTCTTCCTACGTCTGAACACGTTCCAAGAAATGTCATACCAGACTGGACTAGAGGACCGCTGCCCGCGGGCGCACCTCCTGCTGTAGCACTAAAGCCCCCGCCTTCCCCACAAGCCGTCGGTGCTTGATTGTAACATTGTATAATTGCTCATTGTAAAAGATGGGTAGAGCTTGTCATAATGTGCAATGTGCAGTGGTATGAAGTAGATAATTGTGTGATATGCGATAAAAGGATACATTCTACAACTTTGATCCACCAATGAGCTCGCGAGTACAATCCTATGAAAGTACAAACGCGGCTAAAGCCAAAACCGAAAGGTAACAAAGAAATCCAACTGAATGCAATGTAGAACGAAGATGGAATGTTGAAGAAAGACAAGAGGTATCGCAGTTGAAACGAAATAATGAATGTGTTGGAACGAAAAAAATGATGAACGCTGGAACGAAGTGAAAACCAATGATTTCTACAAAATGTCAAGATCAACAATGCCAATAAAAAGCCTGGGTAGCAATACATTACACATGCGGAGCAGCCTAGGCGTGGCTGCCAATAACACGCAGAAGGACCTTGTTTCCATACTTGGATATCGCCCGGTCCCAGTCATCGTTAGACTTTACGAAGTGCAGAACAACACTATCCTTATCGGCCATAGAGGAGAACGAAGCAGCGTAATGACGACCCCCAGATTTCTCTATGACTGGAGGGGGAACGAGGATGGCCACCACAAAGCTCTCTGAAAGTGGCACGCCTTCTTGCCGTACAAATTTGTCGTAAAGTCGTTGACGAACCTCAGTGAAGCACAAGGCCTGCGGAACGCGAAGCATAATAATATTGTTCTCATGCAATGCTTTGATGGAAATGGCTGATCCGTCGCTACATCCCGTTGATCCGCTAGATATGGATGTGGTTACAGATGCCCGTCGCGCGGGGTACGCCGATGTTGGGTACGAGTCATACTGCTGTGAAGAGAAGAGGCTATCTTCGGTAGGTGATGTCGGTGGTATCGCGTCTGTAGCACGGGTAGTTAGGACACCGGTCGAATATGTATGTATATCACACGTACCATTGAAATAGGCGTCAAGGAGATCGTCCTGTCCGTAAGCCGATTCATCAGCCCATGGTTCGCGTTCTACCCACTCTTCTTCATCCTGGAAAGGCACGGAATGACGATATTGTCGGGTCCCAGCAGAAGGCGAAGACTGAGTATAAGTAGATCGAGGAATGATCGCATCAGCAGAGGCGTCAGTCCTGTATGATGCCACACTACACATCGAGGCACGGGGGCGGTGCGCACGTTCCGGGTGAGGATGTGGAAGCGTAAAGTCAACATTGAGCTCGGCAAGGTAGGCTGCAGCACGAGAGGGCGAAACAGAGTTGGTTGACCGCCAGGAGCACCTAGCATAGGATGGTGCTGCTTTGAGGTCAGTAATGGAGACCAGATATGAAAGATTTGGAGGCGTACCATCCGAAGGAAGTTCAGCATCATCATATAATTCAGAAGCAGGGGGGCCAAGGACCCTAGCAGTCCTATTTACCCTTCGCATCTGCGCGTAATCCGCAGATACAGCCTTTTCAATCTCAACCTCCTGGTCCTCTGGGAGGACTTGGAGTATCGATGCTCGACGCTCTGACGCGTATCCGACAGGTGTATGCTGTGGGTTATGTCCAAATTTGATTGGAGCTTCATGCGTGACAACCGCTGGCGAACGGTTGGAAGATCGACGCGACGTGACGGGAGATGGAGAGTTCAAGGAAGACGAAGAAGAGGAAGATATGGTGGATTTCGAGCCACGTGACGGCAGGGATATCGTTAAGCTAGAGTGATCATTCACCCGTGGGCGGGCAGTTGGCTGGTCTTTCAGGGAAATCCCCGATGACAACGAGTCCGAAGTGCCTGAGCCTCGTCTGGGAAACTTCTTGTGTGACTCGTTCACAGATGTGGAAGAGGGTACAACGTCTGATGCTGCCGGAGATGAAACAGGAAAATAAGTAGAAAGCATGCTACTAGACACAGAATGGCGAGATGTAGCGGGAGGGGTCTGATTTTTCTGTATTTTGATAGCGAGGTCATGATCACGTCTCCAATAGCCGAAGAAATCAGTGAAGGTTCTCGTAACCATCAACTCTTTCAAGAGCATCGGAAGATCTTCTTGAAAAAACGCATTTATCATGGCACGAAACTCGGCGAACCGTTGGTCAACAGTAGCTTGGCTCGCGCGGAATAGTGTTCCCTTCTTCGTCAGTTTCAGGATGTGCTGGTGAATATCACGGGCGACGGAGTGAGGATCGGGACCCGGAGGAAGTGAATCAAAAGAGGCTGCCTGGTCACTCTGGATATACATGCCATCCTTTTTCACTCCTTTGCCTGCGGCTAGACGTGTGATTTTCTCTCTTGCCATGAGAGCATATTCGGCCTCAAGGCTGTCTTGAAACCAGAGGCAATCCTCCCATTTTCGCCAGATGTCATACTCCGAATGTGAGCCCTTCGAAGAAGTTGAATTAGTAGAGATGGATGCGTTGTCGTCCTTGATGGGACAAATACGGAGGCCGTAGCTATAACTGCCGCCTGAAGCCAACATGAATACAATCCAATACGAACTGTATAAGCTTACCTTGCTTTTCCGGAGTGAGGACTCCAACATAGAAATACTGAGGAGCACTCCGGTACACGGCACGCTTCCACGACTGTAACTACATGAGTATGGAGGTTCGTAAACTGGAGGCTTCGACTTACGTCGGGAGATATAGGTCCCTGATCGTAGGCTGAAGCACCACCCTGCAAGTTTGTGTTAATTCAGAGACGGTGAGTGAGTCGTGAGTGGCATGTACGCACCGTGACAAAAGCCATAAAAACCTCGTGGTAAAAATACAGACAAATAGTAGCCTCGAGGCAAGGTACCTAGAGAACGATCAAAACGCGATAAGCAATTCATGCCACTTTTGAGGTTATAGAATTGACAATGACTGCACGTACAGTAGGTGTGTACTGTCACTGGATGATGTGGTAGGTGGCTTGAAAGTCAAGCTCAAAATGTGGGCTGTCGTGCTCAGTCGTTGGTGAAAATATCTGGGGTGCTCTGTCAGAAAGATATGTCAACTGGAATGTGCCTAGCTGCTTGGATGAGGATATGCACCTTGACGTGTGGCTATACACTAGTATATGAGTGTCTGCTGTCAGTGACTTGTTGTGAGCACCTTTCTGAAGAAAGCTAGGCAAGTATAGCTTTCCAAGGATGAGGTAGTGGAGAAAGGAAAGTGGGATGCCAGGCTTCTTGTTGTCATAATAATAATACTTTGACCGTCCGGGCCATGCGTCAGTACTGTAGTGGACGGACAATTGTGTTTACCCGATCCTTACCCGTTATATCCAGAATAATTTACGTAACCACAATAAGATCCCAATTGCCACATCAAGATTCGGAGCCACAAATGCTTGAACCCGTCCATGCTCATTGATCTGCTGGCCCACTGGCTTTCATCCACAGCTAAATTCACACTCTGCGCAGGGCCTGGACCAGCACAAAGGTAAGCCACACACATAATTACCGGAACGGGTCTCGGCGTGCAGCGCTTGCCTGTTTTGCCTCACTGACTATTGATAACGTTATCCACCTGGTGGGTACACATGATAATAAGCTATGTTCGTGAGTCCACTGAGAATCGCAATGCTCAGGGGCCATGTTCAAATCCCATGAAGTCGGGATTCACCGTAAATTAGGTTTTCGCCGTGCCTTCATCATTGGCTGTTATCCATCGTGTTGTACACACGACGTGATCTGTTCGACACGCAACAGATCTACCTCCGGACACGCCTATCCATATGTTATCTTGCAAAAACGCCTGATAACAAGCGAAATCATGCACTACTCCACGTGTGCCTCGACTTTCGAGTCGATACGTTGATCACGATGACCTGCCAAGCCTCACAATTTTGGTGCCGGGTTGGTACACTCATGTCCCGCCCGTATAAATTGTAGATAGATCACTAGGTATATATATCAACCTAAGCACAATCGAAGCAAGTTCCACCATATGACACGTTTCTCGACTCAATCGGTGCCGAGCCCCAACACTTTTCTCATCACCTCTTCTTCCCTCTCTTTTGCTCTCACCCGGCCCTCCTGTAGCCTTTGAAGTCCGCTCTGAATGCTCTCGATATGCACGTGGAGTGGGATGCGCCCATCAACCAATTCAGGAGCCGCTACCCTCTCTCGTAAATCCTCCATGTCCTCACTCATCGAGTTGAGTGTCTGGAGTGCGGCAACAACATGCGCTTGCGCTTGTTTCCGATAGTCACCAAGGTCTTGAAGTAAATTAAGACGTCTGTCAGTATCCCGTAGTGCGCGTTTGTTCCCGCCCAGCATCGTCCACAGCGCTCCCAAAAGCTCGGATTTCTCAGCTGTGACGTCAATGTCCTCGCGCATCACAACTTCGCGTACAGCGGAAAGATCTTCCTCAAGTACATCCAAGTTGTGCAGGGATATCTCCGCTTCCAGAATAAGTCGCTGGATTGCTACAGAAAAGGTATCCATCGCAGTCGTGAATGTGTCGACTATCACCTCCTGTGTCGTGGGTCCCGTATGGAACGGGATCAAAGCCATGAGTGAATACGGTGACGGCGCGTTTTTCTCCGCCTCTTGTATGGTGCGCATCGCATACCCGTTCACTGCCATGACGCTATTGAAAATGAGCATACAATATTTCCACACCAAACGTACGACTACTTACTTGTCCACAGCGCCACCGATTCTCGAACTAAGCTTTGTGAGACCCCTAGCGGTATTCTTGGCATCTTTCACGAAAGTTGTCAGGAGATCAGCTAGGGTGTCATTAGACTTGAGGTCGCTATATCGTACGAGGGTTGCGAGATCCGCAGTGGCGAATTCAGCCTTCCGAATTTCAATCGAGAGTCCAGATCCTCCGACAGACCCCTCCAAAAGCTTCTCAAAAGTAGAGCCCTGGGTTTCCATAAGATGCGGAAAATCCGCCCATTTGGTAATTTGCGGATCCAGCGGAGCACACAGCGCCGACCTCGATACCACAGGAAGGTAACACATCGGGGAAAACGCTGTGCGCAACGCACCCGAAAGGCGTATCATCGCAAATGCCAACATCCAAAGGAAGAGCATGATTGACAATGGTATGCGCATAAGTCGCACTGCTCGAAGGAAAACGTCGAGAATATAAATGCTTGAGTGGTGGGCACTAGTGGTCAACGCTTCTTTGATCTGCTCTTTGTCAATAATGCTCTCTTTGTCTATGATGTATTCTTTGTCCACGATGGGACTTTTCTTGCGCTTTGACCGTAGAGGTGCTGCGCGATTACGCCGAGGGGTCTCAGCGGCAAAGACGGGTTTCGAGCCCGCACGACGCCTCGGCTTCGAGGCATCTGTAAAAGTGCTCGTTGTACTTGGAGAGTCGAAATCGTCGAACCGCTCTGGGCTAATGTCCTTGTCTGGGACGTCTTCCCAATCTTCCCCTTCAAGTGGTTCCTAGGCAATTATTGGTGCATGAGACTATATATTGTACTTGGGTGGATCAAATACTTACCCCTGCCCCATCTTCACCTTTGAACTCTCTTTTCATGTACATTTTCGAGTCAGCTATTGGCGATTGGGTTTCGTGGCACCTGTTCAGGATAGAAGCATACTACGTGTTCAAATTATTAGGTTCAAGTCATTGTTCGGCTGCCAGCCCGCGTGTGTATTATGCCAAGCATTCTTGTACACGTGACCTGAAATTTCTCCGGATATCACTTAAAAGTTACGTTCTTCCGGAAGTATAGAACTTTGGAGCGTGCAAGATCCGAAGTATTACCGGCTCTTTGTCTTGTGATTCCGGTTGTCGTTCACCGGCTTCAAATTTGTTCATTGAGAAAGTAGGGAATCAGGACCAATATGTATCTAAGTGAGTTGCGCATTGTTTAAACCGCTCAGAAGTGACCAATCACAGCAGTCGGTTTGTACTCTTCCTCAAGGAACTTGATCTCCTCCACCGTAAGTTTCACGTCTATTCCAGCTATGGGTTCCAAGTTAGTGCCACAGGAATTTTTTCATGCAGGCATCGCCACTTGCCAATGATATCTTTCAGATTTGCGATACTCGTGGTTCCAACAATAGGAGCCGATACTCCTGGGGGATCGACTTCATTGATCGAGTACCCACATGAACATCAAAATAACTCACCTTCCTTTGCCAAGATCCATGCTATGGCTATTTGAGCCATGGTCACACCTTTCTTCTTGGCAAGTTCTTCGACCCTGATCAACCTGTCAGAATCACTGTTTTTCTTAGCAAGGAATCAGCATACCGGCTAATGATAGTTTCGTATGACGATGCTTGGGCATAATTCCCAATGAACCTGTAAAAAGCCATGAGACGGTCACCCCGTGAAGATATTGAAATACTTGCCAATCAGTCTGACCTCTGCTTGTCTGCTGTCCAAGCGGGCGTGTGAGGGCACCACGAGCCAGTGGAGACCATGGGATCGAGCCGACACCGAACATCTTAATATCGTTGAGTCACGATGCTGATATCATCAAACACTATGAAAGAACCTTGAGAGTAGGGAACATCTCGCGCTCCTCCTCGCGATAGAGCAGACTGTAGTGGTTCTGCATGGAGATGAAGGGAGTGAGCTTGTTTGTGATCGCATAGTCTGCGTTAATTTGAGGTCAGATGACGGAGTGTACCCCCGATTGAGATCTCACTCTGCATGGCTTGGACTGAACAGCAAACGAACATTAGACTGGCTCTACAGAGCAATGAGGTGCACTCACACTGGTATGCCCAGCAAGAACTCATTCCGATGTAGCGAACATAGCCGGCTTTGACCACATCGTGCAATGCTTGCATCTTCTCAAAAATTAGCACGTAAAAGCCAGTAGAGAATATGCATTACCGTCTCTTCAATCGGTGTTTCATTGTCGAATCTGTGACCTACGAGTGAATAAGTATTATAAGAAAGAGTTGAGCATGTTGATGATTAGACATACATTGTAGAACGTCGATATAGTCCATTTGAAGCCGCTCTAGACTCTTTTTCACGCTTGCGAAGATATGCTATTTTGTAAGTTCAGAAATTCGAATCACCTCAAAATCGATTGAGAACATGCCTTCCGGCTGAGGCCATGCTGGTTCACATAACCATTTTGATCCGGGTCTTTGCGCCCGCCAAGCTGGGAGATATTGTATTCACGTCCGACAACATTGAACACCTGTTCAAGGCAAATGTGATGAGAGAGCTGCAGAATACTAACGACATGTACTACCTTGGTCATGACGACGATTTCGTCGCGGGGCAAATTTAATTTCTTGATCGCACGTCCAAGAATTACTTCCGAGTAACCATTCGAATATGTCTGAGAAATAGGTGATATTGTGATTTAACAAGTTTTGACAATAACGACTCACGTCGGCGGTATCAAAAGTTTGAATCCCTGCTTCGTAACTGGTCCTAGTAATCAGGGGAACATGTGTACGGGATACCGAGGCCGAGAACTTACGCGACCTTGATGTGTTCGACTGCTTCATCCTCTCCGAGAACCCAATCTTGCCATCCCTTGTTGCCGTACTGCATAGTCCCAAGAATGATTTTGGACACCTTCAGCCAGAATTCCCCAGCCTCGCTAAGCACGTAGACAGAGTGAGTACTTCCTACAATTGCAACTGCTGGCAGACTCACTGTAAGGCACTTTCCTTGGCATAGACATGTTGGCAGAAGTCACTTCGATTTGTCGACGAACAATGAGATGCGAACGAGCTCAGTCACTTAAGAAGAATGGCGGAATGATGGGAAGGGCGTGCCATGTTGATATTCTTGAGTACTCGTGTGTATAGCTTGCTCACCTGACATGTGCATGTGACTGCTCCTTCTAAGACGGCGCCCCGGATATCCATCGATTCGAGTATATATCCAAATTCAAATATCATTGTTCGGTAATAAGGAATCAAAGATTACCGTAGTCTATACTGTTGTAAGTCTGTAACTGCTTCGGCTGAAACTGACTCACCTTCGTGGCGTACCCTCACAAACATGCGTTGTACCATTCTGTCACATATCCCACTACCTAGGACTTGGGAGCCCGCTCCGTGATCGATATATGCTCGTACACAACTCGTGCACCAGATTGACGGCGTTAATAGATGTTGAACGGTGTAAAGCAAAACACCCCACGTCCAGGAACTACCCCACATTCGCCTTGATAGATCGATAGAATGCCTCGTGGAGTTGAAACGCTATATTTGTAGTTATTGCATGCTATATCACGACTCACGAGGATGTTGTGTCTGGGATTGACGAGGAGTCTGCCTGACTGGCTGCGTGTTGAAGCTAGTGCTAGAATCTGTCGATTGTCGATAAGTAGACCCATCATGATGGACCTGAACAGTGGTTTTTCGGGTCCATGTGAGTTACGACAAGGTGAACTTTAATGGCTTCTTTTCAGTCGACTCGACGTGGGCGACGTCTCCCACTTTCAGTTAGACTTAACACTAAACGCCGCGCAATTACACATACAGGATGGCTCGCCTGCGACGCGACACGCTTTCAGCGTCCAGTACAACCCACTCCCCAACGTCCACCCACGCCAGTTCGCCTATGCCAAGTCCATCTATCTCCAAACCATTTCGTATTTTCTCTACAGGGACAATTTTCTTCACATGCTCACTGGATCTTTGCTCGCATCCAGTTCCGGGTACGGCGTCTCGGGCACAAGCAGTTACCACCGCACGTGGTGGTAGCGCTGGACATATACTCGGTTTTTTGGCAGCGCTTCCTGCCGCTGTGGAACCTATGCTCATAGCGAGTTTGGGCGCGTCACCCGACGGAATTCGACTGCGAGATGAGCTAGAGGCAGGTGGAGTGCGCACAAAATACTGCAAACCCTGGCCCGGTCTCGGTGTTCCATCTGCATGGGTAATGCATGCCCGTGATACTGGTGAAAGGACTGTTATAAATCATAATCCACTTCCAGAGATGTCCCATGAAGATTTTATTGCCTTGCTTGGCCCTGTTCTTGCACCGGAGAACTACGTTGGCATTTCCCACCCCCAACCACCTCAACCACCTCCAAACCCACCTTCACCCTCTCCTGTCTTCCCAAATGCATTTGTTACCACTCCACCACCGAGACCTAGTATGTCTTCCAGGCCTGCAACAGCTCCTGCAGGAAGCGCTGCCCCACATATGGCGATTGTGCCCACTCAAAGTCCACTTTCACCCGCGCCTTTTGACTGGCTGCATTTTGAAGGGCGGAGCATCAAAACCACGCTCTCCAACATTCTTGGAGTAGATGGTCTTGCACGTGAGCGAAAGTGGCGAGCACATTGTGTTCTCAGCGTGGATCTCGGCCGAAGGGCACGAGAAGGTGTCGAAGCTGTATGTCCTCTTCAACCTTCTCTGAAACGTACATTATTTGACCATTTTATGCAACTAGCTCATCCCCCACGCAGACGTGATCTTTCTTTCAGCGCAAACTTTTCCCTCACTCTCCAACCCTGGCCCACCTTCTCCGCGCGCTATTCTCCTTGCACTTGCACGACACGCACCTCCGCACGCGCTCCTTGTATTATATGGAGGTGCCCTCGGTTCAGCCCTTCTCTCCCTCCCCACGCGTGAATATCTCCAGTCCTCCTCCTGGTCTCCACTTCCGATAGGCAGATCCCATGCACACACCAACTCCAACTTACATTCCATCATCTCTACTGCCGAGGGTGTCGAGAGTGTGCGGAGCGGCTCAGAATTTTGGGCTGGCCGCCGCAGCCCTGACTCAAGCGGGTTCACCATAGCATCTGCCGGAAATCGTGACAGTGGATACTCAGAAGACCACGACGACGAGCCAAGAGGGCGCACGTCATCAGCGGGAGAATCCTTCCACCCACTTGATGATGACGACGACGAAGAAGATGACGCGAGGTCTACGCATACCACCCGCGGTACATCCTTGCCCCACTCACTTCCCAATCCTCATCTTCACATTAACGGCCATAGTCACGGCCACGCACACGCACGTCCCCCCCAACACGTACAGAGCTCTATACCCGTGCAGCCTTTACCGTCGCTCTCGGAGGACCCACAAGACGAAGAGGGCGCACATTCCGCATTCGTTGCGGGGATGATATGGTCTCTCAGCAGGCGCATTCTTCCTGGGGCGCCATATACCCCCGTGCAAGCGGAGGAAAAGGAAGTAGACGTCACTGCGCGATGGAGGCTTGACGAGTGCTTGCGATTTGCAACGGAGTGTGCGGGGCGTAAGGGTGGTGGATGCGAGTGGGGCAACTTGGCTCTGGAGATGAGGGACGTGGGGTGGTTTGATTGATTGATGAACTGTCTGAAGAAAAGTATTCCACCACTATTTCTGTGTTCGGGAAACTGCGATACCTTTTACTCATATACCCTCACGCACATCTAGTTTTACGCGGTACATATACATTTCCAGAGGTGATATACCGGCCTTGTTGGCTACTGAATATACATATTTCTTGAGCAGTTGGATTGTGGGGCAGCTGGGCAGTATACACCTATTGATAACGACCCTGCAGAATCCCCGTCAGGAACCCTTTCGCTTTCCCGCACCCATATTGGATATATCATCACCAAGAATATAAGTAGGAACTGTAGATTCAACGGGATCTACGGATACTCTACCGACTCATGCCCTGTGCGCATGATACAAATCTGAGGGCTAGATCAAACTGTTGAGCCAAGTCAACCAACGTGCTCGTCGAGGATCTCGCTCACCTCCGAGTCCGCATACGAGTGCAGTTGATTGGGCGAATGGGAGGTAACGGATACAAAGTACTCACTGCATCTGACGGTTGACAATGAGACCGCCAGAGAATCTGTATGGAAACCACAGTTCGAGTTAGATCGAGACATTACCGACATCATCCATCTGAATTTGCACGAACCTGCAAATTGGAAATACGAAATTAATGAACGGCCACCAACTAGAATCATTTGAGACTATGGTCCTTTATGGAAGAGCTGTGGTGTGGCATGATCAAGTAATAAGTACTTGATCGAATCAAAGCAGACTTTGACTCGGACGTCTGACGCCGCCTAGCAGCTATCTCTAATGATAACTCTTGATGGGAATCTGACCTTGGCCGAGTACGTCGACTAAATGGACCAAACAACTACATAACTCACCCGTCCACTCCCTCCGAGTCATATAGCCCTCGTTGCTCATACATTCAAAAGCTTTCCGAAGAGTCATCATATCTCTTATATGGCTCCCGCGCAATCGGATTTATGTTGTCCCAATGGTAGAACATCGAAGAAGCACTGCGAGCGGCATGAAAGCGGCTGGTTTAGGTCACTGCTTGCATTTCGAGTGCTTTTGTGCGGCCTGGTAATCATTTCAATAGTGCTCTATAAGTTCTGCGACTCCGCTTTCTTGCCAAACTGCCATCTTTCTCGGTTGTGGCTTGCGGGTCCTCGTAATGGGCTTGCCGTGTCCCTATCTCCGGGCGTCAATTCCACCACATGCCCTCAGTGGGCGGCTTTACATCCAACCAAGCATCGTGGGATCAGTGAAGACTTGGATGTGGCATACAACTCAGAAAATTTCAAGCAAAGAGCCATTCAGGCCCTCGGAGATGCAGTCCGTGTACCGTGAGTCCTAATCTCGCATGTCACTGTGGAGACATAGATCCGCTCTTAGGACCGAATCGTACGACGATAATGGACCGGTCGGTGAAGATAATCGATGGGATACGTTCGCAGAGCTTCATCGAGTTCTCGAGGCCTCATTTCCTCGCGTGTACGTCGGGATCTTCAAAGTTGTCATTTCATAAGCTAGTAGCTCATGTTTTATGTCTAGCTACGAGTCCCTCAATGTCACCAAAATCAATACATATGGTCTAGTATTTCATTGGCAGGGATCAACTACGGCAAAACCTTATATCTTGGCCGCTCATCAAGGTTATTCTCGTTTGAACATCCTCCGGAATTTCGGTTGATGTCGTTTCAGATGTCGTACCAGTTGAAGGTCAGACAGCCAAAGACTGGAAACACGGTCCGTATTCAGGGTACTATGACGGTAGGCAAACTTTCAACCCCGCGAGGTGCTACTTACATCTGTACTATTAAAGGCACGTGGATATGGGGTCGTGGTACTTGCGATGACAAAAGCGACTTGATACGACAATTGCTCGCCATCGATTCCTTGTTAGAGCAAGATTTCTCTCCTACACGCACCCTTATACTTTCGTATGGATTCGACGAAGAGTCCGAAGGCATAGAGGTCAGGATAACCTCCATACAAGCTTCATTATTGATAGGCCGCTTCAGGGTGCTGGTCATCTTGCTCGATACTTGGAAGAAATGTATGGGCGCGATTCTTTTGCCTTGCTTCTTGACGAAGGATGTACGTACACTAAATGTTGCAAATAGTACGACTTGACTTTGTGTTAGCTTTTTACACGGACATGGGTGGCATTATTTTTGCGACTCCCTCAACATCTGAGAAGGGATATCGTGATGTCAAGATCACGGTTTCAACTCCGGGTGGTCATTCGAGCGTACCACCTTCTCATACAGTGCGTGTCGATCGCCACACCTTCTGATTGATGATTAATCAGCAGTACTGTACAGAGCATCGGTCTCCTCTCCCGTTTCATAGCAGCGGTGGAGGATAACCCGCACCAAGCCAGTCTTTCCCGAACAGGAACCCCGTTTGCGACGACGCAGTGCCTTGCGGCCTACAATCCAGTGTACCCTGACGACTTGCGAAAACTCGCAAGAAAAGCGGTCACAGATGACGCGGCTCTGAAGGTGCTTCAAGAGCGACTTCTGGCTTCGCATCCCCAGTACAAAGCAATACTTGGGACCACACAGGCGGTAGACCTCGTCGAAGGTGGCGTGAAAGTTAACGCTCTCCCAGAGCGTGCTAGCGCAGTGGTCAATCACCGCATCGCAGAGCATAGGTCTGGCATCTTTTGTACATAGGATTTCCAGGATTTTGCTCACTTCTTATTTTTAGTTCTGTTAGCGAGCTGCAGCAGCACATGGTCGACCTTTTGACCCCGTTGGCAGCCAAGTATGACCTCGCACTCGTCGCGTTCGGCAGCAATGTGACTTGTGGTGGTGCTGGTCAAGTCGTTCTGTCCGACTTCCTCGGGACGGCCTTGGAACCTTCGCCCGTGACGCCTACCGAGTATGGTCCTTGGGCACTCTTGCAAGGAAGCATTAAAGCTACCTTTGAGAGCTCCCCTACCCGCAACAGCAGTGAGGTCGTGATTATACCCTCTCTATCTATTGGTATGCTGGTTGTCTGGTTTGCACTGCACGATTCTAACGAATGGTATCAACCAGGCAACACTGGTAAGCAACGGTGATCTACTCATAATGAATTATCCCTTCATGTGGTCTCAGACACACGATTCTACTGGAATTTGACCAAGCATATTTTCCGCTTCTCGCCGTCCTTTGACACTGATATTTTCAATGGAGCACACACTGTCAATGAAGGCAAGTGTTACATAGTGTTACGTTGCTTTCCTCGCTCATGCAGTCCCTCATACCAGCTTTCCGTGCAGATAGCTTGAATGAAGGCGTTCGTTTCTATACCAAGTTTATCTTGAATATGGACGAAAGTGATTTACCATGAACAGCATTTTTCGTTTCGTTTTGTTGTGGACAATTGTTTTGGGTTGGTACAGTACATTTGGATAACCGCCTCAGTCAGCAGAAACCTTGCTCGACCTAAATGCTAAAGTGCTAAAGGCTTGTAGGAGTATGGATAAAACCTAGTCACATGCACAGACTTGTATCATAGCTCACAACTCTCTCGGTTATTTGTAGGGAATGTAGTAATTGTGTACCTTGTTCCGGCTATTACTGGCCTGCTACATGATTTGCACGGTTTTGGTTTGTTTTGTTGATGCACAATTCACCAGTCTGTTTTCCCTCTGCGCTGTTTAAATAAACTTCGTCGGTGTTGCCACTTTTCAGCGCACTGGGGCAAGTTTCAGGGAGATCGACCAACTTAATCGTGGTGGTTTCAACGTTTATCACAGTCGTGGCGAGAGAGTCGCTCAAGCGGCGCCTCCTAGGCTGTGATCCAAAGGTTACGATGGACGTAAATTTCAACGGTGCTGGCGAGGATGTGACATCTTCTGCGCTCATTCTCAAGGAGAATGCCACGACCACGCTTAAGTTCGCGACAATCAAGGTCACAGAAATCTTAAAGGTGATCAATAATACTTGCGGTCTGAGCACTGATAGTACTATACCTCTACCATAGCAGTCACTGCCTCCCTTAGCCCTCCATCGGACAAGACGTAATATGCATGGACAAGACTAACAACGGTGGTGATTGCTGACGTCGAAAAGATGGCGAGTATCCGGATTTTCTGCGCCTTCGTCTATCTGCCTTTATAAATGAGGCGAAACGGGGCCAAGATAAGAATAGTGTCACCAAAAACATCAGCTGAAATGTCAGTCAGAAAATTATTGTACTGTATGGACTGTTGACTCTCACCGATGATCTGCGCTATTGCAACATCTCTGCCGAGATCGCATTGTGGGCGTGGTTATGTTTTCCAGTTGGGCTCAGATTCACAAGTCAACTAGGCTTGCGCAGAAAGTACAGCCCAAGGGTTCCTGGGACAGTGAGTCGTACAGAATTGATATCCTGGAACACCTATCACAGGTGTGCATGTCAGTTGCATCGCCTTTAGTAACACGCCGCCAGAGCCGTACCAAACAGTTGCGGAAAAGAATTGGCAGACCCTAGTCCAAAACAATTTTAATGTTTCTTGAGCGTCACGGACCAGTTAGACGGGTCTCTGAAGAAACCATCCATGAGTGAATGTCAAGGTGTGTTGCGATAGAAGAAACTTTGTCACCCACACGTTTCGAACCTGTGCGATCCAAGAGAAACAGATTTGGATTCTGTTGCAGTAACCACTTGGCTGAGACCAGTTAGACGAGTCTCTGAAGAAACCATCCATGAGTGAATGTCAAGGTGTGTTGCGATAGAACAAAACCTTGTCGCCGACAAGTTTCGAACCTGTGCGATCCAAGAGAAACAGATTTGGATTCTGTTGTAGTAACCACATGGCTAAGCCCAGTTGGAGGCAACCTCCGAAGATCTGTCCATCAGTGGATGTCAAGATGTGTTCCGATAGAAAAGAAACTTTATCGTCGGCAGGTTTCAAACCTGCGCAGTACCAGAGGAACAGATTTTGATTCTGTGATGGTAACCACTTAGTTAAGATCTGTTGAGATGACCCTCCAAGGAACCCATCCTTGAGTCAATGTCGTGTTCCAATAGAAAAAAATCTTATTGTCGGCAAGGTTTCGGACCTGCGCAATCCAAGAGAAACAGATGTTGATTCTATTGTAGTAACCACTTGGCTGCTAAGACCAGTTAACATCAACCTCAGACGAAACCATCCATGAGTGAATATCAAGGTGTGTTCCAATAGAAAAAACTTGTCGTCGGCAGGTTTCGACCCTGCGCAGTCCAAGAGAAACAGATTTCGATTCTGTTGGCCCGTAGTGTCCTGTAAATCTGGTCTGAGGCCAGATTAACAGGGCTAATTAGCAGAGGCTATCCGGGAGGTCAAATTAACCTATGTAAATTAGCGTAAATTTGCAAATCTGCTGATTAGCGCTAATTTACTTGTAAATTTGACGAATTTAGGGTAAATGTGGTTCTACAGCCATACATCCCAGGTTTTTGCATCAGGAAGTGCCTCTAACGACGACGACGCAACAATGGACGATGTTGTTAACACCTTGGCGTGGGGATTCACGTTTCGGGGTGTTTCGTCCAGGAAGTCCCGGAGATAGGGAGAGCGCAACTCAATATCTGCATTTGCCCCTCCAAGCAAGAAGTATGAGTCGTCAACCTTTTCAAGCTCGCTCGGCAGTCCTCGCTCATCGTTCAGCCACTCAACACCAGCATCGTTGGGTGGATTGGAGTTGAAGGGTCTCGGTTGAGGTGGATGGCGTCCAGGGAGCGGAAGGTCTTCAAACATATCCATATCTGACGCTGTGCGCTTGCAGAAAATGGTTTCGTTCATATCTCGCCATCGAACAAGCAATTTTTTTGGCGGGATTTGCATTCTGCATAGTATGAGTGTGATTCACTGATTTGAGGTTGAGGTGCTAGCCAGAAACACATACCTCAGGTTTATAACGATGCCACTGTCGAATTTTGATATGATCTTGAAGTGTCCCGAGATTTTGATTAGCACGACACGGAGAGTTCAACCATGCGATGGTGGACATGGTGTGTTCGTGTGCAAGTGCTGTCTCCGAGTCAACCATCGGTGACCCTCGGCCAGTGTTTGACATTGGCTAATGGCTTGCCTCAAAAATCGAGCAATATTGCAACATTCTTATTCCGGCAGATGAACACTTCAAGCAGATTGGCCGATACAGCATATCAAGCAGATTAACCCTAATGAACAGGGCATTTTGGGCCTCCCAGATTAACACAGTAAATTAGCATACACCAAATTTACAGGACACTACTGTTGGAGTAGCCACTTTCTTCGCCAGGACACTTCCCAAGTTAAGATAAATCTTGAACTGTCCATGAGTGAATGTCAAGGTATGATACGAGGGAAAATCATTTGTCAGCAGGTTTCGAATCTTTCCGAATCCACACAGAGCAGATTCCTAATCTGTTATGGTGCCAGTTGGCTATGACAGGCCTTGAAGTATTCATCCATAAGTGAATTTTCAAGGCGTGGTAGAAGGAAAAAAGACTCCAATTGGCGCACTGATATATTGCCAGGCAGCAGGAAAAATTTCCGAACAAAGCTGCCAACTCTTTTACGAGAGTTTTACATAAGTAAATTGAAACGCACCAGCGGTCCATCCATACTCGACCATGCCGATGTAAGCCCTCACAATACTCTCCAACTCATCTCCCTCATCCTGTCCATGGCAACCTCGAGTAAGAATGTCGATGGCTGCCTGGTAGTGTTGCAAAGCAGTATAAGGATTGGCGCATAACTTAAGATGCACTCAAGGGGGTGTGGTGGAAGTAAGCTGTTAAGAATAACTAATGGCAAGTAAATGACCGGGTGCGTGACTCATGCATCACCTCCCTCACATGATTTTTTTCCGTTCAATGATTCATCATCCAGTGCGAGGGCATGTTCGATGAATTTGCGTGCCATAGAATACGTACAATGAGATGTCAAGTAGAGCAGACCCGAGATCAAAGATGCCTCTCACAGGCGAGATCTCGAAAGACCACGGAGTGTCAAAGTTAACACTCTCGGACATTCTTGTACGTCGAGAGCAACAATGGCAGGCACGTTAATTTTGTGTTGTCAGAACAGATCTTGGTCGAGGGAGTAGGCATCGAAGAGGTATGTCCTATTTTTGCTGCTTTCGAAATGCACTTTTAAATTGCGTAACTGGATACAGCGCACGTTGTTTGGTTCTTCAAGATTTAGAACGGACTCGGAGGTCTGCGAACAACCGATACTACTCCAACACGTCTTCAAAGTTGCTCACTGAATTTAGGGACAGAGTTAATACATTCTGCTTAATATGCCCAAAATCCTATATTTCAAATGTAACGAGGAGGCCGGAGTCCCAGAGGCCTTCCATTGGTCTCGTGATTGTCACTTCAAGAGTTTGTCACTTTTTGTCACACTGGGATCCAGATTCTTGACTTTCGAGCATATTCGACCCATTGTGAACTTGGTCACAATGCGAGAGTCCATGAACCCTTGCATTGTGTTGTCAATGCAGATTTCTTGACTTTCGCGTGCGTCCACTGTCGACCCAAGGAATCTTCCTGGTGTGCACATAGGAATCAGGACTATCATAAATCATCAGAGGTTTACCATGAACAATTATTTTGTCCTACTCTTGTCCTGCCTAGCCCTTTTCCGGCGCCAGAGAACTAGGCTCGTGACCAACCCGACGTTTTTATTTTATTATCCTATCACGGACAAGTCGAGTGGCGTACCCAGACAAGTCCAGGCCGGTCACTGGTACGAATCTACCAGGGTTCAGAGAAGTTGTTACAAATTGTCCATCCTCAACTACCTTTGAATTTGAGCTCACCCTCAACAATTGCATTTCCTTTCTTACCACCCTCAAGACCTAGTACGTCTTCCACATATAACGATCGTACCTCTGCTCTCCAACATTTGAACTAGATCATCATCCCCCATCCGGGCGACAATAACAAATTCATTGTGCTGTCAGTGTTGATATTGATATACAGGCAGGAGGGGATGTCGAAGCGGCCTATGTTGCCTTTGAAACTCACTTTTTTATTTTACGCAAGCAGGTCTTCTTCACACGCAGATGTTATCTTCCTTTCAGCCTGAACTTTCCTCGCTGTCCAAGTCAATATTCACCCATCTTCCGCGCATTATTCTCACTCCACTAGGTATCGAGAGCGTGCGCATTAGAGTATCACAATTCAATTATGGGCTGCCCAGCACGGCACAGTTCAGCGCATTTAAAATGTGCAATATTTCATTATCCCGGCGGGACTGGTGACGGTGGGTGCTTAATTGGAGGATGAGCAGAGGATGAGCAGAGGGAGCGCGCATCACCGGTAAGGGAATCATCCATCTACTTGACAATAAAGAAGATACAACGTCCACGCATAGCTGCAGTACTCGCGAGACTTTGACGCACTTATTCTCGTCTTCATTACTGGAGACGGCAGCTGCGCAGTCGTAATTAAAAATCATTCCATCGTTATTTTAAATCTTGGGCAGATCCTACTACCCATCCTGATATACCTTCGTGCACGACTAGTTTCAAACTACACGAAATATACACCTTCAAAGAGGCCATACAGAATAAATTGTAAAGCAAATGGAACGACCAACAGGATTCGTGAGCCCCCCCACATCGCGTTCTTACTATGAATATGCCTACACAAGGAAAGGTGAATTTAGTGAGACACACTCTACAGACGTAAATATCATAGACCTTGCATCTGAAGAGACAGGATGGGTGCAAAAGATCCAGCTTGCAACTCGGTGCATGTGTGAGTGAGTAGCTAGTACTTCGTGCCTGTAGCGATACAACAGGAAACTGGGTTGCAGAGACCCCTGGGTTCTCTACTGGAACAGCAATAAATATACGGCAGAACTTCAAACACTTCTTATCCTCCCTGCAGAGCACCCAGCAGCATTTCCCGTGCTACACAGTACTGCTAGTTGACACATCTACGCGCTCCTGAAAAGCGATCGAAGTCATACAGGTTGCTGCGTCGGAGTTGATCACAAGCCTAGCGTTATAATCTCGAATACTAAGGATGAGACGCGGTCCCAGCACAAACACCTGCACGATCAAGGAAATTTGAAGAATGCCGGTGTATATCTCAGTTCCCACAGAATTTGAGTCCTATAGAAAATATGAGCAGTGGTTACATGTAGATGTCAGTGACAAATCGGCGCACCAAGATGGCTGGAGAGACATGTCCGAGCTGGAGGCAAGAAACAGCAGCAAAGCTAGCATGTGCAGAAATTCAGGGGCAATTATGACCTCGTTCACATCACAAACTAACCTTGCAAAGTAAAGCAGGTGAGATTTTATCATTACTGTGAAACAGTCCTCGATGGTCGACCCTCTCGTTGATCTGGAGCGTTGCATGTCACGGAAGTGTCTTACTGCAATCCAGACTGAAAGAGACAGTGCAAGGACTTCCCATGCAGTACCGAGTGTCCAAACTATTGTGATCAAAATCTGGATATCTCCCTCATAATCATAACCGCATTCATAGGTGTTAAAGAGTATCACCTCCTCTGGTGTTCGTTCGATGAGTTCTGTTCTTCTCTTCAATCCAATAAGTAAAACTTACCCCCCACAATATACTTAATCCCTATCGCGGTGATCACTATGCAGGCAATGTTGACAGCAAGGAAGATTACGATGAGAAAGATGAGCATCTTTCTCGATCCCTGATACATAGCATGTAACCGAGCAATCATGATGACTTGCATGGTGTTTTAGTCCAGGCAACATCACTGAAGCATTACGGTTTCGTAGCTTACCACCCAGCATGGCAGCTACGACCACATTTACCCAACTTTGTACAGCTTCGATATCATTGCCTGAAGTACCCAATTAGTGATCACCCTCGTAGGATCAAACACTGGGCCAGACTCACACCTGTTGTAGTCGTCAGGTTGAGCCAAGTTCAACCAACATACTCGTTGAAGATCTCACTCACCCCTACGTAGGAGTGCAGTTGATTAGATTGGAATGGGATGGAATAGGTACAAAACACTCACTGCATCTGACAACGAGACTGTCGGAGAGTCTGTATGGCACTGGTCAAAAGTACCAACATAGTATATATACCAAAACATACCCAGAATATACGTACTGATTGTGAGAGATGAGTTATCAGCACAGTATCACCTTGTCAGCCTTGCACGCGTACACAATATACAGTGTTCCAATGTAGCGTATCTTGGGAATTTAAATTTAGAGTTAGTATAGCTTACTGGCAGCTGTACCTCTAACAGAAGCTACGCACGCTGAGGTATAACACGGTCATAAGGGACCAGCGTCGCCTCTGTCCCGAATTATCAGCTATTCTTCTGATACCGGACTCTGCTCACCCAGATCAATTCGACCTATAATATCACGTTTAGCGAGACTGTTGCTCCAGTAATGGCATCAACTTACCTCTCGTCCGAGTGTCAGTACTGTGAATACATAAGAGCATCAGCGATTTCTCGAATAATTACTATATCGCTCACCATAATCGTATATCACAACAGCACAGGCGGAAACTGCGAAACCACAGTTCAGGTTAGATCAAGACATCACCGACATCGTCCGTTGGATCTGCACGAACCTAAGATATAGCTGAGGAACCGAGCCGAACTGATGAATGGCCACGAATTTGGATCGTTTGAGACTAGGGTCATATTCGAGGGATATGCGTGAGCAGGTGGGGGGAACTTAGTGTATGTATATGATGATGGCGTTTGTACTAGATATCCCACCATCCAGCGCCAAAATCTCCATCATCAATGGGTTCGGATATTCGTTCCGGCCTTGACAATGATCATGATTCATGATGGACTGACTGATGTCGATGCCGTACGTCAGCTCCATATGATACAGTGAAGCATGTGAAAGTAGTTTTGGTCCTTGGAGCCATAGAAACTAGTGGATTACACTGTCAGTAACCGACACCAACACGTCTTCAAAGTCGCTCACTGAAGCTAGGGACGGAGAATATGTTCAGAGTAGGTTAAAAGTAGTGATTCGAGTGATTAGTACTCTCGGAGTCGTCAGCAGTATATTACTGAGTGCTCGCCCTTATCGTCGATGGAATTGGTAGGTATGATGGAGGTGCCTATGGAAGTAAGTCATTACGAACTCAAGTCACAATGACAATTTCTGACTGCCCATCGACTTCCATAACAGCGACCATTTATTGTGTCATTCTCAGATGTTATCCCAGCGACGGTTTTAGGATCCTCAACATGATAAGCTTTCGCAGGATGAGCAAGACGTAGTTTCTGATTGCGATAATAGTTAAGGCTCACCAGTAACTAGCGTGATCCGAGGACCGCAAAAAGTATCATTCATTAGCAGGGATAGTTTATCCGTAGCGACGGTGGGCGCGTTCTACATTGGCAGTGCATTCAACTTCTTACACTTCGTAAATCACTGGCACTGCTAGCTGTTCAGAGAATATTAAAAGAACTCACGAGGCGCACATTAGTGGGACTGAACAGATCGTGATGGCTGCCTGAGTGACTGTTAAAGCTATTCGCTCAATCCAGCAAAGGTAAATGGTCGACAAGATGTGTTCCTCGTAGCGAGAATACTGGAGTATTTGCGCCAGGTAAACTGATATGATACAATTTTGGGGTAGGACACGAGCCACGATTTGTGTCCTCGTGCTACGACATTTCAACGTCTTCACCATCGTTGGCATCCTCCCAACCATCCCCGTCGCCCTCTTCATCGTCTTGGACTGGGGAGGACATGATACCTAGTGCATCAAGGGTTCCAAGAAGTTCTTGGACATGTTCTAATATAGGCGTGTCTGGATCGGACTGTGACTCGTGCAACTGAGCCAAAAAAGTCAGTACTGAAATATTGACCCGCAATGAATGAGAGGTTGCGCGGACATTACAGCGGGACTTGCAAGATACGTAAAAACGAGGCAGACTTACCATTTGGCAAGTTTCTAAGCAGTCCCTCGAGTCTCTGGCCAAATCCTCCCAGGTCAGCCCTTCACTGCCTTCTACTTCACCCCCCTCCTTCTGGCGTTCGGCCACCAGCCACCACCCCCAACCCATAAGGTACCAACCTTCCACTGAGGAATCATCGGACGCAAGAACATTTTCCAAAACATCAAGAGCATCATGGTAAGCACCACACTCCAGGAGTAACTTGGCGCGCGCAAGCCGCACGGAAAGAGGAAGTGCTGCAACCAATGCTTGATTGAGTGCAGGAGGTGCATCTAGAGAAGAGGGTGGGAAAGTGAGAAGTGCAGCTAGTGCCTCCTCCGTTTTTTCTTGACTGAGGCGGACACTAGCAAGGCATTGCAGAGCCTCAAGATTATGTGGATCGATCTGTAGAGCATTTGCCAGAAGGGAATCGCATGTTGACGATGCAGCAGGATCAAAACTTTTGTCCAAAACACGTCAAACAAAGGCTTCCGATTGATAAATTGAGGCCCACCAAAGATCATACTCAGGATCCATCCATACCTCGACCATTCCAACATAAGCCCTCACGATATTACTTCTCACCTCATCCTCTCCTTCGTCCTGTTCATCTCCCTGGGTGGGCGAAGGTGCCTTACCCTTGAGTTGCGTCTGAAGAATGTCGATGGCTGCCTGGTAGTGTTTCAAAGCAGTGTATGGATCCGTGGAGAGTTGTGCAAGATAAAGATGCGCTGAAGGTGGTGGAGGTGTAGGAGCTGTTGGATGTGGCGGGAGCAATGTTAAAAACAACTAAGGGCAAGTAAATGATTAGGTGCATAACCCAAATTACAAGAGACAATTTCCACTCGCCTCTCTTGCTTTGTCCACTTCCCCAGTTTCGAGGAGCACGACACCCATCATCTCCCCCGCTTGATTTTTTTCGCTCACTGACCCATCTCCCCTCACAAGAGCACGTTCAATGAACTTGCGTGCCAAAGGAAAGTCGCACTGTACGATGAGCTCCTGAGCCTTGTCAAGGAGAGCATGAATGGCTGGAGTTGCTGAGCTTGACGATGATTGTGAAGGGTTTGTCACAATAGGTACAGACTTCTTGGCTTTCGCGCGTGTTCGACCCATTTTGAAAGTCGCAAGACTCGAGAGTCGATGATTGATCGATCACTTCAGTAGCAGCTGGTAAGTGGTAGGACCCCGAAAACCACCAAGTCAGCCGGCAACCACCTGACAGAGCCGCATAGCAGGTTCACCCAAACTCCTGCCATCGCTAGATATTGAAGAGGCACCTTGAAGAGGCTCCCTTCAATGATATTAATATCGCATCATGTAGTGTCACGTCTACGATTTTCCAACCTGACTCACGCACGTTTTTAGCATCATGCTCGATATGTGCCGCGACGGTCATCCCCACCTGCCAGATCATGTTGCCCACCTGGTTAAACGTGAATGTTTGAAAGTCAGCGTTAGGCTCAACCATATGGAGCAAAAGGAATGTATCTCCTGCCTCGCACTGAGTGCCCAATATCTATCTCTGAAAATGTGAGCTGCTACTGATTCCGTAAGATTTCTAATTCTTTGAACGATTGGCGAGCAGAACATATTCCAAATTCAAGCCAACGAACAAGTATATGCCGTATTAGATCCTTGTGGGTGTGGCAGCAGTACTCACACTCAAGGTTCTTCATTCCGCTCGGAGTTCACCTGCAATATCAATGTCAATGTCACGCAGTGCCTTGTTCCTCGATCATCGCCGTGAGCTCCTGACAAGCTCATAGAACCGCCAGTCTGTCCGTGAACCTTATTCGCCCTGTACCAGGCACTTTCTAATAACTTTTATCTTCTCTTTGATCCGCTGCAATTTTCCAGCTGCGTCGACAGGTCCTCATCAATAGGCTTCCTTGTTGGCAGGTGTTCTTGTCCTGTCAGTACCTGAATGACTTACATTGTGGCAGAAGGATAATCAAATATAGAATTAGGAGGACGAAAAAAAAGCAATCCTCGCGGGCATCGATCACTGAGAGTCTAGAGAAGATTCTCGACGCCAGCCCATAGCGGGATGGGATAAGAGTAATTCAGAGTGCCACGGACTCCGCGAATCAACTCATCAGTATGTACAAATCGCAAGATTCAGGGTCTCCGAGCCAAATTCGGTCAAGCTATGGTGAAGAAAGGTGAGTAGGGCGTTCCAAATGACAATAACGGCTACGCAGTCAATATTCTCGATGCATGAAGTGCGAGTCGCTGATGAGCAGAAGCCCAGTGAATATACAGCTTATCAGAACCCCTGTCCTTAAGGTAACTGACAAGGGAGTCACTTCTAGCTATACCATCCGTCATCACGGAGGGGCCCAATTTGAAAATACTCGACATAGGAAAGATTGTTTTGACTGAATATCTCCCGATAGTTCACAATCACTTTCCGCGGCATCATCGTCTACAAAGTTACATAAAATGGTTCCTTAGAAAGTTAAAGCTTCCATGGTTGGCATTTTCACGCAGCATATTCTATACTTCTCGTGCAGGCCCGACGGGGTGACGTCGGCAAGCCGTGAGTTCCGCAAAATGTGCGACTGATTTTCCAGACATTAACCACCTATACCTGAAATCTTGCATCCCCACCTGTATTCAGGGGTCCTGCTCGCTCAGGATTAATATTCCTCGCCTAAATCACTGATTTTGTAACCCGAACAATTCAAACTACTCATACTCACGCAATTTCCCTCAGGGCAGTGTCACAATTCGATTCACGTGCGCAAAAGAGAGGGCAAACTCCACTGTCAGCATCACTGGCAGATATTGACGCTGTCAAAGTAGCACAAATGACGAAGACAAAGGGGAATTGTATTGTTTATGAGGATGTGATATGAGATTAAATAAATCTGAAAGGGACAGTAGGAAGCTACATCTTATAGCAAATTGCTTTATGTGCTCAGACTGGATATTCTTCTTCATGGCGATAACATACTCACAGAAGTCCCCCTTCGAACATGTCATATCTGCAATGCCAGTTGATTCCCACCTAAGATCTACCCTGCGAGGCAAGGTCTATTAGAGCGATTTAAATGGTTGTTTATTCATGTTTATTTCTAAAGCCTTTACACAATAGTGCAAACAAATACAACCTCTCCCGAACCTCGAAGTGCTAGTAGACCCACAAATCTGGTGTCTGCACCTGTTATAATCTCATGGCGTCCATTTTATCCCCCTTCCGAAGGAGCTACAGGTATTTGGTACGTACTATTCAATATCAAACGTCAATATCCTTGGCCAATACTCCCTAGCAATACCTCGCACACGAACAGCCAGTCATCTTTTACTCTTGCGTCCTCGGGCTCGCAGGACCAGTTCTTGCTTTGAGTGTGCCTGCAGTCAGGAGAAACTGGCTCGGATATACTCCCGCGGAACCTATACCTACCACATATCCTGGTACGTCGTTGGTCCTACCGTTTTAGTCCGCATCGTGCTGTTCTAAATGCGACTCTTTTCTTCAGTGCCGAAACGGCCGAGAAAGCCTGTACAAGGCTATGAGGATGAGTAGAGTAATGGATGGTTGGGCTAGAATCTAGATAGGTAAGTTTGCTTCACTGCTGCTATGCATTTCATTGACGGTCAATCAGTTCATAAAAGTCCTTTCATTATATCACGATATATCGGCTGCCATGCGTGTATTAGGCAAACCATCGGAGAGTATCCTTTCATCGCTTTGACCAAATACCATGAATTTCCTCGCGAGAATGTACTAATGGTGTATGGCAGCCAGTATGCTCTTACACCATCACCCGCACCACCAATTACGTTGAATATCTATTTCCGTGCTTGAGATACGCGGCCCCGAATCTCGGGCTCCCCCTAGACTAGGAATGTGATGGCGTTCGGGACCCTTTTGCGACTTTACTTCAGATATTAGAAATGGCATTTCCGCCACATCAGCTCTTAATGATTTCTTCGAAGCATATGGCGCGTCAGCGGAGCACGTACCAACACCGCAATCACACCAACAAGAACTTCATCAAGCCAGGAAATCCTCCCCCTAAGACTTCCATATGCGCAGCCATTTCCGCGGTTATGACCTTTGATTTCCATTCATTACATCTCACCCTCTCCATAAATCCGAAAGATGTCGATGAACAATGAAATGGCTATGTAGATCAAATCATCTGACGTTAACTGAGTCCACGTCCGATGGTTTGCGGTCCATGGAGCTTTAACTAAAACAGCAAACATTATGCTGCTCGAGGCTCGATGACTACCGCCGTGCTCGCTCCCATGTCTAAACGAGGGAGTCTTGTCAAGAAAAAAGACGGCAATGTACGTCCATCCGCAAAAGAGGGTATCATCATGTATTGACGTCGGAATGGTCGCGTCTTGCTCATAGGGGTGTGGTCCCGATCTCTATTTTCCAAAAGGCTCCTCCATATACTAAATTGCTTATCTTGTCAAGTTGGATGAATCATGAAGTCGCAGCATTACTTACATAACCAACCGCACTTTGCAAAGTCCGTAATGGTGGAGGAGCACTGAACGTGGTCAGGGAAAATTCATCTGGATGGGCATAGTCTTCATTGTGTCTCCATAGTGCTCGGTGCATTCGCGTGACCAGCGCGGCATGGATGGTAATTTGTATGCTTCCCAGGTGATCAGCGTGGTAAATCGTTAACAAAATTCGATACCGACCTGGACACTAAGTCAGAGTATGATGCCTGTACGCTGATCAAATTAGTAATATTCAAGTGAACTTTTCAGAACAGGTACTGACGGGGAACACCGCAATCGCAATGATGAGCACAACAGAAGATCCTACGAAGGCATTACTCTTTGTGCCTGAGAGAAAAGAATTAAAAAAACTTACCAACCCCGCACATGAAGTAGAATACGTTATGCTGTACAAGGATCCTAAGCACGTTGGCACCCCGTTCGCGTCGGTAGTTAGCAATGGCCCGATACAATGTCAAGCACAATATTTCTGGGATCGGTTAGATAGTACTCGAACGATGTCGCATGGCTCTCACCTAACTCAGCAATGACCATGAGTACATACACATAAAGCACAGCAGAAGTTTCGCCCGTCTTGGAACAGCCCGGCACCCCGGTGGCGATCCAATTGGTGACTAAAGAAACGTGAATATTCACCATGTGATTTACGGAATACCAGGAGGGGCGCTTACCGACTGTCGAGGAATCATATTTCACAAGAATTCCAACTATGGGTGTCAGGAGAAACTGACGGGGTTAACCGATGCGAAAGGCGCGGAGACAGCAAGATAACAAGTCTTACAACAGCAGTGGCAACAAACGCCCACAATACCCGTTTGGAACGGTCCCAAATGGCATATGTGCGTACAAAAAATATACCTTGATACACATGCTTAGTCTTGTCTGTGGTACATGATGGAGATAAGGCATACTTTCTGCTGAAGCGATTACCGGGAGACCGAGATCTGCGGAACGTGGCTCGGGTCAGATGACTGATGTCAACAGCTAAACTCCGTTACTTACATGAATTCACGGAGTATAATGTTTGACACATCTACGTGAGGAACGTTAAAAGGCACGTCCGGTACACGTCCACATGGAACTTACGCTGAGTGATGGATAACTTGCCAGTGCCCCTTGATGAGATTGATAGATGGGGTGTCAAGACAGAGATGAGCTCAAACGGACTCACGGCTTGAGACTACAGCTAGATAAAAGAAAGGCACATATCGGCACACGAGATAGAGATATTTGACAGTTCTCCAGGTCGACCTCGTAATAAATGGCAGCTGACGATAGTGTTATCGCTATTGCCTTAAGACCGCAGGAGCTCGCACCTCTTGATCCAATGTAATGGCGTAGTCATAAGCCTTGATAGACCGAAAGGTTTAGCTGGAGATGGAGGAATTTGGCCGCATTACATACCCATAGCGTCACTAAAGCCACTGCCGTGACGGGTTTGGGGTCAGTCACTATGCAGACATGCGATAGCATGACAGGACATACCGTAAGCATACTGTGACGTTCATAAACATCAGAAAGGGTTCATCTTACTGAAACGCCACTAGGCAAACACACCTTCATTTTGATAAGGACATCGGGACTTGCCACGTCTACACTCAGTTGCACTGCGGACGTATGCATGGCTGAGCGAAAGAGAGAGTAAGGCGCCCAAACGTTTTCCACACTTCTTCCCGATCCTCGGCTTCGAAAATACTTTTTACCATAGAGAGCAATTTACTATATGGTGGATATAAGGAAAAGGCACTTGATCACGAATAGGTCCATCGCGAAGACAACGGTCCAAGTTCTCCATTTGCCTTTTTAAGCGACTGGACAATTGGTGGTTAGTTCGTATCTACATCGTATCGCCAAGCTGGTGGTCCAGATTATCTTCATAACAGCACAACTGAGAATCTATCATTTTACACGTTCCTTCGCGCTCGAATTTCCCATGACTGCGCGGATATGAAGTGCCTGCAAGCAAACATGGAATAACGTGGCCTTTAACGGAGATTGGATATTCAAATGGCGCAGCACCTTCTGAGCTCTTCCTTTTGCAACGATGCTCTCTGAGTTGTCTTGACCTTTCTTTGCCGTATCAACTATTACCGGTCGGTATCGCTTTCACGTACATGGCCAGACGGAGCCGTGATTCCAACTTGAACTGCCAAATGCGCGGCGCGATACCGCAGGCAATCAATCTATGCGATCTGGTCCTCTTGAATTAGACTACCGGAGTAAAGAGACCTATCTGCGTGAATAAAGTCGAGCGTAGGTCCCCGATCAATTCACATCTTTATTCTCGGACTGCGATACCACGAGCGTCAGGAGGCACCAGGCAATTAGGTTTTTACTCACCTGAACTCCATAGCGCTGCTGGAGATCTGCGAATCATGCCCAGTATCTCATCTACTATTGACGTCGAAGTTAGCACTCTTCATGTTATACTTGCCCTAGGATACTAAAAGTCTTTCCTGCTTCAGGCACCACGACCCAGAAGCAACTTGAGGGACATTAATGATCGCCCACTTCTGTACCATGAGTCCACGACACTTGGGGGCCTTAGCAACTGAGCGACAAGTCAGGGTAGGACGCAAAACGCCGAGGTGACCTGTTGAAATAATCATTTGGGGTAGTTGTATCGCATAAGTAAAAGGAGTTAAACATTGCGGTGGAGCACTGAGAATTCGTTAGGGAAAACAGGTTTGCCTAGTAAGTTTGCCTAATAGTTAGGGAACGGGAACACAAGGAATTTTCTGCTCCACGGTGCTCCACGGTATGAGTCCACGCCGTCAGTTGACGATAAGCGACCTTACCGAATAAGTAATAACCGGATAGCACTGCTGAACGTCGGACACATGGTAAAAGGATCCAAAGCCACCGCAAAGCCTCGCGCACCACCTCGTTCAACGGTGAACTTTGAAGAACGTGGTTACCGAAGCACATAGACAGTGATGATCAATGATAGAAGCTACGTTTTTTGACTCCCTTGATCCAGAACTTGTTTGTTAAAGTTCTCAGCGGCCTTGCAGCGGTCCATAATACTATATGGCTGCTTCTCGCCGAATAGTTTTCTGAGTTAAAATATATAATAAATTGGGTGACATTGACAATTTATGCTAGAATTTGATTCATTCGATTGAAACATTTTTGAGAAGGAGGAGGTCGGGCATAGAGTCGGATGTCCCGCACTAACAGCTCAGATCGGAATTTTTAAAAAATAGAGCCTTACATATGGGCGCTTAAACGTGAGGGAAACGAGGATGAGACATCTTTCTGGACCCCCAAACGTCATGTATATGGCCTGTCCTCACCATCAGAAATTTTATCGGATCATGCCATTCATACCCCCCGTAGAAGTCCTTTTTGTTGCGGAATCATGTAAGAAATAAAATATTAACAACTGCAGGGAAACATGCTATTAGGTGTGCGATTGTCGCCTTTCAGCCGAACAAGTATTTGCCAATCCCACTAGGTAAGAATTCCGAATATGTTTATGTATGTTCCACCCCTTGTGACGTTCCGTTAGACCTCGGTTACAGTTGAATTTCAGTCAAGCTCGGGCCACGCTACTCCTCCCCACAACTCCATATACCGTGTAAGTTGTTATTCCGGTTTCACTTAAAAGGGCAGACACCTAACTTGTTCCCCCTTCCCCACACCCGGTTCTAGCTCATCGTTCAACACGACGGCGAGACCATAACTATGCCTTCCGCCATCAGCCTTGACGCTTTTCGCTTCCGCTGGTGGTCAAAGTCTACTCCCAAACCACTTCTACCTCCTAGTGAGGACCGCAGTGACCCAATCGCAGTGGTCAAGCGTCGTATGAGTTTCCACATTGCCACTCCAAAGAACACCCGCCAACACCCAGACCGACCCCGAGATGTTCAAAAGCCACTGCCCCGAATACCTACAGAGAGCACCGGCAAACTCTTGCACGATGAAGTCGTGAACGAAAAGTCCAGCGATCATTTTCTCGAGAAACCAGTGGAGGCAACCGAGAAGCTTGTCCCTCTCCTAAGGTGAGTTTCGGGCATCTCTTGCCATGGCACTTGTGCGGAGGCGGTCGCAGTAACAGATGTTCTTGGAACTCCAACTTCTCTTCTCTCTTATTCGCTTTTCATCTCGGAGTATGTTCCGAGGGTTCATCTACCATCTCGTTGACCTTTCTTTTTCAGGTCAAATACCAATATTCATAAATCATCACCACCAACAACGACACCACAACCTGACATGAAACCATCATTGATTCGTCGCGTAACGTCCAAGTTACACATCACCGTCCCCCCATCTTCACAGCTTGAATCGTCACCCCCGCGTCCAACGCATACCCCAGCCAATGTAAAACAGTCTTCACGACCTCCTCGATCACCTCGTGTCACTCTTCCTCGTTCTCCCACACTTCCCAATTCTTTCGCCTCCCGTGAGAATCGTGAAGCGGCGTTGCGTGAGCGTGGTTTACTCCCGCCCATGAAAGATCTCAGCCAACAAGAGCGTGAGGCTGATGAGCGCCTAGCTCCCATGCCTGCCCCTGACAAAGACCAGATTGGCTTCAGTGCGGCAGCAAAGATTAAGGAAGAATGGTTGTCCATAAATCGTTCCTCTGAAACGCGTGCCTCGGACTCTGTCTTCCCAAGACAGCTGCCCAGCCTTAGTGCGCTGGCATCAGGGGTTTCCTCATTGTCATATTCGGCATCTTCATCACTACCCCAGTTTTCAACATGTGATTCCGATTGCACTCGCGCGGACCTTATTGCCGAGATGCCATTTAGAGCAAGGTCCTCGACTTCCAGTAGCGTCCCACCCCTCTCCCCATCTTCACACCTAGAAGTACTGGAGGAAGAGCCTGCAGGGCATGTGCCTCCAACACCCCCGCCACCGCCACCGCACCATGTCCAGCCGCCCATAATTATATCCACCCCAGTGGAGGATTCTTTTCCCCCAGGTCACGCTGTTCTTGTCGAAAGTCCAATTTCTTGCACCTTCTCTCCCTATCTTGCACCTCCAGGGTCACCATCTCAGCCGCACACATCCCCTCCGGTCATACCGGACAAGGAGAACTCATATTCTCCATTTCCGGGTCCTCCATCCCGGCGGCGTACGATGGATTCAAATGCTCGCAGACGTTCATCAGTCGGCACACATTTGTCCAAATTTGGCACTAATTCGCTCACCAATTTGCGGCGCTCAGTAACCGGGAGCACAAGACATTCTGGGTCTAGTGCGGATCTATCCAGTACTTCGAGTCAACATTCCTCCCCACGGGTGTCTATCATGCCGACGATGCATAACCGTGGAAGCATACTGCTCGAGACCAAGGGTATCCAAGATGCAGAGAGTCGCCGACTGAGTGAGCTTGCATTCTTGGATTGATCATGCGGATCTTCGGATTCAAGGGTTGATACTCCCATGGATACTGTTGAACAATTTATCTACTCCCGCGCATCCTTGCAATTTCAAAGTGGTGAAAGCGTCCTCCATTCTTTTACGGCTCACGCATAAATCTTGCACTTCCTTTTCGAACACTCACACGCGTCACCGTCCACATTCATTCAATACTATTAAAGGCCTATAGACGTAGCGCCTATTCATCCATCCAATATGAAACGCTCGTTGCATACTTTTTGCATGTATTTTTAAACTCGTTATCGATCGAATCACTTTTGCGATCGTCCCCGCTCTCTGCATTTCGCTGGTCCGTTATTTCCTTGGGTTAGTGAGTACAACCCATGTGTTACCACCTACTTAAATCCCCTCCTTTGATACTTATTCGTAGTTTATACTAGTAATCAATTACGTTTCAAATGCCTCGAACACCTTCAGTGGAGACCACATCAATTTGAGATGTCGAGATGTTTCATTGTTGGAAGTTGACCATAACATACAGCCTGCACTGGGCATACCTTATATCGCAAGTACGCCACCCGACTTGTCTATCATCGTGGTCCATAGTACTATGTAATATGCCAGACCTAGATCCGAGTCGGCCTTCCCGACACGTAACAAAATGGTCTGGCCTCGTGTTCCCCGCCTCAAAGTCTGCACAAATCTCAGGCTGTCAATAGGATCAGCTCCCACTACCACCTTCGGTTCTTCTAGCGTTTTCATCATTTGATCTACATCAACAGCGACGCCACACATCAACTGCTCAAGGGTTGAAGCTTCTTTCCTGGTTTTCAAGCATGTCCGAACCAACAGCAGCACAGCTCAAAGACGAGGGTAACGAGCTATTCAAGAAGCAAGACTATGTCGGGGCAATCATAAAGTACACCGAGGCTATCGCTTTAGATGATAATGCTATTCTGTATGCGAACCGCGCTGCTTGCAATTATGCCCTGAACAAGTGACTTTGTGTATTTATTTTAAGCTGTTGTCGGGTACTGACTTCGATTTATAAATAGATTTCTAGATGCTGTGGATGATGCGCACAGGATATTTCTACTACACGTCCATATTGGTCTTGCTTGGGCTTATCTGTTGATGCGTATGTTAGGCTACGGAGATTGATCCGGGTTATGCAAAAGGGTGGTCGCGACTGGCAGCATCGAGAGACGTGCGTTCCTTCGTTCTGATTGGGCTGAGCTCACCTACAGTACTACATAGGCGCTTGCGGACTGGGGGAAAAGCGCCCATGCTTGGCAGAAGGCACTGGATGCACTACCAAAAACCAAGCTCAGCCCTGCAGAGCGACAACAAAAAGACCAATATACTGCCTGTCTGAGAGCAGCGAATGCGCGTTTAGATCAGCCTATCGTCCCTCTCTCGGTGAATGAAAAGTTGGGCAAGTTCCCTTGGCAGATTGCGACGGATATGCTTCCTGAGCTCCGGGAAGCGGGTCAGGCAAAAGTGTCTAGCAGTGTGAGCTTGAGTCGTAGTCTTGCATGCTCTTACTGAGTATTTGGTTTTCTGTTGTGCAGGCTTGGGTCATCGCACTTGCGTATGACGTGATATTTGCGAATTTTCAATAAGTAGCGGCATGCTAACAGTGACGTCTTTACTAGGAATTCAACAATGGAGTGGAAATGATGAAGGGTATGAAAAAAACACCTCAGCCTGGAACGCCAGATGCCTTTGTGTACCACGGAAACCTAGAGGTGTTGTTTTGCGCACATGTTATATTTTGATGTTTACATGGCATAGGGGTTGACGCTCTTGAGCAATGGTTTCATGCGTGACGATCGCGTCTTTCATATCAATCAACCTAACTGGATTGACATGTATAATCAACAAGGTGATCTTATTCTAGCATCGCTTGTTGAAATTATGCTGACGAAAGTACAGTCTTTTTCGAAGTTACGGCTCGCAAGGCTTGGAATTCTGAAGGACTCGAGACCGTCAAGGAACTGGCGCGGAAACGCTTGAAGGAGAATGGCTGGGATGATGTACGCCCCGCATTGGCTGTGACTATTCGGTACGCAAGGACAAATTCTGTCTTTCAATACTTACTGATCATTCACTGCAGTGGATGGATAATGAGAGCTGCATTAGAAGGCGGTTTAAGACAACAGCCTCAAGCTGGTGTCGAGTATTACAGACGAGCTCTCGACTTGGTCGAATGGGGAAGAACTATTTGGAAGGATGTTCCCAAATCCAGCAGGGGAGTGGTCTTCGAGCATTCGTTCTTGATAGGCGTCCGTAGCTTGTACCTCAAGATGTTCATGAACGTGAGTCGCGGGTCGCTATATTTCTTGGATGCGCATTAAACTGCATGGCAGGCTTACAGCTCCGACCCTGGCTTGAACTCAAAGTTCCCCCTTGAACAGCTAAAGGAAGAAGCTGAGGACCTCCTCAAAGAGACCGACATAGCCTTACGGACACGCGATAATGAGCCTGTGGACCCCGGCTTCGTATCATCTTTTATCGCTTACCCTTGTGGACTTGCTCATGCGTATGCCCTCTACCTCTCCACACTTCCGGTCCTCTTCTTACCATCGCCTTACTTTGCAGAATGCTCGGATTCTATCACGTGCAATCGGCCCGATACGCCAGTGATCCCATGGAAAGGATGTTTAGCTTTGTGAAAGCGGCAGATGAGTACACGAGGGCATCCAGCAGATACGCCGAAGATGATGAGTTACGCGCATGTGAGTGTCCCAGTGCAGATCGCACACGTCTCATAACCATTTTCCAGGGTACCTAAATTGTACCATGGATTGCGTGCGAAATGCCGGTGCCCCCGTTGACAATTTCCTCATGGTGGCTTTCGGTTTGCGGGATACTGTACCCAAGATGAAGAAAATATGGGCAATTTCTGAGCTGGCCTTGGGTGGGAGAGATGAGAAAATACAAGAGAATTTGAATAGGGCGGATGAACTCATGAAGCGTCTCACCGACAAGACGTTAACACTTGAAGATCCCGTGCCTTTGTAATCACGACTTTCATACATGCATGTACTTGTAATGTTCTTGTTTACACGTAGCCATACTTGAAGCAACTGCTAATTTTGAAAGAATTCTCGCAAACCTTGACCAAGGCGTATCATACCCTTCTCCATGATATCCTCAGTACCAGCGAACGCTGCGCGTAGAAACCTGCTGCGCTGTTGCGGGGTCAAACCGAGCACTAATGAATTCATGATTCTGCTAATACTCACATCGCTCAATGGCACATGCCCGTCGCTTTCCACCCATAGGGGATTTTCTGGAATAGCAAACATGGAAGACGGTATGAATACAACGCCTTGAGTATTCATCAACCTCTCAAAAAGCTCCTTCAGGAGCTGTTCCGTATTAGTCCGTGCAACAACAGGCGAACCACCAGAATACCGTTCGCGAACGAAACGAGGATGTTTTTCGAAAAAAACTTCTATCCACACAAACATCCCTGCTTCGGGGCGGTTTATGCTAGCATAACCGGTAGATTCTACTTCGCGCTGGAAAACGTCGAGCAGGAAATCACGCCGGCTCTGGTAGTCCAAGCGTAAGCTTTTCAACCACCGACAGAAGCCCTCGACTTTCCAGCCATGTTCGCTAAGCATCTCGGTGACGAACATCTGCCCGAAGGCGTGTGGCGGCTGGGTTGATGAATCTGTATAATCTGCCAACTTTAGGTGGAAAAGTTTGTTGCTTGTGATCCAGCCCAATCGCATTCCGGGGGCAAGCACTTTGCTGAACCTGTAAACAAGTGGATACGATCAAAAAGGTAGCTAGGCTCAATTAGCGGGCGTACTGACGTGTCGATGCGAAGCACACGGCCGTCAACATCCATTGACAAGAATGTAGGTATCAAGGTGCTTCGAAAATTCTTAATAAATTCATCAGGATCTGTTGGCGCGCAGTTCGTTTGAAGGATGTCATATTGCAGGAAATAGTAAGGATCTGCAAGAAGAATATCCGAGTCAGACGACGTGCGATGATACCGCTGAGGCGACTTGCCGTCTTCTATGATAATTAAATCCCATGTTTGCGCAATGGCATAGATCTTCTTGCGACGATCCACGCTCAATGTTGATCCAGTAGGATTCTGGCCAACCCTGATGATACAACCAACTATGTGATGTGCAATCAGACTGAAGTTTGGAAGCTTACGGGATAATATAGAGAACACGAGGTCGTCGTCCCAGTTTCACCTCGTCCCATTTGACGAGAACTCTTTCTAGCTCCTCAGGAATAATACCACCAGAATCCATCTTGACACCAACCCACTTGACGCCGTATGCAAGAGGAGAGTTTGTCATACCTATAGCACAATGAGATTAACCCAGAGAAAATATCGAATAGTCTACTCTCACTGACTAGGAAAAGAAAACTCGTCAGTCAAGAAATGATCTACCCTTCTCCCCGAAGAGGCGAAAAACCTTCGTGATACCATCAGAGTTCCCCAATGTCAACAACACATGATGATTCGGCGGAGCGAATATCAGCTTCGTGAAGTCAGTGAGTACATCTCTGCACTGTTTAAGTCCAGCAGCCCGGGAATACGGGAAGGCGTCGCGAATGGATAGCGCGCACTCCTGATCTCTGTAGGAACGTATGATCTGTGCGAGCCCGGAGTTGTTCCGCCATGAAGTGACTGGATCAGGTGCGTCCTGTACAGATGGTACTTCGTACATGATTTGCCGGAAAGGATAGAGCGAATGATGAGGATCACCTGAAAGGCATTCGTTTGGCTACATTTCACCACTATGTATGACAGTGAGATTACCATTTGCCATACTGATTAGATCAGTGACTGGACATTCGCTGATCACCCGCAAGATGTCTTTCAGCGGGTTGGCAACTCGATTCCTAGCCTCATCCGATAGGTGGTGCGAAAGGTCAATGTCCCCGTTGTCAGTGCCATTGCTGTCAATTTGCGATTCCTCCATCGAACGGATAAGTTTGAGATAAGGGAGAGAGAAGGATAGTCATTTCGGAGCCGATGGCAACACGCCATCCAAGGGCCGAGAACTTGAAGAAGCAACGATACTTCTGGCACTAAGACCGCTCGGTTGGTTGGTCCACGTCTTCCTTGCTGCATTCGTCTACTCTTGCTACAGCATCATTTCCTGAGTGGTTGCCAGTTCTGGGGATCTGAAGGCCAAATACGGACGCCGCCTGTTCCAAACCGCTTGTTACCATCAACCCCAAACCACCGCGGCCCCGGGTACAATGAGACGGTTCTGTTGTCGAGGGTTGAAGTTCTAATGCCGCTACGCCACGTTTACGACACGTACCGGTAAGGTCCGGTAACGAATTTTGCGAGCTTGGTCTTCACACCTATGTTGCTTTGTTGATAAAGCTCGAACTATCTTCTGTCAATAGAGTGGAGATAAGAGCACCGGTCGCAAATTTGCAACCCCCCTGCAATATATGTAGTCTTCTAACGTCGACGGTTTCCTGTTCGGATAAGAGGGTGCGATTTTGAGCTACCCCTGATCTTCCCTGCTTGTATTGTACGTACTCGACCAAGAACGTCCAAAAAGAACTTAATGAACCGGCTGCTCTGCATGTCACCTTCTAGCAAAGACATACTGAGCTCCAGATAGGATGTATCCGCTAAGAAGACGCCAGGTCTTGCTGCTCACGAGACAACTCGTTAACGGCAAAAGGGGCTTGTCCAACTTGTCTTGGCGCGCCTACACGGTCACTTGGCACCCAGTCGCTCAGTATGGCAGGACTAGAGCGACGCGCAGTCATGATAAGTAGACTTGCACCAAGTTCCGGCGAAGTCTCAACCAGTACGGGCAGCTGACCATTTGTTGAGTGAGGCGCCGACTTGATAATCGTGAACCGGCTGCGGCCCGGTTGGCACATACGACAGTAGTAGCAGAGGGTACTTACTTGCACGTGGTTCTTCTGCACCTGTTCCGCGGCATCGAGAGTTTGGTAGTTAATACTGGGTTAGGCAATTGACGCATATATATATACCGCAAACCTAGTTATAGACTCGGGGAGTAGAGCAGCCTAGGCTACGGTGCCCAGAATTCCTCCGGTAGTAACAAGTACTAGTGTTTCTGGGGCCTTGTCAGTACACGTCGAGATAGAAGTTCACGACATTGGAACAAGACGACCGCAAGAAGTTGACAAATACTACTCGTCCTCGGGAAGTTCAAACAGACAAGGAGTCGCATGTGGCATGCCAACCCCGCATACCGCATGAAGAATATGAACAGGGTCGCAGCTTGTGGGATTGAGCTAAACCGTTGTGGTGAGCGTTTTAACAAAGGGTGATTGACCAAATTTGGAGGATTCTTGGAAACTTTTCTGAAAGTGTTATAAATGAACATGATGGGGGCACTTAAATTCCTCAGATATTTGAAATATCGATAGTGTGCTGGGCGGTGTGAAACACCTTACACAGTTAGTTCATACCGATTTTCTTCAGTATTAAAGTTTTGGCTGCAAGTGAACGTAATACGAGAAGTTAATATGCAATGAGGCAAAGATAAGATAAGAGATACATAGCGTCATCTGAACAAACGTTTGTTGTCTGGCTCAGAGCAGACAAACGAGCGGACACACGACTCGGACTTGACTCACCCTGAAACCAAGTTTCCCGAACAAAGAAAATCTTGAGAACCTTCCTCGCAGAAGTGACACGTATGTGAACCAAGTCTTGGATGAACTACAGTTCTCCGGATCTATTTCAAAGGACGCGATGTGAAATGATCTCTCCGCTTACCAGTATAGCAAGTATTTACGCCCGTTAGAACCAATCTACAAATGTCCGGATTCTGCAGCTTGGCTCCGGAACAATGGTTGAAGCTATCATGAGGCCGCTGCCGTCTCTCCAACAAGATGTTGGAGAACGCAATTTCTGTGAGAATATCAAGTACGAATATTCGCACCATGAGCTGGTCACAGTGCTGTCGGTATCAGACGAATTGAGTTCTGACAAGTCAATGTCTTATTCTGAGTCTGCGGCTGCGTCGTGTGATCGATCATTATTTCCCCGCATTATCTACATACCCCGCAAATGTTCACTCATCAATGTGCCGTGATCATTATAATGACCGTCATCTTATAGTATCGACCTGCCGCAATCATGGACTGTAGACTCAAGAGAGGAGTTCAAGTGTAAGATGGCAGCGAAAGGAGAAATGATCGGATTCGATCAAACACCAATCATAGGCAGCCTTAATTGTAAGGCGATGACCACGTGGGATGACACACTCGGGGATTGCCATCGCCAATTATAAAGGTCGTATGACTGATCTGAGAATGCAAACTCTTGCTCTCCTTTCTTCTACTCTATACCAGCCAAATGAATATGAACCAAGATAATAATGAGAAGGACGATTCAGTGAAGCATTCTCAACCAATTCCGATGGCTACACATCACTGGAGGCACCGTTCCATGTCGGTTTCGTCGGAATCATCCACTCTACCTGGCTCACCCCCGCAAGTGCAGACCCCGTTGAGCCTAAACTCTCCCCGCGTTCCAGTTGCTTCCCCATCCAGTTCTCCTATCCTTTCGTTCCTGTCTCAGTCCCCAACATCAAAATCTCCATCTTCTGTTCCTTACCGCGGGTTTGGCGGTCAACCTTCGTTTGATGGTCGGTTCCTTAGTCGTTTGCCCTCCTGTTCTCACTAACTCATATTCGTTGCCACAGAAGACGCCCTCGACGAACTTCCAGCAACTGTTCACTCCCGTCGGGCTGGCACATCTGGGCGGTTTGCGCCCATTCCACCTGCCCCTGAAGCCCAGCACGACCGTGGAGCTGGGTTATTAAGGCGTCTATCGCTTGGAAGCGCACTTGCAAAGGTATATATCTATACGTATCGTGTGATGCGCCATTAATTCTCTCCATTCTTCAGCCCCCCAACATGGATAATACTTGCTCTCGAAGTCCTACGAGCCCTACTGCTCCACCGAACTCCGCAGTCACCCCTACCATGACAACCTCACCTGCTTTTTCTACCCGTAAGGCAAGACGCTCAGCAACGGTGAGCATCGACAATGGACGTCCACGTCGCGCGCCTTCTCCCATGGGCGAGAGGATCCTGAAGGGTCATTTCGACGGCTTCAATTAGCAGGCGACACGCCCACCATCATTTCTTCGCCTTACTTCCCACCAAATACCCTTCGGACTCTCGCGCGAACAGTGCTCTCAAACTGTACCACCAATATTGACTGCCGTATCAACAAGTTCTCGGTTATGTGACGAAGTAGCCCCCGCTTCAGCAACCCTAATCCGCCCTATATCTATTGGTTGGCTCATATCACTCTGTTCAAACTCTCACTTCCAACTTGTATCACCACCGCTGTCAATTGCCGCATTTGGCATCCCATTCGGTGAGGGCCCCAGTTCGAGATAGTGGAGTCAATAGCTGATTTACTCGGTTAGATCACCATATACACCAACACTTTCGGACTGTCTTTCGCGTCTTATCTCTCTCTGTTCTTCAGTACACAACTTGTAATGTGTATCGCTTCTATATTTGCTTAGTGCAGTTTCGTTTTCGATTGTATATGTACTACCACAACGTCTCACGACGAATAAAATCTCATAGGCCCAGCCTGGGCTATGTTTGACCCAAGCTTTCGAGGTGGCGACTGTTTCCAAAACGTGGTCGGAGCGGCACCGCTCTGCTGGGAGTGCTTCTGCTCCGCAGTCGCTTGGCGTATTATGGTTCAGAGTTCAACCAATGGTCAAATTCGCTGAAGAAACGTAAGTGGAATTTGCTAGCCACAGTAATAGACAAGCCTAGTTCTCACGAGATCCACTTCAAGTCAAATAGACCAAACTGAATCACTCAGTTATGAAATAATGTTTAATTTCACTACACTAAGAACACAGGCCTACGGGTGTCGCAAAAGCGTCCATACCCCAAACCCATGAGAACGAATTTCCAATGACCACCGCCTATTACGTGGCTTGGTGCTTACTGAGCAAAAAGCATCTCAGTTTCATCCGGCCAGCTTTTCAAGACCGGAGACCAATCGGGAGATAGACCTTGATACAGATTTTTGAAGAAAACGTCTATGTCGTCCAAATTTTGTGCCGCCTCTTCTACAGGAAAATATAATGGACTAGTCGAGGTAGGTATTGAGTTGGCAGGGGTTGGTGTATCCAAAGGCGATGATTCCCGAGATGAGACGTTGCTCCCTAATGAAGGGCAGGAGGAAAGAGGGGATGGGATATCGACATCTTGCCAATCATATTGTGCAGGAGCACTCCAACCAGTGGGTGTTTGCATAGTAGGTTTCACAGTGGGCGCATTTGAAATCGTACTGGTCTGCGACGCAGACACAGCGCCTTCGATAGACCAAATGGTCATCGGATTCGGGAGCATAACGCTCGGATAAGTCGCCCTAGGTGCCGCAATATACGGGGCAGATGGTGCAGGTGCACGAGGTCGAGGGTTGTATTCAAAACCAACGTCGTAGGGTTTCCGAGTTCGCCGCTCTTTGGTGGTTTTGAGAGGAGTCCACTGGCACACCTTGCCTCTTTTCTTACAGCTCGTACACACTGGCTGTTCCCCCGAACACTGCCCCCTAACGTCAGCCAAAGTGAAATAAAGAAATATTGAGTGCTCACCTTTGTTTTTCGGCGCCTGCAGTAATCACAGGCATGAGCTACCCGAGGATGGGGAGCCTTAATTCGAATGGCGGCAGTGAAATCATTTCGAACGTCTGAGACCGACTCCTCCGTAATGGAAGAGTCAACATGGAACGAATGTGCACAAGGCACAGACGAAGATTGAAGCCCCAAAATGGCGAGCAAATCGTGTTCAGGTATTGCGTCCAGCGCAGCAAGGTCGACAGCTTTTTGGTGATCATACAGGGGTTGTTCCATAGGGGTTAATGATATCTGCTCAGCAGAGTAAGAGGACAATCCAGGGAAACCAGCTCCACTGTTAAGGTTGTGAAAGATAGGGAATGTAGACATTATTGAAGACAATAAGATAGGACAGTTGAGGATGGTGATGAGGTATAAATCAAGATGAAGAATGGAAGAGGCGTTAGCAAATGCAGTATTTCGCCTTGCTTACGTAATCACCTATCATTGCTGATTACGTCATAACTATTCCGTCCAAGACATCACCTGCTAGTCAATATTCAAATATTCACTGAAGCGCCCTACCGCAGGGAATTGTGACGATACATTTACCGAAGTACTCATTGCCGGCTGTGTGAGACTCATCCGAAAGGCTTGCAGTTGTATGTCATTCACGAAGTTCTTCTTGGCAGGTGTGTGGCTGTATCATCGTACTAGTGAGCAAGTGTTTCAGTGACACTGATATCTGTGGTTCACAATCTGATGCCCACGTTCAGCACAGGTCCGCATGACCGCGGGTTGGAATTCCTTACCGTTTCGTTTTCTACTAGGCCAGGTACAGGCGAACTCTAAATTGTTACCCGATGGTAAATGTCTCTCTCAAGCCAAGATGCTCACCTTTAAGCCACTTTCACGACTGACCATCAAGCGCAGGAATGCGGAATTGACAGACGAGCAACTCTTAGAATATTTTAACCATACCGGACCTGGTCGACCATGCCAGAGTGTTTTCCCGAAATGCAATCGATTTCTGCCCCAACACGCGAAACCCAGTCACAGAAATATGCGCTTTGTCAGCTCAAACTTTCGAAGGTGTGTTATGTCCTTCCCTCCGGTCACTGGCTTTGTCCAATGCGCATCGTAAAATGGTCAACGAGACTGGATGGATGGCGTTTTGGGAATACAGTTGCCCAGGTACTGCATCGTGCTAGAGTTTTCGAGATTACCATGGCTTGCGAACTCTGATATATCACGACACCAAAGTGCTTGATTCTTGAACAAGATCAAGGCATGGGTAGCAGTGGGGACAGGCCTTTGGAAGATGCATAACAGGTAATGTTGCGCCCGACGTAGACGTTGTCGTATCAATGAATCGGCGAATAGTTTGTTCGTCTGACTGCCTCCAAACAATATGAATCTCCATCGCAATGTCTTTTGTGGACGGAAAAGCGTCGATCGGTAAGTAGTAAGTTGGTCAGTCACACGATGTCACATGTCACGAAACGGCTAGAGACGGTTAACCTGTGAAAAATACATATCAACTGCAGGAACGTGTCTACAACACATTTTCAAGAAAATGGAGGTGCAGCCACGATGGCTTACTGGAGAATATGTTCGAAATGACTCGGATGGTGGCAAGGTCATAATTCATTCCGGATAAGTGGATGTGGGCTTCACAGATGCAGGCTTTCCATCCTGAAAACCTAGTAAAGCCTGGAAGGCATCAAAGTATCTGTCAATGAAGGTTAGAGGCATCAAAATTTCACTTGACTAATCATATAATGTAACGTAGACAAATCCAACGTTCCCCATGAAACGTGCCGTTTATACGTTCCATTGCACATGCGGTTTTTAGACACTGGTATCAGTGGAAGCGATGATAGACTTGCTCAAGTTATATTCAGCTGCTTCAGAGCGAGTGGTTTTACAGCCCACACTTCCTAGCTCTCCTGCCTTCGACTACTAGTAATAGTCATGATGAGCTCACCCTCAGACTCCTCACGCGAATTTACTGAGTTGGGAATTGTGCTATTACGCCTGAATGTGAGTACTTTCAGCATAAGTTAGCGACGTGGCTCATCAACCTGGTCAGTATGCTAATGGTAACTGTCCTTATGTACATTCGATGGATCGCGATTGATCGATCGATCGTCCAAACAAGTGGCCATAGCGTGTCTCTTGGTGAATACTAGTGCCCTACTTATTTCTGTTGGGGTCAAGCAACTTTCTTTGACATAGGTGTACGACTACTTGACCACGATCTCGAGCGAGGTACGTTACAATGACACTCAAAGAGTCCGTGTCAATTGACTGTCTGAACGTTTGTTTCAATCCTCAGGTCACTTTTCTATTCCATGGACGATAGAGCACAATCAAATTTCTATACTTGGTCTGTCGTTATCTCCCGTTCGTCTTCGTGACTTTGGGGATGTTCAGTGCGTCGAATGTGCAATGCCTTCACTGTCTAATTAGTGAACTTTGGGTTCGCTAGTGTGGGTACAACCTGCTTTATCACAGACCACGTCTGTGAGTTCAGCATACTTCTTGCTACCTCCGAGGCTGATTTTCCGGGAGGTCAGCTATGCCAGACGTATTATACTTTGAACACTTGTCAGCATTTGTCGCTGATTGTTCAGTTGAGATATTAACATTTATGCCCTCCTAGACATTGGCGGTGTGATAATGTTCTGCGCGGAGTGTATGCTTTGAATACGTTCCATGTCTGCAATCTCGTACTTACGCTCTTTTCCAGGTCTATTCGTCGCACGTACATGTGTACTTTGGGGATACAAACGATCGATTGTTGTTTTGTTTATGATCAGCACAGTAGTATGTGACTAAATTTTCGTGCTTTTGTATTCACTCCAATTCTTTTAGCTCTATTTCGTCTCAGGTATCGTAATCTTGAAGATGCATGCGTCGTCAACGAGAGGTAAGTATTTCATTTGCCCGCTCTCGTTGACGTTCGACCAGATCATCACCATCGACCATTATATATATCTAGTCATCAAATCACCGATACCCTTTGCGAGCTGCTTTGATTCCGAAGAGAGCGGCCTCGTTATCGCAGCATATAGCTTACTTATTCTGGCAGAATTGCGTGAGCTCTCATCCTGTCAATCCTGACAAATATTTTTTGACGCCGTACAGAAATCGTGTTCTTTTCACTATACAAAGCCACGAAAAGCTTCCGAAATTGGGGTCGCAAGAATCGATTGCTCGAGATCCTCATCCAGCACAACATATTCTACTTTGCTTGTGGATTGTGTGAGGAATGGTCTGTTGAGAACGTAAACATTGGTTACTGAAACAACTTTTAGGTTCTTCAGTTATTGTTATCCTAACGACGGCCTTGTTGCAAGTCAGTGCTTCCTCTTTACTGGAAATTTGTGTTTACGGGACATCTCAAGGCGTCGTATGGTAATTTGATGGCTAGGTACATTTCGTTCATCAGCTTTGGTTAACTAAGCTCAAGCATTATCTAGTGCTCAAGTTGTGTTCCACGCGCTCCTAGTGACAAAGATGCATCTCAATCTATGGGAATCAGACAGGCGTTGTAACTCCCTTGATGTTCGCCATAATAGATCAAGTGCGGTGAACAATTAATCAATATTATCAGCAGATCCCTGCATGTCTTCATCGTTACAACGTCCCTTCAGCCCTGAAATGCCATTCTGTGACCGTCCAGGTACATAGCATGTCGGGTCTCTACACAATACGGCATATTAGGGAAGCATAGGAAACAGAACGATTCCAATTGGCCGACTACACTATAAAAATGGGTCGTCGCTTGCACGAATACGTATTATTGCCCCCAGTCGTATCGAGTGTCCATTTGATTAGGACCCCTTAGCCATGTTCAACGCAGCCTTCTGTTGGCGAGTGAAGGATGGGGCAGCGCCAAGACTCTTGTGTATTTTATGTAAGGTAACTCAAGTATTTACTAGTATGTTGTCATCTGATTTGAACCCTGTTGATCATGGTAATGCAGAAATCCACATAAGCCGACGGGTTAGACCCGTAACCAATCTTACTACGTTTGTCTGTGGTATATCAGCCAGGCTGGTCCTACCGACGGATCCCACTGGCAGTAGCCATAGTTTTCTTTAAGCTTAAACACGCTACCCGAGGTTTCCAACATACATAAGTGCCAGAGTCATGAGAGGAATCCCCACTTCTGTACTGTGAACAACCTTTGCATAGAGATGAACTCTACTGACGACGTGCTTCAGCTCGGACGGGTGCTTTGGAGCCTCAATGTAAGTAATTCTTTGTTCAGTTCCAGCCACTTTAATCTCTCTCAAGTACGCCAATGGTCTGCATTCTAGTTCAAGTTGTGTTGGCTGCGACTGATATGATCTCGTCTACGACATCCTCAATTCAGTTGCTGTAACTTCGTTCTGGGTAAATTCGCAGGAATCACTCGCACTTACATCAGTGATCTTTGTTACTGTAGGCATATGACTGCCTCCTTACCTTGGCCGACGAGGTACTTTTGTTCTACCTGTCCGAGTCGATACTGAGAGACAAAATCGATTACAGGTTGTATTTCTGACGCAGTCACAATGGAAATGGACGAAGCTACTTTACATTGTCTGCCGATATCTTACCTGCGGTTACTTGACATCGGTGATGCTTGGCAAGCACGGCCCTTGATGTCATTAATCATTTTTGTTCATGACACTCGCAGTAGCATTGCAACCCACGATGTCGATTCAGGCGAGTATTCTAAATATCCCCAAGTCACACCTCAACTCAGGTGTTCATATGACAGACGTGTCGCATGTTGTATTTGATAAACACATGTATGATTTTATAAATCGTTGAAGCGAAGTCGTCCCTGATAGAGATTTTCTACAGATATAGGAGGTGTGATTATGATGTGTGCCGAGGGTTTGTTTTTCATATCCCCGTGCCTGCATATTGACTGATAAAGACCTGCAAGGTATCTTCTTGGCTCGCGCTTGTGCAATTTGGGGACTTAGGAGGCGTGTGATAGCGATGTTTCTGATCAGCGGGCTGGTCAGTCACAAGCGTTACTGGGTTCCCTCCATGTCAGTTGAATTTCAACCGTCAGCTATACGTTGCTACTGGCCATGTGGTGCTCTCAGTCAGTCGATCCGCACCAAAGAGTGTGTTTCTTTGGAAATCCAAAAATGACTCGTGCTGAAACGTTCTTGCAGTCATCAAGTCTCCCATCCGTATCGCGAGCTGTTTTGAGACTGGCGAGGGCAGCACCATCATAATCGTTTACGTGATACTGGCTGTGGCGGAGATACGTAAGTACAGCCTCACAACCTCATCCATTTCCTATGGTAATTGAGGGTCCCCCAGAGATATGGATGTTCACGATATACAAGGCCGTGGCAAGCTACTGGCGAGAGGGGACCCATAATCGTCTGTTGGGACAACTGGTTCTCCACAATATGATTTACGTGACCTGCGGACTCAGTGAGTTGCCTTCACATTGACAGATTTTCAGGTGCATGTGCAGCTTTTCTGAATTATGATACAAAGTCTTCTCGCTCACAGTCATACTAGCGACAGCGTTTGTCGAGGTCAGTAGCGCGAAAGATGAATAGAGCCATGCGTATTGACAAGTAAAACTTGACAGGAATATTATGGTTTCATGATTGTGAAGTTTATACGCATCTGGCAAGTAACTATTCATGCCTTTCTTGTGACAAGGATGTCTCGTGGACTCTGGAGAGTAGACCAGCAGCGTGCTCGATTAGAATCCTTACATACCTTTTCACCTGAAACGTTACCTCGGGTGTGAAATTCTCTCTTTTACCCTTTTTTGTTCATCCCTCGCGAGGAATGAAATGGCATGTCTATCACCCGTCACGACCACATGTTGGAGGCATGCTGTGGTATCCAGTGAAACAGCAGCTGCCCCTCAAGAAGTTGATTGCATATTAGCTGCGTCTGGCCTGTAAGTATCTAAGAACATGTCATGAACGTCATTCAAAGAGGATGCACTAGTATAATTTCCTGAAACTGTGTCTGTGACAGCACAATGCTCGATAGCAAAACATACTCTCGGTTCATTGTCATATCGTATATGTCAGGTTGCCACCGGAGATAATGCTATTTTCCCCGAGGGTCAAGTCAAACATCGTCCATAGAAAACAGGTCGTGACCTCGGTCGCAGGTTTGTTCGCTCTGTCGGCGATAGACTAGTGATCGCAAAAGCTGTTCTGGCAGCTTCATTGAGTGATGATTCCTATACATTAATTGGAGCATACCAACCACGCTCCACCGCGGTCACACGACGAAAGTCGCATCAGGGATTGTACATCTCAATCCCAATTCAAACCTTGCCACTTTGAGCGCTACCGCCCAAGTTCACGATCGGCATAGGTCGTTTGGAGAATACGATTTTTTTTGTCACCACGGCGACAATGTCCCAGCTGACACCAGGATTCCAAGTGTTCTCTATCGATCTAGAGCTATCCCCGTCGCCAGGATAATCATGTCTCTTGGAGCTTTCCTTGCGATGCATCACGCCCAACGGCTTGGGCAAGGTTACGACCTTGCCCTCAAGTAGATGATGCCCGATGGTCAAAGTGGGTTTGTTCTTAAAGGTCTGTTAGGTACTGCCAGATCAATGACTGTGGAACTCTACTCACGGCATCCTTGAGGTTTAATTTGCCAACGAACTGCCCGTCTCTAGTGGTGTCTTCGTCGCACCTGATATCGAGCGTGCCTTGTAGTTCTATGAGAACAAGCTCGTCGTGACCAAGCTTGGCGACGCATGACGGAAATCTAGGATTAAAGGCATTGGACAGCGAAACAGATACATCGATCAGCATGGTTGGTGCACAATGCAAGGATGTACAAATGCGCGGGTCAACACGTCCAGGACCCCAGAAACTATGTGGTTAAGGTTCATATTTTCATTACTCTGCTGGTACTAGCTATCTGCTCAGTAGTCATAACTGTTTCTGCATGTGCGCCTCGCGAGTCCTTTCTTGGACACAGGCGAATATCTTCAGCTCGATTCTGGTGGTTCGCCAGGCAGACTCGACGGCGGCACGAGCTCAAAGCACCATCATACATCAACAAAAGAGCATCTGGCGTGTAAGGCCAGTTACTACAGTATAGGACCGGCATTTGAGCCAGTGAATTTTGTTGACTGTCTCAAGTAAACACCTGTACATAAATTAAAATTTTGATTTGGCAGTCATGTTTGAATATATGATGACCATGCTAACGCAACGCTACAGAGCAATCGAATGAGTGATGCGTGCACAGTGCGTGGATCAGTAGAATGTCTTGATATCTGTTTTTTTCACCAGTTGAGCCAGCCCTAATATAGATTTATAGAGTGCGAGAGTACCATCTAAGCGATTATCGTACCGTAACGATCCTCAGGCTAGTTACTACTCCTCTTCATCCTCGTCACTGGCATTCTCGCGCTCATCCTCGTCGACATCAAGCTTGTCACCTGCAGTGCCCTCCGCAACTACCGGTTTAGGTAACGGCGCTTCCAACTTACCTCGTGTTGGCTTTTTCCACGCAAGCCGATGCTTCTCCAGATATCTTCGCGCGTTCTTCAGTTTCTGCTCGATACTTCTCCTGAACTTCTCGACAGATTGCACGGAGGCTTTTTGTGGGTTCATCTTTTCTCTGCTCGGTACGGTACTCATTGATGGCTCGAGTGATGGCAATCTCTTGCTCTTGCTTAGCAAGTTGTTTTTTCCTTGTGACTGACTTTGGATGTCCAACCACTGACTGAGATGCGCAGGATATGAGCCAAGGGTGACTGCAGGACAGTGTTTTTTGAGTCCGGAAATGAAAGTCCAAATTGGGTTAGTTTCACTATCTTGCCCCGATAAACACTTTGATAACATATTTTGAGACCCTCGTCCAGAATCCCAGTGGCAGCACATCGTTGTGTGTTGGACTTATTTTATTGTACCAAAACTGTACTATGGATATAAATCTTTCATTTGGCAGGATTTTTGACATTGATAATTGAACAATTCCTTCTCGCTGCATTGATTGGTGCTGAGAGAGGGCATGTTTCTGACCTGTAGCATGCATGCATTATTTTTTTCATTTCTACTTGACAGTATACAAGATTTATGTATTTCCGATACATCTGCGCTATTCGATGGGTTAATAAACAAATATCGAGTGTGTGGTAGCTGTTTGGCTCAAATGACGGTGCTGGCTCAAATGCCGGTCCTATACTGTACCTTGTACGGTTTACAAACTCCGAATAGAAAGGTAAAAGAAATGCATGAGATTGCAGCAGTATCCAAGTACTAACAGATGTGTGTGATATGTAAAGCTTGTACACGAAGTGTGCCAAGCTTGTAAAGTAGCTGAACAGAAGTGCAAGGCTATGCATGAGATCGTAGCATATATGCAAATTGGTGGCCGATAGGTACCAAATGTAAACTTATACATGGCATGTGCGAAGTTTGCACAGTGATCAACAGGAGTGCAGAGGTATGTAGGAGATGGTAGATGTATGTATGTACAAGTGGATATATAAACCTCACTGGCAGTGCACTAAATGCCAGTATAGCCTATACTAGCTGGTGCGTATAGATTGTCAGTGCGAGTGTGGAGGTGTGTGATTTCGCTGTTCGCCTCTCGCCGAGGGTATTAGGACCCCGGACCACGAACTCGGCCGACTGCAGGTACGTACATGAATTTTAGAATTTTCGCCAAGTCAAGTTCCGAAGATCTGTCCGGCTCTTTCAAGTTCGTCACATAAGTACCACACCTCTTCAATCAACCCTTCTGAAGGTATGTCCTAGCTAAAGGTGTTCCTCTGCCTGCCATCAGAGAACTGGTGAGAAGAAGATATTGTCATGTATCGTTATATATCGTAATATATAGGATTTCGTCACATTGGAATATAAAGCAATATATGACCATGTAAATGCACCGCAATCAGCATAATGGCCAGCAAGAACTCACCGGTTCACTGATGGCTGCCGCCCTTGCAAGTCTCATGCTTTCTTTTCCTCTTAATATTGATAGTAATACTGAGAAACTCCTACTACTTGCATCTTAAGTACTCTCTCCACCCACCAATGTTGCGCTGCCTACCATACCCTACTGTGACCGCCTACACCCTGCAGTTACTGCCTCTTGCATTCTGCCACCCCCACTCAGCTTATTGTGACCTCTCACACCCTCTTGAGTCATTTTAGTGAGTTTTCCTCTTTCTCTTACCAAGTTTGTTTTCCTGCCTTCTGCATACATTTACCTGCTTGCATTTCCTGCACTCGACTCCACCTCACGTCATCCATGGTGCGTATTTTCTTCCGTCTCTTCCTTTTTATATATCATGCTTCGTGCGCACGCTGCTACCCTTGTGTAAGCTTTCTCATTTCTCCTCATTTTCTAACTTTGAGTAGCATTATATATCTTCCCGCATCATCCGAAACAGTACTCCGCCCTCTTGCACAATGTTGCACCCATCTTGCATTCTCTCACGTCTTCTCACATTGCCGTCTTATTCTGTCGTTCGTCCTCCAGTCTGCCGCTTCACCTCTCACGCACCAACGCTTTGTCACCCTTTTATGTTCAGTACTTGCCCATCATATATATGTATCTCGACTTACATTCACACTTTAGTTTCTGTGCTTGTTGGTTATAGCCTATAGCCGAGTGTACTCTAGTGGCCACTGTAGTGCAATTTGATGTGCCCATTATTGTGATCAAATGAGAATGCAATAAATTCATTACCCATACAAGGGACCACCGGGAAGCACAAAACGTCCCAACAGTTGTAGTAGCATGTATTGACCATCACACAAACAAGGGTCTACCGAGTGATACAAATATAACAAGGCCGGTAAAAGTATGTATAAAACCTCGCTGCATGCTCGGCCGTGCATTGTTACTTGCAAGCCTAACACAAAGTCTGTCACGTGTTTGTAGGAATGGCAGCAATTGCACACCTTGTACTTGCCTACAATGTACTGGTTGTTACAGAATGTTACATGGTATGCACGGTTTTGGTCTTTTTTTTGATGTACTTAGTCTCCCTGGGCCCGACTAGTAGTACTAGTCAGACCTATCGAGATTAGAAGTTCCTTCGTGTCATCATACTCGAAAATCGCCACGTGGCGTATCATCCAGCATGCATGATGATCACTCCGGGTACTGCACCTCGCATCGCAAATATCACACTCATACAATACTAGGCCCTATTATCAAAGCATCCGAGTCATGTCACTACTAATCATCTTCAACAGTAGCCCACTCCTGCAGAAAATCATTGGCCAATGGCCATCATGTTCATAAGTTGATTATATCATAATCCGATTCCTTCCAATGTCACGGTGCGAGCGAGCAAGACACTGCTGATGACTCTCGCGTATCGAGAGAGAAGCTGCACACCACACAGCTTTGCACACTGCATGTCACGTCACCTGTCAGTGATTCTTTACCTTATCATCTCATACGGGAAGAATATCACTGAACAGCAGCGCCCTTTGATAATCATTCCAAGAACATGAACTAGTCATGCGGTCGTACAGACGCGCCTGTACGGTACAGGCGCGTCTGAGTCTTGTTTTTGCCCCGCATTGTCTTATCTTCGGTTTCTTTACCACATTATCAATCAAGATGACATTGGGCTGTGATGCATACCGGTATCTTTTGCGCATCCTTATCCGATGATAGAGGCAGAGAGCGATGATGCGGATATGATGTGAGAGGTGCTGGGAACGAGGAACATATCAAGGAGCTTGGAGGCAATTGTAGAGGGTGTTGGCAGGCTGGGACGGACAGGTGAGTAAATTGTTTGCTCTGTTTTCGCCCCTATATTTTCGCGCTGACCGTTCTTCTGTCACTACGGCAAATTTAAGAGCTGTTGTGCCCCTGGGTCGTAGCTAGCGATGCCAAGAGAGCGTATGTTCTCATCATTGATGATCTTCACATCATATCCAGACCTGTGTCAGATAAATACCAGTAACTACAACCAAATCAATGCAAGCGCGGCAAATTACCTCGAGAATGAACAACATTGGGTGTGAGTGACACTGGTGTGCATATCCACAACTCAACATCTTTGATTCCATCAAAGACTTCCACCTTCCGCTTGACACCGGACTACAGCCCTTCCATCTGCCAATCACGGAGCTTCAGACAGGAGTGATGCCCAATCCCATTATACCGACTTTGGCGATACAAGCGCTGGAGATGGTATATCTAATGTGAACGCCATGGTTATATGACCGCGAAGTTCCCAGCTCACTGACACACATATTTCGAATATGACCATAGTTTCAAATGATCCTAGCTTGTGGCCAACAATCTATTTGATTCGTTTTCTTAGTTATTTTCTAGGTTCGTACTTATTTCGTTGGATGATGTCGACAATGTCTCGATCTAAATCGAACTGTGTTTCGCAGTTTCCTCCTTTGCTGCGGTAGTATATGACTATGGTAAGCGATATAGTGAGGATTTGAGAAGTCGCTGAAATCCTTATTATATTTCCAGTCCTGACACTCGGAAAAGAAGTGAGTGGATATCATTACTGGAGCAACCATCTCGCTAAGAGTGATGTTATAGATCGAATTGATCTGGGTGAGCAGAGTCCTGTATCCCAAGAACAGCAGATAATTCAGGACAGAGGCAACGCTGGTCCTTGATGACTGTCCTATACCTCAGTGTACGTAGCTTATGTCATAAGCGCGGTTGACAAGTTGTGCTGACTCTAGAATACCTTAGATACGCTATGTTGGACTGCTGAATGCTGTGTACGTGTGCAAGGCTGAAAAGGTGGTTCTGTGCTAATAACCCACTTCTCGCAATCAGGATATTTATTCTTAGTATGTCTCATATATACTGTGTTAGTTTCTTCTGACCGTCAGCATGCAGACACACCGTCAGTCTTGGTGTCAGATGCAGTGAGTATTCGGTACCTATGCCTCGTATTCCCGTCTGATTAACTGCACTCCTGTGTAGGCGTAAGTGAGATCCTCTATGAGCATGAGCATGTTGGTTGAACTTGGCTCAACATAATGACCCCAATAGATGTGAGTTTTTTTTTGCGATGTTTGATCATATGAGGGGATTATTAATTGGGCGTTTCAGGCAATATCATGTACTCTGCAATAAACTGGACAGGTGTGGTCGTAACTGCCATGCTGGGTGGTGAGTACGCGGCTACAATACCTCAGTGATATCGACTTGACCGAAACACCATGCTAGCCATCGTGATTGCTCGGTTACATGCCATGTATCATGGGTCCAGAAAGATGCTTACCTTTCTCATCGTAACCTTCCTGGCTGTGAATATTTCCTGCGGAGTGATGTCAGGGATAGGACTGAAGCATATTATCGGGGGTAAGTTTTATTATTGGATTGGAGGATGGGGCTCATTATACGAATACCAGAGGAGGCGATACTCTCTGGCACCTATGCATGCAGTTATGACTTTGAGGGAAATGCCGAGCCTTCTCTCAGTAATACTTTGGATCCTCACCACTGCATGGGAGGTCCTTACACTGTGTCTTGCACTCTGGATTGCTGTAAAACAATTCCGTGACTTGCGACGACTCAGATCATCTGCAGGATCAACCGTTGTGGACATGTTCACGGTGTTGGTAAGATCCCACGTGCTTTACTTTACAAGGTGAGCTCGTAAATTCAATGCGCTTATCTTCTGCCACTGAGTACGTGCTAGCTTTCTTGCTGTTGCTTGCCTCCAGCTTGGCCGTAACTCTCCATATATCTTGGTTCGCCGATCTGTCACTGACATTGCACGTGACCCCTGCTCATCATTTCTGTAGGGCTCAACTACCATGGAAGCTGCGATATATAATGGCGCTCTTCAATTTTTCTTGAACGTGCAGATGTTTGTGCTGGGACCACGCCTCATCCTTAGCGTTCGAGAATATAACGCTAGGCTCGTGGACGACTCCGACGCAGGAACGCACATGACTTCGATTGCCTTCCAGGAGCATGTACACGTGTCAACTAGCAGTACTGTGTAGACCAGCATGGGATTACGCATAACTTCAGCTCGATGCACGTGTCTAGTAGGGAATAGCTAGTACCTTGGGTGTATAAGTGATACGACAAGAAATTGGTTTGCAAAGACCGGAGCGTGTGGAGGCGGAGGTGTGCATTGTACAAGCCTAAGGAGAATGATACACAGAGCAGGAACAATTTGCCAATCGGGTATATTCCAACAGCCCGCGTGGGAGATTCCGAATCCCCGTTCTCCACTGCTTTCTTATTCAGAAGTTCTGCATCCAGAACCACGATTGTACTTTCTGACCACCAGATTCAGAATCGCCGCTCTTTCCAGGCCTGGTCAACGGCAGCGGTTCATTGCAAGATTTTCGCCTGTTCACATCGGTTCGAGTTATTCCTCCTTCCTTGTGTTCAAACAGACGATAGTTCAGGAGAAGGCGACAGTCGTCACGCTGCGGGACCCTTGTGCTATCAGCTCGGACACGCTACTTCTGCTTTCCATTCCCCTCGCTTTCCATTCGTTCGGTCCAGATGACTGTTAAGGCCATGGCCTCTAAGGAAAAAACAGCGAGGCATGATGGAATCACCAGTCATCTGGCCTTGTACAATAGCTCTCGCTTTTCTCATGTTTCCTTAGACAGATGATTCTAAAGTATTTCGCGGGCTTATAGAATTTCTGGTCTATCAGTTGTCTAGGCTTGGTAGGTACGTGGGCTGTAGCATATCTAGTAGATACTATCGCTACTGCTCACGTACCTGCTAGGTTAGCAAATAATGACGTGAAGCGATGCATAGTCCTTCGAGTGATCATCTACTAGTTTTAGGGTTGGTGTCGCTAATGGATATATGTATGTATGTATCTCGTTCGGTTCTTTACACTGACTGTTGTATTTAGCAGGATGGACTCTTATTATTGCAAGGTCGCAACCCCCCCGCACAATTTGCAATTACATGGGCGGAAAAAACCACTGCAACGGCGCAACGCCGATAAACGTAAGTATGCATGCAATTTCAGAAGTGGCTGATGCCCATTAATAGTTTGACAGGTACACTTGAGACCTTCTGACTCGAAGCTTTGATTCTCTAATTCTCCACTCCTCGCTCAGCACACCTCATTTCCTTGCGATGCTCAAGGCATACAGTCGAGCCAGGAGTCTGCGCGATTCAGTCCTTTTCCTTCCCAGTGGCCCGGATGGATCAAAATACATCTAAGCGCAATGAGTTATCAGCCATCTGGACTTCACGCTTCGTGGTCGCTTCTTCATCATTTGTGTGCTCAGACAGCGGAAATTTGCATGTATTAAATCAGCTGTCTAGGCAACTTATACTAATTCTCGCTGTATTTCAGTATTGGGTGTCAAGGACTGGATTGGTTGCTAGACATCAGTTTGCCACTTGGTGTGAGTGTGGGCGGGCGGTTCAGTAGTGATACAACAAGAAATGAGCTTGTCCGCATCAACTTCGTCTCCAATATACTGTGAAACACCATAACTTGAATAAATGCTACGATGGATCCTTGACCAAATTTCTCCCTGCAGAATACTCGGCAAACATTTCCCTACACAGTGCTGCTAGTTGGCACACGCACACGCTCCCGAAAGACAATCGAATTCGTGCTAGTTTCCGCATCGAGTTCGGCCACAAGTTTTGCGTGATATTCTCGAACGCTAAGGATGAGGCGTGGTCCCAGCACAAACATCTGCATGAACAATGAAATTTGAAAAAGATTGCCGAGTATCTGAGCTCCCATAGACTGTGAGCCCTACATAAATAATGAGCAGCGGTTACAAGCGGATGCCAGTGACAGGTCGGCGCACCAAGAACTTTGAAGAGAGAGAACCTAGCTGGAGGCATGAGACATAAACAAAGCTAACACGTGCAGAACTTGAGCAGAGAAACATAACCACATTCACGTGACAAGCTCACCTTACAAAATAAGAGCTAGTACGGTAACTGAAGTTCAGCCGCCGTAGCCAACTTCAGATGTCTCGGCTCGCATCGAGCCGAGACGGAGCTTGAACCTTCTTGACCTCTTGCAATGACCTCACTCCAGTGGCATGTGCCTCATAACCTCAATCTGCGGGAGCAGCGCAGGCAAATCATACCAATTATAATCGGAATTATCATTACTATCCACTACCAACTATTTCTCATGTCTCAAGAGTCAAAGCCCAAGAAGGCTCCAAAGGTGATCTGGAATGATGCAGAGACAGATGCCCTTGTCACATACCTCCACACAGAATGTTCAAAAATAGGAGACAGTGGGATTTTCAAACCACAGGTTTACAATGACACTGCAACTGCCATTGCAGCGCACTTGACCCTTGGCCCAATAAAGACTGGAGGCCATTGTAAGACCAAATGGCAATCGGTATGTTATTGATCTATCTATCTAGTAATGGCTACTGATCTTGAGATCCCTAGTTGAAGACCATTTACCACGTTATTGAAAACTACCACCTTCACACATCTGGCACTCACTGGGATAATCAGATTGGAGCTGGTATTGAGGGGAAGGCTGCAAGTGACGTATGGGATGCATATATGGAGAAGAAGGTCAGTTGGTATCACCGTCTACAGCTGTTACTTATGCTTGAGTCACTGTAGGCCAACCATGTCATGTGTCCTTACAGAAACACTGGATGGACCTATTATGCTCAAATGCAAGAGATTATGCCAAGTGGCAGTGGCGCTCAAGGTCATGCTGCCTATTGCCCGTCTAGGGCTGCAGCACCTGCCCTTGTGGACGACTCATCCGACCAGGGTTCTGCAGCTCACATGGATGCCAATGTTGTTGCTGGGCCTGCAGTGGATGCTCACATGGGCGAACTTGAGGCTGAAGAAGAGGTTGGTTGGGGCCATGTGCCACATGATAATGCTGCGATTGCCAGAAGTTCCAAAGTCGCTGCTGCTCCGCTTTCTCTACCTTCTCTCTCTACTAGGACACCAAGCACTGGGAAATGGACCCATTCAGACATGACTGGCACAGACGCACAATCTCTTGCACCTCCTCCATCCACAACATTCACATCAGTATCACAGCAAGAGTCAGAGTTGAAGAAAGCCAAGGTCTCCAGCTGCAGTGGTGTTGCACACATCAAACCTCAACCTGAGGCTAGCACTAGTAAGGTCATCAAACCCACAAATGCATGTTGCAATGATAGGCATGCAAGGTGCCCTCAACTGCCTCACTGATACGTTAGTGATGCAGATGGTTGCCACTGATGAGAGCCAGACAACTGATGAGTGAAAGCTCACCATTCATATCCTGCAGGAACAAGATGCTGACCTATCGCTGGAGGATAAAGTGGCACTGATGAATATATTTGTGAGAAGCAATGGAGTTACTAGCTTTTACATTGAAACCACAGATCCCACTTTGCGACACACTTTCATTCACTCTGTCATCCAGCAATTTGCCAGCATGTAGTTCAAGTCTTTCTGAGCATCATATCACGTACAATAAGCGCAGTTCTCATTTGTAGTCACTACATGTACAGTACTACAATTCGTCGTCATCATCAAGAATGTCATTGTCAATGTCAACTACAGAAAAGTCATCTAAAATGCCTCATTCAGCTAAAATTAACTGGTAATCATCCCACATTTTCTGCGCGATATGGTCCCGTAGTATGTTTGCATCATTGATGACCTCAAGCTGTCCTGCCACTGGCATGTCAGCAGGCTGCCCTTGATATTCTGGGTTGTCATTGTCAAAATCGATGCATCTCTCAGGAAGAAGGCCTTCCTTGAGATCGTGAGTGTGAATGAAGTTGTGGATAGCACATAGCACAGCAGGAATGCGTGCTTGAACCTCCATCTTGTACTCAGGCAACAAGAGGAGGATATGAAAGCGCCGTTTTAGTATGCTGAATATTCTTTCAATAACATTCCGTGTGGAGGCGTGGTGAAGGTTATATAGTTCCTGTTTATTGGCAGGTCTATTGACCATTAGAATCAAAAACACTACAAAGAAAAATAAAAATGCACCTTATGCTGGCACGGCCCCATTCTGCAAGATGATATCAGACACTGTGGTAAGGGATGAGGAGCTCCTTGCAGGATGGGAACCCAGCATCACCAAGGAGATACTTTTGATGGGGAATGTCTAAGTCATCTGAATGAGCCTCCTCCCATAGACATGCATCCATCACCGAACCCTCCCAGCCAGTCTCTGCATGAATAAACTTGAGGTCCCAGTCACAGGCAAACAGACAATTTTGAGATACAAAGCCCTTTTGATTGTGGTAGAATGTACGATCACATGAAGGGGGGGATGCATGAATATGGCTGCCATCTATGGCACCAATAGCACCTTTGAAGTAGGGCCAGAACTTTGGGTCATTGCGAATCTTGTTGGGGATGACACTGCCATCCAGAAAGTGTACATGTGTTGAATAAAATGGAGGGGATGCGAAAATGAACAATATTTTGCGAAAGTACCTGATACAATGTCAAGGCTGACTGTTATTGATAGATCCAAGACTTACTTTGAAATTGTATCGCTGGATCTTTGGAACCACTCTCCAATGTGTCTGATTGTCAGACCAGTGACACAAGTATATAGAAAAATGGCCAATTGTTCTTCCAGTGAGACATAGTGAGAGTTACCATGACTGAGACCACAAAGCTCCTCAATCAGCTTCTTGAAGACATGTGTATGTATGCCGAGTTCACAGTGGATGCACTGAGGATGGCCAACGATCAATTCCATCAGCCATTCTTCACCCTTGAGTGCTGATGTGTGATATGGTTCAGGGTCTTTTGGTAATCCGGTTTGTATAAATGATTCAGTTGTAGCGATAATGATACTGATCATGAGGATCACATATCGAGTGAGTCGCTCACAGACCACTGATGCAGCGGATTTTGCCCGATCCAATGGTAGAATGAATCGACTGAGTAACGGGTCAGAAATCAATGGTCTATTGAACGAATGGTCGAGGGGTAATGGAACCATGTTGCGATACACAGTGAGCTCATCACAATCAGTCAACGATGCCGACTGGCACATTGAAACTCAGTCACCGGCTTGCGCCGAGCAAACACATCTGAAGTTGGCTACGGCGGCTGAACTTCAGTTACCGTACTAGCTCTTAAGCACGTGAGATTTTATCAGCACTGTGAAACAGTCCCTAATGGTCGATCCTGTCGATGAGCCGAATTGTCGCAGGTCACGGAAGTGTTTCGCAGCAACCCAGACTGAAAGACACAGTACGAGGACCTCCCAAACAGTATCGAGCATCCAAAACATTGAAAACAGAAACTGGTCTTCCCCCTCGTATATATAATCGCATATAAATGTGCCAGAGAGTATCAGCTCCTCTGGTGGCTGTCCAATGAACCGTGTTCTTCAAGTCAGTAAGTAAAGCTTACCCGCTGTGGTGTGCTTGAGTGCTATTGCCACGATTATTCCGCAGGCGATGTTAACAGCCAGGAAGATAATAACAAGGAAGATAAGCATCATTATCGATCTCTGATACATGGCATGTAACCGAGCAATCATGATGACTTGCATCATGTTTCAGTCGAGTCAATATCACTGAGGTATCGCAGCTCACCGCCTAGCATGGCGGTTATGACTACATTTGTCCCATTTATTGCACGGTTCACAATATTGCCTGAAATGCCCAATTAGTGATCACCCTCGCACTAGGATCAAACACTCCGACTCACACCTATTGAGTTGGTGTTTTGAGCCACATTCAATGTTCAGAATCTCACTTACCCCTATATGAGTGTATTCGTTGGATGGGAATGATATGGTTGCGGAATACTCACTGCATCTGTCAGCGAAACCGATGGCATATTTGCTGTGTGCTACCAGTCAGATGAATCGAACACAGTACACATGAGACACACAAAGCATTGGCACTGATTGTCAGGGATGGGCTATTAGTGCAGCACCAACTTGTTGGCTTCAAAAACATACACAGAATGTGGTATTCCAATATAGCGTATCTAGAACATTTTGGAGTCAGTACAACTTGCCAACCACGCTATCTAAGTATAACATGAGATACGGACAACCAGGTACAGCACGGTCATGAAAGACCAGGGTTGCGTCTGTGGCAAATTCATTGTATTCCCCTGTTTTTCTTCTGATGTGGAACTCTATCACTCACCCAGATCAGTTCAATCTATGACACCATTCTTAGCCAGTTGGCTGCTCCGGCGATAATGTCGACCTACCTCTTGTCCAAGAGTTAGTACTAGAAGTATTATAAGAATATCAGCGGTTTTCGAACACTGCCCTGCTCACCTCAATCGTATACCACTACGATGACAGCGGTAACTGCGAAACTGTAGGTCAATGTTAGATCGAAACATCGTGATGCGACGAACCTGTCCAATAGCTGTTAAACAAATCCGAAGTCAGTATCGGCCAGAAATTGGGATTATTTGAGACTACAGTCATATTCGAAGGATAGGTGTGAGCGAGTGGGGGATGTTGGATGTATAACGATCTAGCGTTCGCGGTAGATATACCACCGTCCAGTGCTTTTATCGCCGAAATCGGCATGATGATGATGCATATTTGTTCCTGCCTCAATATCCTTGATCGGTTGAAGTAGGCCGTAAAAAGTGGAAGCCTTCAATTGAATCAAAGTAGACTCTGATATGATACACTTTTGGCCTTGCTGGCCGAGCCTGAGGCCTGAGGTGTATCAGCTCCACTGGTGACTCTTAACAAGATCCAATTCTGTGATATGACACCAGATAAATCAAACACATAGTGGGCCGAGGCGGAACAAAAACCTTACTATCCGTTGCCTCGTAGAGTCGTACGCCTCAATCATTGGGCTATGGTATCAAAAATGATAAGCAAAGATATGGTAACCATAGAAGGAATCCGATACGAGGCATACTATATCAAACGCATCATACACTTGATGCAATGGTGATGCATCGCACTGCCAGATACATCCTAATTCACAATCCGTGATTGATACTAGAAAAGTCGGATTAAACAGAAAAGGTTGAAAGGCAACAAACAGATGAAACATCTATTCCTAAAACAGTTTACCTCAAAGCACACGGATCCATACACAACCTGAGCATAACCAAGTCCGCCACTATCCTCCTCCAAAGTTTGTCAGGCTGTGATAATTAATGGTATGTATAACAAAGCAGGGTACGGGTATGTTCTAGCCCACGACCGCCGCGGCATCTACGGGGGAAAATTGCCAAACTCCCAGCTATAACATTCCTGCAGGTTCCAAGAATGTTAGCAGAGCGCCATAGGGAAACAATTATGACCACTCACCACACAATCTTCTTCAGCTGCAGCGGGTGGAACCGACCGACCGACATCTTCGCTGGGCTGCCAGGGCTTCCCCAGTATTTCTTCTATAACATTGACGATCCCATGTTTGCGTATGTCTACAGACCAAGAAAGGTTTGACACAGTGTCGTAGACAATGGATTTGCCTTGATGACACCTAGGCCACCTCAGATACATGAGCAACACGAATGCCAGAAGACATACCTAGTTTCCATTGCGAACCCGCCTAAAGCACAAGAAGATAGAATTCCATTGCAGGTTCCCATCGCAATGGGATCTGCAGTGTGATATACATGCGTGACATGATGAGTTGACGGCTAAGACTAATCCATTACTACTGGGATGATAAGCACATTGAAACTACACACCGGCGACGGCAGATGCAGCCGCTTTG